CACCATCAATCGATGGTTCCTTTTCTGTCTCATTCCCTGGAAGTTGATCGAATCCCTGTGCTCTACCTGTGCTCTGATTTCTTCGTCATTATGAAATTAAAAAAATAAAAGTAAATAAGATGTTGCAAAAAACTTAATTGACAAGAAAAACAGAAAAAACAGTCAAAAAAAGTTTGATTGCGCGTTCTCATAAGCATTAATAAAAAGGCGTTAGATTGGATTAAGCATTAAGAGAGACGCGTTAGATTGGATTAAACATTAATAGAGACGCGTTAGATTGGATTAAGCATTAATAGAGACGCGTTAGATTGGATTAAGCATTAAGAGAGACGCGTTAGATTGGATTAAGCATTAATGGCCGCTTGAGCGTTGCATTAAGGAGACGCTTATGTTAAACATTAAGGACGCTTGATGTTAAGCATTAAGAGGCGTTGATTGATTAAGCATTAAGGAGACGTTAGTTGGATTAAGAAAAGGCGTTGTTGTTAGCATTGAGAGACGCGTTAGATTGGATTAAGCATTAAGAGAGTCGCGTTAGATTGGATAAAAGCTAGAAACAAAATTACGATATTTTTTAAAGCCTGACTGACTTTAGAACATTTAAAAAATCGTTATGAACATAGTAAATTACTTTTACAAAAAATTACGGTAGTTTTCAACAAGTTTTAGAAAAGAGAATCACTGTAATCGGATGTGTTTAGTACTTTGAAAACGAGACTCCTCCATTAGAAATGCTCCGAAGATGGGAGTTCTTTGAGTCAATACAATTTATGAATGATGAGTTGAACGAACAAGAGAGGTACTGTAAAATTTGATTGAAGAATTAAAGCAAAACAAAAATCAAATGCATTTACAGAGACTCGTTTGAATCACTCGGAGAAGTGGATCCTTTGTGTCACTCAGAGAGTGTTACTCAAACAGTAGCACAAATCAAGAGGTAGGCTAATTCAAAAGCGACTTAGAAAGCTAATACAAAGCTATTTAGAAAGCTAATTCAAAAGCGACTTAGAAGGCTAATACAAAAGCTATTTAGAAAGCTAATTCAAAGCGTTTAGATCTCAAAAACATTTACGTGAAAATGTGGAGAATAATGGTTATGAAGCGTCAAATCTGGAAAGATTTTTGGGGAATTTACCAATCGATTATTCGACTGAAGAAATGACACGGGAAAACACACAAATATCCCCATGTGCATCGGAGAATCGAGGTAAAGAAATTGATCGAAAAGAAATTCTTGTTTAAAGTTATGATTGTTAGATTGTTATGTTACACTTTAAATTTAAGGATCTGTTTAAAGATGCTCATCTTTCACCTCATCTTTAAACAGATCATCTTTAAACAGATCATCTTTAATCAGATCATCTTTAATCAGATCATCTTTAACCCATCCGAAACTTCTGCAGCGAATAATCGCTGCATCAGGGGCCGCTCAGCGTTATTCGCTGCAGCTAATTGTATTTTCATTTTTATTTTTTCCTTGTCTCTACAAATTTGGGAAAAGTGTTTTCTCCTTTCTTGTGTCATTGCTTTTCTTCTGCAATTCTTTCAAACGGTTTCGAAGTGGGTTCAAATGCTCTGACATAATGTGGGACATGTGGGAAAATCCTCCTAATCCAGGCCTGCTATTCCAGTAGTCACGAATCCTCGGTATTTTGACGATTCCCATTTGAAGCCAGGAAAAGCTTGAAAGATTTTGCATCGAAATCCTGCCAGTTTGTTATCCTTTTTCCATGTTTATTAGATTCACCTACTAAAATATTGTCGTCGATAAAATAAGAACAATAATCGATAGGATCTTGAAAAGTACTGAAGTCAAATCTTCATCAAAAATAAATGGTGTAGGAGACTCTCTTACATCTTTCCAACCATAAATAAACTGCTTCGGAGTCAAAAATGTCAAAAAAAGGCTTGGTCCGTAGACGAAAAAAAAGAAAAAACGCTGCGGTTTCGAATGGGTTAATCAGATCATCTTTAATCAGATCATCTTTAATCAGATCATCTTTAATCAGATCATCTTTTTCAAAAGTGTCACGTTCAGATCGTTAAATTTTTCCAAGATTCACACAAGCTGCTGTATATTCATTCTTCAAATGAATATACAGCAGCTTATATAACACTCGGAGTATTCTCTTCCTTTTCTTCTTTTAATTTATCGATAAGCATCCGCATCTGCATCCTGTAGGTACCGGGAACTTGTGGACAAATGATTTGTGCCTAAAGTTAAAAAAGGGGACCGAATTAGGATTGGTTGACTCAATAGTTGCTTGTTTTTGCTTGAATATCCAATAAAATGAATAGCTCCAATCGATTCCTCATCCCTGAAAACCCATGAGTACAAATTCAAAGCTGAATCTCTTCTTTTTATACCATCTACGAACTAAAAGAGAAATCCCTGTAAATGACTGTCGAGGTGTTCTTTGTGTGGCCTAGTAATCGCTCACCGTTTGGCACAAGTTCCCGATAGATAGATGTTCCCTTTTTGACCCGGTAAAGGAAAGGAATAGCTAGCGACTGAGCCTGTTTTACCGTGATTATGCCCAAATTTTTGCCAAAATTTCCCTCACCAACAGATGAAGTTAGAAACAAAGCTTGCCCGGTCTAGTTTTGCTTTTTGCTTTATCCTCTTTCCAACTCAAAACCTAACACAAATTTACCGCTAAATTTCTTTGATTAGATCATAACATCGTTTAGAAGAATCCACAGATACTTCATCACTCACATTGACTACAAGCTGTTATTCGACAAAAGAAGTAATCCTTTTTTGATACAAGCTTTACTTTGATTTACTAGGTGAAGCCTCTATTACTTCATTCGCATCATCAATCAAGCTTTCTTGCAAAGAAACGATCTCGAACTAGTGACATCTCACCGTCAGAGGAGAATCTAGGTAAGATCAACTCAAAAACTGAAGCTGAAAGCTCAACAGAAGCTCAGAGCTAGAACTTTTACTTTTAAAATCACTATAAAGAAAAGCTTTTCTTTTGCTTGAGCTTGAGTTTTAGAAAATTCGATCGATTTGCCAGCCCGACGAGATCCAGCGGTCTTGCAAATGATTCGTGAGAAGTATTTCACTTTCATCGATCAATCGAAAGCGTTAGCGAGTGAATTCGAGAACGAGCTTCTCCAATTGATCATCAAGTACAACTCTAAAAGTGTTCTCGCGGCTCCAGTGAACTTTAATGCATAATTTTTGTTGATACGGGTTTTGTTTTTCCAATATTTCCCTGAGTTTATGTAATTTGCTTTCTTGCCAATAAAATGGAAGGGATTTGGTACATTTATAGCAATCGAATTATTGAATTTCTCTTACATCTCTTGCTCCGAAGATGGGAGTTCAGTCTTCAGTTCTAAAATCTCTTGCAGAAAAATCACTGAACTGAACACTCACAGGATTTTGAAATTGTTCGACAAGTTCTACAAGTTCTAGAAGCTCTAGAAGCTCTACAAGTTCTACAAGTTCTAGAAGCTCTACAAGTTCTACAAGTTCTAGAAGCTCTAGAAGCTCTACAAGTTCTACAAGTTCTAGAAGCTCTAGAAGCTCTAGAAGCTCTACAAGTTCTACAAGTTCTAGAAGCTCTAGAAGCTCTAGAAGCTCTAGAAGCTCTACAAGTTCTACAAGTTCTAGAACTTCTACAAGTTCTAGAAGCTCTACAAGTTCTACAAGTTCTACATGATTTTATATGAACTAGGATTTAGTAATAGAGAGAAGACGGTAGTTCAGGTTTAAGCTAAACTTATAGTTACATCTTCATTGAATAGCTTTAGAGATACCGAAAGAAGAGATACTGTATTCTCTCTAATAGTAGTGCGGCGCATTATTATCTTTTTTCAACCCCCTCCCAGACTGCAATACTATTAGAGGACTAACTAGCTTTTGGTTAACCGTTTATTGTTTTAACCCTTTTCCTCTTCACTTTTCTCTGACATAATCGAGCTCACTGAACCAATTAAAAACACTTTCCAAAAGATCATAAAAGTTTTAGCTTAAACTTAGCTCATCAGGAATCTACAACTTGTGAGTAAAGAAAAAGGCTAAAGCTGGCAAAGTAAAGTTTCAAAAGAGATTCTAAACTTCTCGAAAGTGTTCTAACCAATCATTATACTCTAGTTTACAAAAGATTTCATATTATCTGAAATCAGAATTATTGCAAAAAGTTATCTTAAAGTTAGTAAAAAGTTTGCTCATCTCGAACCATAAAGTAAAGGTGATTCGTCAGTGAAAAAGTACCAAAACTCTCTAATAGTATTGCGGTTTGGGAGGCGGTTGAAAGGAAATTACAAAACAAAACCGTTTTTTTTAAAGCTCAACTGTGACTTTTATAAGCCTAAAAGACATGGAAATATGTGCATTTTAGCTTCATGGTTCTTATTTTGGATTCACTAGAGTTTAAAAAAGGTGATTCGTCAGTGAAAAAGTACCAAAACTCTCTAATAGTATTGCGGTTTGGGAGGCGGTTGAAAGGAAATAATATTGCGCACTACTATTAGAGAGTATCTCTTCTTTTGGTATCTCTAAAGCTACAATATCTCTAAAGCTATGGTATCTCTAAAGCTCTTCTTTGCTTCTTTTCTTCTTTTGCACTAGGTTTAAATCTTGTTTGAAACTATTTGAAACTAAAAGATTTATGTGCAGATTTTTCGTGAAGACTTTGTATTCTGTGAAGAGAAACTGCCCTAGTTGCTATGGGCTGGTTGTGGCTGAGAGAGCCGAGTGCGCTTAATCTCCGGACCCACTAAGTGGGGAAAGAGATAGGGAAAAGTGAAGATATTCAGACGATGAGCGAAAACGGGGTAAACGGGGCTGAGTGGCTGTGTGTGCCTTCACAGAGCCGTCCTTTTCTTTGCCCCTTTTCCCCGTCTAAGCCTAAGCCCGCCCCGTCAAGCAAAGAGCGCCTTGCCTCGTCGCTCTTTTGCAGAGAATTCGATCGATTTTCACCACCACAAAACTGGTATTCGGATTTTGATTTCGATTTTAACTTTGTATTCGCTTTTTTCTAATAATGCTTTCGGCGAAACATTCCTTATGGTTTGATGCAAATGAAGAGCCACAAAAGCCGAAACGAGTTTACTCCAGGGGTTTCAAGGTTCGTGAGCGAGTTGTAAGCGATTAAAAACATTCAAATGATTTAAAGTGTGCTTTTAAACATTCAAATGATTTAATGTGTGCTTATAAACATTCAAATCATGAAAGTGTGCTTTTAAACATTCAAATGATTTAAAGTGTGCTTGTAAACATTTAAATAATTCAAAGTGTGCTTATAAACATTCAAATGATTCAAAGGGTGCTTATAACCTTTCAAATGATTCAAAGTGTGCTTATAAACATTCAAATAATTCAAAATGCGCTTTTAAACACAACTTTAACTTCTATTCTATGCTTCTATTCTAGGCAATTCTATGCTAAACTAGACTCTAACTTTTAGACTGTTTATTGGTAGCAAAGTATTGCCTAAAATGGTTTCTATTTTCTATGAAAGTGTAGGAAATTGATCTCTTTAAGCGAAAAATGATTTCTATCTTTCAAATTTTCTCTTTATTTTTAATGGTTTAAATTAATTAACACTTAATTTTAAAACAAAACTCCAAAAATTTTTTTTAAAGCTCAACTGTGACTTTTATAAGCCTAAAAGACATGAAAATATGTGCATTTTAGCTTCATGGTTCTTATTTTGGATTCACTGGAGTTTAAAAAAAAGCCTAAAAGCTTTAGCTTATTAGCTTAAAAATCAAGCTATCATTTCAGCTGCGATTGATTGAAGAGGTTCGGAAACGGCCCTACCTCTGGGATCCGTCCGACGAGCAATATGGGAATCAAACGGTGGAGATTTCTAATCAAATAACATAATAGATAAAGAAATTAGCTTTAGCTTTTAGCTATAAGCTTTATTATTTACTTTATATGAAACTTTTGAAGTGGAGATTTCTAATCAAATTAAATCAAATCAAATCAAAAAATTAGATAAATCGAAAAGCGTGGATGGATATTTGCAATGTGATGAACACCGTTTTTCATAATGATGATCCGATGCATCGTAAGGATTTTTTATTAAATATTTAAATATTATTTAACTAATAAAAGAGGGGAGAAAAAATTATTATTTAACTAATTTTAAATATTAAATTATTATTTAACTAATAAAAGATATTCAATGAAACAATGAGTTTATCAATTCTTCGAAAGAAAAGAAAGTTTTTAGCCCAATTGGCACGGAAGAACTTCAAGAATTTACGCGATATGTTCAAGACAAGATGGCTTGAGTCTAAAATGGTAATTTGTTTTAGAAATAAAAAAGCTTATTGTATGAGAATAGTTTGATAATAGTTTAATAATAGTTTGATAATAGCTTAATAATAGTTTGATAATAGTTTGATAATAGTTTAATAATAGCTTAATAATAGTTTAATAATAGTTTAATTAAAGTTTGATAATAGCTTAATAATAGTTAAACAATAATAGTTTCATAATAGTTTAATAATAGTTTAATAATAGATTGTTTATCAAATTATCAAATTATCAAATCGTTTATCAAATTTACCGATCATTGCTTTTAGGGAAAAACCTCAGCGCAACGCTGGGACTATTTCATTCCGATGAACTTTCTAGCGGATGTTTTCGAGAAAAATGAAGAGTGAGTTGCAATTGAACACTTAAAACTAGCGTAATCTCTGTAAAAGAAGACAATAATTCATTAGAGTATTCTTCGTCGGTAATAGACTAATGCATTTTAATACCGGGATTCAATACAGGAACTGTCCGTTTGTCCGTTCAGATCGGTCTGCTTAGATCGGTCGGCTTAGATCAATCTGCTTAGATCGGTCGGCTTAGATCAGTCCGCTTAAATCAGTCTGCTTAAATCAGTCTGCTTAGATCAGTCAGCTTCGAAATAGTTAACAAAAAACTGATACTTTTATAAACAATTAGATCGGCTTAGATCGGTCGGTCGGCTTAGATCGGTCGGTCGGCTTAGATCGGTCGGTCGGCTTAGATCGGTCGGTCGGCTTAGATCGGTCGGTCGGCTTAGATCGGTCGGTCGGCTTAGATCGGTCGGTCGGCTTAGATCGGTCGGTCGGCTTAGATCGGTCGGTCGGCTTAGATCGGTCGGTCGGCTTAGATCGGTCGGTCGGCTTAGATCGGTCGGTCGGCTTAGATCGGTCGGTCGGCTTAGATCGGTCGGTCGGCTTAGATCGGTCGGTCGGCTTAGATCGGTCGGTCGGCTTAGATCGGTCGGTCGGCTTAGATCGGTCGGTCGGCTTAGATCGGTCGGTCGGCTTAGATCGGTCGGTCGGCTTAGATCGGTCGGTCGGCTTAGATCGGTCGGTCGGCTTAGATCGGTCGGTCGGCTTAGATCGGTCGGTCGGCTTAGATCGGTCGGTCGGCTTAGATCGGTCGGTCGGCTTAGATCGGTCGGTCGGCTTAGATTTATGATAATAATTGATTATAAGAGTTCTATAAACTTTAAGAATTACCTTTAGTAACCTTGATATGACAACTTTCCTTAACGAACAACTTTTGAATGGAACCGAAGATGATGGCACAAATCCATCAAATGAGGAAATCGATTTGGCGAGCTTGCTTTTTAAAAGGGTTTGTTTACAAAAGTTTTACAACAGTTTTATCTTTAAAAATTGAATTAAGAAATGTTTTAGAATGACGATAAAGACGATTTAACGGTTTTCGACTATTCAAACGATGGAGATGAATTCGATGCTATCAAACGAATCTCAGAGCAATTCAATTCACCATCTACGTCGACTGGTATTAAAATCAGAATGAAATAAACAAAAAGATCTGGCTTTAGTCGCTCCTCTAAATAAACGAGCCAGAATTGATAATCGATTCGATTTTGGTGAAAAGCTTTCCAAAACACCGATAATCACTCAACAACAAGGGATCACCAATGTGCTCAAAAAAGTGATGAATGAAAGTGAGTTGAAATCATGATAAGCTTAAAAAATGAAAGATCTTTATGTATTTTAAATATATTGTGACTTAAAGTTATTTTCGCTTAATGGAATAGAGACAAGAAGCGGTTGTAGCGTAGCGTTGCGTTGTTGTAGCGTTGCAGCAATCGTAGCTATTCTCAAATAGATATTATCTTAGACAGAGTTATTTATAGAACCAATTTTCCAGGTAAAGTCGGTAATAGATTAATGCATTCTATACAGGAACTGTCCGTTAGTCCGTTCAGAGCAGTCTGCTTAGATCAGTCAGCTCAGATGTCAATTCTTGACTTTAGACTTTGCTTGGCTTGAGTTGAAAGCCAAAGAAAGTCCAAGTTACTTAATAACGAGTTAGCGTTTTTTTTAAAACGTAGCAACTTTCAAAACCTTTCCTAATCTGCCAAGCTATAATAAAGTCATTTTTAGAGTAAATAATGAAAGGCTTCTAAACCAGATAAATCTAAATCTGATCTAAATCTGACAAGGCATTTAGACAAGGCATCTCCGGCATTATGGAGCTTTGTGTGCTTACAATACAAGTGTGCTTACTTAATCTTTCACTGGCATTTTCCGAGAGAACATTTTGGGGTCGCGCACTAAAATGCGCTAAATGCCGTAATCCGTTTTTTTGCGCAAAATCATCGCACTCTAAATCTGATCTGCATCTGATCTGCATATACCGTATTTACTCTATTAGTGGGGTTCTCTCTAATAGTGGGGTCCTCTCTAATAGTGGGGTCGTCTGGAGGGGGGTTGAAAAAATAGTGGGGTCCTCTCTAATATTGGTAACGAAAGTGATACATCAATTGTTGATCTCTTGGATTAGTTCTTTTACTGTTTGTTAATGTTTTGTTACGGTTAAAGCTAAATAAAATATGAAGCCAAACTTGTTTTTTCAAGAATTTCGGAGAAAAATTGATATCTTTTCAACTTAAAACTTTGGTTTTATGTTCTTTTAAATTTCTCTAATAGTGGGGTCCTCTCTAATAGTGGGGTCGTCTGGAAGGGGATTGAAAAAATAGTGGGGGACCCCACTAATAGAGTAAATACGGTATTCTGAAACACTTATATATATATTAGGTTGGCAACTTAATAATGACGCGTTTATGTAACAAATCATTTATTTTAAAAAACACAAAAAGAAGAGCCTTCAATTCAAAAGGTATTCTCCATTAGTATCTATGACTTCTTCCCATCTTCTGCGCAAATCCCGGATCTCATCCTCGAAGAACTTGGGAGTTTTTGAGGTGAAGTAGTCATTCACTGCTTTTATGATCCGAGCATGATCATCGAACTTTTCTCCCTTCAAAAAGTGCTTCAGCGACCGAAACAAAAAGTAATCTGAAGGAGCCAGATCAGGTGAATAAGACGCGTGGGGCAAAACTTTCCAGCCAAGTTCCACGATTTTCTTATAAGTGATCTTTGCAGTGTGAGATTTTGGGTTCTCGCGTAAAAATCTGACTCTCTCCGGTTTGAGCCCCAATTTCTTCAAAGACTCGTTAACTCTCATTAATTGCTTCGAATAAAGATCAGCATCGGCGATTTGGCCAGGTTTAGCACTTCATAATGCACCAATCCCTTGAAGTTCCACCAGCAACAGAGCATTATCTTCTTCCCATGGATTATCAGGTTTGGGAGTGGTTTGAGGGGTCTGCCCAGCAGATAGCTATTGATTTTTTGCGTTTAACGTTCTCGTAGTTGATCCACGTTTCGCCAGAAGTGAAAAAAGTCGTTCGATTTACATTTTTGTAGCAAAATTGAGGCGACATTGACACGGGCCATTTTGTTGCTTTGGGTCAATTCGTGAGGAACCCATTTTCCAACACGATTCTTTTTCCCAAGTGTAAATAGTTTTCGATTGTCGTATGGGATACTTAAAATATTTCTGCCAACTCACGAACGGTGAGTGTTGGGCAATCTTCAATTAAGGCGAGCAAGTCATCGTCGACCACTTCTGGAGGATGTCCTTGGTGTGGCTCATCTACGAGGCTTCCATCGCCGCCTTGAAATCTTTGAAACCATCGTTGACATTGCCGAATGTGTATACTTTCCTCTCCAAAACAGTGATGATCGTGCGATAAGATTCAGCTGGAGATTTTCCTTGTTTAAAATCGTAGAACAATACAGCTCGAATACGGAATTTTTTGTCCTCCATTTTTTGCCAAAACGCGAATGGTGAAATTTGTAGCACTAAATGCTATTTATGCAGACATCTTTTACTTTGTATATATGCAAAAAGAGGGAAGAAACGGTGCTTGAAATTACAAAAAACATGTTAAGTAGTGACGCGTCATTATTAAGTTGCCAACCTAATAGTTAGAATGAATAGAAGGTAATTAGGGGTAACTAAGGCTAAAAAAAATAAATTTCCTCCGTTTGTTTTGTAATTCGTTATTCGTGTCGAAGAAATATCCTTTTAAAGTGAGACTATCCTTTTAAATATCCTTTTAAAGTGAGACTATTGCAGGTATTCCCGAACCATCACCGATTCTCCCGCCCGTCATCGCTTTCATTTCAAATAAATATCTCGAATTTCAGCGAAAATCCCCATCTTTAGCTGATCGTTTCGAAAATGAGCTTTTAAATGTTGTAATCTCTTTTAACTCTAAAACATAAACCAATTTGAAATCAGAAAATATAACTTTTTTTAAGGCTCAACTTTACACAATACTAGTTGTGATATCAAGCATTTGTTATTGAATTGTGTAGATAAAAATTTGAATAAATAAAAACGCTGTAAGTAAAAAGTTGAAACAGGAACTTCTTTCGGTCAATGATTCAGTTTTTTTTCAGCTTTCAATAAAAAGTTTCCTTTTTGATAAGGGAATTAGCGATTCAGTTCTTCTTTCTTTCGAAAAATCTTTGAAATTCAATATTGATATGTATTTTTTCACATATTTTTCACACATTTTCTCGATATTTCTATTGGTGATTGTTTCTGGGAAACGTTTTGAATTGGGTGGTCCGTCAAGAGCTGAAAGAAAATGCTACTTTCTATCGAAGCTCGAGGAAAAAGATGCGCCAGCTGTGGGACCGTTTGTGCGCGGACTTTCGATGGGAACTCGTAAGGGAAATTTTACACATTTGGAAGTAGATTAAACTTCTGAATTGTTTCTGAATTGTTTATTAAACTAATTGCAAGTTATTTGGAAAATAAGTAGACACAAAATAGAAAAATTTGCTTAGAAACAAAACGCAATGTGCTCCTGGTTTTGTAGAGAAATACAGGGAAATTTGAGGCAAAAATTGCTGCGAAAAATTCGGGCATTCGGGCATTTGGGCATTCGGGTATTTGGGCATTTGGGCATTTGGGTATTTGGGCATTTGACATTTGGCATTTGGACACTTGGGCACTTGGGCATTCGGGCATTTGGCAAAAAACCGCTCAGTCGCTAAGCGCTCCTTCTCTTTAGCGAGTCCGAAAGGGAACACCTATCTATCGGGGACTTGTGCCAGACGGTGAGCGATTACTTGGCCGCACAAAGAACAACTCGACAGTCATTTACATAGATTCCTCTTTTGCCTTGTAGATGGTATAAAAAGAAGAGATTCAGCTGGAAATTTGTACTCATGGGTTTTCAGGGACGAGGAATCGATTAGAGCTATTCATTTTATTGAGTCTACCAATTGGAACTTGAATTTAATTGATCTAAACTCTTTCTCAAGTATGAAATTCCTTCCAAAAGACAAAAGCAGCTTATTAGTTACAGAAAAGGCTCGTTACCCATGTCTACATCACTTTTCAAACAAAACATTTCAAACAATTCTTGAATTACTTTTGAATTCAGCATATCAACAACTCGAAAAGATCACAATCACGACAACGAGCGCCGATTTGCTGATTTTCAGTAGCAATTTCACGAAACCGAGTTGGACTTTTGATGAGAAGTGACTAGAAAACAAGCTTATTATATCAAAAATTCATTTCCAGAGCTTCAGACACTTTTCAATTCATGAATGCCACCTATTCGAATAGTACAGACACGATAAACGGCCAGAGTCAGCGATTGAATGGCCGTGTTTGCATGGAGTCTTTTCAATTCTCACACGAAATTTCTTTACTTGGTAAATGTTGTAAATCCTTTGAAATCCTCATTTTTTTTAGAGGATTATATTGTATACTTTGCTTTGATCGACTCAGCTGAGAATGAAACGAGTGAATACCCGGGACAAGGCATCTCCGGCATTATGGGGCTAGGTTTCGCGACACAAGTGTGCTTGCTTAATCTTTCACTGGCATTTTTCGAGAGAACATTTTGGGGTCGCGCACTAAAATGCACTAAATACCGTAACCCGTTTTTTTCGTGCAAAATCGGGGGTGGGACAAATGCGACCTTTTTTTGCGCACCTGGACATTTGCGCACCTTTTTTTTGCTAGAAAAGGCCTTAGGCAAGGCCGTAGAGCTTCTAAAATATTTCCACGTAAGGGAATCGTATGCGTAGATTCCGAATTTCGACAAATCAGACCTCGCTGACACGTCAGATTTGGGCTAAAAGGCAAAAACTGCGGAAAAGCGTTAAGTTGCGTAGTTTTTGCCTTTTAGCCCAAATTTGACGTGTCAGCGAGGTCTGATTTGTCGAAATTCGGAATCTACGCATACGATTCCCCAGTATGGAAACATTTTCGAAGCTCTACGACCTTTCCTAAGGTCTTTTCCAGCAAAAAAAGGCGCGCAAATGTCCGGGTGCGCAAAAAAAAGGTCGCATTTGTCCCACTCCCCGTAGAATCATTTTTTTTTGTTGCAACTTTAGCTATTTTTATTCTATTTTTTTTTCTATTGATTCTATTGATAAATAAAGTTGAGCTTTATAGTTGAACTCTATAGTTGAAACACTAATTGCTTTAAAAACAATGTAGAAAGCAAAACTACGAGTAGAAATTGCGTAAAAGTAAGAAAAAAATACCGTATTTTCTGTAATAGTAGTGTAGGCAGGAGTAGAGTGTGTTCCTTGCAGACAACGCGTTTTCTAAAAAGCGCGCGCCAAAGATAAGCTACCGTAACCCTATGCTTTGCGTCAGCAAATTTTTCAAACGCAATGTACATTAAAATCTTGCGCATTTTTTTCTATTATTCTTTCCATAACTTTTTGTTTTTTTTTTCTCTTTTTCAAACAGGTTAAATTGATAATTCCTACTATTTAGAGTACTGCGTTTAGTGCCGCAGGAGGGGGGTTGAAAAAATAGTAGTGCGCACTACTATTAGGTTGATGCATAAGTCTTTTCGTTTTTTTCGTACTTCTGTTAAAAAGTAACAAATTCACCAATTAATCTATAGTTTGCTCTATAAAAAAAGTGTTTTTTTTTGTTCAATTTGCATCTTTTTAAATGAATTTCGGTTCACTTTCAAGCAAATTCGAGAGTGAAAAACGCCTTTTTCGTAAAAATCTATAAAAAACTCTACGGAAAAATTGGCTGAATGAATTTCTCTGAAATTTTGGCGAAATATCAAACGTTTTTTTCTCTATCTTTTATCTATTGACACGAAGATAGGTTTTCTTTAGCTAAGGTGTCTAAACCGCATCATCGAGTTAGCCCTTTTTGACTACCCGACTTCATACTCTCAAGAAAATCCAGGCATTAAATTTTTTTAAACCCGTTTTAATGTTATTTTGCAGAAAAATAATTGGTTTTTCTAATGAAATCAACCGTAGTTTAATTGGTGCATTTGTTGGCTTGAAACGGCAGACGAAAAGGAACAAAAACACTTATGCATCAACCTATTAGGTTGTCCAATAAGTAATGCGTGTTTTGACACGATTTTCAAAATATCACAAAATTAACAAAAGAGAACTTTATTAATCGATATATTCTCCACAACAATCAACAACATTTCTCCATCGTCCGAGCAAAGAGTGAAGTCCGTCATAATAGAATGAAGCTGGTTTCGATGAGAAGAAATCGTCGAGCCATTTTTGCACCTCGTCAACACTTTTGACTCGTTTCCGTCCGCAAATCGTTTAACCCAGCGCTGATTGAAATTGAATCCTCTCCAAATGCGGCACAGATAGTTCGATGGCAATCCGCTGCAGTTTTACCTCGTTTGAAATCATACAGCATTGATGCGCGGACAACAAACTTTTTGTCTTTCATCTGCAAAACAACATATCTATTATAAAACAAAGGCAAATGAATAAAATGATATATAAAAATAAACACAAGATGCTGATGATTAAAAAGAGCATATATTTGCTCGAAGCGATTTCGTAATAGTTTCGAAATAAGTAACACGCATTACTTATTGGACAACCTAATATTATTACAGAAAATACGGTAGCTAAAGTTGCAAAAAGGCGGATTACGGTATTTAGTGCACTACTATTTTTTTCAACCCCCCTCCAGCCTGCACTACTATTAGATTTTTTTCACTAGATCCATACCTTTACCAGGCAATAATAATAGGTATCATGTGCGTGATCCCAAAAATTTTTCTCGAAAAATGCTTGCTAGTAATCTTTCTCTTTATGATCTGATAACTTTGATGCTTTAAAATTTAATCCATTCTCTCAGTAAAGTATTTTAAAATAGAAAGCTATCAAAATTAGCTCTATGCTCTATGCTCTAGCTAAATTAGTCTTTAAAGCATCGTAATACCTAGGTTTCCCCAAATCTGGATGTGGCAGCAGCAGCTTTCCTTAATGATCAAGATTTCTCGAAAGGAGTCACATTGAATTTTTACAGTTGTGATCAACAAGAGTGAGTTTTCTTTGATGTCGTGAGAGTGTTTATTTCTAAAATGTTTCATTGTTGAATACGGAATCAATTCGATTAAAAGTTTTCTAATTGAAATTCCAATTTTCTAATTGAAACAACAAAATCTCAGTGTCCAACAAACGGTCGGCCTCTTCAGCGTCGGCGCCACTCTTGACAATCAGCATTGTCAACAAAATTCGTATATCGAGACAGAGATTTTCTATCCAAATCAATGGAGTGTCATGATTCAAAGGCACTGATTTTTCTGAGCTTAAAAATGTCAAATTTTAGTGTCACTTTCGGATCTTATCATTCTACAAAAGTCACGGTTGCTAAAGTTAACATTGCTGAGGTTTAAACTGAAGAATTAAAAATATTTGAGATTTGTAGTTAACACTCGGCGTTCCTGAGGATTTGTATAATGAATTTGTCACTCAATTCAACGTTGACCCAAAAGAAAAATTTGTGAGTAAAGTGTTAAGAAAGCTTTCAAGTGATTTGAATAATATTATGGCCACTTTTTGGGCCCAATTTTTCAACATAAATACCGTAAATATTGTAATAGGTTTAACAGGTCTCTTTACTCTAACTCTTTACACTTTACACTAACTCTAACTCTAACTTTACTCTAACTCTTTACACTTTACACTAACTCTAACTCTAACTTTACTCTAACTCTTTACAATCTTTACAGATCTAACTTTTAGCTCTATACTATAAAGCAATAGTCTTTAAAACATCGTAATACCTAGGTTTCCCCAAATCTTGATGTCCACCCCCTCGTACAGTCGCGTAGCCGCAAAAGTTTTTTAGTATTTCATTTTTTTTCAAAGGGCCCGTACTTTCAAAAAATGCGTCTTTGGTATCAAAAAATAGCTGAAATTCAGGGCTATTTTTTGATACCAAAGATAATACGGAGCGTTGCGTAGTCTAGCTTTGGACGCGTTTTTCTCGACACTGGTTTATGCTACAATGCGCGCTTAGGTATCAAAAAATAGCTGAAATTCAGGGCTGAAATTCATAGCTGAAATTCAGGGCTATTTTTTGATACCTAATCGCGCATTGTAGCATAAACCAGTGTCGAGAAAAACGCGCCCAAAGCTAGACTACGCAACGCTCCGCACCGTCATTATGGGGATGGGGTACTATTACAGTATTTACGGTAATTACTATTCAAAAAAAATGTAAACAGCTTAAATTGTGTGGTATTAGATTGGTAACTTGAAAGTTGATACAATTTTTCGCATTTCCCCAGAAAACATATGGAATACGCCAATTGAATTAGACTTCTCGAAATGAAATTTATCTTTATTTATTTTCTTTAATTTAAGAAATTCTTAAGCAAATTTGAGCAGAAATTTGCTGAATTTGAGCAAGTTTCTGAAAATTCTTTCAAACAGACATATAACTAAAGCAATTAGACAAATCGAGCTGAGAATTCGGCCTAACTTTTCATGCTCTATCTTTTTTCCATTAACATCAAAATAGGTTTATGCTGAAGAAAGTGCTCAAATCGCACTTCATCGAGTGTTCATCATTTTTTGGTTCCTCAACTTTTTGCCCCATAGAAATCTAAAAAAAAATCGAAGGTTTTCTAAATTTATGAAAAGCCTTTTTTAGAGGATAAATATTGGGTTGGGGAGAATGAGTCGGCGCCAAACTTTAAAGGGACTTTTTGCACACATAAAGCCTTCTTTAAACATACGTTTGGTTTCATCAAAAGGATCCACTATTTCTCTACAAAATCACTTTTGAGAGATTCCACAAAGCTTTTCTTTCGTGGAGTTTATGAACTTCCAAACGCAGCTGGTTAAAATGGCAAAGAGCCCGACTCATCATTTGAACAGTTTCTTTCCCATAAACCTTCTTTGGTGTTTATATAAAAAAGATAGAGCACATTGAATTACTTAAGTTGCCAAATTTGCAGGAAGATCCCACCAATGGTTTTTTCTAGATCACAGTTTGTAGTTTTTGTGAAAAAATGGCTTTTTCTTGAGCGGAGGCGCTGTTTGAATTTTCTTTTAAATGTCATTTTGCAGAGAATTAGTTAACCATTCTACTGATATCAAACGCATATTATTTGACAAAGTCGAATAGAAGTTTTAGACATTTTTTTGATTTTCGGCGCCGACTCATTCTCCCCAACCCAATAGATGATTTTATTGGTGAAAACTGTAGATTAACAAAGTGTAGATTAACAAAGTGTAGATTAACAAAACTGTAGATTCTCCCCTCCTTTTCCCTCTTCTTGTCCTCTTCCTCTCCATCCCATCTCCATCTCCAATAGACTCCCCAATGGGGTTACCCTTTGCCTTCTTTTCCCAAAATCGGTCCCATTTATTATTAATTTCCGGAGAGAAGGGACGTTCGATTAATTGATGCATTAGTTATTTCAATAAGTGTATCAACTTTGAAGTTGTCAATCTAATATTTACAAGTCAATGATCGTAGTACAGCCTTTTTTAGTCAGTCATCAATGATCGTAGTCATTATAAAAGTAATTAAAGTCATTCTTTAAGTTCAAAATTTGGTTACAAAGAGGCTCTCGAGTTTTAAAGTTCTATAGAAAAGTTAATTTGCCTCATAGACTAGCCTCATAAACTAGCAATCGTCGCCTGCCGTCCTTGTGGTTTCTTTCTTCGCCTGGTGGTTTCTTGACAAGTTCAGCCGCTCCGCATCTCATTCTTTCAGTCATTTGTGCTCTTTTGGCAATTTGCCTCATATGACTAGCAATCGTCGCCTGCCGTCCTTATGCAATCTATTGGCTCAACCACTAAGACAACAGAACAAGTGGGGGTATAGCTCAGTGGTAGAGCGCTCGCTTAGCATGCGAGAGGTCTGGGGTTCAATTCCCCATACCTCCATAAAATTTTTGATCTTCAATGTAATCTTTCGTCTTCATGTAACCTTCATGTAACCTTTCTTTCCTGTTGTTTTAAGTTTTAAGTTTCTGAGTAAAGTATTGAAGTAAAGTGTTGAAAATAAGGAGTAAATTTCAACAAATTTGTATGGGGAATGGTTAACGCTAGGTACAGGCTAAAGAAAAAAATGTCCATAATTCTTGAACACTCTGTACAATGTTACTAAAAAGAAAACCCCTTTCTCTACGGTAGTTTATGAGAATTAGGAAATAATTTTTACAAGAGAATTGATCAATTTCAATCTACAGTAATCATTTCAGCCACTTGTCAACTGTAATCTCGACTTTGGCCAATTGCAAATGGGCATTGGAAATGCGACGATGAAATTCTCAGCCTCAAGTTTGTTTTTTGAGAACTTTTCTTTAGAATAAACTTCTGAATCTTCTTCTGATACAGATTTACGAATGCTGAATCGATCATTTACATGTTTAATTTTTGTATTGTTAAATTTTGTAGTGCTAGAGACATTTCCCATACAAATTTGTATTGGAAATGGTTAGCGCTAGGCGGAGGTAGTGTTAGAGACATTTACATGTCTCTAACACTACAAAATTCGGGTTATTGACATGCCACAATATTCTCATTAATCATGATTGCATTTAGAAGTTGAATTCTTTTGAATCCAAATTTCTAAGTTTTCAAATAAAGCTATTCAGTCTACATCGATCGGATCTCAATCTCTCCGCCAACTTGTCGCCTCATCGCTTATCCGATAAAAGCAAGCGGATTTCAAAATTCTTGGGTGTAAGTGAATCAAAGTTTTCAATTCGATAGCTGAAATTTGATCACTTTTTATTATATAAGATTTTACATTGAAAACCAAAAGGTTTGTGGAGGTATGGGGAATTGAACCCCAGACCTCTCGCATGCTAAGCGAGCGCTCTACCACTGAGCTATACCCCCACTTGTTCTTTCGGCAATAAATTGCCCATAGATTCCCAGTAGATTGCAAAGTATTCCCTTCTTTCTAAAAGTTACATGAACAGCCAAGCCAACGAGAACGACATGAAGTTCCATGAAGAACAAAGATTACATTGAAAACCAAAACCTTATGGAGGTATGGGGAATTGAACCCCAGACCTCTCGCATGCTAAGCGAGCGCTCTACCACTGAGCTATACCCCCCACTCGTTCTCTTGGCAATAAATTGCCCATAGATTCCCAGTAGATTGCAAAGTCTCCCCCTAATCTCTGCTTTTTTAGCTTTGGTTACTCGCTGATCGTGGATAAATGTTTATTCCTCGGTTGGGATCGACAAGTGATCGGATTTGCGGATGCGAAAACGAGCAATTGCTGAGTGAAAGGGTGCAAAAAGAAACTTTAGACAAAATACCCGAATAAAAAGTGAAATTCAAAGGATTGAAGATAAAAAACATTGCATAATATAGATGAAAAAGGATCATCAAAGTATTTCGTCACCGCCATCAAATTTTTAAAAGTTACATGAACAACCAAGCCAACGAGAACAACACGAAGCTACATGAAGAACAAAGATTACATTGAAGATCAAAAACTTTATGGAGGTATGGGGAATTGAACCCCAGACCTCTCGCATGCTAAGCGAGCGCTCTACCACTGAGCTATACCCCCACTTGTTCTGTTGTCTTAGTGGTTGAGCCAATAGATTGCATAAGGACGACAGGCGACGATTGCTAGTCATATGAGGCAAATTGCCAAAAGAGCACAAATGACTGAAAGAATGAGATGCGGAGCGGCTGAACTTGTCAAGAAACCACCAACACCAAGATCCTGAAAATTGCATTTAAATAACTAAACTAAAGTGGCTACAGTATTTCTTTTAAACCTCTTACTTCTTTCCTTATTTCCTTACCAGAAATTCTGAGGAATTCCGGTTTGAAAACGATTTTTTATATATCAGATGGCGCAGTGCGATCGCACTTCTCTCTAGGCCACACGGCCCGGGTTCGACTCTCGCCCGCGTCTCCACTTTGTTGTTTTTAAATTTAGAAACATGTTGCAAAACTACAGGAAATTCTAAGCCAAACTATCTATAAATCATTTGAAAAGGCTGGGGGCGGAGAAGTAGTGCACAAAACAGACAGACGTCTTAGTTCCTTTATATGATATATGATAGTTTTCTTATTTCTTTCCTTATTGCTTACTTCTTTCCTCACTTCTTTCCTTATTTCTTTCTTTCTTTCCTTCTTTCCTTCTTTCCTTCTTTCCTTCTTTCCTTCTTTCCTTCTTTCCTTCTTTCCTTCTTTCCTTCTTCCTTACTTCCAATGGAGTAATCTCTGTCGTGGGCTCAGCTAGTGGATTCGGCTCCTCGGTTGGCGGGGTGAATTGTGGAGTGAGTGGACCCATGAAGCCAGGATTTACATTTTCTGTGTATATTGGAATCTAAACAAAAAAAAAACATTACGAAAAAACAAGCAACTTTAAAACCCCGGCAGCTAAATTCGGATGAAAATCGATGTGAGCTGGGCTCGTCTTCGACATCGGTCTCCTTGAAGGATCACCGTGAGCTGGTTGTCGTGGAATCGATCCTGGTTTCACAGTGCAGTTAGCTGAAAAAGATCGATGTATTGTAGAAACAAATCCTGCAATTAGCTTAGGTATATGGAATTTTGTGCAGATTTTGTGCAATAGTTTGATTGCAATTGATACTGAAATCCATACTTTCTTGTTGCAAGATGAGAGTCGTGTTGACGTTTGTTTCAAAGGTGAAATCTCTGGAGCAATGAGCTCCAGAGGAGGCGATGAAGAGCCGACCGGAGTGCTTTTGCGCCACCTAATAATTTACAATATACGATAGTTTATTAGCTTGATGGTTAAAATTTAAATGCACAGCTGATCTCACTGTATCTGTGAGATTCTTAATACTTATCATTCTAATAAGTGAGACTTTAGAAGAATCAAGTATGATTAAGTTGATTAAGATTTGTTTTATGTTTATTAGTATCAATAAATGTCAAAATTGGATCAAGATACTATTGGGTTGGTGAATTGAAAACTGCGGGAGTTTGAGCTAAAATTTATTCAACATAAAACCATCAATTCCGTCCAAATAATTTCTATTATTATTGACGACTTCTGCCCATTTTACAGGCAATTTGCGGATTCCTCTTTCGTAGGATTTTGGTTTGTGTGTGAGACTCAAAAATGGAGGACTGGGGATATCCCAGTTTTGAGCACTTTCTTCAAAAGAAACCCATTTTGGTGTCAATGGAAAAGTTGTAGAGAATCAAAAATGAGGCTTATATCCAAATTTCCAAAAAGATACACTTAGTAGTTTCGCTTAAAATGCAAGTTTTGTGAAAATTCGTAAATTTGGCATTTCTTGAAAAGCAGTTTTTGAATCGTTCTGAAAATTTGGATATAAGCTTCATTTTTGATTCTCTACAACATTTCTATTGACGCCAAAATGGGTTTCTTTTGAAGAGAGTGCTCAAACTGTGAGATATGACAATAGCCCGCAGTTTTCAATTCACCAACCCAATATCTTTTTTTTAAATAAACCCCCACAAAGCATGCGTGAATCTCTTCACCGATCCTCTTCGCATACAAATACATAAACGGCCCATCGTGCCAACTAGCCAAACAAGCATATAAACGAGCTAAAAGAATATTTTTTCAACTAAATATCTCTTTCTTACTGTCAAAAACGATTCCACTTGCACAATGGTAGGCTTTGAGTTGAAGTGATTCTCGCTTGTTACAATCAACTTCTAACGAGTAACAATCGTCGTTTGCCATATCAGCAGGAGTACGGTAAACACCCTAAATTCAAATGTTTATCTGAAATATAACTATTAATACAATTTCAGAACATTTAATTCAGAAATTTAAATAACCTCAAGACCGCAGGATACAGTCGTTGGCCGTTTCACAGAGACCGAAGTCCATGGTGTTCTCTCAAACAATTTCTCGTTTCTAAACATTCACAATAGAAAATAGAAAAGAAAATAGAACAGAAAATGGACAAGGAAATAGAATAGAAAATAGAATAGAAAATAGAACAGAAAATAGAACAGAAAATAGAACAGAAAATAGAACAGAGAAATTCAGAAACTAGATACCGTATTCTCTCTAATAGAGGTGCACTCTCTAATAGTAGTGCACCCCCGAAAATTTGAATTTCTGTTTGCTTCTTTTTCATCTAAACCTTTTTGACTTTATGTTTATGTGACATTCTAAAGCTATTCAAGCCAGCAAAAGTGAGGCTTTTTTTATTCATTTATTAACTATTCTTCACATGAAAAAGTTAGCAAAAAATCTAAAATTGTTGTGCAAAGGGCAAAAACATCTTTTTGTTGTTTGTCAAGACACAAATTGTCAACTGTATATCAAAAGGAGCCAAAGGAGTACGTGAAAGAATTGCAAGAATTTTTGGAACAAATCTTATATCTGTCTTACATTGGTAAATGATAAAACTCTTTAATAGTACTGCACTCTCTAATATGCAGTCCAGTATTGCAGTCCAGCAGGGGGTTCAAAAAATAGTAGTGCGCACTAGAGTTCGGCAAACAAAACCAAAGCCAAAACAGACCAAAACCAAAACCAAAACTCAATTTGCATATAAATTAACATGTAAATTTAAAATTGTAAAATGTAAATTTTAATGTAAAATGCAAATTTGCCTTTCACTTTTTCTCACTCCACAAAATCTCGCGGCCGAAAAAAGGACCAAAACACGACCTCGAAATTTCGAAACAAAAAATAGCCTATGGGATAGATTTTTGGACGCTGATTTCAAATCTGCAAACAGATTTTCGCTAGCTCCTCCCAGTCGCGGGATATTGGCGAGTTTTGGTTAGTTTTGGTTTTGGTTTTGGTTTTGGTTTTGTTATGGTTTTGGTTTTGTTATGGTTTTGGTTTTGGTGGTTTTGGTTTTGGTTAAGTTTTGTTTTCCGAAGTCTAGTGCGCACTACTATTAGAGAGAATACGGTATTTAAAAATATAAAATAAAAAATTAGAACAAATCTATTTGAAAATCCTACTGGCAAAGCGTTGAGTTAAGTGTCTCTTGTGGGTTTGTCGTCCGAAACTCGAGCACCGAATCGCTGCGCATTCGAAACCACAAGCAATGATAGCCCAACGCATCACCACTGCAATACTATTTGCTTAAATTTGGTAAGCTTATGTGCTAATTTTGTCTATTTTCTCTATTTTGACGATCATTCGATGCAGAATAAAATTGTGCGTCAAATGATACAAAAATCAACTCAAAATATAAAAGCTATTCAAAGTTATGAGGCAAAGGGATAAGTCCCGCCCATAATAGGCGGAGTTTCGGTTTTTAGCCAACCACTTTGCATCGATATTACATTTTGAGTTAATTTTGGTATCATTCGATGCGCAATTTTATTCTACGTCGAATGATAGTCAAAATAGTCAAAATTGAAGGGTTCGTCCTGAAGAAAAACACGAAAAACCTTAAATTGCCAACGGCAAAAAAAAACGACCGATAGATGTTTTCGTTACAAGTCTAGAAACGACTAATTTACGGAAAAGTACAAATTTTGCTCAATTCTTTTCTTGCCTCAAATACCTTTTTCTCTCCTGTCATCTATTGTTTAAATTTGTTCATTTTCTCACTGTTAATTCGGTGTTAAATACAAGTTAAATGAGTTAAATTGTTGCTTCCATCCTGTTTGGTCGATTTTTTTCCGATAAATCTTAGTCCATTTCGCTTAAATCCTTTCGCATTTTAGCCCCCGTTATTGATCTTAGTCTTAGACAAATCTTAGTCCATTTTGCTTAAATCCTTTCGCATTTTAGCCCACGTTATTGAATTCGTGCAAGTAACTCGTTTCGTTCAAGTAAAAAGTACAAATAACGTAAATTGTTGTTGGCTAATAAAAGGATTTTAATTATGAGTAAGACTTTCAGTCACCAATCGTACAAACTAGTGCTAAGCCAAGAACTTTTTGGTACAGTCTAACAAAAGTTTTCTGAGTTTTTTTGAAAACAATACCATTTCGATTCCGAGTAGACCAAAATGCGCTCTCCATGAGTGGCAACACAATAAGAAACAATCGGAATTGAATCTGATGTTCCCTAAATAAAATTATATTGATTAATAACTTTGATTGTACTTGATTACCTTATTGTACTTGATTAATTTATTGTACTTGATTACTTTATTGTACTTGATTACCTTATTGTACTTGATTACTTTATTGTACTTGATTGCTTTATTGTACTTGATTACTTGATTGTACTGCAGTTGCTCGGCGGACACATCCAAATGCGTGTACTGTCCATGGAGCCACGCCGGGAACTCGCAAGGGGAAAGCGGCTTGGACAAAGAGGCTAAATTTAAGAAAAATTTCGTTATCTTGTACAGTTTTGGGTTCTCAAAATTTAGCTAAGCATTTTGTTTTGAAACTTTAGGCCAGTGTCACCGATACTTGGTTTGAATCGATAAGTCTCAAAGGCATTGTGTCGATTCAAGTGCTCGCACGAACTGTCATTGCTGAAGTGGACGGTGATGTGGTCAGCGGACGGATGAACTAGCTGGAAAAAAAGGAGTCTGGAAGTCAGATGTCAAATGTTAAATGTCAGCTCTACTGTAGTACTGTATTACTGGTTAAAGTATGGCGGATAGCTTTTTAGAAAGCCACAGCACACTGTGGACTTTTCTACAGTACTGTAGAGATTGAAAGAGACGGAGTAGGCCAATGGCTTTAAGTTCTACAGTACTACAGACTTATCAATCACTCCAGCAATTCTACTTTTCAATAAACTCACTCCACATCGATACTCCTCATTATCGGCGTTCTCAATGATCAGAAATCTCTCTCCACTTTGTCCCTTCCACGAGCCCAAGCACCGAAGCGACATATCTATTGGGTTGGTGAATTGAAAACTGCGGGCTATTGTCATATCTCACAGTTTGAGCACTTTCTTCAAAAGAAACCCATTTTGGTGTCAATGGAAAAGTTGTAGAGAATCAAAAATGAAGCTTATATCCAAATTTTCAGAACGATTCAAAAACTGCTTTTCAAGAAATGCCAAATTTACGAATTTCCACAAAACTTGCATTTTAAGCGAAACTACTAAGTGTATCTTTTTGGAAATTTGGATATAAGCTTAATTTTTGATTCTCTACAACTTTTCTATTGACACCAAAATGGGTTTCTTTTGAAGAAAGTGCTCAAATGCTCAAACTGGGACATCTCCAGTCCTCCATTTTTGAGTCTCACACTTGTCTCACACACAAACCAAAACCTTACTACGAAAGAGGAATCCGCAAATTGCCTGTAAAATGGGCACAAGTCGTCGATAATAATGAAAGTTATTATAAATAGTCTTGCTTGGGAACTTTTGGTGCATTCCCCATACAGTCCGGACCTCGCCCCTTCTGATTACTATTATTCCGGATCATGAGTTATGAGCTTTCGGGAGAACACTTCGATCCGGAAAAAAGAGTCAAAAATTGGCTTTGCAAGTTTTTCGATTCAAAACCAAAATCCTACCACGAAAGAGGAATCCGCAAATTGCCTGTAAAATGGGCAGAAGTCGTCAATAATAATGGAAATTATTTGGAATGAATTGATGGTTTTATGTTGAATAAATTTTAGCTCAAAGTCCCGCAGTTTTCAATTCACCAACCTAATACGTATTTTTGAATCTAAACATCTAGAAAAATCACCAAAATCAGGAAACGAGCATCCCTTGAACTTGATATCCAATCGAGAGGCCACTTCACAGTTTTCAGCCTGTAAGCTTTTAATGAAAGAAATCTTGTTATTTTACCTTGCTCTCATTCTCTCCCTCACATGTGAGATTTGTGTTTCGTAGATGATAGATGACCGAGAATCGACCATCCAAATCACAGCTTGAGTAGTCGAGGTTTGTGCTTCCTAGGTTGGGCTTTGAGAACCAAAAATTTCAATAGCATGTTAAAATCCTGTGCATTTGCATGATTCTATAGGTTTTCTACAGGTTTTCTATAGGTTTTTTATAGATTTTCTACAGGTTTTCTATAGGTTTTCTATAGGTTTTCTATAGGTTTTCACTTACTGAACAAGAGAGTTCCCTCAACGGGTCGAACAGCCGACTGCTCAAAGCAAGTCTTTCGAGCGCTCACCATTGAATCGTGACAGTATTCGCCTGAAGGAATTTTATATTTTACAGAGATTTGTAGGTTACGGTAGAATTCAAAGTGCAATTACTTAGCTTTAGCACTTTAGTGCTTCTAGACTTGCTTATCGATATTATCGATACAAACAGCAAGCACATGCTCATGCGCTCAGATCTCGGTTTCTAGGACAGCTATCAATCTGCAAATTATTTCATTGGAAAGCCAAGAATGTCAGCTTTTGATTGCTATTTTATACATAGTGACTTTTAATGAGTAAGCACCTGATAAACCGATAATCGATAAGCACCTGATAAATCGATAAGTCTTGATAAGCTTTTTAAGGCACTCATCTATGAGAATTTGCTATGTATGAGATAGCAATCAAAAGCTGACATTCTTGGCTTTCTAATGAAACAATTTGCAAATTGATAGCTGTTCTAGAGACCGAGATCTGAACGGTCTATAAGCTTGCCGTTTGTATTGATAATAACGATAAGCAAGTCTACTAGCATCGCATTAATTGATCATAAACAATTTACAAGACGTTAATTTGCGTTTAAGACTCACAAATATCATTTTGTACTATTGTTCTATTAGAAGAAATATTCTTGATCTTGTTTTTATTTATTTTTGCTTTCTAACCTGCTTGATGAGCCAATTGTATAACATTTGGTGTTCGAATGATCGGTGTTACGCAACGATAGCACAATGGACGGCCCATTCTCCTAAATTTCTTCAGTTTTGAACACTTTTTGACCCGAACTTCTCCCCAAATATGTAAGAGTCTCGAATCTTTTCATAGCATTCACCAAAATCGGAAATCGAGGTTTCACCGATTGTCACCTGAAGTTTTAAAGTTTCGAATTGTTACAAGAAAATAACTGTTTCGTAAAGTAATGGTTTTGCGAATTTTGTATTCAAATTTGGAACGATGATCGGCCGGGTTTGTTTCTTGAAAGTGCCAACTAGAGAACTTTCAAGTCGACAATTTTGCGAATAGACTGAAATTTGCTTGATAACAAAGCCTCAGAATCTTAACTTACCATAATCTATCAGTAGGACAATGAAAAGTGTGATCATGATTGGGAAAGTTTATGAGCTGTTTTACAAAAGCGAGCAACAAGGGAGTGACCAATGCGGGTATGTTTGTCAAGAGATGAATATGGTCAAAACGGGTGGAGAGGAGAACCTTTCTCTCAAGGGTCTCTTGTATCACGCCTCTCTTTCAACATTCAACAATTTTACATTTGTGAACAATAAACTAAACTTTAAATTCCCAGCAAATAAATCTTTATTACCCCCAAATGCAATTCTTTGCTTACAAAGTGATCGTTTTAATTGATGGATGGAAAAGTGAGTAGGCAAACAGAACACATCGAACAGCCGTCCAGTTTATGGATCGAAAACTACCTAAACAAAAATATAATAAAAGAGTTGATATAACAGATGTACCTTTACCCTGAGTTCCCCTTGTGGTGGCCCATAATGTTCCTGCCAAGCTCCTTCACATGTACAACCTAAACAAAACGATAGAAGGTTGCTCGCAGCCAAGAAATAGTCAGCATATAGTCAAATAATAACCAGCAACTAATAACTAGCTAAACCAAACCTTCTGGTGCTGGGATATGATAAATGCCAAAGTGATGCCTATCGGGTTCCATTTCCTCACCGTCTTTCAATCTAAAAGCAAGATTGGAACGGGGTTTCAACATTACACGAACAAGCAAACAATTTCGATGATAGCATTCTGTTTATAGTCGAGAAGCCCAACAGATGGTCGAATCTTGAATAAGTCGTTACGCGTGCATTTGACCTAGAAATAGAAAATGAACCGGAGAAATAGAAAAGTTCTAGGTTGATTGGTTTAAAATTGATAGCCACTTTCAACAGCCACTTTCAACTACTTCAAACTTTCATAATCAAAAATAATCAGCAATTTTAGTATGCCTAGCTGTTCTAATAGGCGTAATTTTTAAAAAATCAAAAACAAAAAACAAAAAACTAACCTTACCTTATACGCCTGTCGAGTGTCGCTCTTGTTCATTATTGTAAGTGTGGCTTTGATTTGGCCACTTTCAGGTTCTTTTGTAAAGTGGATCTAAAAAAGATTATAAATTTGTCAATAACAATATCAAAATCTAAAAACCAGCCTTATCCGACGGCTCGACTTGTAAATAAAATTTCTTCTTTTCAGTATCCATAAAGAAACGGGTGACGGTGAAAGGAGAATAGAGAAATGAAAAAGTTGGCATCTTTGCGCAATTTTATAGCCGAAAATGAGCCTTTTAAATGTAAAATTTGCCAATAACAATATCGAATATCTAAAAATCTAAAATCTATATCTAAAAATATCTAAAATATCGGGAGTGGGACAAATGCGACCTTTTTTTTGCGCATCCGGACATTTGCGCACCTTTTTTTTCCGCACCTTGCCCATTAGCGCACCTTTTTTCGCGTTTTAAAAAAGCTCTAAAAAGCTAATATTAACCAATTTCTATTCCAAATGTTGTTTTTCTAGGTAATTTGAGGGTGTCGAATTCAAATTTTGACATAACAGAGCGTGTGGAACGGCTAGATCAAAAGACAAAACGGCTAGGTCAAATTACAGAAAATTGTTGATTTTTCTCTTTGTATAACTCCGTCCGTTCGCTTCCACAAGCTCTGATATGCCAAAATTTCGATTCTACGCCCTAAAATTACCTAGAAAAACAACTTTTGGAATAGAAATTGGTTAATATTAGCTTTTAGAGCTTTTTTAAAACGCGAAAAAAGGTGCGCTAATGGGCTAAGTGCGCAAAAAAAGGTGCGCAAAAAAAAAGGTCGCATTTGTCCCACTCCCAAAATATCATATCTAAAAAACTCTTGAAATACTCGTAGAGTTACTAAAATGAGATTAACTTTTATAAATTTGCCAATGTTTCAGCTAAATTTCAAGCTTTAAGGTTATTGAGCTAGATTAAGTTTGATAAATTTGCCACCTTCAAGTTTTTTACTTCAAGTGTATCACTTTAAATTCGCACTTTTTTTTATTTTTTTTATTCTCCTTTGTAAATTCATTTGGCTTACTGTAATTTGAGGCACTAAGTAATTTTTTTTACCTTTTCGGGTGTACAATCTCTCCCCTACGCACCAATCCTCTCCACCCCCTAATCCAGTGCACTAAAATGTTTGCTTTTAACCTCGACTCATTGAAATACTCGCAGAGTTAGTAAAATGAGATTAAACTTTATAAAGTTAGCTTTTTTTTGTTTAGGTAAATCTCAAACTGTAAAATTATTGAGCTTTTGTAGGTTTTTACTTCAAGTGTACTACTTTAAACTCCCACTTTTTTTGTTTTATCATCGTTTTTAAAACGAATCGACTTCAATATTTTATTTAGATGGTTTTATACCATTTCTTGCTGCTCCTCGTCGGAGCACATGCGCTATTCGAGGATCAAGTCGGCAAATTTGATTGGTATGACTTTTTATTAGATTAGATCAGACTTTATTAACTCTATCAGTACTGAATTTTTTCCTGTCCCCTCAAAAATAGCCGTTGATGGTGTTAAGGAACCGTTCGCGCAATATTTAAGCATCAGGCTCATTTGTTATTCAAATCATTGCTTAGTTTTTATTTTAGGCGTAAACAGTTCATCGGATGTCCCACCCAAATCGAGGTCGATCGCCGCGGGAAATTGGATCGGTATCTGATGGCGACAGAGGAAAACGTGGTCGCTGCTCTTTCAATGAACACTGGAGAGATTGGTAGGTTTTGATTTTAAAAATACTATAAATTGTTTATTCTATAAATAACTTACCTCTTTAGTTTGGCGCAAAGTGCAAGAGGATACCGCGAATCAAGGCCACCGACATGCGCCCACGTTTGCTGGAAACAAAAATGGTATGTATATTCAAAAAGATTTTGAAATGTTTTATTCGGCTCGATATTTATTTTTAGCAATCTGCACGGTTTCCGATTCCGGAAGAATGCTTCGGATATGGTCGAAACGAGATGGCGCTTTCTTGGGACAACTTCTTTTGAGCAGTGTCGAGAGCCCACAGTAAGATTTACTCTATTTTTAATATTTATACAATTGGATATTAATATAGAGTCAATTGTGATTACTTTTTAGTCCTCCGGCGGTTGCTATTGAGAACGAAGCCTGCCTTGTCGTTGCACACAATCGAGCCATTGCTGTATCGCTAAAAGATGCCACCAAGTTGTGGGAAATCGAGATCAATAAGAGGTTTTTTGATAAGGTTTTAATTTTGTTTACATCATTTTAGTAATTGGGTAGCCGCTCGTCCACATCGAGATGGTTTCGCAATTGTTGGTGGAATTCAAGAAAATTCAGAGGTTGGTGATTTTATTCACTTGCTGAAACGTGTGTTTTCTAGGTACACGTTAAATGGGTTGATGCACAAGGAAATCAAAATTTGAATCGTATTTTGTCCGTGAATTCTTTCAACCCAAAAAGGTAAGATTGAGGGTGAAATTCAATGCATTTTTTATTTAGAGTAACGCTATCCGGTCGACATCTTCTTGGTCATTGGGATTCAACTTTGTACTCACTCGATATATTGGCCAACGGACCTGAGATGAAAATTGAAGTTGTCGACAAGAAAGAACAAATTTTGGAGGTAAAAAATTTTGTCAAATTTATCATTTTTATACGTCAAATTTATAAGTCAAAAACATATTTAGGTCGTTCAATTTGCGACAGAGGGTTATGCTGCTGTTCGAACCACCGAGCACACAGCTGTCTTAAATTTGGCTAAAAACTTTGCTGAAGTAAAGTTATTTAATTTTAAAATTATTCAAATTTGTTAGGTTTTGTCTACGGGAAAAAGCGACGCTGTTTCGGAGTTCGTGAACAAGGATGGCGTCCAATATGTTGCCCTCGTGCAAAATCATGTGTTGACTGTCTTCGATCTGAACGAGCGGAAGGAAATATTAAAAGTGAGCTCAACGGCGATATTTTTAGTTGACATTCATTTTAGCAAGTCGCGTATGGCGATCCGACTTTATTGGCTCCTGTGAAGAAAGTCGTTGTTGGTGGTGGAGACAAAGAATGGGAATTTTTGGTTATTGGTTTGTTTTGGAAACAAAACTATTCAAAAATCTATGCATGACCCTTTTCAACTGGACAACTTTTAGGAGAAGACTGCCGGATGGATCATCTTGTTGTTGATTTGAACGCAAAGAAGGGCACAACCGAATGGTCGAGGTTTTGATTGCATTTTGATTTTCTGATGTAACTATTTTAGAGAGGAGGGCCTCACCAAAATTGGCAGTGTTGAAATGTTGGACTTGCCTCTCAGTGAGTCTCAAGCGGCGATCGAGACCGAATTCAGTGTTGATGAAAGTATAATCATTTTAAAATTTGCAATCACAAATACCAATTCAGAAAATGTGCTGGCTTCATTCATTCACCGACTAATTTCACAACTCGATCAATTCAAGCGATGGATTGGAAAATCATTCGAGTCAATCTTCAATGTTTGTTTATAAGCCGTTTGACTTTCTAGTGTCTTTTTTAGTTGGCGTTAGTGATGCAAGTTCAATCATCCAGCTTCTCGGATATTCTAAATTCGGTGAGAAACTCTGCAAAATCTTCAAGGTGGGATTTGTAACATGAATGATGCAATTAGCAGTTTTTAGTTCTTTCCGAGGCTACCCACTGGAAAGAGACGTTTTCAATTTGAGAAAATTGATGGTCGTGACTTCCCTTAAAGGATCAATTTTTGCTCTTGACAATTCCGACGGGTCCGTTGTTTGGCGAAAATACTTGGGAGCGAATGTTGATGGTTTGACAACTCTGGATGGGCATCACAAGGTAAATTTTAGCTCACAAGAACTGCAAGATAGTTTAGCTTAGAACAAAGTTTGATTTATGTTTAGATTCCAATCTTCATTCAACGAACAACAGCCTTCTACAATTTCGATGCTCAAGTTGCCGTTGCTTATAAACAAGTATGATGACTCTCTGAAACATTTATATTTGAATTTAGAACGCTGCCACACACATCACTTTTTTGAATCCAATGAACGGAAAAGAAGTTGACCATCAAGTGGTAAGCACAATGTTTATCGAAATTTATAAAGCAAAAGTTAGGTGAATGACGCTCGGAGAATCGATTTGCTGCCATTTGTCGGTGACAATCATCTGCACTCGATTATTGTCGTTGGAGCAAACAAAAAGGTATGATTTTTATGTAATGCAGTTTTTATCGAAAGTTGATTTAGTTTACCGTGTTTCCATCATTACCAGCAAATGTTCTTGAAACTGCGCCACCTGTACATTTGTTCGATGTTGATCAAAAGAATGGCAAAATGACTGGATTTAGGTAGTTTATTGTTTAGAAGTTTTAGTATTTAGTTTGCTTTATTTTAGTTATAATTTTGCAATTTTAGACTTGATCTGAAAACTCATGAGCTCAAAGAAACATGGACCGAATTTCTTCCACAATGGCAAGAATCGACTTTGATCACCATAAGTGGAAAGCCTTCAACACGTATAAAAAGATTTTGCTTGGTTTATGCAATACTATTTTTTTTTAGAACGCACTCATTCACAAGGACGCGTGATGGTTGATCGATCGGTTCTCTACAAGTATGTCAATCCCAACTTAGTGGCGATCGCTTTGCTTGGAAAAGAGTCGTCACAGCTGACAGTGATAATGCTTGGTAAGCTTTTGCTTCATAATTAAAGTTTCTTTAGAATTTCTTTATTAATTTTTTAGATGCTGTTACTGGGCAAACGGTTCACTCTGCTAGACTACCAAAAGTCAAGGAACCAGTTCATTTGGTGCACTGTGAAAATTGGGTTGCGGTTAGTGACTTTATCATTTAAACACAATGCTTTCTATTTTCAGTATTCTTACTGGTCGGAAAAGGGACGGCGTACAGAAATTGCAGTCTTTGAGCTTTTTCAGGGCATCGAACAGCAACATTTGGTAAAATTTTTATGACAAAAATAAAAATTTTTGATTCTTTCAGGAAACCTTCAGCTCGGATGAACCGTTGAAGCAGGCGCTGCACGTTGAACAAGCGTCTTTCATTTTCAGTCAAGGCATTCAATCTATGGCTATTTCGGAAACCGGTATTGATTATGGTCTCTTCGCTTTACACTAAATATTATTTAGAACAAGGCGCTTCAAATCGAGCAATTCTTGTGGCGCTCCCTTTCGGCAATATCTTTGAAGTTAGTTTGCTTGAATTTTAATAGACTAAGGCTAAAACATTCACGTCTTAAATTTTGAGTATCTCTTTGGTTATCATTATTCTTTAAATCTAGTTCTTTATTCGTAACTCTAGGTGAATCGACGGATCCTTGACGCATTGCGACCGATGGAGTTGACTGCAGAAATGAGAGAAGAGGGCGGCTTCATTCCATACATGCCCGAGATCCCGATCGCCACTGAGGAAATGCTCAACTACAATCAGACCGTCCATCACATTCAGGGAATTAAAACAGCGTATGTTTTGTCAAATACCAACTGCTAGAGCGAGGTGTCGCATAAACAACTTACTAAACTAGCAAAATGAGTATTTTCAAATAATTAAACTTTTAGTCCCTCTGGTCTCGAGTCGACTTCTCTTGTTTTGGCTTATGGCCTGGATATGTTCTATACTCGGGTCACGCCATCAGGAACTTTTGATATTCTAAAGGTATGCTCAAATATTTTATTATGATAAATAAAAATGTTTAGGATGATTTTGATCACGTGTTCATTACGATTGTTCTTGCCGCTTTGATACTTGGATCGATTTTTGCCCGAAGGATGGCCCGAAACAAAGCACTCCAACAGCAATGGGCTTAACTAGTTCACCTACTACATAAACAGGCCATATGATAAATTCTGACATTACAAGCTTAAAAGCTATTTAGTATGCGATTTTTGAATTTTTGGTTTTCACTTTTCTCCTCCCTTAGTATTTTATCTGTGATTGTATGATATCATTCGATATCAAGCGGGCCACTTCCTCTTGAATCCATTTTTTGTCAGAAAATTTTTTTGTTGAATCTTTAGAGCTTTATATCTAATTTAGGCTTTTAAAATTAGAATGTCTTTTTTGGGTTTCTCTAGTCCAAAGACATTGTTATTGAAGTTGTTGGATTAGTTCGCTGCTATTAAATCAGTGTGTGCTCATCGATCATTCCTTTTTTGCCATTGGATTGTTATTTGTTTTTTTTTGTCTTTCTAATAAGTTGGTGACTTGTAATTCTTTTTCTGTGTATGTTCTAAGAAACGTTTTTTCCTCCTCTTGATTAAAAATGGACTCAAATTACAGACAACGATACAAAAGCTAGATTTAGGCTATTTAGATTTCGAGTTTTTCCTTGAGTACTCTAGAAGTTGGAACGGCTGGGAGCACGCATTACAGCCGCTGAGGCTGATCCTTGGAGACCGCCGGGGACTGTTGAGCCAACACGGGATTTGGCGCGAAGCTTTGAGAGCGAATTCTCAGCCAAATCGGCTCTCTCCTCGGCATCCTCGAGTTGATGTTGAATTTGACGGTACTTTTGCAGATGCATGTTTGCCTGCTCTTCCTGAAAAGCTTTTTGTTTTGATCTGTGAAATCAATTAAAACCAATCTAAAAATCTATTGTTTAGCAATGATTTTAAATGGAAATTTGTCAGAGATTCTCTAGATTGAAGAAAGTTTTGGTAATAAAACGCGCGACTCACCGCATCATCAATCTGTTTCTTCTGTTGTTTCAGCTTGTTCTGAAGCTTCTCGACTAGTTCATTCAATCGATCAAAGTTCTTCTTGTCTTCGTTGATCTGAAATTTTTTTGTGTTAGTGAAAATTTAGCCGTTAATTTCACCTGGAAATCCAATTCTTTAACTTTTCGCTCAGCTTTGTTCAAATCTTTGTTGGCCGTTTGGAAGCGTCGTTGTTCTCCATCCAACTCGTTCTCCAAATCGCGAGAACGCTTCTCGAGTTGTTGAATCACCTGAAATTTTTAGAAAAGCTTTAAAAAAAGTTATTGAAATCGACCTTCTTTCCTCCCTTGAGTGCGGCGGCTTCGGCCTCGTCTAGTCTAGTCTGGAACTCACGAAGTTGTTGCTCAAGCGCTTTCTTTCCCCTATCAATTGTGTTCGAGTGATCTTGCTCAAGGCGCAATGCGTCAGCAAGACGAGCCGCATCGGACATTGCTTTCTTTGCGTTATCTTCAGCTGTCTTGTACTCACTGATTGTTTCATCCAAATCAGAATGAAGGGCTTGCACTTCGGTCTCCAACTTGCGCCTAGCCGCAGCCAGTGAGTTCATTTGCCCAGAGTATTCAGCGGCTTGACTCTGAGCCTCGGTGGCTTCGGTCTCCGCTTGGCGCCTTGCTCGTTGCGATGATTCAAGAGCCAGCACGAGCTCCTCACGCTCCGATTGAAGCATAGTGGCTTTCTTCTCGGCGGAGAAGTACTGCTCACGGGCGTCCTCTTTGTGGCGTTGCTCCTCTTCAACTTGTTTCTGCAACTCGGCCACTTGCTCTTGGTGTCGTTTCAAATTTCTTTGTGCTTCAGCATTCGCTTGATTTGCGTGATCAAGAGCCAATTCCAACTCACCAATGTCGGCTTCGAGTTTCTTGCGAATGCGCGTTAAATCGTTCTTTGCTTTTTGTTCGTTCTCGAGAGCTGATTGCATGCTCTCCATAGCGCGTTGGTGGTTCTTGCGAGTGTTCTCGAACTCTTCCTCCTTCTCTTGGATTCGTTTCTCAATCTCTGCACGGATTTGAGATACTTCAACTTGAGCACGGAGCACCTTGCTCTCCTCAGCCTCTAAAGCAGCCTCAGCCTCGTCGACAGCATGCTGAAGCTCCTCTTTCTCGAGCTCAAGTGTGCGCACAATGCGTTGCATTTCTTGAACTCCACGTCCACCGTCAGCAAGTTGTCCTTGCAAGTCGCGCACCTCCTGCGCCAAGCCTCCATTCTCTCGACGAAGATCTTCGGAGACACCACGAATCTCATCAGCGCCAGCCTTAGCTCTGAGAAGATCCGTTTGAGCATTGCGCGAGTCCCGTTGAGCAATCTCGTGTTCCTGTTGCAACTCGTCAATCTTGCGTCTCCAATCATCAATCACTTTGTCGAATCCTTTCTGTTTCTTCTCCAGTCCATTCACATAGTTGTTCGCTCTCTCAACCTCTCCTTGCGCTTCATCTAGGTCAGCAGCAAGTCGAGATTTTGTTTTCTCAAGTGAGGAGATCTTGGTGTTTGCTTGCTCGAGGACAGATTGCAGCTCGTTGATCTTGGACTGTTGTCGACGACGAACCTCGTCAAGTTCTTCTCCTTTGAGCAGTCCCTCACCCTCGAGCTTTGCTTTCCAGTTCTGAATCTCTCCATTGACTCTAGAGAGTTGACGAAGGAGTTCAGCTTTGGCCTCAATCTCGAGATCGATATTCTCGCGAATAGACTCAGCCTCGTGTTGATAGTTCTTGGCTTGAGCGGCGTACTGTTGTCTCTCACGAGCCTCTTCTTCAGCCGTTCGTTTAGCCTCTTCCAACTGACTGGCTAGTTGAGCCTTTGAACGAGTGAGCTGATTGAGTTGAGACTCGGCGTCTTCAATCTGCTTGTTCAAGGTGCCATTGTCGCCGGTGAGACGAGACTTGTTGGCGTTGAATTCGGAGATTTGACGAGCTTGTTCATCGGCTTTTGAACGAAGCTCAGATAGCTGAATCTCCAACTGTTTGCACAGTTTCTCGTTGTGCATTTTTGCAGATGTCTCGGAGTCGATTTGAGATTGAACAGCCTCAGCATCGTGAAGAGCAGTGGCGCGATCTTTCTCGGCTTTCACCTTAGCCTTTTGGATTTGATCGAGTTGATCGGTGAGCTCAGTGACACTGTCTGAGTGCTTCTTCTTCAGTGCGGCCAATTGATTCTCGTGATTTTGATGCGCTTCTTCAAGCTGATGACGCAGCTTGGCCAACTCAGCTTCTCGCTTTTTGTTGAGCTCGATTTGAGCAGCCGTCATACCGCCTTGTTCATCAAGACGATCGTTGAGATTGTCGAGTTCTCGTTGAAGATCGGTTTTTGAGCGCTCGGCTTTGGCGCGGTTTTGCCGCTCAGACTCGACCTCATCCTCCAACTCCGAGAGACGGCTGGTTCCATCGCGGAGCTGACGCTGAAGCTTGGATGAAAGTGATTGCTCTTCTTCAAGGCGACCAAGGATTGCTTGATGTTCGGTGTCCTTTTTCTTCAAACTAGATTCTAAATCGGAGCGAACACGAGCGGTTTCCTCGAGTTTTTCTTGTTGAACGGTGAGCTCTCCCTCAATCTTTCTCTTCTGCTTCTCGATCTCACCGCGAGCCCGTTTCTCACGTTCAAGAGAATCCTCAAGGTCATCCAAAGCTCGCTCCAACTTTTGTTTGGTCTTCGAGGTCATGTTGTTCTTGTCCTCTTCTCCTTGGAGATCTTCAACCAATTTTCGGTTGGCTTCTTCTTGAGCCTTCTTCTCTTTGTTGAGTCTAGCGATGGCCTCATCTTGATTGGCCATTTCATCTTGAAGAGTTCGAATCTGAGCCTCTTTCGCCTGTTTCTCTTCTTCAACACGGCCAAGAGTTGCCTCCAAGTCGGCCATCTGACGACGGAGATTTTCCAGCTCACTTTCCACCTTCTTCCTCGCTCTCTGCACATCGCTGTTTCTGTCCTCTTGCTCAGCCAGGAGATCGTTCAACTCGCCGATTTGCTTGCCAGCATCCGTTTGCAGAGCTTGCAGTTTAGCAAGCTTTTCCTCAACCCCACTCAGCTCGGTCTTCACTTTCTCAAAATCAGCAAACACACCATTCTTCTCTTCGAGCAATTTGGTGTGTTGAGCCTCCATGTTTTGACGGCTCTTCTCCTCGTCGACAACTTGAACTTCCATGTCTTTAATCTTTTGGGCCATCTTCTCGATTTCTTCTCCCTCCTTTCCACACTTGAGCATAGGACGGATCTTTCCGAAAAGAAGGTACCAGTCCCAAGTGCGAACAACAGTCCAAGTGCGAATGTTGCGGTGAAGGACGAGGAGACCAGTGCGTTGTTGAGTGCGACGACGGCATTCGGACTGAAATTTATTTTTGTATCAAAAGCTTAGCTTAATCAAGACTTAACTTAACTTGTAAGAGTTAACTAATCAACTTAACTAGTAAATTCTAAAGCTATTTATAAAACTATTTATTCTAAAACTACTTTGATACCTTGGCAAGATAGAAACGAATAGCCGACTGGAACCCGGTGAAGACAGTGCCAAGTTTGTCGTCACGAAGATCCTCAAGAGCAGCCAAGATACCGGCTTTGAAGAAAACCTTCGTCTTGCCGACACGGAAATTCTCGTCAGTCAAACCACCGTCATTCACAATTTTGCTGAGAATAGCTTCAGAGCATTTCTTCGGATCCGGATCGCTCTTGGCTTCGGCTGCAGCCAACACAGCGTAACGTTGCACAAACTCGGGATGAGCTGTTCTGTTGGGGAAACCTTTACGGCAAATACGGATACCCTCAAGCACACCGTTACATGTCAATTGGTTCATGACAAGAGCCGCGTCAAGCATTCCAGATTGTTTCTTCTCGTTGGGGATGATACAACGGATGAAATGTGGATGAGTCTTGTGAAGCATAGTCATCAACTTGTTCAGAGACTCACGGTAAAGCATAGAAACGGTCATCATAGAACCAGATTTACCCTTCTTCTTTCCACCACCACTACCATCCTTAGCAGCGGCAGCTTGTTCCTCTTGAGTTTGATAATCTTCCCAAATTGTTTTCATAAGCTCATTAACACCATTCTTCATCACACCGACAACAGTATCGTTGAGGGGATCTTTGTTCTTCTCGAGCCAGTTGCTGCAATTGTATCTCACAGTTCCAGCGTAGTGACGCATGGCAAAGTGAGCCTCGGCTTGTTTTCCCTTTGGTGGTTTAGGCTTCTCGAAGTTGGGATGTTTGCCTAAGTGCTGGTCGGACAACTTTTGAGCCAAAGTCAAGTCAGTAGCCTTTGGAACGATACACTCTTCATCAAGCATAGAGATGATTCCCATAGGCTTCTCAATGAGCTCGATACAGGCTTGAAGATCGAGACCAAAGTCAATAAACACCCAGGCAATTCCTTCACGAGCGTACTCTTCTTGCTCAAGAACGAACATGTGATGGTTGAAGAATTGTTGAAGTTTCTCGTTCACAAAGTTAATCCACAACTGCTCGAAAGAGTTGAAGTCGAAGATCTCGAAACCAGCGATATCAAGCACACCGATGAAGTAATCGCGAGAGACTCCTTGCTGGTCAAGAGTTACATTGCATTTAGCTACGATCCAATTGAAAATTCTGTTGTAAACGGCTTTAGCCATGGCTCCCTTGGCCCAGTTGACTTGTTCACAATTTTGACCCTTGGAGACCCATTCAGTTCCGACTTTGACTCTCGGTTTCATGAGAGCGTCAAGGAACTTCTCCATTTCCACTCCATACATCTTGCAAGCCTTTTCCGCTTCTTCAGTTCCATCAGCCTCGGCTTGCTCTTCACGTGGGCGTTGCTTGAATTGCATGTTACCCATATGCATATGAGCAGACATGACACGATAGCAGTTCATTTTTTCCTCATCCGTGAAGTTCAAGATCTTGAACGCTTCATCAGTAGCTTTCATCTCTTCAACGTCATCAATTCCATCAACGGTAAGCTCGGCTTGAGCAACAAACCAGTAGTCACGGATTGGTAGGTTAAGGAGAAGCTCTTTTTTCAATTCTGGTTTGAAATCCGAATAGATTTGATAGAAAATGTGATAGCAACGCTCTCCAGGAGCTTGACGAATCACACGAGATTTCTCCAAAAGATAATGCTCAATATCGCAAGAAGCGACACGTCCAGATCGAGAGAAATGGATACGAATGAATTTTCCGAAACGAGAAGAGTTATTGTTACGGACAGTCTTGGCATTTCCGAAAGCTTCGAGGACAGGGTTAGTTTGAACGATTTGATCCTCCAGAGTAGCTTTCTTCTCTCCACCGTCAGTCTTGATTCCTTCAGCCTCATTTTGACGCGCACCGACGGCAGCGAAATAGGCAATAACCTTCTTGGTGTTCTCAGTCTTTCCAGCTCCCGATTCTCCAGTGATAAGCATAGATTGATTCTCATGATCGATCAACATATTTCTGTAAGCTTCATCAGAAACTGAAAAGAGATGAGGCGGCATTTCGTTTCTTCTTTTTCCCATGTACAGTCGAGCAACAGTGTCGGTGTAGATGGGAAGACGTTTGTAGGGATTGATGACGACGCAGAAGAGGCCGGAATAGGTCTGGAAATGGTTTATTGTTAAACAAAATAGTACAAGAAACAGAATACCCTCTTTACTGTCTACTATCTTTTCTTGGTTTTCTTAAAACCCACATAAATCAACATGGCAGCATAACGGGCGCGCAGATTCCCGAGGACAGAAGCGTCGTTGAGGAAAGACAAGTTAGACATGTCATCGGCTTTCTCGAATTTTGGTGGATTCATCTCCTGGATGAGCTCCTTCTTGAGGGTCACCTGAAAAAGTTAGATTTTTACGTGTCAGATAAAAAGATTGTGCTTCTAGTGAGCTTCACAGCTTCACAGTGAGCTTCACAGCTTCACAGTGAGCTTCACAACACCAAAAGAGTAAAACCTTAAGAAGAAAAAGAAAGAGATAGGAAAAGCCAAAGAATGGCTTGAGTAGAGCCATTTTTTGGCTATCTTTATTTGAGTAGAGCATCTTTACCTCATTTCCTTTAGCGGTGGTGATGGTTACATTGTCGCCCTTGGTGCCGGTGATTTGCCCGGCAATATATCCGTCTTCCGGATCCGGACACCACACGTCTTTCTTCGAGTCATAAGGCTTCGATTGATCCTGAAAGGTTCTCAATTTCCATAGATTCTTGACCGTATATTGTACAACGATAATTTGCACACCCTATAAAGCGCCGACTAGGCAATTTGGACTGCTGAAATGCTAATAATTTTTGCTGAAATATCAAAATACCGTTGTTTTTGTTTTAGATCTTTCAAAAAAAAGGTGATCTACCATAGTTTTTAAGAGTTTTGTATAACTTTTACATCTATCTACTATATATAAACGGACTAAGACGTCTGTCTGTTCGTCTGTCTGTTCGTCTGTCTGTTCGTCTGTCTGCTCGTCTGTCTGCTCGTCTGTCTGCTCGTCTGTCTGCTCGTCTGTCTGCTCGTCTGTCTGCTCGTCTGTCTGTGCGCGCTACTCCTCAGCTCCCAGAGGATCGTTTGCAATGATTTTTGCGCCGTTGATTAGGGAATTCAATGTAGTTGTGCAACGTGCTTTTAGATTTTTTAAAAAGCAAAATTGGAGTCGTATGCAAGGGTCGAACCCGGATCGCATGGTCGATAGACCGGTGCGCTATCCATTGCGCGATGGCGATAAAACCGTTTTCCCCCAAAACATCGAGTTTCCCTGCTGGTGTGCTCATAAAATATCACTCCAAAGTCAAGGGTTAAAATCGAGATTTGCTTCAATGCTTAAAATTTGTTTGTTTTTGGTCTAGAAAACGGAAATCTCAGTGATTTTTAACGTGCAATCTCTAATTTTTGACTTACCTGAAGAATTTGCTCGCGAGTTCTCTTCAGAAATTGCCATCCCGGGTCCTTCTCGCACTCTTGTTCCCAAGACATTTTTACCTGAATATTTAAAAAATCATTTATGAATTGATAACTTGAAATAAAAGCTTTAAATCAAAAGCTAAGAATTAGCTTTTGATTTAAAAAACAGATAAGAAAGGATTAGCAGAAATTGAAAAGAAAAAAAGATGATTGTTTGATGATTGATTGATGATTGATTGATGATTGTTTGAGTGTTTGATGATTGTTTGAAAGCATGATTGTTTGATTAGGCTTTTTAAGACTAACATACTTTTTTACTACCCTAAAGTCTCGAGTATAAGTTCTGCCTTAATTTACATTCGCTTTAATTGCTTTGAATTTCTTTTTGTTGGGTTTTTATACATTTTTATTGTTATATAAACTTTTATTATTGTTCTTGGAGCGCGGGATACTACATTGTTATTGTTCTTGGAGCGCGGGAGACAGCCTACAGGACTACAGGGTGACTACAGGGTGACAGCCTAACACCATTGCTATTTGTTATGTGCATGGATACATTCAGACGATAGTGTTGAAGAAGACACTGGAAAGCATCTCTTTCGACCGTCGACGTGGACTTTGGCCGGATGAAGAGGCCACGGAGGGATCCATCAGACTGAGCACCGGAGAGGAGCAGGGCGGACGCGCCGAGCCACGCTTTCCGGTTCCAATACGGTTCCAATACGGTTCCAATACGGTTCCTATTTTGATCTAATACGGTTCCAATACGGTTCCAATAACAAATAACAGCATAAAATTGCTATAACCCTCAATAAATTTACTTCTATTATTGTTCTTAAAAAGCAAAAAAGTTATGCTGCAGCGGGGTTCGAACCCTCGACACACCGCACCGGAGACAGCCGTCAATTTGCATGCGAAAACCAAACAGAACTTATACTCGCGACTTTAGGGTACTTAACATACTGTCATACTTAACATACTTAGCATAACAAGACTTTTCAAGACCGTATTCTCTTAATTATTGCATTCTATACAGAAACCCTTTCGTGAGTCATTGTTTTCAAGAGTTTCCATATTTTGAAAGCACATTTTGAAAGCACGCTTCGACTACGTGCGAGTACGATCCGCTTTGAGTCAAAACTACAAACCACTTTACCGTATTCTCTCTAATAGTAGTGCACCCTGAGCGTCGTCTAAATTGCTCGAAATCTCAAAAAGCGCTTATCAGAACCTATCGATGTGGGGTCGGAAAATGTAACTGACGATGAGATCTTGAAGATGATTAGAGTGTTGAGCTTCTGTGAAAACTTTGAAAGCCGTAAAATAGTCATCAACTCGGCTCGGCGGGGTGCACTACTATTAGAGAGAATACGGTATTACTAGGTTGTTAAAAAAGTCCGCGGTCACTTGCAGAAATGTTCAAATTATCTAATTATTTTGACAATGGATTGTTCTGGTTTTTGACTTATTTGAAAGGCAGTTTTCTTGCGAGTATTTTGTTATATTACTTTACACATTCCACATTTTTAGATGGATAAAAGTGAGCTTCGTGTTTTGCTCCGTCATTATTGGAAAAAAGGAGATCTGCGAGATCTGCTGCTGAAGTGGAGTGGAAGGTGAAGGAACTGTCGGGAAAACTGCTGCAATCGAGTGGTTCAAACGCTTTAATGACGGCGATTTTGATCTTGAAGAAGTTGAAGAAGCGTGTTCTTTGATTCAAAGGAGATCTTGGTACTTCGATTAGATCCGAAATCATCTTGCTGATCTTGCGGTCTTGCTTATCTTGCTGTCTTGCTTATCTTGCTAGTTATCTTGCTGATCGATGGCAGAAGACCATAGAGAATGATAGACTATACTTCGAAGAGTGAACGTTCTTGTTTTTATTGATTATTTTCAAATACAAACTTGTATTTTTCTGCAAGTGACGGCAAAGAAACAAACAAGCTAATATTTTAAATATTTTAAATAAAAAGAAGATAGATGAAGCTTGTCTAAAGATTGTTGATTGATTGATGATTGATTGATGATTGTTTGATGATTGTTTGATTGAAAGCATGACTTGTTTGACTAGGCTTTTTAAGACTAACATACTTTTTTACTACTTAACATACTGTCATACTTAAAATACTTAACATAACACAAAATTCCTCAACAAAAACCCGCAAAAGCCCTATTTAGCATAAAGTTTATAGCAAATTGATTGATAGATTGATGCAAATCGAATCAAAGCTTTCATTTTGCTATTATGAAAGCTTGGATTCGATTATGAAATAGAAATATGCACAAGTTTATAGCAAATTAGTTTATAGCTAAAGCCAGATAACTAAAACTTTTAAAAAGAAGTCAAAGAAATGCTTTCAACGAACAAATGAGTTTACTGTAGGATTTCTTTGGGTTAAATATCCATTGCCATCTCGAAGCAATTTTCTTATCTTGGATATTGAAAATCCCAAATTTTGAGTACTACAAATACTAGGGCAAGACCTGAAGCTCAATCTTGAGAGCTTTGAGCGCGCCTGGTAAGCGAAAAGTCGCTTGTTCGAATTCCGGATTGCCATTCATTCAAATTCATAAAGAATAACCAACTAGTGGATAATTTTGTACTACTGGATGCCCTAAGTGTACTAGTGGAGGTTCTAGGTGTACTAGTGGAGGTTCAAAGTGTACTAGTGGATATTCTAATTGTACTAGTGGAGGTTCTAGGTGTACTAGTGGATGTTCAAAGTGTACTAGTGGATGTCCAAAGTGTACTAGTGGATGTCCAAAGTGTACTAGTGGATATTCTAATTGTACTAGTGGAGGTTCTAGGTGTACTACTGGATGTCCAAAGTGTCTTAGTGGATGTCCACAGTGTCCTAAAGAATAAAATAAAATAAAGAATAACCAACTAGTGAATAATTTTGTACTACTGGATGTCCTAGCTTTAACTTTTAAAACGAAGTAAAAAGAAGTAAAAGAAATGCTTTCCAATAAAAAACAAGGAACAAATGAGTTTACTGTAGGATTTCTTTGGCTTAAATACCCATTGCCATCTCGAAGCAATTTTCTTTCTCGCTCACATTTTTCTCGTTTTCTTTTACAGAAAACGAGAGAGTGCGCACGATTTTGTAAAATCTCGAATTTCACATGAGGCAAAAGAAAAGGCTAAACGATCAAAGAGAGACAGCTTGATCTCTTTGCGAAAAGAAAGCCCAGACGATTCTCCAACTTGTTTAGAAGAAAAAAAAGGACATCAACTTCATCATTTTGAACGCTTTTCCTTGACATGATAGCTGACAATTCAGAGATGGGTAACTTGTAGAGTTGGGAATTGAAGTTTGAAACAACTTTAGAATTACCTCGATCTTTTAATAAACAAAACAAGACAAACCAATTTGCTAAACAATCTTTTTTCACTGAAAATGTTTTAATTGAATTTAATTGAAGTATTTTTCTTTGAATATCTTTTCTAAGCGTTCAAAAAAACTATTATAACCGATAGATCTTATAGATCTTATAGATCTACGATCTACGAGCTTATAGATCCTACGATCTTATAGATCTTACGAGCTTACGAGCTTCATTTTGAAATCTTAGGAGATTTTTTTTTGTATTCTTTGTATAATATTATCAGAATAATCAGAAATCAGTAATATTTGATTTGATCGAATAAAAACTAGCAAGATTACGATAGAGTTGAATACAAAAGCTTACAAAAGTTGAATATATTTTAAAACACGTCTATACGATCTGACAGATGGGAACATCTAGAAGATCGTAAGAGGTAGAAGATCGTAAGAGGTAGAAGATCGTAAGAGGTAGAAGATCGTAAGATCTATAAGCTCGTAAGATCCATAAGCTCGTAAGATCTATAAGATCGTATAGCTATGCTTTTTTTCTAAACAATCACTTGTAACTCTTTTCACTCACTTACGATATGAATCTTTTGCTTTTTTTCTTTTCCATTTATCAAGCCTTTCCATTTATCAAGCTCATGTTTCAAGTTTTCAGGCATATCGTTGGCTTTGAGTTCTGTTTAATTTGATTTCGTTGATCCCTAAAGATTAAATTGCTTTGATTCGTCGGTTCGTCGGCTAAAAGTCGGCTAAAAAATGGAAACCAACTGGTCCTTTTCCCCTTTTGATCACTTCGTTTTGGGAACAGTTGCTCTTGTGTGAGGAGAAAAAAAAGCCGAGTTCATGAAAGGATCGATTGGGATCAAGAGCTTGAGGAATTTCAATGTATTTTTTGATTGGTTACAATAGATTTACATCTGAATACAAAGTCTAAAAAAATAAAATCTTTTTCTGATGCAGTGGACACACTTGATTTATCCCGAGTTCATGAAAGGATTGATTGACTTTTTTTGACCCAGATTACCAGAGAATTTTGATCCAGATTACTAGACCCAGATTACCAGACCCAGATTACCAGACCCAGATTACTAGACCCAGATTACTAGACCCAGATTAACAAACTCAGATTAACAGACCAAGATTACCAGACCAAGATTACCAGACCTAGATTACTAGACCCAGATTACTAGACCCAGATTACTAGACCCAGATTAACAGACCCAGATTACTAGACCCAGATTACCAGATCCAGATTACTAGACCCAGATTAACAGACCCAGATTACCAGAGTATGACTGAAGGGTGTTACTCTCTGATAAAGAAGTAAAGGAATTGCCAAGAGAAAGTAGATTTCTGAAGAGGGAATTGAAGTTGAAATTTCGCTTTCCAGGCAATTGCTCTAACCTATCTGGTAGCTTAAATTGCCAAGAAAGAGGGAAAGAGAAAGGGAAAGAGAAAGGGGAAGAAGAAAGAAAGAAAGAAAGAAAGAAAGAAAGAAAGAAAGAAAGAAAGAAAAGAATTGGAAAGAGGAAGACGGCGTTTTCTAAAATATGTCAAGATTCGAAAACTATCAAACTATCAAATTTTGCTTTTGCTTTTGTCTAAACTATATATCTTGGTCTATTTTAGTAAAGTTTTAGAAAAGATATCAAAAGTAGAGTCAAGATTATAGTAGTTTGATAAGTTTCAGAAGTATTAGACATTTTGGAATTGACATTTAAAATATATTTGATGAGAATTTAGGATCGCTAATCTTGACTTGATATAATCTTGACTCTACTTTTGATATCTTTTGTAAAACTTTACTGAATTAGACCAAAATAGACAAAATAGACAAAATAGACAAAAGCAAGAGCCAAAATTTAATATTTTGATAGTTTAATCTGAGTCAAAATTTGTTTTGTGTTTCTTTGAAGTAAAAATTTCAATTTTGAAAGCTGTGAATATCTCATTTACCTTTAAATCTGCAAGATTTTGAGATTTTAGTTTTTTCAATGGCTGGGAATTCCTCAGATCTGAGGAATCCTCAGATCTCACTTGCTCGGGTAACAGTTGTCAAAAAAAATGGAAAGAAATGGAAAGGAAATGGAGAGAAGCTTTCTTTCTGAGAAAAACGTTTCCTCGAAAGACTTTTCGTTTCACTGAGCAAAAGGATTTCACTCTTTTCCTAGATTCTTTTTTTTCGGAAAAGGCCCCCGCTTTTGTTGTAATGCTCAAGGCGATCCTAAATTCTCAAGAATCACTTCAAGAGTCAAAGGAAAGCAAAAGTACACTACAAGGATGTAATAGCTAAGGCATGGATATTGAAAATCCCAAATTTTTGAGTACTACAAATACTAGGGTAAGACCTGAAGCTCAATCTTGAGAGCTTTGAGCGCGCCTGGCAAGCGAAAAGTCGCTTGTTCGAATTCCGGATTGCCATTCATTCAAATTCATAAAGAATAATCAACTAGTGGATAATTTTTTACTACTGGATGTCCAAAGTGTACTAGTAGAGGTTCTAAGTGTACTACTGGAGGTTCTAAGGGTACCAGTGGATGTCCAAAGTGTACTAGTGGATGTCCAAAGTGTACTAGTGGATGTCCTAAGTGTCCTAGTGGATGTCCAAGTGTACTACTGGATGTCCTAAGTATACTACCGGATGTCCTAAGTATACTACCGGATGTCCACAGTGTCCTAGTGGATGTCCTAAGCGTACTACTGGATGTCCTAAGTGTCCTAGCCTAGTGGATGTCCTAAGTATACTACCGGATGTCCAAAGTGTCCTAGTGCATATTCTAATTCTCCTAGTGGATGTCCAAAGTCTCTTAGTGGATAGTTTTGGTGTATCTTGTTTGTCTTCTGTAATCAATGCTATTTCCAAAGACAACTTTTCTCTCTGTTTATTAAAAAAGTGAAGCACTACTTATGAACGAGTGATGGAGGCGATGACCTCGAAATTGTGAATCATTTAAAAAACAACTAGAATCTATGCAATTTTTATCGTTTCTTTTTTCAAATCAAAAACATCGTATCTAGAAGTTGGAACGGCTTGGAGCACGCATGACAGCCACCGAGGCGGATCCCTGAAGTCCTGGGGCAACTGAAGCGGTGCGAGACTTGGCACGCATCTTGGAAAGCGAGTTCTCGGCCGAGTCGGCACGCTCCTCAGCGTCCTCCAATTGGTGTTGCACTTGGCGATACTTCTGCAGGTGTAGATTGGCTTGTTCTTCCTGAAATTCTCTTTTTATTCTATTTTTATTCTCGATTCTATTTTGAACTATTCAGTTTTCCTCCCCGGTATTTTGTACAGAGTGATTTTAGCGGTTTTTTTTCAACTCACAGCCTCATCAATCTGTCGCTTCTGTCCTTTGAGCTTGTTCTGGAGTTTCTCGACCAACTCGTTGAGACGATCGAAATTCTTCTTGTCCTCTCCGATCTTAAATTTATAAATGATTCACTTCAACTCATTTTGTTGACTTGTTGACGATTCAACAATCCTAGCAACAAACCTGGAAATCAAGTTCCTTGCCCTTGCGCTCGTTCTTCTGGAGATCCTTGTTAGCGGCTTGGAAGCGGCGTTGCTCTCCCTCGAGCTCGTTCTCAAGGTCACGCGCGCGTTTCTCGAGTTGTTGAATCACCTAGAAATTGCAATAACATAACAAGATCTCATTCTTCTCATCGAAACAAACCTTCTTTCCTCCCTTAAGGGCGGCAGCTTCGGCCTCATCCAAGCGAACTTGGAAGTCCTTGAGCTGTTGCTCGAGGGCTTTCTTGGAACGATCAGTGTTTCCAGAGTGATCTTGTTCTTGGCGAAGGGCATCAGCAAGACGGGTGGCATCAGCAATGGCTCGGTTGCTGTTCTCTTGAGCGCTGCGGTACTCGGAGAGAGTCTCATCCAAGTCAGCGTGAAGAGCTTGGATCTCTCCCTCCAACTTTCTCTTGGCGGCAGATAGGGTGTTGGCTTGAGCGGAGAATTCGTTGGCTTGGTTTCGGGCCTCGTTGGCTTCAGATTCAGCCTGTTTGCGAGCGCGAACAGCCGAATCGTGAGCAACGGCGAGCTCTTCCTTCTCGGATTGCAAAAGAGTGGCGCGCTTTTCAGCGGTAAAGTATTGCTCGCGGATGTCGTCACGAGCGCGTTGCTCCTCTTCAACTTGTTTCTGCAACTCGGCGATCTGGTCTTGAGTCTTCTTCAAGTTGCGCAGAGCTTCAGCATTCGCCTGGTTGGCGTGATCAAGAGCCAACTCGAGCTCAGTGATGTCCGACTCGAGCTTCTTCTTGATGCGGACGAGCTCTCCCTTAGCCTTTTGCTCGTTCTCCAACGAGGCTTGCATGCTCTCCATAGCGCGTTGGTGGTTCTTGCGAGTGTTCTCGAACTCTTCCTCCTTCTCTTGAATTCGTTTCTCAATCTCTGCACGGATTTGCGTGACCTCAACTTGAGCACGAAGAACTTTGCTCTCCTCAGCTTCCAAAGCGGCCTCAGCCTCGTCGACAGCATGCTGAAGCTCCTCTTTCTCGAGCTCAAGTGTGCGCACAATGCGTTGCATCTCTTGCACAGATCGTCCTCCGTCAGCGAGTTGAGCCTGGAGATCGCGAATCTCTTGAGTAAGGGCTCCATTCTCGCGACGAAGCTCGTCAGCAACCGAGTTCAACTCATCCTGAGCGGTGCGAGCACGAAGGAGATCGGTGGCAGCGTTTCGAGCGTCACGTTGAGCCGCCTCAAGATCAGTGGTGAGGTCATCAGTCTTGCGTCTCCAATCATCGATCACTTTGTCGAATCCTTTCTGTTTCTTTTCCAATCCATTCACATAATTGTTGGCACGCTCGACATCGGCTTGAGCCTCATCAAGGTCAGAGGCAAGTCGAGATTTGGTTTTCTCAAGTGAGGAGATCTTCGAGTTGTTGGCATCAAGGACAGCTTGGAGGTCGTTGATCTTCTGTTGTTGACGGCGACGGACCTCATCAAGCTCGTCAGCCTTGACGAGCTCCTCTCCCTCGTACTTCGATTTCCAGACTTGAATCTCGGCATTAGTTTTAGAGAGCTGACGAAGGAGTTCAGCCTTGGCCTCAATCTCCTCCTCGATCGACTCACGAAGGGCATCAGCTTCATGTTGGTAGTTGCTGGCTTGAGCAGCGTACTGTTGTCTCTCACGAGCCTCTTCGTCCAAAGTTCTCTTGGCCTCCTCAAGTTGGCTTACAAGTTGCGCCTTTGATCTTGTGATCTGATTGAGTTGAGACTCGGCATCCTCAAGTTGTTTGTTGAGGTCACCGTTTGCTCCAGTGAGTCGTCCCTTCAACGATCCAAGCTCAGCCAATTGGCGATATTGCTCATCAGCCTTCGATTGAAGCTCTTGAACTTGAAGCTCGAATTGCTTGGCGAGTTTCTCGTTGTGCAATTTGGCCGAAGTCTCGGAGTCGATCTCTCCTTGAATCGATTCACAATCGTGGAGAGCAGATGCACGATCTTTCTCAGCCTTAGCCTTAGCCTTTTGAGCTTGATCGAGTTGATCAGTCAACTCAGACACAGAGTCGGTGTTCTTTTTGCGAAGAGAAGCCAATTGGTTCTCATGATTCTGGTTGAGCTCATCCAATTGATGACGGAGCTTGGCAAGCTCAGCTTCACGCTTCTTATTGATCTCGATTTGAGCAGCAGTCATGCCACCAGCTTCATCAAGACGATCATTGAGGTTGTCAAGCTCACGCTGAAGGTCTCCCTTGGCTCGGTCAGCCTTGGCACGGTTTTGGCGCTCAGACTCGACCTCATCCTCCAACTCCGAGATTCGCGCTTGGCTGTCTTTGATCTGGCGCTGAAGCTTGGAGACCAAGGATTGCTCTTCTTCGAGTTTTCCAGCGATGGCTCCATGCTCAGCCTCCTTCTTCTTCAAGTTGCCCTCCAAATCAGTGCGCACTCGAGCAATCTCCTCAATCTTCTCACTAGCAACAGTGAGCTCTCCCTCAATCTTTCTCTTCTGCTTCTCGATCTCGGATCGTCCGCGCTTCTCACGCTCAAGCGCATCCTCAAGGTCATCCAAAGCTCGCTCCAACTTTTGTTTGGTCTTCGAGGTCATGTTGTTCTTGTCCTCTTCTCCTTGAAGATCTTCAACCAATTTTCGGTTGGCCTCTTCTTGAGACTTCTTCTCTTTGTTGAGTCTAGCGATGGCCTCATCTTGATTGGCCATTTCATCTTGAAGAGTTCGAATTTGTTGATCCTTGGTTTGTTTCTCGGACTCGACCTTGGAAAGGTTCTCCTCAAGGGAAGCGATCTGTTTGCGGATGTTCTCCAACTCGTTCTCGACCTTCTTCTTGGCGCGTTGCACGTCACTGTTGCGGTCCTCTTGCTCGGCGAGTTGATCGTTCAACTCAGCGAGTTGCTTGGTAGCATCTTGAGCAAGTCCAGAGAGTCTGGCCATCTTCTCCTCAAGCGTGCTCAACGAGGTCTTCGCCTCCTCAAGCTCTCCAAAGACCGAATTCTTCTCCTCCAACAGTTTCGCATTTTGCTCTTCGACTTGTTGACGGAGTTTCTCTTCTCCTGGGAGGCGAGCCTCTTGTTCCTTGATCTTGGCGGCGAGTTTCTCGACCTCTTCTCCCTCCTTTCCACACTTGAGCATAGGACGGATCTTTCCGAAGAGAAGATACCAGTCCCAAGTGCGAACAACAGTCCAAGTACGGATGTTGCGGTGAAGGACGAGGAATCCTTGGCGTTGGAACATACGGCGACGTCCATCAGCCTGGAATTGATAATATTTGAATATTGAAGTGTCAGATTGTTTTCGAATCTTTAGGTTTAGACTTTGGTTAACTTTATTTAATTTTTAGAAGTCAACTACAAGCTTCTAGAAGTCAACCAAAACCTCTAGAAGTCAACTACAACTTCTAGAAGTCACACAAAGCTGACTATTTGCTTGTTCTCACCTTTCCGAGGTACAAGCGGATGGCAGCCTGGAGTCCGGTGAAGACAGCACCAAGTTTGTCGTCACGAAGATCCTCAAGATGGGCCAGGATACCGGCCTTGAAGAAAACCTTGGTTTTACCAACACGGAAATTCTCCTCAGTCAATCCTCCATCGTTGACAACGGCACTGAGAATAGCCTCAGCGCACTTCTTCGGGTCAGAGTCCGACTTGGCAGCAGAGGCGGCAAGGATGGCATAACGTTGCACAAAGTCGGGATGTTGGGTACGATTGGGGAAACCTTTACGGCAAATACGGATACCCTCAAGCACACCGTTACATGTCAATTGGTTCATGACAAGAGCCGCGTCAAGCACTCCAGATTGTTTCTTCTCGTTGGGGATGATACAACGGATGAAATGAGGATGAGTCTTGTGAAGCATAGTCATCAACTTGTTCAGAGACTCACGGTAAAGCATAGACACGGTCATCATAGAACCAGATTTACCCTTCTTCTTTGCGCCACCACCATCCTTGGCGGCATTAGCGGCCTCCTCTTGGGTCTGATAGTCGTCCCAGATGGTTTTCAAAAGAGCATTGCTTCCGGCTTTCATCACACCGACGACAGAGTCGTTGAGGGGATCCTTGTTCTTCTCGAGCCAGTTGCTGCAATTGTATCTCACAGTTCCAGCATAATGCTTCATGGCAAAGTGAGCCTCGGCTTGTTTTCCCTTTGGTGGTTTAGGCTTCTCGAAGTTTGGATGTTTGCCCAAGTGCTGGTCGCACAACTTTTGAGCCAAGGTCAAGTCAGTAGCCTTTGGAACGATACACTCTTCATCAAGCATAGAGATGATACCCATAGGCTTCTCAATAAGCTCGATACAGGCTTGGAGATCAAGTCCGAAATCGATGAAGGTCCAGGCAATTCCTTCACGAGCGTACTCTTCTTGCTCAAGAACGAACATGTGATGGTTGAAGAATTGTTGGAGTTTCTCGTTCACAAAGTTAATCCACAACTGCTCGAAAGAGTTGAAGTCGAAGATCTCGAAACCGGCGATGTCAAGCACACCGATGAAGTAATCACGAGGAGTACCTTGTTGATCGAGAGTAGCGTTACACTTGGCAACGATCCAGTTGAAGACACGGTTGTAGACGGCTTTAGCCATGGCTCCCTTAGCCCAGTTGACCTGCTCGACGTTCTGTCCTTTCTGCACCCACTCGGTTCCGACCTTGACTTTGGGCTTCATGAGAGCGTCAAGGAATTTCTCCATCTCCACTCCGTACATAGTGGCGGCTTTTTCAGCCTCCTCAGTTCCATCAGCCTCGGCTTGCTCTTCACGAGGTCTCTGCTTGAATTGCATGTTACCCATGTGCATGTGAGCGGACATGAGCTTGTAGCAATCGTTCTTCTCCTCACCGCTGAAGTTCAAGATGTCGAAGGACTCTTCAGTGGCTTGGAACTCTTCGGTGTCATCGATACCGTCAACAGTCAACTCGGCTTGAGCGACGAACCAGTACTCCTTGATTGGTCGGTCAAGAAGGAGCTCCTTCTTGAGGTTTGGCTTGAAATCGGTGAAGATTTGGTAGAAGATGTGATAGCAACGCTCTCCAGGAGCTTGACGAATCACACGAGATTTCTCGAGAAGATAATGCTCAATATCGCAAGAAGCGACACGTCCAGATCGAGAGAAATGGATACGAATGAATTTTCCGAAACGCGAAGAGTTATTGTTACGGACAGTCTTGGCATTTCCAAAAGCTTCGAGGACAGGGTTGGTACGAACGATTTGATCCTCAAGAGTAGCTTTCTTCTCTCCACCGTCAGTCTTGATTCCTTCAGCCTCATTTTGCTTAGCACCGACGGCAGCGAAATAGGCAATAACCTTTTTGGTGTTCTCAGTCTTTCCAGCTCCAGATTCTCCAGTGATAAGCATAGATTGATTCTCACGATCCAAGAGCATGTTACGGTAAGCCTCATCAGAGGCAGCGAAGAGATGAGGTGGCATCTCGTTCTTTCTTTTATTCATGTACATTACGGCCACGGTATCGGTGTAGATGGGAAGACGCTTGTAGGGGTTGATGACAACGCAGAAGAGTCCAGAGTAGGTCTGAAAATGGTTCATTAGTTCATTGGTACTAATAGTTCATTGGTAACTAACATCTAGGGTTCAGCTCATCAGTCTACCCTAATCATCTCTATTTACTTCAAATACTAGATCATGTTCGAGAATCTGATTTACCGCTAGTGTAGATGGGTATAGACGGTAAAACTAACGTAGATGAGCATCGATGCGTAGCGAGCCCTCAAGTTATGAAGCACAGAGGCGTCGTTGAGGAAAGACAAGTTGGACATGTCCTCAGTTTTTTCGAATTTTGGTGGATTCATCTCTTGGACGAGCTCTTTCTTGAGGGTCATCTGAAAGAAAATTTGTTTATTTGTAGTTGAAATGATTCAAAGATACAGCATTCTTGTCTTTTATCAGTAAAATTAATCGAAAACTTTCCAGATTGAAAGGCTAACGATTGCTACATGGCTCGTAAACAGTAAACGAATTGTTCTTTACAGTTTGTTACAAGTTTTGAGTGAAAGTTCTATTAAACTTGTATTCTATTAGAAATTTAATTCTATTAAAGATTTAACTCTATTAGAGATTTAATTCTATTAGAACTTTAATTTCTATTAGAACTTTAATTTTATTAGAGATTTAATTTTATTAGAGATTTAATTCTATTAAAGATTTAATTCTATTAGAGCTTTAATTCTATTAAAGATTTAATTCTATTAAAGATTTAATTCTATTAAAGATTTAATTCTATTAGAGATTTAATTCTGTTAGAAATTTAATTCTATTAGAGCTTTAATTTTATTAGAGCTTTAATTTTATTAGAGCTTTAATTCTATTAAAGATTTAATTCTATTAGAGATTTAATTCTATTAGAAATTTAACTCTATTAGAGCTTTAATTTTATTAGAGCTTTAATTCTATTAGAGCTTGATTTTCATCTCAAGAATCACCTCGTTTCCTTTGCAAGTGGTGACCACAACGGAGTCTCCCTTAGTGCCAGTGATTTGAGCAGTAACATATCCATCCTCCGCATCGGGCACCCAAACGTCCTTCTTCGAGTCGTATGGCTTTGATTGTTCCTGAAAAACTGCTGTAAATTGGATTGCTGATTGGTGCTGACTGATTGGTAAACTTTAGAAAATTCGAATTCTTTAATTGAGTTTTCAACTATTGAATCTAGAGATTTTAGAGATTTGTCAGAGAATCTAGAGATTTTTCAAGTCTTTGTTCTTTCGAAACTCTCTCCTTTCCTTAAATATGCTCAATTCGCTATCATTCAGCCCTATGATTCAATAAATAATATGCTTTAAAAGCTTTAAAGCTTTTAAGCTTCCCAAACTTCCCAAACTAGCTTCCCGAACTTCCCAAACTAGCTTTCCAAGCTTCCCAAACTTCCCAAACTTCTCTAACTTCCCAAACTTCCCAAACTAGCTTCCCAAACTTCCCAAATTCCCAAACTAGCTTCCAAAACTTCCCTAACTTCCCAAACTAACTTCCCAAACTAGTCTATAGTAGTTGAAAGCTTGAAAACTAAGAAATTACTTGAAAATACTTTTACATTGATTTATTCTAAAGAAAGAAATTGATTATCAAAGTTTAATTCGTTCGAGAATTCAATTTCACTTATACTCTGTATTCTAAAGTTTTCGAAAACCTTACCGCCATCATCTCCTCGCGCGATCGACGGAGAAATTGCCATCCGGGATCCTTCTCATGTTCGGGGACCCAAGCCATTTTTGCCGAATATCAAGAAGAGAAAATCGGCGAGAATGAGAGACTTTACCGATCTCTTCAACCCTTTTATACTCACTCGAAAAATTGGAGGCGAATCGCGGAGATCCGCCCAAAAGATCCCAGTTCTCTTCGATCGCCTTGATCTCTCTTTGAGTCCAATCTCCTCATTCCCCTCAATCTCTACCAATGTTGGCTTGGATCAGCTCATAGACTTTAGGTCTCTAGAACAACTGGTCCTATTTCTTCTCTCACATCAGCTCAATGAAGCTGATCTCTCTAAAATCCCTCTTTCAACTCATCTCTAGCTCTAGCAAAGAGTGAGAATGAGCTCTAGCAATGAGCCACAGTGGAGCTCTCCATTTCTCTATCGAATTCTTATCCCTGTTGATCACTAGCCCGTTTTCTAACTCAGTTTTTATCTCTAAAAATCACCAACAATAAACTGGGCCTCAGCTCTCTTTCTTTTCCGTTTTCCGCTTTCTCTTTTCTCTCCAGCCTGCCATCTTCTCTCTCTTACTTCATTCTCTGATTGGACTCTCCCCTTGTTACACTCCAATCCCCACCCCTGATCATTGTGTGGAAAGTGAGAACATCTTGATCAAAAAATACTGCAGGGATCGACTTCCTGGATTTAATCAAAGGAATCAAATAGGGTTTTCATTCAAACCCAAGAAAAAGTGATAAACTCAATAACATGAATAGAGTCAATCGATTCCATGGCTCCGACAACCTCTGGGTACACATTTCCAGCTCAATATCCTTTTGTTTTATCAACAAAGTAAAAGAAAGATCCCTATGTAAATTACTGACAAGGTGTTCTTTGTACGGCCGGGTAATCGCACGTTATCTGGCAAACCCCCGGATATAGGGTGGTTTGAATTTCGAAAATCGACTGAGTAGACTTCCCCGCTTTTCAGGCGTTGCTATGCTCGAGCGCTTGGGATCAAAATAAAGCCAAATTTGAAATATTCACGACGATTTGACCAAACGGTGGGTTAGGTCATCGCCAAGTAAAAAGAGATCATAAAAATATTGAAAAATAACAAAGTTATTAAAGTTTCTCGTTTATTTCGAAAAATTTAATTCTACCTTGTGCAAGAGGGGGCACATTTATGCAAAAAATAAATAAATTTTCATGTTTACACAATCGCACAGCTTCTGGAACAGGGTTTTCATATAAATTCACTATAAACGTCAAAGGTTTATCATCATTTTGATCACTTTCGATTTACCCAGCTATTACCCAGCTTTCCTTTAGTAACGTAAAATGTAGTAGATATTTCGCGTAAGTATTTCGGTTGCATTCAGTTTTCCCATCCCGAAAAATCCCCCGGGTTCACGTTTTCAGCTGGTTCGAATCGATTTTCCAATCGATTACTTTTATTTTCAGCCTTAGGGATTATTGTATTGGTATCTTTTTAATATTAGCAGCTGCCAAGCCTGCACTGTGCTCTTGTAGGAACCCATGAAGCATGGCATGACGAATATGTCCTGGTGGCAAATTGTCAAATGCAATAGAAGAAGTGAAGAAAAATACCAAAAAATAAAAAGCTGGAAGCATAATTTTCTCCTCAATAATTTGAGGAAATGTTGAGGTAACCAAACCCCCTTTCAGCTGGTTCAATGCTGTTGTTTTTTCTATCTGCGAGTCCCGCGAAATAGCCGGCAATTTTCAATTCACCAATCCAATAGTTGAAAAGTCGAATGGGATTCAAATGCTTAACCAGTAAAAAATTCTGGATAAAAATTTCCCATTTCTCTATCTGAATAGAGAAATGGCTGAGCCTAAGCCCTGTTGATCACTAGCTCTACCAATCTCTACCAATGTTGGCTTGGATCAGCTCATAGACTTTAGATCTCTAGAACAACTGGTCCGATTTCTTCTCTCACATCAGCTCAATGAAGCTCATCTCTCTAAAATCCCTCTTTCAACTCATCTCTAGCTCTAGCAAAGAGTGAGAATGAGCTCTAGCAATGAGCCACAGTGGAGCTCTCCATTTCTCTATCGAATTCTTATCCCTGCTGATCACTAGCCCGTTTTCTAACTCAGTTTTTATCTCTAACAATCATCAACAATAAAGTGGGCCTCAGCTTTCTTTCTTTTCCGTTTTCCGTTTTCGCTTTTCTCTCCAGCCTGTCATCAAAGCTGAGTTCTTTCTTTTATTCTTGTCCAGCTTACTTCTATTTCCAGCCTTAGGGATTATTGTAGTTGAAAAGTCGAATCGGATTCAAATTCTTGAGCCTAAAAAAATTCTGGGTAAAAATTTTCAAATCTACGGCTAGCATAGAAATCTATTGTGGTCAATTAAGCAAAAAAAAAATGGCTTTATCGCAAATTTGTAACGGGAAATTTACCTGTATTTTCACTACAAAATGCGAATTTCTTTTAAACCATTGTAGTATTTAAATAAGTAACTAAAGTAAGAAAACGATAACAAAAAAATCAAAAAATCTCTCGTTTTTCTCGGGATTGATTAGTTGAATATAATAGATATCATTTGAAAACCAAAAATTAAGTGCTTGACTGCCTGACTGACTGCTTTTTTTAAAAAGTTACCTGACTACCTGACTTACCTGACTAAAAAGTTACCTGACTAATCAAAATCTTCGACGAATTCTTTGCGTTTATATGTTTAATTCTTTATTCAAAGTTTTAGAAAATAGCAAAAGATTACATAGAAAGACTACTAGAAATGAGAAAATTATTAGAAAATGTTTTAGAATTTTCCACGGCTTGGCGCGCGCATAACAGCGACAGAAGCGGATCCTTGGAGTCCTGGGCCGACTGAGGTACCAGCACGAGTTTTTGATCTAAAAATGGTTCTAGAATGTGGATATTATGGATAAATCTGGATATTAAACAAATAGCAAATAAACAAATTGTTGCATAGTTCTATTAAGCTTCATTGGCCGACTAGTTTCTCCAATTTACTCTAGTGAGGCAAGAGATTAGAGCTCTCTACAGTACAGCTTTACAGTACAGCTTTATAGTACAGCTTTATAGTACAGCTTTACCGTACAGCTTTACAGTACAGCTTAATAGTACAGCTTTACAGTACAGCTTTACAGTACAGCTTTATAGTACAGCTTTACAGTACAGCTTTACCGTACAGCTTTACAGTACAGCTTAATAGTACAGCTTTACAGTACAGCTTTATAGTACAGCTTTACAGTATAGTACTGTTGAGTCTTTGATTCAATGTAGATCACTTAAAATCTTGTAAACTCTTTAACTCTTGTGAACTCTTGTAACTTTGTTACCGAAGTTTGGTTAGCGAGTCTTCAGCCGAGTCGGCTCTCTCCTCGGTGTCCTCCAATTGAGCCTGGATTCCGCGGAATTTCTGGAGATTTGTGTTGGCGAGCTCTTCCTAAAATATTAAATGAGTTGAATCCATAGTTGCCAATCCACTTACAGCATCCTCGATTTGTCTCTTCTGCGTCTTGATCTTCGTCTGGAGTTTGTCGACGAGATCGTTGAGGCGTTCGAAGTTCTTCTTGTCCTCATCAATCTGAAATTTGTTTAGAAATAGAGCAGCTAGTTTAAAGACAGTTTCTGGTACTTAAAACAAGGCTTCTTATATAATCAAAAATCTGTAGAACTCACCTGGAACTGAAGCTCTTTGGTGCGACGATCGGTCTTCTGCACTTCTTTCAGAACAATAGCATATCGGCGTTGCTCTCCATCGAGCTCAGCTTCCAACTCGCGAATGCGTTGCTCGAGTTTGGCAATGGTCTGGAAACAATTTTATATGACTAACCAAAAAACCTTCTACCTTCTTTCCGCCCTTCAACGCCGCAGCTTCAGCCTCGTCGAGACGCACTTGGAACTCCTTCAGACGCTGCTCGAGCTCGGTCTTGCTGCGTCCAAGAGCAGCTCCATGCTCTTGCTCTTGCTTCAACTCTTCAGCCAAACGAGTCGCGTCAGCAATTGCTTTCTTGCTGTTCTCTTCAGCCAAACGGAACTCTTTCATTGTCTCGTCCAAATCCGAGTGAAGAGCTGCGATCTCTCCCTCCAACTTTCTCTTTGTCGATGAAAGAGTTGAGGCCTGGAGTTGCAGCTCGTTGGCTTGATCGCGGGAGTCGCGAGCGTCGTTCTCGGCTTGACGACGTTGATGATCAACTTCAGCGAAGGCGTGCTTGAGCTCATCCTTGTCTTGTTCGAGATTCTGAGCTCTCTTCTCAGCTCCTTGCAATTGATCACGGACCTCATCCTTTTGGCGTTGTTCCTCCTCGACGGTGAGTTGCAATTCACGGATTTGTTCTTGATGTTTGCGGAGATTCTTCTGTGTGTCAGCGTTGTTCTTGTTTGCATGGTCAAGAGCGATCTCCAACTCGTTGATGTCTCCCTCAAGCTTCTTCTTCGACTTGAGCAATTCGTTCTTTGACTTGGCCTCAGTTTGGATGCTGGCTTGCATGCTTTCCAAAGCCTTTTGGTGATTCTTGCGAGTGCTTTCGAATTCAGCCTCCTTCTCTTGGATTCGTTTCTCAATCTCTGATCGGATTTGAGACACTTCAACTTGGGCTCTCATCACCTTTGCTTCTTCAGCTTCGAGCGCATTCTCAGCCTCATCGAGAGCCTTCTGCAACTCTTCCTTTTCTGTCTCCAAGCGACGGATGATCTTTTGCATTTCGTGAACGGATCGTCCTCCTTCTCCAAGTTGATCACTCAAATCCTTGATCTCAGATCCAAGAGCTTTGTTCTCACGTCGAAGTCCTTCAATGATTTCTCCAAGTTCATCTTGAGCAGCTTTAGCACGATGAAGATCAGCAATTGCATTTCGGGCATCACGTTGAGCAGAGTCAACTTGGGCGGCAAGATCATCAGACTTGTGTTTCCATTCAGAAACGATATCATCAAAGTCTCGTTGTTTCTTCTCGAGAGTTGAAGCATAAGAGTTTGCACGATCAGCATCAACTTGGGCATCATCGAGTTCTCCAGCAATTCTTGCCTTCGATTTGTCCAATCCAGCAATCTTCTGGGTGGCGGCTTCAATCGAATCGGTGAGTTCTTGGATTCGTTGTTGTTGTTTTCTCTTGGCCTCCTCAATCTCGTCAGCACGGAGCATTCCTTCTCCTTCGAAGCGAGACTTCCATTGTTGAATCTCAGCATTGGCTTTTGAGAGTTGACGGTTCACATCATTCTTGGCCTCAACTTCCTCCTCGAGAGCTGATCGGACTTGTTCAGCATCAGCTTGAGCATTGCGGGCGGCAGCTTGAAGAGCTTGACGTTCACGGGCCTCATCATCAGCAGCTCGCTTGGCCTCATCGAGTTGAGCAAGAATTTGAGATTTGACACGGTTGATGTTGGCGACTTGAGAGTCAACATCCTCAAGTTGACGGCCAAGATCAGAGTTTTGTCCGGAGAGACGTCCCTTCACAGAGGTCAAATCATGGAGTTCACGGCCTTGGTCATCAACACGAGATTGAAGCTCGCTGAGCTGGCTCTCGAATTGCTTGGCAAGCTTCTCGTGCTGGACCTTGGTAGCAACTTCTTGGTCGAGCAAAGATTGAAGTCCTTCAGCATCACGTTGGGCTTGGACCTTGTCTTTTTCAGCCTTGTTCTTCGATTTGTTAACATGATTGATTTGCTCAGAGAGTTCAGCAACGGCGTCAGTGTGCTTCTTCTTGAGGGCGGAGAATTGGTTGTCGTGGATATGTCCAGCCTCCTCAATGTCACGACGAAGCTTGGCAAGCTCAGCCTCACGCTTCTTGTTGACTTCGGATTGAGCCTGGGTGGCTCCTCCTTGCTCATCAAGGCGATTGTTCAAGTCTTCGAGTTCACTCTGGAGCTCATGCTTCGAGCGTTCAGCACGATTTCGAGAATCACGCTCACCGTCAAGCTCTTCTTCAAGCTCCGAAACACGGGATTGGTGCTCTTTGATTTGACGTTGAAGCTTTCCAACCAAAGATTGCTCATCCTCAAGCCGGCTATTGATGTTGTGCAACTCGGCCTCCTTCTTCTTCAAGTTGTTCTCCAAGTCGAGCTTTTGCCGGCTAACTTCCTCAATGTTTTCATTAGCAATCTTCAGCTCACCCTCAGCCTTTCTCTTGTCTTTCTCAGCTTCAGCTTTGTTTCGCTTCTCGCGGTTTAGAGCATCCTCCAACTCATCTAAAGTTTGCTCAAGCTTTGACTTGACTTTGTTCGAGTGATTGACTTTATCCTCCTCACTGTGAAGATCCTCAACAAGTTTTCGGTTCATCTCCTCCTGATGTTTCTTCTCTTTGCTCAACTTGGCAACAGTTTCATCTTGGTGTTGCATTTCATCTTGAAGAGAGCGGATTTGGTGTTCTTTAGATTGACGCTCCGATTCACCCTTTCTCAAGCTCATCTGCAAGTCTTGGAGTTGTTTCTTCAACCCATCCAACTCTCCTTCAGCACGTTTCTTGGCACGAAGTCCATCAGAGTTCGACTCCTCAGCAATAGCCAGAGCGTCATTCACATCATCCAAATCACGAACGGCTCCACTATGCTGTGACTCAAGGTGGTTCACCTTTGCCTCATGCTCAGAGACGCTAGCCTTAGCTTTCTCCAAATGGGCAAAGAGTTGATTCTTCTCGGCGAGAATCTTGCTGTTTTGAGACTCGAGTTGACTGCGGAGTTCGGCTTCTTTTTTGAGAGTTCCCTCGACTTCTTGGAGTTTTGCATTAAGGGCATCAAGTTGTTCATCAAACTTGCTAGCATAGATGAGTGGTTTGACTTTTCCGTAAAGCTTAAACCAATCCCAAGTGCGAAGTCCACACCATGATTTGACGTTTCGTTGAACGATAAGCAATCCGATTCGCTGTTGCTCGCGGCGCTTCTTGTCAGTCTGAAAATGGGATTGGATGAAAATTGATTTTGTTTTAAAAGCTATAGACAAAGTCAACTAATCCACTACTTTAAACTCGATCTTTAGCTTAAGCTTAAGTAGCCTAAGCTTAAGTAGCCTAAGCTTAAGTAGCTTAAGCTTAAGTAGCTTAAGCTTAGGCTAGCTAGTTAATGTACTAAATTATTAAAGATACGATTCTTGAATTTGTTTATTTTTAATCAACTCACCGCGCCAAGGTAAGAGCGAATGAAGGCTTGGAAGAGAGTGAAAATTTGAGCCAACTTCTCGTCACGAATGTCCTCGAGATGGGCAAGGATGCCGGCTTTGAAGAACACTTTAGTGACTCCGACTTTGAAGTTCTCATCAGTGACATAACCCTCTTTCACCATTCGTCCCATCACGTTTGCTGCACACTTCTTTGGATCAGAGTCCGACTTGGCCTCAGTGGCGGCAAGAATGGCATACCGGTGAACCAAGTCGGCATGCATCATTCTGTTGGGGAAACCTTTACGACAAATACGGATACCCTCAAGCACACCGTTACATGTCAATTGGTTCATGACAAGAGCCGCGTCAAGCACTCCAGATTGTTTCTTCTCGTTGGGGATGATACAACGGATGAAATGAGGATGGGTCTTGTGAAGCATAGTCATCAAATTGTTCAGAGACTCACGGTAAAGCATAGACACGGTCATCATCGAACCAGATTTACCCTTCTTCTTTGCACTAGCAGCAGCTCCAGATTTCTGGAGCTCAGCTTGCTCCTCTTGAGTGACGTAGTCGTCCCAAATGGTGCGGAGGAGAGCATTGTCATTTGAGGCCTTCATGCAAGCAACAACAGTATCGTTGAGAGGATCTTTATTCTTCTCAAGCCAATTAGTGCAATTGTATCTCACAGTTCCAGCATAATGCTTCATGGCAAAGTGAGCCTCAGCTTGTTTTCCCTTTGGTGGCTTGGGCTTCTCGAAGTTTGGATGTTTGCCCAAGTGTTGATCATTCAGCTTTTGAGCGAGAGTCAAGTCGGTAGCCTTTGGAACGATACACTCTTCATCAAGCATGGAAATGATACCCATAGGCTTCTCAATGAGCTCGATACAGGCTTGGAGATCAAGTCCAAAATCGATAAAGGTCCAGGCAATTCCTTCTCTTTGGTATTCCTCTTGCTCAAGAACGAACATGTGATGGTTGAAGAATTGTTGAAGTTTTTCGTTCACAAAGTTAATCCACAACTGCTCGAAAGAGTTGAAGTCGAAGATCTCGAAACCAGCGATATCCAGCACACCGATGAAGTGATCGCGAGCAATACCTTGCTGATCAAGAGTCTGGTTGCACTTAGAGACAATCCAGTTGAAGACACGGTTGTAGACGGCTTTAGCCATAGCTCCTTTAGCCCAGTTGACTTGCTCACAGTTTTGTCCTTTCGAGACCCACTCGTTTCCGACACGCACTCGAGGCTTCAAGAGAGCCAACAAGAACTTCTCGGTGTCCACTCCATACATAGCAGCCGTTTTCTCTGCCTCATCAGTTCCATCAGTCTCGGCTTGTTCTTCACGTGGGCGTTGTTTGAATTTCATGTTGCCCAGGTGCATATGAGCGGACATGAGCTTGTAGCAGTCCGTTTTCTCATCTTTTGAGAAATTGAGAATATCAAAGGACTCTTCGGTGGCTTGGAACTCTTCGGTGTCGTTGATACCATCGACAGTCAACTCGGCTTGGGCGACAAACCAGTATTCCTTGATTGGTTTATCAAGCAAAAGCTTCTCCTTAAGTCCAGGAACATATCCGGTGAAAATTTGGTAGAAAATGTGATAGCAACGTTCTCCAGGAGCTTGACGAATCACACGAGATTTCTCGAGAAGATAATGCTCAATATCGCAAGAAGCGACACGTCCAGATCGAGAGAAATGGATACGAATGAATTTTCCGAAACGAGAAGAGTTATTGTTACGGACAGTCTTGGCATTTCCAAAAGCTTCGAGGACAGGGTTGGTACGAACGATTTGATCCTCAAGAGTAGCCTTCTTGGTTCCATCATCAGCAGTCACTCCCTCAGCAGCGTTTTGCTTAGCTCCCAAGGCGGCAAAGTAACCAATAACCTTTTTGGTGTTCTCAGTCTTTCCAGCTCCTGATTCTCCAGTGATAAGCATAGATTGATTCTCATGATCGATCAACATATTTCTATAAGCTTCATCAGAAACTGAAAAGAGATGAGGCGGCATTTCGTTTCTTCTTTTTCCCATGTACATTCGAGCAACAGATTCGGTGTAGATGGGAAGACGCTTGTAGGGATTGATGACAACACAGAAGAGGCCAGAGTAGGTCTAGAAATAGTTCATTCTTGAATTGTTGAACAAAATAGTACTAGAAACAGAATACTGTCTTTACTGTCATTGTTAAAAGTGACTGAACTTACTTACTGAACTTACTTTACTTTAAAATAGTTAATGATGTAAGTACTTTAACTTAAAGTCAGCAATTTTATAACATTTTAATGTCTCACATAGATAAGCATCATCTTGTAGCGAGCTCTCAAGTTATGAAGCACAGAGGCGTCGTTGAGGAAAGACAAGTTGGACATGTCCTCGGTTTTCTCGAATTTCGGTGGATTCATCTCTTGGACAAGCTCTTTCTTGAGAGTGATCTGAAAAAATCGAGTTTACTTTTTGATCATCGATTGTCCAATCACCTCATTCTGAGATCTGGTGACAACGGTGACCATTTCCCCGGCGGTTTTGATGATTTCACCCGATTGGAAACCATCCTCCTCGTCGGGCACCCAGCAGTTTTTCTTTGAGTCATAGGGTTGAGATTGATCCTGGAAGAGAATTCATTTGGCTTGACTTTGGGAGGTTTTGGGAGGTTTTGGGATTTGGTTTTGGGTTTTGGTTTAAGATTTTGCAATACTGTAGAGAGATTGAATCCCAATTTTCGCAATTGGATCGAATCATAGAGCTTCCGGAACGTTAGGCAAGAATACTAATCACTTAACCAGCATGAACAAAGTAAATGATAAAGTTTGCTTGCTTTATTGATTGGCTTGCTTTATTCATTGGCTTGCTTTATTCATTGGCTTGCTTTATTGATCGGTTTGCTTTATTGATTGGCTTGCTTTATTGATTGGCTTGCTCTATTCATTAGCTTTTATCTAAACGATAAAGTTTGCTTGCTTTATTCATTGGGTTTTATCTAAAAGCTCTTCATACCAATATACTTTAGCAAGACTGGACTTGACAGTAGGTTCAAGATTGATCATTTTCAATGTATTACTCCGTAACGAACAATCAAGTGCTTAACCAACTCTAGTCAGCATCGGCATTAGAGTTAAACGATAAAGTTTGCTTGCTTTATTGATTGGCTTGCTTTGCTCTATTCATTGGTTTGCTCTATTCATTGGCTTGCTTTATTCATTAGCTTTTATCTAAAAGCTCTTCATTAGATAGCAGAGTTTTAAATCGACATCGACAAACTACATGGTGGCTCACCGCACTTTAGAGGGCTTAGATTGGTCAAAATTGAGTGAATCGTTCTGATTTTTCTGGAGATAAATCTTAAGTATTTCTCCTATAATGGTGTCAATTATCTAATCGATTCAAGCTTTCAACTTTTTTATATGACCTTCAAAAGTTGAGAGCCAAGTGTCGCAAATTTATGCAATTTTTGAGAGCGCTCTTGTCAAAATCTCGTTTAGATTCATTTTATTATGTTAATAAACAAAATTTCACATACTCTGCACAGTTTAATTGCATAAAATTCTTGAAATTTCACTAAAACTCATTATGATCTATTTTTTGGTTGAACAATTTATAGGGTATTCAGAGAACAAGAAAGAAGACAAGAAAATTTGTTTTCATTGTTTGATTTTCTCTCTACTTTAAATTCAGATTCTTTAATCAAGTTAGAGCAATCTACAGTAGCTAGAGCAATCTATGGTAGTTAGAGCAATCTACAGACTAGCTATAGTAGTTAGAGCAATCTACAGTAGCTACATTAGTTAGAGCAATCTACAGTAGCTAGAGCAATCTATGGTAGTTAGAGCAATCTACAGTAGCTAGAACAATCTACAGTAGCTAGAGCAATTTACAGTAGCTTTTGTTTCGTTTTAATATTTTTTCTCAGTCCCCATTTCGTGCTCAGGGCCTCAAGTGTTCTGGAAATTCTCAGAAAACTTGGAAAGCGAAAGAAAAGCTGTAGAGAGTTTTCAGGGAATCCCTCAAAGACAGTTGTCTTTCTCTTTTGTGTGAAAAAAATGGGTTTTAAGAAAAGGATGGGGAGATCAAGAAGGACATTGAGAGGTTGGAGGATCAAGCAAGGAGGAGGAGGAGAGATCCTGCGGATGGGAAGATCAAGCAAGGAGGAGGAGGAGAGATCCTGCGGGGGAAGGCCCAAGGGAAAGCGTTTGTTGTAAAGTTCTTTCCACCTCCTCCAACCCCATTGAAACAACGAAAAGAAAAAATGTGAGAATTCCTGTAGTAGTTGAAGATCTATGCTATGATGAAGATCTCTGAAAGAGAAAATTCTAACAGTAAGCCAAACACTGATCAGTACTGGTAATTTTATATGTGCTAAATGATTTTGGCTTTTCGAAGATCACTGAAAGAATACATGGAGACTAAATATAGTTTTATTAAAGATAAGAATTCTTTTTGAAAGTTAAAACAATAATAGTATTATTTTTTTGAAGAAAAACAATTAATTCTAGTAGTTTTTAGTTAGATTTATTTGAAATTACATTTTTAAAAGTCCCTCTAAACATTTCGAGTTGAAACACGAGTTTCTCTGGTACTTTTTCTTCTTCAAAAGGATCCATTACTCAGCTCTTTCTCAGCAAAAGTGAGAAAATAAAAAAACAATGATCAGAGATTGAAGAACGAGTTGTTTTTGGATATCGGAATTGAAACAAAAGCTTGGATAGCTGGATAGTTGGATAGCTTTGAAAGCTTGGATTTTGATTGAAATCAATACTTTCTTAGCTGTTAATACTCTCCTAGAAATGAAAAATAAGTTGAATATCCCATTAGTTTTTTCTCGTAATCACATTTTCTTATCTGCACTCAGCAATAAGCAAATGAAAGTACGGTAAAATTGTCTAGTTCTTAAAAGCTTAATGAGCTGAATTAACGATTGGATTAACGGATTAACGGATTAACGATTCAGAATTTTTTTCTTTTCTGATTTCTGATTGAATCATATCAAAAATTAAAGGTAATTCTATGGAAATTATGAAAATTGAATGAAATTCAATAGAAATTCAATAGAAATTGAATGAAATTGAATGAAATTGAATGAAATTGAATGAAATTGAATGAAATTGAATGAAATTCACTAAAATTCACTGAAATTGAATGAAATTGAATGAAATTCAATAGAAATTCAATAGAAATTGAATGGAAATTGAATGAAATTGAATGAAATTCACTAAAATTGAATGAAATTGAATGAAATTGAATGAAATTCACTAAAATTGAATGAAATTGCAATGAAATTGAATGAAATTCACTAAAATTGAATGAAATTCACTAAAATTCAATGAAATTCACTAAAATTCAATGAAATTCACTGAAAATTGAATAAAAATGAAGATTGAATGAAAATAACGAATGAAGATACCAAATGCAAGCTGGCAGTTTGATTAAGGCAGGATTAACGCACCTTTTGAAAGTATTGCATTACCTTAATGCAGATTAATGCATAAGTCTTCAATTTTTATTTCAAAATCTCTTCTAAAAATAAGCAACAACAAGATTTCTATTTAAACGATTTAAAACTATTAATTGTTTCTCTACAAAATGACTTTTGGGGAAGTTTTTGGAAGTCGTTGTTTTTGTGAATTTTCAAGGCCCAGCTTCGCAAAGGGGTAAAGGCCCAGCTCCAAAAAAAATTTGTAAAGATTCTAGCTCTACTAAGCGCACCATGATAGTCCGATGGTGCGCTTGTCACTCACGCTTGTCACACCATCGGACTATCATCTGTTCAGGCATTTTGTCCAGAATCGTCCGATTATCATTTTTCCAGGTCTCTGGAGCATCATTTGCGTGGAAAGATCTTTCAAAACGTCGAGGAAATGCGCTTCTCACTCACTCAGTTTTTCTCACTCACTCAGCTTCGAAGCCACGTGAGTTTTACCGCCGCGGAATCTATTTGTTGCCGGATAAGTGGCAGGATTTTATTGATGTTGACGGTGAATATTTCGAGTAGATAAATTCTGTTTTTTTATTTGGCGTTTTTGATGCGTAAAATAAAAAGTTAGATCTAGCGTCAAAAAACGGAAAGAATTTTCCGGTCAACCTATTAGGTTGATGCATAAGTCTTTTCGTTTTTCCAAGAACTGAAATCAAGAGCTATGAAATCGAAAATGAAGAATGCTGAAGAAGAAGAAGAAGAAGAAAACATGAAATGCTTCATTTCTCCCATTACAAACAAATGTCTCATGAACGAATAATTGATGTAATTAAAACACCAATAGAATCCAATAGGATCCAATAGAATCCAATAGAATCCAATAGAATCCAATAGAATCCAATAGGATTCAATAGGATCCAATAGGATTCAATAGGATCCAATAGGATTCAATAGGATCCAATAGAATCCAATAGGATTCAACGAATAATTGATGTAATTAAAACACAGCAAAAAAGAATGGAAACGATCATAAAATTATTAGGTTGATGCATAAGTCTTTTCGTTTTTTTCGTACTTCTGTTAAAAAGTAACAAATTCACCAATTAATCTATAGTTTGCTCTATAAAAAAAGTGTTTTTTTTTGTTCAATTTGCATCTTTTTAAATGAATTTCGGTTCACTTTCAAGCAAATTCGAGAGTGAAAAACGCCTTTTTCGTAAAAATCTATAAAAAACTCTACGGAAAAATTGGCTGAATGAATTTCTCTGAAATTTTGGCGAAATATCAAACGTTTTTTTCTCTATCTTTTCTCTATCTATTGACACGAAGATAGGTTTTCTTTAGCTAAGGTGTCTAAACCGCTCAGGCTCAGGCTCAGGCTTAGGCTGAGGCTTAGCCTGAGCCTGAGCCTGAGCCTAAACCGCATCATCGAGTTAGCCCTTTTTGACTACCCGACTTCATACTCTCAAGAAAATCCAGGCATTAAATATTTTTAAACCCGTTTTAATGTTATTTTGCAGAAAAATAATTGCTTTTTCTAATGAAATCAACCGTTGTTTAATTGGTGCATTTGTTGGCTTGAAACGGCTGATGAAAAGGAACAAAAACACTTATGCATCAACCTATTAATATAAGCTGTGCGAAAAACTTTCCAAAACCTTTGCAAGACTCAAATTGGTCTTAGATTGGTCAAAATTGAGTCGATCGTTCAGATTTTTCACAAACTTGAATGATTTGCTCGCGACTCATTCGAAGAAACTGCCATCCCGGATCGTTCTCACAGTCGAACATTGTCGAAGAAGAGAATTAGCTTTGGAGTGAGCTCAAAAATAGAGTGACTTCAGTCAAAAAATCTTCTTTTATATCATGCTAGATTTGACATTTTCCCCTTTTTTTCCCTGTCATCTCTTCTCCTTTTCCACTATTGCATAGGATTTTGCACGTGGGAATGGCTAAATCCCCCAGTTTTGTCCCCAAATCTTTATTGGGTCTCCTTTGATGACCTAAATCTCTTCATTTTCCCTTATTTCCCCCTAACTATTTGTATGTGTGATAGAGATTTTTTGGTTCAATTTCTTTTTTCTCTTCTTGCTTCTTCTTGTTGCATCTTGCTCCTTCTTTCTCCATCTTTCTCCGTCTTTCTCCTTCTCCCTCCTTCTCCCTCCTTCTCCCTCCATCTTCCTCCATCTCCCTCCATCTTCCTCCTTCTCCCTCCTTCTTCCTCCTCCTTAAAATCTCTCTTACACTAGCAGTTGTGTGCCCCCACAACGGGCATATCGCCAAAGAATCGACGATCATGCTTTGTAATTGAAAATCTATTTGAGTAGGTTTATTGTTAAAAAAAAACTAAAGAAATTCTATAAGCTAAAAATAAAAAATAGAAAATAGAAAAAGATTAGGTCGAGATATGTGTTTTTGATGAGAAACGTGCGAATCCGTTTCTAGAATTTCGAGCGACTTGGCGCGCGCATCACGGCAACCGAAGCGGATCCCTGAAGACCGGGTCCAACCGATGTGCCGGCACGAGTTTTCGAGCTGGAAATGAAAAATGAATCTATTGAAAGAATAGTTTTCTTTTAAGAAAAGAAAGAAAGTAAGATAAGAAATAAGAAAGTTTACGACTTACTGCCGTAAAAATTCGGCTTAAATTCGGCTTAAAAACAAGCCGATTGTCGCCGAACAAGTCAAACAAGTCGTTCAATCGTTTATTGGTTAAAGCAAGAAAGAAAAATTCATCTTAGCTCTACAATATCTCTACAATAGCTCTACAATAGCTCTACAATATCTCTACAATAGTATCTACAATATCTCTACACTATCTCTACAATATTATCTACAATATCTCTACAATATCGCTTTTCAAGACTCTTTCCCATTCTCGACTCACCGAAGTTTTGTGAGCGAGTTCTCAGCCGAGTCAGCTCTCTCCTCAGCGTCCTCCATTTGAGCTTGGATTTGACGGAACTTTTGAAGGTTCCCGTTCGCCAGCTCCTCCTAGAAAATTCTCTTAATTTATTGATTGATAAGCTTTCAATCTTTTTTTTTTAAACTTTTGATCTGGTTTTTTCATTCTCATCAGTCAATTTCTAAAGCGTCAGTTGTTAAGGCAATGAAACAATGATTTAGATCAAATTTAGAGCAAAAGCAAAAGGAAAAGCAAAAGGAAAAGGAAAAGGAAAAGGAAAAGCAAAAGGAAAAGCAAAAGGAAAAGCAAAAGGAAAAGGAAAAGCAAAAGAAAAAGCAAAAGAAAAAGCTAAATCAAAAGCAAAAGCAAAAGCCAAAGCCAAAGCTAAATCAAAAGCAAAAGCAAAAATAAGTCTAAATTCAATTTTGTAGAGTCAGGGAATTGTTTTGAAAGTTGAAAGTGAAGACTTTTAGCATTTAGCATAGCAATTATAGCAATTCACTGATTTTTCTTTAAAATTAAACACTTGTTAAACCAAAAGAAGGCTGTATGAAGAAAATTGCTCATATACCGTATTTCTTCGAATAGAAGACCGGGTAAAGGGTATGATCGCGTACTCCTGCGTAGTAGCCCTTTTTAGCATTTCTTTTCTGCCTAAAAGCTTTCAATGAAGTGCTATAGAGCTGGAAAATGACTCAAAAATCTGTTAGTTCATGTGGTATTTTTGAGTCATTTTCCAGCTCTATATCACTTGATTGAAAGCTTTTATGCAGAAAAGAAATGTTAAAAAAGGGCTGCTACGCAGGAGTACGCGATCATACTCTTTACCCGGTCTTCTATTCGAAAAAATACGGTAATTCTTCTAATAACAAAAAAAATATGAAAGAATCATTTTGTTTTTGAATTTTCTTTGCATATCTTTTTAATATCTTTCTTTTAAAACTCACAGCATCTTCGAGTTGATTCTTCTGGGTACGAATCTTGCCTTGGAGTTTATCGACGAGATCGTTGAGACGATCGAAGTTCTTCTTGTCCTCATCGATCTAGAAAGGTATTTGGGTAAGTAAAACCCGATGAATAGAATGATTTTAAAAGTTTAAAGCCTTTAAAACAATAGTATTGTATTTTTTTTTTTATTTTTTTTTTTTTTTTTTTTTTTTTTTTTTTACTAATAAACACCCTCTTTTTTTTATTTTAACCCTCTCTTTTTTTTATGAAGAAAAAAATTTTTTTTTTTTTTTTTTTTATTTTTTTTTTTTTTTTTTTTTTCTTTTTTTTTTTTTTTTTTTTTTTTTTAATATTTTAAAAAACCATTAATTTTTTAAAAATAATGTACAACAATAGTACAACAACAATAGCTTTCTTTTCTTTTCTTTTCCTAAGCTAAGAAGCGAATCTGATGCACAGAGTTTACAAAAAAAAGCTCATTTCTTGATGTTCTTTATTTTCTCATAAAGTTAGCAACTAGAGATGCTTAGATGCTTAGATTTTTCTTAGAGATGCTTAGACTCACTTGGAATTGAAGTTCTTTCACACGACGATCAGCCTTTTGCACCTCCTTGGTGGCGTTAGCATAACGGCGCTGCTCTCCGTCCAACTCTCCTTCGAGTTCACGATTGCGTTGCTCGAGCTTAGCAATCGTCTGAAAAAAGTTACAGTAGGCAATTTAGCCCAAAACTTAGCCAAAATCTGTGAAAGAGTTGTCAAGCTACAATCCCAAAAAAACTCACCTTCTTGCCTCCCTTGAGTGCGGCAGCTTCGGCCTCGTCGAGACGAATTTGGAACTCTTTAAGGTGTTGTTCAAGCTCTTTGCGGGCTCGCTCAAGGCTTGATCCGTGCTCTTGCTCTTGTTTGAGCTCTTCAGCAAGACGAGTGGCGTCAGAGATTGCCCTCTTTGCCTCATCCTCAGCGTTGCGGTACTCCTTGAGGGTCTCGTCGAGATCAGCGTGCATCGCTTGAATCTCTCCCTCTAACTTTCTCTTGGCCGAGTTCAATGAAGAGGCTTGGAGCTGGAATTCGTTGGCGGCTTCACGACAATCGTGAGCCTCAGTTTCGGCTTGACGACGTTGATGATCGACCTCAGCGAAGGCGTGCTTGAGCTCATCCTTGTCTTGTTCGAGATTCTGAGCTCTCTTCTCAGCTCCTTGCAATTGATCACGGACCTCATCCTTTTGGCGTTGTTCCTCCTCGACGGTGAGTTGCAATTCACGGATTTGTTCTTGATGTTTGCGGAGATTCTTCTGTGTGTCAGCGTTGTTCTTGTTTGCATGGTCAAGAGCGATCTCCAACTCGTTGATGTCTCCCTCAAGCTTCTTCTTCGACTTGAGCAATTCGTTCTTTGACTTGGCCTCAGTTTGGATGCTGGCTTGCATGCTTTCCAAAGCCTTTTGGTGATTCTTGCGAGTGCTTTCGAATTCAGCCTCCTTCTCTTGGATTCGTTTCTCAATCTCTGATCGGATTTGAGACACTTCAACTTGGGCTCTCATCACCTTTGCTTCTTCAGCTTCGAGCGCATTCTCAGCCTCATCGAGAGCCTTCTGCAACTCTTCCTTTTCTGTCTCCAAACGACGGATGATCTTTTGCATTTCATGAACGGATCGTCCTCCTTCTCCAAGTTGATCACTCAAATCCTTGATCTCAGATCCAAGAGCTTTGTTCTCACGTCGAAGTCCTTCAATGATTTCTCCAAGTTCATCTTGAGCAGCTTTAGCACGATGAAGATCAGCAATTGCATTTCGGGCATCACGTTGAGCAGAGTCAACTTGAGCGGCAAGATCATCAGATTTGCGTTTCCATTCAGAAACGATATCATCAAAGTCTCGTTGTTTCTTCTCGAGAGTTGAAGCATAAGAGTTGGCACGATCAGCATCAACTTGGGCATCATCGAGTTCTCCAGCAATTCTTGCCTTCGATTTGTCCAATCCAGCAATCTTCTGGGTGGCGGCTTCAATCGAATCGGTGAGTTCTTGGATTCGTTGTTGTTGTTTTCTCTTGGCCTCCTCAATCTCGTCAGCACGGAGCATTCCTTCTCCTTCGAAGCGAGACTTCCATTGTTGAATCTCAGCATTGGCTTTTGAGAGTTGACGGTTCACATCATTCTTGGCCTCAACTTCCTCCTCGAGAGCTGATCGGACCTGTTCAGCATCAGCTTGAGCATTGCGGGCAGCAGCTTGAAGAGCTTGGCGTTCACGGGCCTCATCATCAGCAGCTCGCTTGGCCTCATCGAGTTGAGCAAGAATTTGAGATTTGACACGGTTGATGTTGGCGACTTGAGAGTCAACATCCTCAAGTTGACGGCCAAGATCAGAGTTTTGTCCGGAGAGACGTCCCTTCACAGAGGTCAAGTCGTGGAGTTCACGGCCTTGGTCATCAGCACGAGATTGGAGCTCGCTGAGCTGGCTCTCGAATTGCTTGGCAAGCTTCTCGTTCTGGACCTTGGTCGAGGACTCTTGGTCAAGAAGTGATTGAAGGCTCTCGGCTTCACGCTGAGATTGAACCTTGTCCTTCTCAGCCTTGTTCTTTGCCTTGTTGACTTGGTCGATTTGCTCAGAGAGCTCAGCGACGGCATCTTGGTGCTTCTTCTTCAAAGAGGAGAGGTTGTTCTCGTGGTGATGAGCGGCTTCCTCCAAGTCACGGCGGAGTTTGGCCAACTCAGCCTCACGCTTCTTGTTGATCTCGGATTGAGTCTGGGTGGCACCTCCTTGCTCATCAAGACGGTTGTTCAAGTCCTCGAGTTCACTTTGGAGCTCAGCCTTGGCGCGCTCAGATCGGCTCCTCGATCCACGCTCATTCTCAGCCTCTTCCTCAAGAGTTCCAAGGGTGGCTTGAAGCTCCTTGATTTGTCGCTGAAGCTTGCTGACAAGCGATTGCTCATCATCTAGACGGCTGTTGGCATTCTGGAGTTCAGCCTCCTTCTTCTTAATGCTATTCTCCAAGTCGAGCTTCTGGCGAGTGGCCTCTTCGATGTTTTCGGTGGCGACTTTAAGCTCACCCTCAAGCTTTCTCTTGTCCTTCTCAGCATCGGCTTTGTTTCTCTTCTCACGGTTGACAGCATCCTCCAACTCGTCCAAAGTCTGCTCAAGCTTTGACTTGACTTTGTTCGAGTGATTGACTTTGTCCTCCTCGCTCTGGAGATCCTCGATGAGCTTTCGGTTGAGCTCCTCTTGATGTTTCTTCTCCTTGTTAAGCTTTCCACAAGTCTCCTCCTGGTGTTGCATCTCATCTTGAAGAGAGCGGATTTGGTGTTCTTTAGATTGACGCTCAGATTCGCCCTTTCTCAAGCTCATCTGCAAGTCTTGGAGTTGTTTCTTCAGTCCCTCCAATTCTCCCTCGGCGCGTTTCTTGGCACGAAGTCCTTCAGAGTTTGACTCCTCAGCAGCAGCAAGGGCATCATTGAGTGAGTCGAGATCTCCAACAGCTCCAGAGTGTTGACCCTCCAATTGTCCAACCTTTGATCCAAACTCAGCAAGATTAGCCTTAGCTTTCTCCAAATCGGCAAGCAATTGATTCTTCTCCTCAAGCACCTTAGCGTTTTGCACTTCGAGTTGTTGACGAATCTCGAGCTCTTTGGTGAGACTTCCTTCAACCTCTTTGAGCTTAGCGTTAAGAGCATCGATTTGCTCATCAAACTTGCTAGCATAGATGAGTGGCTTGACTTTTCCATAGAGCTTGAACCATTCCCAAGTGCGAAGTCCACACCATGATTTGACGTTTCGTTGAATGATGAGAAGACCGACTTTTTGTTCCTCACGTCTCTTCTTGTCAGTCTGAAAATTAAATTGGATTTGATTACTCGATTACTAATTACTTTTGTGTTTTCGCTGTTAATATTATTATTATTTCAAAAAAGGCTAGTTTAACTTTAGCTTAAGAAATAGTAAACTAAAAATAAACTAACCGTTCCGAGATACGAACGGATGGCAGCTTGGAATCCGGTGAACAAGGTGTTCATCTTCTCATCACGCACATCCTCAAGTTTCGCCAAGATACCAGCCTTGAAGAAGACTTTGGTGAGACCGACGTTGAAGTTCTCGCTAGTCACATGACCTTCACCGACAAGTTTTCCCATGATCGCATCAGCGCACTTCCTCGAATCAGGATCTGACTTGGCCTCGGTGGCAGCCACGACAGCATAACGGTGCACAAAGTCGGGATGCATCATTCTGTTGGGGAAACCTTTACGGCAAATACGGATACCCTCAAGCACACCGTTACATGTCAATTGGTTCATGACAAGAGCCGCGTCAAGCACTCCAGATTGTTTCTTCTCGTTGGGGATGATACAACGGATGAAATGAGGATGGGTCTTGTGAAGCATAGTCATCAAATTGTTCAGAGACTCACGGTAAAGCATAGACACGGTCATCATCGAACCAGATTTACCCTTCTTCTTGGCACCAGCAGCAGCTCCAGATTTCTGGAGCTCAGCTTGCTCCTCTTGGGTGGTGTAGTCTTCCCAAATGGTGCGGAGGAGAGCGTTTTCGTTGGACTGCTTGAAGCATGAGACAACGGTATCGTTGAGTGGATCTTTGTTCTTCTCAAGCCAGTTGCTGCAATTGTATCTCACAGTTCCGGCGTAGTGACGCATGGCAAAGTGAGCCTCAGCTTGTTTTCCCTTTGGTGGCTTAGGTTTCTCGAAGTTTGGATGTTTTCCAAGATGTTGCTCGCTGAGTTTCTGGGCCAAGGTGGTGTCAGTGGCTTTTGGCACGATACACTCTTCATCAAGCATGGAAATGATACCCATGGGCTTCTCAATGAGCTCGATACACGCTTGAAGATCAAGTCCGAAATCGATGAACACCCACTTGATACCTTCACGAGCGTACTCTTCTTGCTCAAGAACGAACATGTGATGGTTGAAGAATTGTTGGAGTTTTTCGTTCACAAAGTTAATCCACAACTGCTCGAAAGAGTTGAAGTCGAAGATCTCGAAACCGGCGATATCAAGCACACCGATGAAGTGATCACGAGAGACTCCTTGCTGATCAAGGGTAACGTTACATTTTTGGACAAGCCAGTTGAAGACACGATTGTAGAGACCTTTAGCCATAGCGCCCTTGGCCCAGTTGACTTGCTCGACGTTCTGTCCCTTGGCCACCCACTCGTTACCGACACGCACACGGGGCTTCATCAAAGCGCCCATGAACTTCTCCATGTCCACTCCATACATAGCAGCCGCTTTGGTAGCCTCATCAGTTCCATCAGTCTCGGCTTGTTCTTCACGTGGGCGTTGTTTGAATTTCATGTTGCCCATGTGCATATGTCCCGACATGAGACGGTAGCAGTCCATCTTTTCGTCCTCACTGAAGCCAAGCACGGTGAAAGCCTCATCGGTGGCTTTCATCTCTTCAACGTCATCAATACCGTCCACAGTCAACTCAGCCTGAGCGACGAACCAGTAATCCCGAATGGGGAGGTCCAAAAGCAAGAGCTTCTTGAGCTCGGGCTTGTAGTTGGAGTAGATTTGGTAGAAAATGTGATAGCAACGTTCTCCAGGAGCTTGACGAATCACACGAGATTTCTCCAAAAGATAATGCTCAATATCGCAAGAAGCGACACGTCCGAGTTTCGAGAAATGAATTCGGATGAATTTTCCGAAACGAGAAGAGTTGTTGTTACGGACAGTCTTGGCATTTCCGAAAGCCTCAAGGATGGGATTGGTTTGAACGATTTGATCTTCAAGAGTGACTTGTTTGCCTCCTTCTTGAGCAATTCCTTCAGCTTCAGATTGTTTAGCACCAACAGCAGCGAAATAAGCAATAACCTTTTTGGTGTTCTCAGTCTTTCCAGCTCCCGATTCTCCAGTGATAAGCATAGATTGATTCTCATGATCGATCAACATATTTCTGTAAGCTTCATCAGAAACCGAGAAGAGATGAGGCGGCATTTCGGTTTTTCTTTTTCCCATGAACATACGAGCGACAGTGTCGGTGTAGATTGGGAGACGCTTGTAGGGATTGATGACAACACAGAAGAGGCCAGAGTAGGTCTAGAAATGAAGTGATTGGTTCGTTAGTTAACTAGTTAGCTAGTTATCTAGTTATCTATTGAAAATCTAGTTATCTAGTTTTGCTATCTATCTAGTTATCTATTGAAAAACATTTACTTACGTAGATGAGCATAGCCTTGTAGCGAGAGCGCAAGTTATGAAGCACAGAGGCGTCGTTGAGGAAAGACAAGTTGGACATGTCCTCGGTTTTCTCGAATTTCGGTGGATTCATCTCTTGGATGAGCTCCTTCTTGAGGGTGATCTGAAAATTTACGAGTTACGAGTTGGCACCAAATCCGATATTGTTCACCTCATTCTGCTTGATGGTGACAACTTTGATGGTGTCTCCCTTCTCCTCCATGACTTGAGCGGACACGAAACCGTCTTCCTCATCGGGCACCCAGCAATCCTTTTTCGAGTCATAAGGCTTCGATTGCTCCTGAGGAAATTGAATTTATAAAAAGTTGAGATCACATGAATCACATGAATATAATAGATCACATAAATCTATATAGATTTATATAGATCGCATAAATTGGTTGAGGTTTGTCATTTTGATGTAGAAAGGGTACAGTACCTAGTAGTGTCTAGTAGTACTGTTACAGTAACAGTACTACTATAACAGTACTACTATAGCTGCTATTATAACAGTACTACTATAACAGTACTACTATAGCTATAGTACTGTTGCATCTCGTTAATTCGTTTGCAGTACTGCTGCAATAGTACTACTATAACAGTACTACAATTCGAAACTTTCTCTTTACATTTCTTGTGCTTTTTCACGTTTAAAATTTCACATATGTTTTGAGGGACTGGGAAAAATCGAGTGAAGAGAATTGGTCTTGAAATTGGGAATCCTTGAGCGTTAATGGAAAACATGTGAAGCTCAGATAAAGAAAATAAAGAGGAGAAGAGTTTTTCAAAGAATAGAAACATATTTTCAAATAAAATAGGAAAGATTCGACTTTAGATGTCAAAATGGATTCAGTCGAGTGGATTCGATTGGCAGAAAGGAGAAAACTTATCTATTAAGTAGGTCTTAGAGTTGAACTCTTATCAATTCGGTGTTAGAGTTGAACTTTTAGCAGATCAAGTCTTTATTAAACTGATTGTAAGGAAAAGATTGCTAAGTTTATGTTCAAAAGCTCAAAACCTTAAGCTCCATTTGAAGAATTTAAAAAGCTAACTTTTAATTGAATGGTTTAGGCATAGTGAGACAGATTTGAAGTCTTAAGTCATGTCAAAGTCAGTCAAAGGCTTGAAACAAATGTTTGAAAGGATTGTCAAAGCTTAGAAATGAAAGCTGTTAAAGCTTAGAGATGAAAGCTATCAAAGCTTAGAGAGAAATGAAGCTTAGCTATCAAAGCTTAGCTATCAAAGCTTAGCTATCAAAGCTTAGCTATCAAAACTTAGCTATCAAAGCTTAGCTATCAAAGCTTAGCTATCAAAACTTAACTATCAAAGCTTAGCTATCAAAGCTTATCTAGATCTAAAAGCTAGATAGATAGAAGCTAGATAGAGCTGTGCAAAGCTTAGATATAAAAATGTTCCAAAGAAACGGTTCACAAGATGCTCAAACAAATCTTTCACTCACCACGATCATTTGCTCTCTGCTCATGCGCAGAAACTGCCATCCAGGATCATCCTCGTGGTCCATCTCTATCGGTCGACGTCGATAAGTTCACTCAGAAATAAAATCGGAGGACTCGGACACGACTGCACGAATGAAGTTGAACTGTGAAAAAGAGCTTATATACCCCCTATGCGCATCTCTTCTTTCTCTTCCCTTTTCTGCTTACTCTTCCCTTTTCTGCTTACTCAAACTTCTCTGATTCCCCTCCTCGATTCCCTCAAGAATGGGGCGGATCTAACCCGTTTACATTTGGAGTCGATTTTTCTTCCCCTCTTTGACAAACACAGTAGACAAGTAGATCTGGGAGACCAGGAAGCAACTGCTACGTAATTTTTTTTTTGACTCTTTTCTCAATGGTGTTCATTGCTGAGCTTACATTGGGATCAATCGCTTTTCTCTGGAAAAGAGCACTTGTCAATCTGAAAAAATAGACCCAACGATCCTGCTGGGATAATGCCTAGAGAAATTTGAGAACTAAAAGCTAGGATCGGGATTTGAAAACTTTGCTAAATGAAATGGAGACGGGAATTTAGCTTAGCAATAGCTAATAAGCTGGCAATAGCTAATAAGCTATTGGCTAAGCTTGGCAATAGACAACAAGCTATTGGCTAGGCTTGGCAATAGTCAACAAGCTATTGGCTAGGCTTGGCAATAGACAACAAGCTATTGGCTAGGCTTGGCAATAGTCAACAAGCTATTGGCTAAACTTAGCTATTTTAAATTTTACTTACAAGTTAAGCTGAGGTTGCTTTGAATGCATTTTCTTGAATGAGTTATTAAAAATTGGTTTATTGAGCAACTAATCTATAGCTATTGTTTGTAGAAATGAACTTAATCAAGACGACTTCGGCTTCTCGATCTCGCGATGACAGCAGCTGAAGCTGATGCTTGAAGACCGCTGGGGGCAGCGGTGCGGGAACGAGAGCGAAGTTTGGTTAGGGATTGCTCGGCTGTGTCGGCTCTCTCCTCAGCGTCGTCGAGCTGAGATTGGATTCCGCGGAACTTTTGAAGGTTCCCATTCGCCAGCTCCTCCTAAAGTTTATTTTTAAATTTTCAATCATTTCTATAAAGAATTCCAAAAGGCTCTTCAATTTCCAAAGGCAAAAAGCTTCATTTCTAACGAATAGACGTCAGTCTTATGTCCATTTTGTTTCTCAAATCTTGCAATCAAAACTTCTAAGTGTCGGCTAAGTTTAGATCAATTTAAACAATGCTCACCGCCTCCTCGATTTGCACTTTCTGCGTCTTAATCTTCGCGTTCAACTTCTCGACCACGTCATTGAGGCGCGAAAAGTTTTTCTTGTCCTCTTCAATCTGAAATTTCTCATCTCAATCTCAATGTCAATGTCAATCTCAATCTCAATCTCAATCTCAATCTCTATCCAATCCCAATCCAATCTCAATCTCAATCTCAATCTCAATCTCAATCCAATCTCAATCTAATCTCAATCTCAATCTAATCTCAATCTCAATCTCAATCTCAATCTCAATCTCAATCTCAATCCAATCTCAATCCAATCCCAATCTCAATATCTCACCTGAAAGCCAAGCTCTCGAACACGTTTATCACCTTTTTGCACCTCTTTAACCACATTTTGATATCTCGCTTGCTCACTAGCCAATTCCGACTCGAGCTCACGATTCCGCTGCTCAAGTTTGGAGATAGTCTAAAGAAAAATTGATCATAGTTTTTGGAAAATCGATAACCTTTTTGCCACCCTTTAGCGCCGCTGCTTCAGCCTCATCCAAACGAACTTTGAACTCTTTAGCCTGATGCTCAAGAGCTTGACGAGCCGACTCAACAACTCGAGAAACGTCCTGAGCTTGCTTCAACTCTTCAGCTAAACGCGCCGCATCAGAAATCGCTCTCTTTGAGTTCTCCTCAGCTCGTCGATAGTCTTTCATCGTTTCATCAACATCCGCGTGTATTGCCTGAATCTCACCCTCCAATTTGCGCTTCATCGAATTCGATGAAGTGACTTGTGCGAGGAGATCGTTTGCGTGTTCCCTAGCTGTCGCTGCGTCTTGCTCGGATTGTCGACGATCGGCTTCAGAATTGTTCAATTGTCTCTTCAATTCATCCCTCTCTCCTTGAATCATCTCGCCGCGCTTTTGAGCACTAAAGAATTGATCACGCATCTCATCCCTCTGCCGTTGCTCATCCTCCACTTGCAGCTGCGAGTCGCGAATCTGTTCCTGCACTTTCTTAAGATTCTTCTGCGTGTCACTGTTGGCTTTGTTCGCATGATCCAAAGCAATCTCCAAATCGTTGATATCAGTTTCCAGCTTCTTCTTGCTTTTCAACATTTCACCCTTTGATTTGGCTTCAGTCTGAATACTCGCTTGCATGCTTTCCAAAGCTTTTTGATGATTCTTTCGAGTGCTTTCGAATTCAGCCTCCTTCTCTTGGATTCGTTTCTCGATCTCTGCTCGAATCTGTGACACCTCAATCTGTGCTCTCATCACTTTAGCCTCTTCAGCTTCTAGAGCTCCTTCAGCATCATCGAGCGCTTTCTGAAGCTCTTCTTTCTCAGATTCTAAGCGACGAAGCAATTTCTGCATCTCGTGCACAGATCGACCGCCATCACCGAGTTGATCAGCTAAATCCTTGACTTCTGATTGAAGGATTTTGTTCTCACGACGAAGTCCCTCGATGACTTCAGTTGCCTCATCGTGAGCAGCTTTTGCTCGATGCATCTCGGTGATCGCTCCGCGGGCTTCGCGCTGAGCTTTATCTACCTCAGCGGCCATATCATCAGCTCGTCTCTTCCACTCAACCACAATCACATCAAAGTCTTTCTGCTTCTTCTCAAGCGATGCAGCGTACGCGATTGCGCGATCTGCCTCAACCTGTGCATCATCGAGATCCCCAACAATGCGCGCGCGTTGCTTGTCGAGCGCAGTGATCTTCGTGTTTGCCGCAGCAATCGCATCTTGAAGCTCATTGTGTTTTTGTGCTTGCTTTCGCTTCGCCTCTTCGATCTCATCTCCTCTCAACATCCCCTCGCCCTCAAATTTCGACCTCAACTGCTGAACTTCTTGATTGGCTTTAGAGATCTGTCGATTGATCTCATTCTTCTCCTCAGTCGCCTCTTCGAGCGCTGATCTCATCTGCTCAGCGTCATGTTGATAGTTTCTCGCTTGAGCGCTAAGCATTTGCCGATCTCTTGACTCATCATCAGCTCCACGTTTTGCCTCATCAAGTTGAGCGGCAATTTGGCTCTTCACACGCTGCACTTGATCGATTTGCGAGTGAAGATCTTCAAGCTGACGACCGAGATCTCCATTCTGATTGCCCAAGCGATTCTTCTGCGAGGTGAAGTCTTGAACCTGATGGTTCTGATCGTCGACACGAGCCATAATCTCAGAAATCTGTTCCTCAAGAGATCGAGCCAATTTCTCGTATTGCACCTTCGAAGATGTCTCACCGTCAAGCTGCGAGGAGATGGTCTCAGCTTCGCGGAGAGCTGAAGCTTTCTCCTTCTCCGCTTTCAGCTTCTGCTTGTTGAGCTGCTCGATTTGTTCACTGATCTCCGCAACAGCATCGGTGTTTCTCTTGCGCAATGCCAGGAGAGCTCCCTCAAAGTTGCTGGCTCCTTCCTCCAAGTCGCGACGGATCTTAGCCAACTCAGCATCTCGTTTCTTGTTGATCTCAGCTTGAGACTGGGTGGCTCCTCCTTGCTCATCAATCCGAACATTTAAATCTTGAAGCTCGGATTGCATGTCAGCTTTGGCTCGTTCAGCTCGGCTCCTCGATCCGCGTTCATTCTCAGCTTCTTCTTCAAGCTCTTGAATTCGAGCCTGTTGCTCTTTGATTTGACGCTGGAGCTTCGACACTAAAGCACTCTCATCTTCAAGGCGATTGTTAGCATTATGAAACTCTTGCTCTTTGCGTTTCAAGTTGTTGTCAAGATCGTTGCGTTGACGAGAAGCTTCTTCGATATTTTCATTCAGAATCTTCACTTCTCCATCCAATTTTCGCTTCTCTTTCTCAGCATCGGCTTTGTTTCTCTTCTCGCGATCGAGCGCTTCTTCCAACTCATCCAAAGTCGATTCAAGCTTTGACTTTATCTTATTCGCATGATTTACTTTATCCTCCTCACTTGAAAGATCCTCAGTCAACTTTCGGTGTTGCTCTTCTTGATGTTTCTTTTCTTTGGTCAACTTGGCGACGGTGTCCTCTTGTTGTTGCATTTCGTCTTGAAGCGCACGAATTTGATGATCTTTTGATTGTCGTTCCGATTCGGCTTTTCGGAGACTCATTTGCAAGTCTTGAATCTGTTTCCTCAGTTGACTCAACTCGTTCTCAACTCGCTTCTTCGAGCTAACAGCATCCGAATTTTCGTCTTCAGCAGCAGCGAGTTTATCCTGGAGATCAGAGAGTTGACGAGCCGCATCACCTTGTTGACCCTCCAATTGGGAAAGCTTTTGCTGATTTTGTTGAAGAGTGTTTTTCGCTTGCTCCAATTGCCCGAAGAGAGCCTCTTTCTCGACCAAAATCGCGTTGTTCTTGTCTTCGAATTCTTTCTTTGCTTTCACTTCTTTGTCAATGCTTGTTTGAAGGTCTTTCATCTGAGCTTCAAGCGCTTCAAGCTGTTCATCAAACTTGCTAGCATAGATGAGTGGCTTGACTTTTCCGTAAAGCTTGAACCATTCCCAAGTGCGAAGTCCACACCAAGATTTGACGTTTCGTTGGATGATGAGGAGGCCGGTTCGTTGCTCCATTCGTCTCTTCTTGTCAGTCTGAAATTAGATTATTAACCAAAGTACCTATAAAAGTTTTCAAGTGTTAAAGTAAATTGATTAGTTGCTTAAACTATAAAGGACTTGTTAGCTCAATGGTTGTTAGAATTCAGGCTAGATTCTAACGATAAGCTGACAAGCTAGCAAGCTGGCTGACAAGCTAACAAGCTGGTTGACAAGCTAGCAAGCTGGCTGACAAGCTAGCAAGCTGGTTGACAAGCTAGTGTCTATCTTAGTTACTCACCGCTCCGAGATAATAACGAACGGCTGCTTGGAAAGCAGTGAAGATGAAATTCATCTTCTCGTCACGCACATCCTCAAGTTTCGCCAAGATACCGGCTTTAAAGAAGACTTTGGTGAGACCGACGTTAAAGTTCTCGTTAGTCACATGACCTTCACCGACAAGTTTTCCCATAATCGCGTCAGCGCATTTTCTCGGATCCTTGTCACTCTTGGCTTCAGTAGCAGCCACAATAGCATAACGGTGCACAAAGTCGGGATGCATCATTCTGTTGGGGAAACCTTTACGACAAATCCGGATACCCTCAAGGACACCGTTACATGTCAATTGGTTCATGACAAGAGCCGCGTCAAGCACTCCAGATTGTTTCTTCTCGTTGGGGATGATACAACGAATGAAATGAGGATGAGTCTTGTGAAGCATAGTCATCAAATTGTTCAGAGACTCACGGTAAAGCATAGAAACAGTCATCATAGAACCAGATTTACCCTTTTTCTTTCCACCAGCTGCAGCCGTACCAGATTTTGCTTGCTCAGCTGCTTCTTCTTGAGTTGTGTAATCATCCCAAACCTCAACCAGCAATGCATTGCCATTTGACTGCTTGAAGCATGAGACAACGGTATCGTTGAGCGGATCTTTATTCTTCTCAAGCCAATTAGTGCAATTGTATCTCACAGTTCCAGCGTAGTGACGCATAGCAAAGTGAGCCTCAGCTTGTTTTCCCTTTGGTGGCTTGGGCTTCTCGAAGTTTGGATGTTTTCCAAGATGTTGCTCGCTGAGTTTCTGAGCCAAGGTGGTGTCAGTGGCTTTTGGCACGATACACTCTTCATCAAGCATGGAAATGATACCCATGGGCTTCTCAATGAGCTCGATACAGGCTTGAAGATCAAGTCCGAAATCAATGAACACCCATTGAATTCCCTCTCGAGCGTACTCTTCTTGCTCAAGAACGAACATGTGATGGTTGAAGAATTGTTGGAGTTTTTCGTTCACAAAGTTAATCCACAACTGCTCGAAAGAGTTGAAGTCGAAGATCTCAAAACCGGCGATATCAAGCACACCGATGAAGTGATCACGAGAGACTCCTTGCTGATCAAGAGTGACGTTACACTTCTTGACAAGCCAATTGAAGACACGATTGTAGAGACCTTTAGCCATAGCTCCCTTGGCCCAATTGACTTGCTCACAGTTTTGTCCCTTGGCCACCCACTCGTTACCGACACGCACACGGGGTTTCAACAAAGCCATCAAGAATTTCTCCATATCAATTCCGTACATACTAGCCGCTTTGTTTGCTTCATCAGTTCCATCAGCCTCAGCTTGCTCTTCACGAGGTCTTTGCTTGAACTGCATGTTACCCATGTGCATATGAGCAGACATCAAACGGTAACAGTCCATTTTCTCATCTTCACTGAAACCCAAAATAGTGAAAGCTTCATCAGTGGCTTTCATTTCCTCCACATCATCAATACCATCAACAGTGAGTTCGGCTTGAGCCACAAACCAGTACTCCTTAATCGGTTTATCTAAAAGCAAGAGCTTCTTGAGCTCGGGCTTGTAGTTGGAGTAGATTTGGTAGAAAATGTGATAGCAACGTTCTCCAGGAGCTTGACGAATCACACGAGATTTCTCCAAAAGATAATGCTCAATATCGCAAGAAGCGACACGTCCGAGTTTCGAGAAATGAATTCGGATGAATTTTCCGAAACGAGAAGAGTTGTTGTTACGGACAGTCTTGGCATTTCCGAAAGCCTCAAGGATGGGATTGGTTTGAACGATTTGATCTTCAAGAGTGACTTGTTTGCCTCCTTCTTGAGCAATTCCTTCAGCTTCAGATTGCTTAGCACCAACAGCAGCGAAATAAGCAATAACCTTTTTGGTGTTCTCAGTCTTTCCAGCTCCCGATTCTCCAGTGATAAGCATAGATTGATTCTCATGATCGATCAACATATTTCTATAAGCTTCATCAGAAACCGAGAAGAGATGAGGCGGCATTTCGGTTTTTCTTTTTCCCATGAACATACGAGCGACAGTGTCAGTGTAGATTGGGAGACGCTTGTAGGGATTGATGACAACACAGAAGAGGCCAGAGTAGGTCTAGAAATGAAGTGAGTTAGATAAACAATTTACGAGTTTTAGGCAATTCAAAAACTCACATAGATAAGCATGGCCGCATAACGAGAGCGCAAATTGTGAAGCACAGAGGCGTCGTTGAGGAAAGACAAGTTGGACATGTCCTCAGTTTTCTCGAATTTCGGTGGATTCATCTCCTGGATGAGCTCCTTCTTGACGGTTTTCTAAATTGAAAGTCGAATCTTTAAAGTCTAATTCTTTTCCCAATACCTCGCTCTGCGACTTGGTGATGACGGTAATCATGTCTCCTTTAGTGTCCTTTACTTGCGCTTGAACGAAGCCATCCTCTTCATCTGGCACCCAGCAATCCTTCTTTGAGTCATATGGTTTTGATTGATCCTGAAAAGGAATTGTCTTAACTAGCAATGAGGTAATCTTTATCTTTTTATCTAATCAGGGTAAAGTGATTGCTAGTTCCAATGCTAGTTCTCATTGTTGAAAGTTGGGCTAAGAGTTCAACCAAAACACTATTTAGCTTTCAGCTTTCAGCACCTTTCATTTCAGCTTGTCATCTCATTTCAGCTCAGCATTAGATTAGAGTCACAAAAAAAATGGCAACTCAGGGCTAATTGTTCTTCTCTAGATAGTCATTGTCATTTCATTAGATTAGAGTCACAAAAAAATGGCAACTCAGGGCTAATTGCTCTTCTCTAGATAGCCGTTGTCATTTCATTAGATTAGAGTTACAAAAAATGGCAACTCAGGGCTAATTGTTCTTCTCTAGATAGTCGTTGTCATTTCATTAGACTAGAGTCACAAAAAAAATGGAAACTCACAGCTAATTGTTCTTCTCTAGATAGTCGTAGAAATTTCCATCCGGGATCATTCTCATAGTCCATCATTTTCAAAAAATGATTACAGTAGACTTGAAAAATCGAGATAGGACACAAAAGTCCGAGAATGAGAATCTCAAAGATTTCAAGGTCTTAAATACGAAGCGGCATTCTCGTCCATTTTTTTTCCTTCTCCTCCTGGGAAACGAAACCGAGAAACGAAACCGTCTCGAGTTTCAGCTCTCATGCGCATTTTACAATACTTTGAGGGACTAGACAAATCTTTTTCTTCTTCTTTTTCTTGAAACAAAAAAAAACTCTCATTTCCACAAGCAGCGTTTTTATGTGTTCTCGAGATTGACAAGTGAAACGGGATGTCCGTTTTGGAAAAAGCAAAATAAAAAATGATTACTTACCCGTTCAAATGATTAATTTTATGAATTTTTCTAAAATTTTCCAAAATTTTCTTTTTAATTGAATAACTTGTAGAAGGAAAAGCTTTATTTTTAATTTTATTTTGATTATGGATTATGGAAACGAATATCAGGACAATGTCAGAACAATTTCAGACAATCCAAGAACTGAAATCAAGAGCTATGAAATCGAAAATGAAGAATGCTGAAGAAGAAGAAGAAGAAGAAAACATGAAATGCTTCATTTCTCCCATTACAAACAAATGTCTCATGAACGAATAATTGATGTAATTAAAACACAGGAAAAAAGAATGGAAACGATCATAAAATTATTAGGTTGATGCATAAGTCTTTTCGTTTTTTTCGTACTTCTGTTAAAAAGTAACAAATTCACCAATTAATCTATAGTTTGCTCTATAAAAAAAGTGTTTTTTTTTGTTCAATTTGCATCTTTTTAAATGAATTTCGGTTCACTTTCAAGCAAATTCGAGAGTGAAAAACGCCTTTTTCGTAAAAATCTATAAAAAAACTCTACGGAAAAATCGGCTGAATGAATTTCTCTGAAATTTTGGCGAAATATCAAACGTTTTTTTTCTCTATCTTTTATCTATTGACACGAAGATAGGTTTTCTTTAGCTAAGGTGTCTAAACCGCTCAGGCTCAGGCTCAGGCTTAGGCTGAGGCTTAGCCTGAGCCTGAGCCTGAGCCTGAGCCTAAACCGCATCATCGAGTTAGCCCTTTTTGACTACCCGACTTCATACTCTCAAGAAAATCCAGGCATTAAATATTTTTAAACCCGTTTTAATGTTATTTTGCAGAAAAATAATTGCTTTTTCTAATGAAATCAACCGTTGTTTAATTGGTGCATTTGTTGGCTTGAAACTGCTGACGAAAAGGAACAAAAACACTTATGCATCAACCTATTAATATAAGCTGTGCGAAAAACTTTCCAAAACCTTTGCAAGACTCAAATTGGTCTTAGATTGGTCAAAATTGAGTCGATCGTTCAGATTTTTCACAAACTTGAATGATTTGCTCGCGACTCATTCGAAGAAACTGCCATCCCGGATCGTATGCATCAACCATTTACATGACTTATGCATCAACCTATTACAATTGAAATATCTGATTCCAATAGAAGATTCGGAGAAGAATATTGTTCCATTTAATCTTCAATTAATTTTCGGTGGTTCTTCTGAATATAAAACATCTTATTGACCATATTATGGCCATATTATAGCCTATTCCTTCCCCCATTTATTTTGAAGTTTATTTTTTATTTTATTTTGAAGTTTATTTCTTAGAAAACATGATAGACAATCGAGAAATTGACATCATTTTTGATCAGATTAACCTACGGTACTAAACAATGAAATATCATATTTGTTAAAAACGATCTTTCACTTTCGCTTCGTCTGTAACTCCCCTTGTTACAGACGAAGCTGTTACAGACGAGACGAAGCTTGTTACAGACGAAGCTTGACTTTGAGTTTAAACCTTTAAACTTAAGCTTTAACTTTAAAACGATTAATGTTATACATTTGTCTGAAAGCTCTTTTCAAGGACTACACAATGGTAGGGCTAATATTTAGAAATACTGTATTTTTTGACGCATTTCAGCGTGCACAAGATGACACACAAAATGTCTAACACTAATAGTTTGTGTGTCATCCTGTGCGCGGTGAAATGCGTCAAAAAAATCCCGTATTTCTAAATATTAATCTTACCATTGTGTAGCCGATGAAAAGAGTTTTCAGACAAATGTATCACACTAATCGTTTTAAACTCAAAGACACGGGGAGTTACAGATGCAGGCTCTATTAATACAGGCTCTATTAATACAGGCTCTATTAATACAGGCTCTATTAATACAGGCTCTATTAATGCAGGCTCTATTAATGCAGGCTCCAGTAATGCAGGCTCTATTAATGCAGGCTCCAGTAATGCAGGCTCCAGTAATGCAGGCTCCAGTAATGCAGGCTCTATCAATGCAGGCTCCATTAATGCAGGTTCTATTAATGCAGGCTCTATTAATGCAAGCTCTGTTGATGCAGGCTCTATCAATGCAGGCTCTATCAATGCAGGGAAATTAACACTATGATCTGCATCGATGCAGGGTGCATTGAAAGATCGTTTTTGCAAATACGATATTTCATTTTTCAGTACTGTATAAATTTGTATATACGGCTTTTCGGGGGTGAGAAATTCGAATTTGATATTAGTTTTTTTCGTTACAGTAAGTCAAAATACTCGAAATAGGGGCCTACATCTTTTTTAATGACTCCTCAACTTCGATTAAAGAATTTCTTTCCTATTTGATCGATTTTGATGCTTTTAATATCAAAAAAATCCCCTGAAATTGCAAAAATGTTAAAAAAATAAAAAAATTATGAATAAGAAAAACCCCTGAATTTTTGTCAAAAGCCGCTCGTTTATGCAAATAATTAATAAATTAATGAAAAATTTCATATTTACGTAATCGCACGGCTTTTGGCATACAGCCTTTAGATATAGAAGCAAAAAGAAAACTGATCTCCGCTCGTTTTTCTCCATTTCGGTTTAATTACTCAAGCTTTTGAGTGGCTTTGGTTTAAATGAAAATTAAAGACAAATTCGAATTACTAAACCCTGAAAGCCCTAGATTATTGATGTTAATCCGACTTCGTTTTGATCTGAGGTTAAAATAGAAAAATTGTATTGTTGTGAATAGATCAATGATTGAAAGAATGAAAAAACATTGTTGCAATAGGATTCAATACGAAAAACATTGATTCAATAGGATCCAATAGGATCCAATAGGATCCAATAGAATCCAATAGAATCCAATAGGATCCAATAGAATCCAATAGAATCCAATAGGATCCAATAGAATCCAATAGAATCCAATATGATCCAATAGGATCCAATAGGACTAAATAGGATCAAATAGGATCCAATAGAATCCAATAGAATCCAATAGGATCCAATAGAATCCAATAGAATCCAATAGGATCCAATAGAATCCAATAGAATCCAATAGGATCCAATAGAATCCAATAGAATCCAATAGGATCCAATAGAATCCAATAGAATCCAATATGATCCAATAGGATCCAATAGGACTAAATAGGATCAAATAGGATCCAATAGAATCCAATAGAATCCAATAGGATCCAATAGAATCCAATAGAATCCAATAGAATCCAATATGATCCAATAGAATCCAATATGATCCAATAGAATCCAATAGAATCCAATAGGATCCAATAGGATTCAATAGGATCCAATATGATCCAATAGAATCCAATAGAATCCAATAGGATCCAATTCAGATTTGAAAAAGTTGAAAACAATGGCGCACTATAAAGATTAACTTAAATCAAATAAATCATCAAACAATCAAACAAAATTCAATTCCAGTATTGAATATCTTTTAATGATCATGATTTCTGTGACGACCCATTGCTGCTACGGTGGCTGATGTTTGGAGAGCTGGCTGACGAGGAGCCGAGGTACCGGCTCGAGTTTTTGAACTGAAATCAACTTCGAGCTTTAGATTAGTGCTAATATCTAGTAACCTAATATATTTCAAAAATAAAAAAAAGCAAATTGTTCAAGTTCTTTCTTTTCTTACAAACTTTACCGTAGCTTGATAAGCGCTTGTTCAGCGGATTCGGCTCGATCCTCAGCCTCTTCCAATTGCATTTGAATCTGACGAAACTTTTGCATATTTGTGTTTGCCAACTCTTCCTGAAAATTCATTTCTTTCAATGTTTCAATGAGAAATCAAAAAAGGCGATCTTTACTCTTTACCGCTTCCTCCAATTGTCGCTTTTGAGTACGAAGCTTTGTCTGGAGTTGATCGACAAGCGCATTTAAACGCTCATAGTTTTTCTTGTCCTCTTCGATCTAAACACTCATTTTATGGAAAATCATTTCTTTCTTTCATTTCTTTCTTTCATTTCTTTCTTTCTTTTCTTTCTTTCTTTTCTTTCTTTCTTTTCTTTCTTTCTTTTCTTTCTTTCTTTTCTTATTTACTTGGAATTGTAGCTCTCTGACACGTCGTTCGGCGCGTGCTTGCTTCTGGAAAAGTTCTTGATTTCGTCGCTGTTCAACCTCGACATCAGCCTCCATCTCTTGCACACGTTGCTCCATTCGTGTGATTGCCTGAATAGGTTTTGGTTTAAAATATTGTACAATTCAATCTCTACAGTTCAATTCTACAAATTGCAAGTCATTTTTAGAACAAATTTGAATTAAATTAGTTTAAAAAGAAATAGTGAAAAGCATAGACTTATTTGCTAGATTTGATTAGCTTTTCAAAGCTTTGTAAAGCTTTGTAGAGTTTTATAGAGTTTTTCCTTCGGCTTGACATTACTCAAATGTTTCTATAACCTTTAAAAAGACTATCACTTCATTGATAGTCTTTTTAGTGCTAAGCCAGAGCCTGTGCCTGAGCCTGAGCTTAAGCCTGAGCCTGAGCCTGTGCCTGAGCCTGAGCTTAAGCCTGAGCCTGAGCATGTGCCTGAGCCTGAGCCTGTGCCTGAGCCTGAGCCTTTGCCTAAGCCTAAGCCTAAGCCTAAGCCTAAGCCTAAGCCTGAGCCTGTGCCTGAGCCTGAGCTTAAGCCTGAGCCTGTGCCTGAGCCTGAGCCTGAGCCAGAGCCTGTTCAACCTTTTTGCCAGCTTTCAACGAGTCCCCTTCAGCCTCATCGAGTCTTGTCTGGAAATCCTTCAACTGTTCATTGAGCCTTTGCTTTGCACTCTCATATTCCCGTGATTTCTCTTGTTCGGCCATTAACTCCTCTGCCAATCGTGTCGCTTCAGCCATTCCCTTTCGGCTTTTCTCTTCGGCTAGCTTGAAATTGTTGAGAGTCTCGTCAAGGTCAACTTGCAATGCTTGAAGTTCGCCTAAAATTGTTGTTTGATAAGTTGATAAGTTGATAAGTTGATGATCAGGAATGATAAGTTTTCAAATTTCTGAAACAAGATCTTCAAACAGTACCTTCAAGTCGTCGTTTCATTGCGTTCAACGATTGGGCATCAGTTGAAAGCAAATTACTCTCCTCTCGTGCCTCGGTGGCCTCTGTTTGAGCATCGTTTCGCTCTTTGATCACCACTTGATTGCTTGCATGTAAATCCTCGTTCTCAGCTCGTAAGACGGTCAACCTTTTCTGAGTGTTGAATAGTTGATCGCGAATCTGAAAATGGATTTAAAGCTTTGTTAGAATCTATTAGGTAAATGGGAGAAATGCGGATTTCAACATTTTTCAACATAGAAATCCAACGATAGAAATCTGATATCGATATTGATGATATCGATGAATGTTATATACTATTTGAAAGTTGTAAAACTCCTCTACAAAGTTGTAAATCTCCTCTACAAAGTTGTAAATCTCCTCTACAAAGTTGTAAAACTCCTCTACAAAGTTGTAAATCTCCTCTACAAAGTTGTAAATCTCCTCTACAAAGTTGTAAATCTCCTCTACAAAGTTGTAAAACTCCTCTACAAAGTTGTAAATCGCCTCTACAAAATAGGCTAAAACGTTTTTTCAATTGATCGAAGCATTGAAGAAATTTCGGGCGATTGAAGAGGACGAAATGCGAGTGACCAAAAAAGGAATCGAGTCACTGTAGGGACAAGTTTAGTGTGGTCAAAATCGAGTTAGCTTCCCAAAATTGAAGATTTAAAAACAAAAAAGGATAACTATATATGAATTCATTAAAAAAGTCTAATGGAAATGCACTTACAGAAATTTAGCTAGAGCGTAAGTTCAAAACCCTCAAAATTGTCAAAAAAAACCGGCTTTTACACACAAAAAGAAAAATTATTGTAAAAACAAAGTTTTCCCATGAAATGATCTCAACTCTTAGGCTTATTTTGAATGATTTTTTTTAAGGCGCTCATTTTCCACTATATAGTCAAAAGCGAACTCTTGTGAGAGTGGGGTTTTCAAGAAAGTTGTCCCGAAAGTGACTCGATTCCTTTTTTGGTCACTCGCATTTCGTCCTCTTCAATCGCCCGAAATTTCTTCAATGGTTTGATCAATTGAAAAAACGTTTTAGCCTATTTTGTAGAGGAGATTTGCAACTTTCAAATAGTTTATAACATTCATCGATATCAGGAAATTCATCGATATATTTTGACCACACTAAACTTGTCCCTAAAGTGACTCGATTCCTTTTTTTGATCACTCGCATTTTGGCCTCTTCAATCGCCCGAAATTTCTTCAATGCTTCGATCAATTGAAACATGTTTTAGCCTATTTTGTAGAGGAGATTTACAACTTTCAAATAGTTTTTAACATTCATCGATATCAGGTTTCGATCATTGGATTTATGCTATTTATGAAAATGTTGAAATCCGCATTTCTTATGCATATACTGTACTGTAATGTACTAATATATTGTACTGTACTGTACTGTTCTAATATACTTACTGTACTGTACTGTTCTAATATACTTTACTGTACTGTACTAATATACTGTACTGTACTGTACTAATATACTTGTACTGTACTGTACTAATATACTGTACTGTACTATACTAATATACTTTACTGTAATGTACTAATATACTGTACTGTAATGTACTAATATACTGCACTGTACTGTACTAATATACTGTACTGTACTGTACCTAATATTCGTCAATCCATACCTCATCTGATATCAATCCATACCTCATCTTTCATCCTTTGCTCTTCTTCGAATTGCATTTGCAAATCTCTCATCTGATCTAAGCACTTCTTCAGCGCTTTCCCCGTATCGGCATTGATTTTGTTTGCCTGATCGAGTTGAATCTCCAAACCATTTATCTCTGCTTCCACATTCTTCTTTGATTTCAAAAGATCACCCTTTACTTTGACTTCGGTTTCAATACTCGCCTGAACGCTTTCCATAGCTCTTTGATGATTTCTTCTTGTGTTTTCGAATTCTTCATCTTTTTCCTTGATTCTTTTCTCAATCTCCGAACGAATGTAGGTGATTTCCGTTTGCGAACTCATCACTTTCCCTTCAGCCGCCTCTAATCCCCTCTCAGCCGAATCCAATCCCTGCTGTATTTCATTCTTTTCCGATTCCAATCGACGAATCAACTTCTGTATCTCGTGCGTTTGTTTGCCTCCATCATTCAACTGATTGCTCAAATCCTGAATCTCATCTTGTAAACTCTTTTTCTCTCGCTTTAAACAATCAATGATCTCCTGTAGCTCATCTTGTGCTGTTCTCGCTCGGAAAAGCTCACCAATTGCATTTCTGGCCTCACTTTGTGCTGTTTCCACCTCGTTTCTCAGCTCATCAACTCTTTTCTTTAAATCCTCAACGAGTTTGTCGTGTCCCTTCTGCTTTTGCTCTAGACTAGTGGCCAGACTCGCAGCTCGATCCACCTCAATCTGCGCGTCATCCAACTCTCCGACGAGCCTCGATTTCTGCTTCTCTAACATGAGAATCTTGCAATTGACCGTCTCAATGCCATCACTCAACTCGAGTACCTTATGCTGTTGTTTTCTCTTGACTTCCTCGATCTCCTCCCTCCTCAACATCCCCTCACCCTCAAATCTCATCTTCCATTCTTGCATCTCAGCATTTCCCTTCGCCAATTGTCTTCCAACTTCAGCTCTTGCTTCAACCTCTTCCTCCAATTGTTCTCTCAATTGATCCATCTCAATCTTTGCTGTTTTCATCTCAATCATCATTGCTGCTCTTTGGCCACTCTCGTCTTCAGCTAACTGCTTTGCTGTGATCAATTGTGTTTGGAGGTGAGCTTTTGCTCGATTCATTTGACCAACTTCAGCTTCAATATTCTCTAATCGACGATGAAGATCATTAGCATTATTTTGTAAACGATTCTTAGCTGATTGTTGATCAAGAATCTCTTTCTCTTGAGCTTCAAACTTATCATGAAGTTCTTCAAGTTGTGAATCATAAAGTCGACAAAGTTTCTCATTGGCGGCTTTCTGAGAGATTTCTGTTTCGAGCTGAATCTGCAATTCTTCTTGATCTTTCACCGATTGTAAACGATCACGATCGATTCTTGAAATCGCTTTATTCAATTGTTCAATCTGTTCACTCAACTCGGTGACAGTGTCGCTTGTTTTCTTTCGCATTGCACCTAATTGAGTCTCCTGTTGTTGTCCAGCGTCGTCAATCTCTCGTCTCAAACGAATCAATTCAGCTTCACGTTTCTTGTTTATCTCTGAATGAGCAATTGTTGACGAGCCTTGTTCCTCTAATCTTTCACCCAAATCCTCCAATTCCATCTGCAAATCAGTTTTCGCTCTCTCAATGCGATTCCTCGTTTGTCTCTCCACTTCTAATTCTTCAGCCAACTCATTCCCCCGTGTCATCACTTCTTTGCATTGTTTCTGTAATTGAGCAACCAAATTCTCCTCTTCTTCCAATCTTGAAGCCAACAAATTCACATCTTGTTCTTTTCTTTTCAAACTAGTCGATAAATCAACATGAAATCGACTCTGTTCTTCAAGTGTCTCATTCGAGATTTTCACTTCTCCTTCCAGCTTTCGCTTCTGTTTCTCACCGTCCACCCTTGCTCGTTTCTCCATTTCCAATGCTTCTTCCAACTCGTCCATTGTCTGCTCAAGCTTCGATCTCATTCTAATCTGTTGATTGCTTTTCTCACCCAAAATCTTCAAGTCATCAATGAGCTTTAAATTCGTTTCCTCAAAACTTTTCCTCTCTTTCATCAGTTTCCCAATGGCTACATCTTGTTGTTGAATCTCGTCATGCAACGAGCGAATCTGATGATCTTTTGTCAAACGTTCACTTTCAGCTTTTCTCATTGCCATCTCCATTCGCTGAATTCTTTTCCTCAAATCGTCGAGCTCAATCTCAAAGCGGCGTTTCTCTTTCATCAGCACCTCATTCTCTTCCTCAACCATTTCCAATTTACAACTAAAATCATCGATTTCCAAATCGGCTTTTCCCTTCAATTTCTCCAGCTTTGCAACTTTTTCCTCAGCTTCTTCAATGGATTCTCTTATTGATTCAACCGAATTAAAAAGCTCAGTCTTCTCTCGAATCAACTTCGCATTGATAAATTCCAACTCTGACTTCAGCTTTTGTTCTTTGCTCAAAGCAGTGCTCAACTTTGCCAACTTTCCGCTCAATTTCTCAATCTCTTCAGCGATTCGTGTTTGTGTGAGTAGTGGACGAACTCGATTGAATAATTTCAACCATTCCCATGTGCGAAAGCCGCACCACGATTTCACGTTTCGCTGAACGATCACCAATCCGGCTTTCTGAGCGACACGGCGCTTGACGTCGATCTGAAATTTATTTGATTAGAGAACTCTAAGAGAACTTTGTTTACTTTTTTAGAAAACTATCATAATTAAGCCGTCCAGTTTGCCAGTTAATTGAGCTTTGAACGTGAATATCACAAAAACATGGGGAATTTGGAACGATCGCTTATCAGCTTGACTAGTAAATGGCCGAAAATTGGGTTGAAAATTGGGTTGAAAATTGTTTGAGAATTGTTTGAAAATTGTCGAAAATTGTCGAAAATTGGGTTTTTTACATCAAAAAAACCAAACTTTGGCTCATTTACTTAGCCCAAAATTGAGCTAATCAAATTAACCATAGATTACGATAGTTTACTGAAATAGCTTAAGAAAATGCTTCAGAAAACTTTAAGATGGCATCAAAATGCTTCAGAAAGCTTTAAGATGTCTTCAAAATGCTTCAGAAAAGTTTAAGATGACATCAAAATGCATCAGAAAACTTTACGATGGCATCAAAATGCTTCAGAAGGCTTTAAGATGACTTCAAAGTTCTTCAAACCAAACCTTACTTTAGCTTCTATTTCTGTAAACTCTCACCTGACCCAAATACGATCGAATAGCGGCTTGTAGATGTGAAAAGATGGATCTCATCTTCTCATCTCTAACCTCTTCAAGTTGAGCCAACACACCGGCTTTGAAAAAAACTTTTGTTTTCCCGATTCGAAAGTTTTCTGAATGCAAATACCCAAGAGAAATCATTTTTTCTAACATTTTTTCAGCACAATTCTTCGAATCATTATCACTTTTTGATTCTTTGACTGCAAGTGGTCCATATCTTTGCTTGAAATCGACATGGAGAAGTCGATTTGGGAAACCTTTACGACAAATTCGAATGCCTTCAAGAACACCGTTACAAGTCAATTGATTCAAGACTAAAGCCGCGTCAAGGACTCCAGATTGTTTCTTCTCGTTTGGGATGATACAACGAATGAAATGTGGATGAGTCTTGTGAAGCATTGTCATTAAATTATTCAACGACTCACGATAAAGCATCGAAACAGTCATAAATGAACCGGATTTACCTTTCTTCTTTCCACCAATCTCTTTCAAAGCAATTCCGATTTCATCTTGAGTCTGATAAGTTGCCCAAATCTCTGCCAAGAGTTGATTCTTTTTTGACGCTTTGAGAACACAAATGATTGTATCATTTAGTGGATCTTTATTCTTTTCAAGCCAATTATTTACATTGTATCGAACTGTTCCAGCATAATGTCTCATTGAAAAGTGTGCTTCTCCTTGTTTCCCTTTTGGTGGTTTAGGCTTTTCGAAGTTTGAATGCTTATTCAAATGTTGATCGTTTAATTTTGATGACAATGTTTGGTCAGTAGCTTTTGGAACAATGCATTCTTCATCTAACATTGAGAGAATTCCCATTGGCTTTTCAATGAGCTCGATACAGGCTTGTAGATCAAGACCAAAGTCGATAAAAGTCCAAGCAATGCCTTCTCTTTGATATTCTTCTTGCTCAAGAACGAACATATGATGATTGAAGAATTGTTGAAGTTTTTCATTTACAAAATTAATCCACAATTGCTCAAAAGAGTTGAAATCAAAGATCTCGAAGCCGGCGATGTCAAGAACTCCAATGAAATGATCGCAAGGAATCCCTTGTTGATCAAGTGTCTCATTGCACTTTGTAACAATCCAATTGAAAAGCTTATTGTATAATCCTTTTGCAATGGCTCCAACTGACCACATAACTTGCTCAAGATTTTGGCCTTTTGTCACCATTTCCGATCCGACTTTCACTTTTGGTTTCAATAAAGCTAACAAGAATTTCTCAACCTCAACACCAAACATTTCGGCAGCTTTCTCTGCTTCTTCTTTCCCATCACTTTCTGCTTGTTCTTCTCTTGGTCTTTGCTTAAATTTCATATTTCCCATATGCATATGAGCTGAAACAAGACGATAACAATTCATTTTTTCATCAGTTGTAAAATTCAAGACATCAAACGCTTCATCAGTAGCCTGAAACTCTTCCAAATCATTCACGCCATCAATCTCTAATTCCGCTTGTGAAACAAAATAGTAGTCTTTTAGTGGGCGATCTAGAAGAAGTTTTTGTTTTAAATTCGAGATTCCGGAGAAGATTTGGTAGAAAATGTGATAGCAACGCTCTCCAGGAGCTTGACGAATCACACGTGATTTCTCCAAAAGGTAATGCTCAATATCACACGAAGCAACTCGTCCAGTTCTAGTGAAATGAATTCGAATGAACTTTCCGAAACGAGAAGAATTGTTGTTACGAACAGTTTTCGCATTTCCGAAAGCCTCGAGGACTGGGTTTGTTTGAACAATTTGATCTTCAAGTGTAGCTTTTCTTTGTCCATTTTCAGCTTTCATTCCCTCAGCCTCATTCTGGCGAGCACCAACAGCAGCAAAATAAGCAATAACCTTCTTCGTGTTCTCCGTCTTTCCAGCTCCCGATTCTCCAGTGATAAGCATAGATTGATTCTCGTGATCGATCAACATATTTCTGTAAGCTTCATCAGAAACTGAGAAGAGATGAGGCGGCATTTCGTTTCTTCTTTTTCCCATGTACATGTTGGCAATCGATTCGGTGTAGATTGGGAGACGCTTGTAGGGATTGATGACAACACAGAAGAGGCCAGAGTAGGTCTAAAAATAGTTCATTGTTGAATTGTTGAACAAAATAGTACTAGAAACAGAATACTGTCTTTACTGTCATTGTCATTGTCATTGTTAAAAGTAACTGAACTTACTTACTGAACTTACTTTAATGAAGTAAGTACTTTAACTAGTAACCAGTACTAGTAAGTAAATGAAGTAAGTTAATGAAGTAAGTTAATGAAGTAAGTACTTTAACTTAAAGTTCATTGTTAACTTAGCAACTTAACACAGAAGAGGCCAGAGTAGGTCTAAAAATAGTTCATTGTTAAAAGTAACTGTTATTCATAAGTCGTTTTGAGTACAGGCATGCGGCATAGCATTTTTGTACTGTCAGGGGTTGTCAAAGTCATTAAAATTCTTCTATTCTATTACGATTCTTCTATTCTATATAAAATTACGCGTAGTTTTTTATGATTAATTGTTGTTTTTCGACTTACAAGGGAATGTCAACAGAATGTGGTGCCCAAATGACATATAATAACAGAATGTGGTGGCCAAATGACATATAATAACAGAATTTTGCGCTGATTCCGAATCTGCTTTCCGTTTTTGCAACACAGCACTCTGTCAAAAGTTATAAGCGCTCAAAGTTTTGTATGGAGAAAAACAGACGTTGAGGCTATAAGTTGGTTCTCTAAGGGAAGAAAAGATGTCGCATCGGTGCCCGTGATTTTTCTTAAATCAAAACCGAACACACAAATTTTAAGTTGGCCCAAAATGAAGGAAAATCCCGCCGTCATCCAAATTTCCGGATTAAGGCGGGACTTTGATGTTAGTGAATTTCATATTTCATCGACCATAAGGTGTTATATGTCATTCAATAGCTCTTTTCACGCTCTTTTCACGCCGAGTGGTAATGTGTTTGGATACAAACCAAGGACCCCCGGGTTCGAGTCCGGCGTCAGGCTTTCCTACGCTTCTTTTAGCTTTGAATGTTTTGGCGATGTTGGATAGTTGGAACCTTTGGTTGTTGGATAGCTATCATTGGCTTGTTGGATAGTTATCATTGGCTGTATGTTGACATTCCCTTGTTTCGTTAATTTATTGTCTTAAAAAGCTAAAAAGATGCAGAAAGCGCAACGCTATAGATGCTGTATTCATAAGTTATTTTAAGTAGTTGTAGCTTTAGCCCTTCCCTCTTTGAACCTTATCGACTAGCCAATAAACCGGCCAATCAATCAGCGTTGTGCTCAACTCAATTTCTACTATTGTCAAGTCGATCTGGAGTATCTTAAATAACTCACATAAATCAACATCCTCCCATAACGAGCTCTTAAGTTATGAAGCACCGATGCGTCGTTGAGGAAAGTCAAGTTGGACATGTCCTCGGTTTTCTCAAATTTCGGTGGATTCATCTCCTGGACGAGCTCATTTTTCAGCGTGATCTGAAAAAATAGATTTTTCGACTTTTTTCAGCCATTCGAACTGATCAACACATCTAGGAAATGAAGAAAATCTAAAATCTAAAAAGCACTCACAAAATCACACACCTGATTTCCCCGTGAAGTGACAAGAGTGACGAGTTCTCCTTCAACCTTTGCAATCTCTCCTCCAATATACCCATCCTCAGCATCGGGTACCCAACAGTTCTTCTTAGAGTCGTATGGTATCGATTGATCCTGGAGTTTCATCAATAATTGCTTTATTGATGAAATTTGAAGCTTCTATTCATCAATAGCTTTAGTTTCGTTTTTTTTTTTTTTGGTAAGAAATGGACTCAGTTGTAGATGTTTTTGTGAAAAAAAAGCTAGGAATTGGCCAAAAAGTTCAACAATAATCAATTAAAAGTTAAAACTTTAAAATTATAATAAAAGAAAAAGCTTAATTAAAGACATCACAAAGAAAAAGATAAATTAATCTGTTCAATTAAAATCTTAGTCTTTTGATGAAAGCAAAAGATTGAAAAGTATTATAAAGTATTAGGTTGTCCAGTTATGAATGCACGCCTGCTCCTGAACAGCATACCTTAGAGCTATACAATTTTATCAAATCCAATTCTCTATATGCTGATCAAGTTTTATCATTTATTAAAACAACTTTTTGTGCTTTTGACGTCAAAATAATTCATTTTAGATTTCATTTCCGTGTTTAGAAATTTTTTTCGGACTTCCGACACGAAATTTTGTCTTTCTGCCAGCCTTTGGTATGACTTCAAATTGGGCAAAAAGCCCGCTGAATCTCATCGAGATCTTTTCAAAGTATTAGGTGTGTGAAAAAGTAATCCACGTTTTTAACGTTTAAATATAAAAGACCGGGGCCCAGAAAGGGAAGGGTCTGTGGTCGACCCCGTCCGATCTGCCAAGTTGAGCAACGTCGGCGCGGGTTAGTCGTGGGTTCGACTCCCATCGGTTCCCCTCCGAGCGCCCCAGCCCGGCCATCGGAGTATCATCGGCTACGACAACTACACTTCTGCGTCAGTAAATGTGGAAGCGGGTTGTGATCTGCGCTAAGTGCGAAGACAGATCAAATCATTTATTATTTATATAAAAGACCATAAGTTTCGTTAAAATAATTTTGATTCAACGAAGTAATCACCATTCGAAAGAACAACCTTTTGCCAACGTTCTACAAGTAAAGACATTCCACGATAATAAAAATCTTGGTCCGTAGAGGCGAAGAAAAGATCAATCTCGGTTTTGACATCTTCTTCGGAATTGAATCGTTTATTGGCCAAAAAGTTAGACAGAGACAAAAATAAATAATAATCAGAAGGTCTGGACTATAAGGTGAATGTGGTAAAACCTTCCATCCAACACTCTGGATTTTTTGTCGAGTCTGTAAAGAGACATGTGGTCGCGCGTTATCGTTCATGCGGTATCCATTTGTCCGACTTTTTGATAAAATTCATGGCATTCAAGCGTTTCCTTACGGTTGACCCATCACAATTTAATGTAAGGCCTATTTCTGAAGAGGTTGAACCAAGGGTTTTCGAGAAGACAGAGTCTTATTTGGTCATCAGATAAAAATAAAAAACGTGGATTACTTTTTCACACACCTAATATTTGGCGAAGATGCTATTTCGGAAAGCCAGTGTCGCCGATGGTTTCAACGATTTCGAGAAGGAAATGAATCTTTGGAAGACGAAGACCACCAACGACGGCCTCCTGCGAGCGATAATGCAGTACTGAAGCAGGCGATCGAAATGGATCCTCGACAAACTATACGTGAACTTGCAGAAATATTTAGAGTAAACCCTCAAACAATTTTCCGAGCATTTACATCAATTGGGGAAAACAAGCCGACAAGGGAAATGGGTTCTTCATCTTCTCAGCAATGCCAATAAAGCTACTCGTGTCACTATGGCGGGTATTCTTCTTCGTTTGGCAAAAAATACTGGGTTTTACGATGAAATCCTTACTTGCGATGAAAAATGGATTCAATATGATAATTCTACACGAAAACGGCAATGGCTAGAACCTGGTGAGGAGCCAATACCAACCCCAAAACCCGACTTCCATTGCAAGAAAGTAATGCTTACTGTCTAGTGGAATTCCCAAGGCATTGTTTATTTTGAGCGGCTTAAACCTGGACATGCAATCACAGATGAAACGTATGCACAACAATTGGAACGAGTGAACAATGTATTGCTACAAAAAGGCCTTGATCCTTCAAACATAAAGTTCATTCAAGATAACGCCCGTCCACACGTTGCAAAGATTGTTCAGAAAAAAACTCGAAGAGTTGGGCGGGGAAACTCTCCCGCATCCGCCATATTCTCCGGATATTTCTCCTTCGGATTACCATTTATTTCGCTAAATGCGAAACCGTTTGGCTGGAAACAGGTTCAAAGATGTTCAAGAGGTCGAAAAATGGTTAGCCGACTTCTTTGCCTTAAAACAAGCCAATTTTTACGCCGAGGGAATTCATTCTTTGCATGAAAGATGGAAACAAATATTGTTAACAAATGGTGAATATATTGTTGATTGAGCTGTTAAATTGTTGATTTTAGTTGTTGGTTTTAATGGTTGGTTTTAAAATAAAAAGTTGTTATCTTAAAAACGCGCATTTATAACTGGACAACCTAATATAAGAGCATTAGTAAGAATGTAGAAAATGCTTTGCTTACTTGAATAATTTGCTCTCGAGTTTGTCGAAGGAAATTCCATCCTGGATCCTCTTCACAGTCCATTCCTTCTTTTGATGATTTTTCTAAACAAGATTTTACAGATTTTTTTATGTAGTTAAAAGTCTAACAAGTATTTTAAAGTTGTGAAAAAGATTCGGATATAGCTGTAGGTGAAGAGAGAAGTTTTAGTGCCAATAACAATCACCGATTTCTCTCTAGAATCTCTCTAGAATCTCTCTAGAATCTCTCTTGAATCTCTCTCTCTCTTCAACCAATCCCTTTCTTCTCTTACTCTCAAGATGTGATGTGCGCGGTTTAATGCAAATCTCTTTCTTTCCTTTTCCTGGAAAGCTTTCTTTTGGTAACAGCTGATGCTATGGACACAAGAGTTCAATTGGGGCATAGATTTGTAAAGTAGGAAAGAAAACGATTCAAATTTCTAAAAGAAAACGATTACCGCTTCTTCAAAGAGATATGGTTCAGAAATACTGTGAAAACTGGTAGCCAGACAGAGCCAGACAGCAACCTACAGATTACAACCTTACAGCCAGATTCTGGCTTTAGTACTTTTTCAAACCAGGCAATTTCTTTCAAGCCAGGCAAGTTCTTTCAAGCCAGGCTTAGAAAAGCTTTGATACTTGCACTTGATTGTGTTGAAAAACTGCAGAAAGATAGCTTGAACGTGTAAAATGTCCAGAATTGACTTTGTTTTGTCACTATTCACTTTGATTTCATTTCAAAGCAATCTTATAGATTACTATAGCAATCTTATAGATTACTGGACACTCTTCTGAACTGATTTTGACTCTTGAAATGAATATTTTCTTCAAAAAAAAGATTGGTGATCGTTAATTGAAATTGAGACAATCAACAGCCGTGTCCCTTGTCCCTTGAATCCTTTCATCCATGCTTTCTATTCTTCTTCTTCTTTATTTTCTTCTTTATTTTAGCCGCTAGATGTTTTACTTGGCCTTTCTTTTCTCTTTAAGAAATGAGAAAAGAAGAAAAAGAAAAGAAAATGAGAAAAAACTCGACCCTAGGACAGGGAAAGATTTCTTAGATTTCTTTGAAAAGAATTGAAAGATCCCAGTTAGTTGTTGATCGAGTGACAGCTCTCCTCTACAATTTGATCTCCTCAACTCTTGAAACAAATGTTTGAGGGACTTTCAAAAAGTAAATCAGTAAAAATAATCAAAATAATTAGCTTATTTGATTAAAGCTCTAGCTCAAAGTAATCTATGCTGAATCGACTGAATGATAAGTCGATTGAATAGATTTTAAACTTCTAATTGAAAGCGAAAACATTCGGCAAGATTGGCAAGCTTAATATAATATTTTTCAATGTGTTTGAGCTTTGTAATTTGGTGAAAAACAGGGTGAAGCTTCAGAGTACTTCAGAGCTTCAGAGTACAGAGTACTGTAATGTATTTGCAAATGGACAATCGATTTTTTTTCTATTTGAAGCTTCAGAGTACACTCCAGTTCTAGAGTACAGTGAATTTTCTTTTTTAAATTGAAAGGTTCACCTTTTAGAAAAGCGAATAGTACAGTACCCTTCGTTTTTTATTCGTTTTTCAATTTTAAACCAAAGTTATGCAGTGAAAAATGACAGTCGTGACCAAAGTCACGCATTGTATCCCCGTTGTTGATTATTTAAGTCAAAAAATGTTGTGTTTAAAGGAAGTTCAAGACGATTTTGGGCCCCAAATATGATAAACGAAATCTAGACTAGATAGCGTGATCGGACTGGATAGCGAAATCTAGATTAGATAGACGATATGGTGACGATATGGTGACGATATGGTGACGATATGGTGACGATATGGTGACGATATGGTGACGATATGGTGACGATATGGTGACGATATGGTGACGATACAAACGACCGCACGTCGTTCTTAGTATTGCGATGTACAGCCAGTGCTCTCACTCCAGTTTCTCACCATTTTTCTTGTACTAAATAACAGTTTTTCTGTTTTTATACCATCGTGTAGCTCAATTGAAGGGCTTCGGTATCAGATTTGCACAAATTGATGGCACTGCTAAATGGCAATTCTACAGCACAATCTTTATGGTCTACAGCAACAGCTATCATCCACAAATTCTCAGGTCTACAGCAACAGCTATCGTCCGAAACGGTAGCTAAGCTAAAAATAACTTTGTCGTGAATGTGTTAAAGCTTTCTTCATACAGCTAAAGCTTTCTCAAAGTTTCTCGTTGAGTTGGAGAGAGAGAGAGAGATTCCCCTAGCTACTTGTTACAATGATCTCTTTCCTATACTTTTCCTTAATCCTTTCTCTTCACTTTCCTTTCTGTTCACTTTCCTTTCTCTTCTCTTCCCTTCCTCCTTCCCTCCCTCCCTTTCTTCTCTTCCCCTCCTTCCTCCCCCCCCCTCCCCCTCCCTCCTCCCCCCTCCTTCCCTTCCTCCTCCCTTCCCTTCCTTCCCTTCCCTTCCTTCCCTTTCTCTTCTCTTCCCTTCCTCTTCTCTTTCCTTTCTGTTCACTTCCCTTTCTCTTCTCTTCCCTTCCTCTTCTCTTCCCTTCCTCTTCTCTTCCCTTCCTCTTCTCTTCCCTTTCTCTTCTCTTCCCTTTCTCTTCTCTTCCCTTCCTCTTCTCTTCCCTTCCTCTTCTCTTCCTTTCTCTTCTCTTCCCTTTCTCTTCTCTTCCCTTTCTCTTCTCTTCCCTTTCCCCTCAATCGAATCGATGTGTTTGGTGTAAAGTGATTTGGGTGTTCCCATAGAACTCGTCAATCTCTCACATTCCCTTTTGCAAAAGGTGTGTCTTGAACTAAATCTTTATTGAAAAAATGACTAGATCACCTTGAGGCGATTGACTTTAAAATGACAATAATCATTTTTAGTGTCTTAATCTAAACATGAAACTTAATAACGGTTGAAAATCTAATGCATAGAACAAGTTTAGTCAAGAGTTCACTTTAATAGTACCTAGGTATTTCTAGTTTAATTTCTAGTTTCATCAGTACTTTTAATATCAATAGTTATTTAAGTAATTAGCTTTAGCTTTGGCTTTAGCTTTGGCTTTAGCTTTGGCTTTAGCTTTGGCTTTAGCTTTGGCTTTAGCTTTGGCTTTGGCTTTGGCTTTGGCTTTGGCTTTGGCTTTGGCTTTAGCTCTGGCTTTGGCTTTAGCTTTAGCTTTGGCTTTGGCTTTAACCTCAAGCTAAACTTTGTAATGTATTTGCAAATTGGACAATCGATTTTTTTTCTATTTGAAGCTTCAGTAAACTTTTGACGTTTATCAATTCGCATAAATCACACACAGATAATATCAGTTTTCTGGCATCAATCCCGTTTTGGAATCAGTCGAAAGTCAAAAGAAAGAAAGTGCAGAAAAAACAAAAAGAGAAAAACTCAAAATGAAATGAGATCCGATTTTGAGGGAAAGGGAGAAAATAGAAAATTTGAGAGAAATGGAAAAGCTTTTAGAGGAAAAACATGCGAATTTCACTCAAAATGCACGAGTGCACAAATTTTTCATATAAGAATACAAAAATTTGAGCTAATAAAGGCTAAAGAAACTTCCTAAAAGTCGAAAAGTCGTAAATAACTTTGAGATAAAAAAAGCTAATAGATAAAATATCACAGAAATTAGCAGTGATTATTTTCGAGGCTTCAAAGGCTTCAAAGGCTTCAAAGGCTTCAAAGGCTTCGAAAAAGCTTTCATATAAAAGAATTTGATCATGTTCTCTTAAAAATTTGAGAGGAAAGACCAAATTTTGGTGAGAAATCAACAAAGAACAGGCTCTTGCCTAGTTTCTGGATCTTTTGAACGGATCGTCACCCTTTGAAGGCCTATAACTTTGTTCAGAGATAATATTTTCATTAACTTTTTATATCATTGTACAGAGGACATTTCAGGCTTTCAAATGATACCAAGTAGAGCTTGATTAGACAATCCAGTCCAAGAAAATCAGAGCCAACGCTGAGTAAATGAAATCTATCCGACTCGAGTGTCGTGTCGCACGGTTTCCATTGGAATGAAAAATCCAATCAAGCTCAATTTGGTATCATTTGAAAGCTTGAAATGTCCTCTGTACAATGATATAAAAAGTTAATGAAAATATTATCTCTGGACAAAGTTATAGGCCTTCAAACTATCCGAAAACTACGCAAGAGCTAAAAGATTTAGACAGATACGGGCCTGTTTGAGGAAATGAACAGCTAGTTGACTGCACGAATCTAGTTTCAGCCAGTTAAATCTAGTTTCAGCCATGAATCTAGTTTCAGCCAGTTAAATCTAGTTTCAGCCAGTTAAATCTAGTTTCAGCTATGAATCTAGTTTCAGCCAGTTGAATCTAGTTTCAGCTATGAAGTCATGACACCAAATCCTGATGTCTATCAGTTTCTTTCTAAAGCTCTAGAATTTCTCGATCACAGTCTCATTGTATTGCTCGTCATCAGAATCGGAATCCGATTCCTCGTTCACGAATTGCACCGGAATACCCGCTGATTTCTCGTCGCCAACTCGTTGCAAATTCTTTTGCTTTCTCGATTTCTTTCTTCCCGTCATTTCTTCGATAATCTCATGGGTTTCTTTGCCTAAACAATTCTTGATTGCAATTTAGAAAGCTTTCATTTTTTCCTATAACTTTTTAGAGTGATTAGAGTCATTAGAGTCATTCTTACAAACCAATCACTAAACTGAGCAAAATCTATGCATTACAGTATTTCTTTTGATGTACTTTTATGTACTTTTATGTACTTTTATGCTAATTTTATGTACTTTTATGCTAATTTTATGTACTTTTATGTACTTTTATGCTAATTTTATGTACTTTTATGCTAATTTTATGCTAATTTTATGTACTTTTATGTACTTTTATGCTAATTTTCCTTACCTAGAGTCTCTGGTAGACAGAAATAGAGAAAAATGAGGCAAAAAGCGGATGGAATGACGAAAAGCGGGATGAAAGTGACACCGCCGATTGCCTGAAAGATTATTGCTTGTCATGCTTGAGATTATCTACTATTATTATCTAATTTCTTACTTTGAACAATGGAACGACTGAGAAATTCGTGATCGTGATCATCACATTGCCGATCGAGTAGCACAAAGCGAAGACGGTACTCTTGTGGCGTTGAGAGACCAACTCTGGAGCGATGAACCAACCGATTGGACCCAAAACGAGTCTAGAAATGAAAACATAATCTAAAGATCTAATGGTTTTCAGTTTAAAATGATTTTCATTTCCTTAAAAAGCTCTTTCCATGATTTTCTTAAAAACAAAGCTACCGTATTTTCTCTAATAGTAGTGCTCACTGAGCGTTGCCTAAATTGCTCGAAATCTCGAAAACCGCTTATCAGAACCTATCGATGTGGGGTTGGAAAATGTAGCTGACGATGAGATCTTGACGATGATTAGAGTGTTGAGCTTCTGGGAGAAATTGGAAACCGTAAAATAGGCATCAACTCGGCTACAAATCTACCGTAACAAATCCAACAAAGCTTAAAGAAGTTGGTAACTAAAGGAGAAGCTGATCTCAAAGAAGCTAGTCCCAAATACTAGTCCATAAGCTTGCCTAGATTCCTCCAAATCTCGAGAACCGCTTATCAGAACCTATCGATGTGGGGTTGGAAAATGTAGCTGACGATGAGATCTTGACGATGATTAGAGTGTTGAGCTTCTGTGAAAACTTTTAAAGCCGTAAAATAGTCACCAACTCGGCGGGGCGCACTACTATTAGAGAAAATACGGTATAGAAATATAATATAGAAATTGAATGGGTTTATCCTAGAGTATAGCCTAGTGTGAAAGTCATTGCCGAGTTACTGAATTATTGTACTGTACATTACTGTACTTTGCGTTACGTCTTTACTTTACGTTTACTGTACTTACTTTAGCATTTACATTTACGTTTACTGTAGGATCACTGTACTTTGTGACGGCTTTTAAAGTCTATTGTGATCAATGTTACTTTTGAGATCTTGAAGGATAAGGGGGCAAATTCAGCTTTTCAGCTTCAGCAAAACTTACGCAAACGTGATAATATAGCAGACGATGCTTGCTAGACCAGCCCATTGAATCCAAAGATTGTGAGGAAGACTAGAGAAGATGGCGAATGCAAGGAGAAAGATCTGGAAATGTAAGAATCAATCGATTAGACCTAGAATGAGGCTTAGAATGAGGCTTAGAATTTTAATATAATGTTTTTATAACAATTAGATTAGAATTAACTATTAGATTTGAATTAACTATTAGATTTGAATTAACAATTAGACAATTAGATTTCTTTTTTTGAAAACCTTACATTACTAAGTGCTCCGAATGTGAGAACGAGCGTTCGACGGGGGAAACGATCGATGATTTGCGAGCCGAGACAAGTGGAGATTGTCATTAAAACGAGCAGACCTGTTGATGACATTTCGGCCAAATCTCTGGAAATCATTGTTGAAAGATTGTTGAAAAAGAAATTCATATGAATTTCATCTAACTCACTTTCTGAATCCGGATCTTAAAAAGAAGAAAGTCGACGATTGAAGCATTGGATAGAATGAAAGAGTCAAGACAAACACCGAACAACCAAGGAGCACCGAGCGACGGAGTTGCCATTTCCGGATCACTTCCTGGAATTGTAATTGAAGATTTTGAAGATTTTGAAGATTTTGAAGATTTAAGGGATGATTTCTATTTAGATTCAATTCAATTTAGATGCATACCTACCGTAAATACTGTAATAGTACCCCACCCCCATAATGACGGTGCAGAATGTCGCGTAGTCTAGCTTTGAACGAGCTTTTCTCGACACTAGTTTATGCTACAATGCGCGCTTAGGTATCAAAAAATAGCTGAAGTTCAGGGCTATTTTTTGATACCTAAGCGCGCATTGTAGCTTAAACCAGTGTCGAGAAAAACTCGTTCAAAGCTAGACTACGCAACACTCACCGTCATTATGGAGGTGGGGTACTATTACAGTATTTACGGTATCTGGATTCAATATTCAATTCTAGTTTTAGACTGTCTTAGCTTAAAGCTTTAATCCGATTCATTTCAAATTCTTTGCTGCAAGGATCAAAAGAAAAAGGCTACGATAAACCATTAAAACTTTACGCAATCAAACATCAAGATTCCTCACTTCTCAGCGCTCTATTCAATTCTAGCTTTTTACTGTCTTAGCCTAAAGCTTCAATACGATTCATTTCAAATTGCGACTCTTTGCTTTCCTCACCCAAATCGATGATCTCTTCTTTCCGCTTGTGTCCAATTCTTTCTCTTTTTGATACGTGGCTAGCATAAATTGATTGACTTTTTCCCGTTTCCCTTGGAAGAACTCGAGTGATTTCAACGATTTTTCGCGATTTCCTCTGAAAGTTTAAGATACTGACAATTCTATAACTCTACTATCTAGCAAAAACTTCTTTAAGCATCATGATCACGTGCAATAGTCCTTTTGATTAGATTGAAATCTTTAACTGAAATTATCCATTCTTTTAATAATTTAGAGATTCTAGGTTTTTTGTTCTAGTTTCTAGATTCTAGACGGTCAAATTGGTGCTAGATAGAGAGCTTTTAGCTGATCTTCTAGCTGATCTTCTAGCTAAATATTACATCTAAATCTTATCACCTTCTACCGTAATCCTTTCCTATTCTCCACTAGCTTCACTAACAAGATTCTATCTCTTACTTGATAATCATCAAATATTTTGGTGTCTCCGGGATGCAAAGTAAAAAGAGCAATGAGAGCACTTCGGGGATGAGAGAGACGAGCAAAAGGCGCTCAAGCGATGAGCCAAGCACTTCAGGCATTCCTGTAATTGATACAATAGCTTAGATATATAGCTTAGCTACATAAATACTGTAATACTTAATTTATATTACCTAGAATACTCCCCAGCACACACATCGAACCATAGCCAATCTCAGGTAAAAACGAGAGCATTCCACGCAGCTCAACTGGAGCTGTTTCCTGAAAATTCTCTTTATTTTATAGTATTATCTTTTAGAAGATCGAATTATTATATTTTAAATGAGACTTTAAAAATTCTTTTACCTGAATGTACATGATTAGACAAGTGTCACAGAGTGGCGAAGCAAAAGCTGTCATCGCTCGACCCTAAATTCAAGGATTAGTTCATTAAAAGGATTATAGATCGGTTATAGATCGGTTATAGAGATTTTAAAAATAGATACCGTAAATACTGTAATAGTACCCCATCCCCATAATGACGGTGCGGAGCGTTGCGTAGTCTAGCTTTGAACGCGTTTTTCTCGGCACTGGTTTAAGCTACAATGCGCGCTTAGGTATCAAAAAATAGCCCTGAAATTCAGCGTTATTTTTTGATACCTAAACGCGCATTGTAGCATAAACCAGTGTCGAGAAAAACTCGTTCAAAGCTAGACTACGCAACACTCTGCACCGTCATTATGGAGGTGGGGTACTATTACAGTATTTACGGTAACTATTTGTCTATGATAGAATAATTAGCCTTTCTCTCACCAAAATCAACAATTCAGGCATTTTAATGCGAATCGAGAACGCTTGAACAATCGAAGAGCACAGGGTAAACGCGACACCGATCAAGTAACCTCCTGGAAAGAAAATGGTTTCAAATTTGAATCTAATTTGCATCTAATTTGCATCTAATTTTCATCTAATTTCCATCTAATTTCGATCTAATTTCTAATCTACGTATTACTGTTTTGAACTTACTCTTTCGTCCGTATTTATCTGTGAAATACGGAGCGATGGTGGCGCCAAAGACTTGCGCCAAGAACCAAACGTTTAAAATAGCTGAGTGGATCCATAGAATCTGAAAGTGGAAAGGATTGGGTGATTGAAATATTGAAATATGATTTATTTAGGAAACTATTTGGAAATGATTTTGATTTGAACACATTTAGAGTCATTTTTCAATCCACTTATGCAAACTTACATCTTGCGAGGTGAAATCCCATTCACGTTCGGTGTAGGAGATGTTGATATATCTGGAAATTGAGATGGAAAACTTTATTCAGAAACTCTAGTCCTTTTATATTACTTTTATAACACTTTAGTACTTTTCTATCACTTTTATAAACTTTTATAGCACTCTAGTACTTCTCTATCACTTTTATAACACTCTAGTACTTCTCTATCACCTCTATAACACTATAATACTTTTCTATCACTTCTATAACACTCTAGTCCTTTTATATCACTTTTTAATACTTTTATAAAAGATACCGTTAGATTTATGTGATATTTAACAAACATTTCCAACTTTCCCTAGAGTTATTTGACTGTGATTGGCTTTTGTTTCAATAGATGCACAATCTCTTTCTTTCTTTCTCTCTGCCTTCCTTTCTTTCTTTCTTTCTTTCTTTCCTTTTTTTCATTGGTTCCAGGGGTTTTCGCCAAATTGCTTTGATATGATTGAATGAGAGTTCTCAGTTATCACATCGAAAGACAAAGAACTCACAAAGGTGACAAGCGCTCAAAACGTCATGATTTCTAAGGGAAGCGCTTAAAACGTCATTAGTTCAAAGAATTATCAAAACATTTCAATGATTGTTTGTTTTGAAGTAAAGTTTAACTTAAAAACATAAGCTAAAAGCTTTATTAGATCACTAAACTGAGTGCTTAGGTCTTTATTTTTAAACAACAGAATTTCAGAAAAATTTTAAAGAAACCCGTACTATGATAGGCTTATTTATAAAAAACTCAATACGCCAGATCATGAAAGTTTAGATTAAACGTCAGCAATAGAGTTTACAGTCTGATCTTTCATGTCTAGCTGACTGTAGAAGTGTTCCCATTAACATAAAGCTGAATAATTTTAAAACTTTAAAGCTGAATAACTTTTAAGGATATTGACCTAAAGAACACTTTAAAATAGTACTTTATTAGGATATTGATAGGTCTACAATTGGATCTACAATTGGATCTACAATTGGTCTATAATTGGTCTACAATTGGGTCTAGAATTGGGTCTAGAATTGGGTCTACAATTGGGTCTACAATTGGGTCTATAATTGATCTAAAATTGGGTCTACAATTGGATCTACAATTGGATCTACAATTGGGTCTACAATCATGAGCTTTTCTTCCGCATCTTTTCAACTCTATCATTTCAAATTTGAGTCTAATTTGATCATCCTTTCCCCCTTAGATCTCCAAAATAGTTCCGTTTTCCAAATTTCATCGAAACACTTTTCCTGAATGAACAAGGCGATCCCTAGAGATCCCAATTTCTCTCTCAAAAATTTTCCGAAACGTTCAATGTATCAGACCAAGGAAACTTCCTGAACTCTTTAATAGCTCTTGGTAAATGGGGTGATGATGAGAAAAGATTTCGTTGACAAAAAGTTATAAAAAGCTATCGGATAAACGTTCTTTGATCCCCATCAATGTTTCCTATTTCCTATTTCCTAATCGGTGAACGATGACTGCAAAATGCAATTGCACGGTAGGATAAAACAAGAAGAAAGTTTTGTTCAGGTTTAATGTAAGAATTTAAAACTTTAAGCTTAAAGCATTGAACCGTTGGAGCTATTGGAGATTGGAACGGCTTATTGGAACCTTATTTACCGTATGGGATTCTTTACAACTTCTACAACTTAAAGATTGAACCTTTCTAGCAATTCGAAAAGAAACGATGACTTTCTATTAGTGTTAAAAATAGCACAATACCTTGGGCTAGATTGGAATAGATTGGAACACTCAATACTGTAATGCTAGATTGGAATCAATACTGTATGATTGATTTGAATTTGATTCATAATTGTCAAAATACTTGTAAATTAGATTTTGATTTGCTTGATTTTGTAAGTTTTATGTAAATAAGTAAATCAAATCCATTTGTTTACCTCAAAAGTGGCTCGACAGCTGTGTTCACTGTCGAGTTCGTGAATCCTGATGGGAAATTGGTGATCAAGGTTAGCGCAATGTGAATGGAGACGAGGAAAGCGAGTTGACGAGAGGAGATCGATGAGGAAGAAGAGGACATCTTTCAATCATTCAGTTTTGATGAGTTGCTGCTGAAAATCGATTCATAGTGGATAAAGAATAAGATGAAGGAATTCATGAAAAAGAAGTACAGATTTCTATAGGCTTTAGACAGGCTTTAGACAGGCTTTAGACAGGCTTTAGATAGGCTTTAGACAGGCTTTAGACAGGCTTTAGACAGGCTTTAGATAGGCTTTAGAAAGGCTTTAGATAGGCTTTAGATAGGCTTTAGAAAGGCTTTAGAAAGGCTTTAGCCAGACTTTAGACAGACTCTAGCCAGGCTCTAGCCAGGCTTTAGACAGACTCTAGCCAGGCTCTAGCCAGGCTTTAGACAGGCTTTAGACAGGCTTTAAACAGACTTTAAACAGCCTTTCTAGTCTTGAACGTGCTGAAAAGTCTTGAAAGTTTTAAAGTTTTAAATCTTTTGATAGACTTTTCAATGCTCATCATTTTAAATTGAAGAAAGAAAGTCATTAAAGAAAGAAAACTCTTCAATAACTGGTAAACTTTAAAGGCTAAATAACAAAGTTCAAAACAACAAATAACAGTCGTCAATGAAAAGGGAAAAGTTTCAATGAAGGACGATGATCAAAGCCAAGCAACAGAAAGAGAAAGCCGTTTGGATACGGTAAAGTAAGCTAAAAAGGTACATGACTAGATGTACTATTTCTAATTGTACGTAGTAATTGTACGTACGTAATTGTACTATTTATAATTGTACGTAGCCTAAATTCAACTCACGAATAAATATAGAACTTTGAACGCGGAATAGCATAAGAATCAGAAAACCATAGCTCTTGATAGACAAAGTTTATAGACAACAAAATGTTGAGCTTTAAAAAGTATACTGTAAACAAGTTTTAGAAGTTTAAACAAAGTTGTAAGGAACGATTTGATCAAATCAAAATTTGATTTGATCAAAAGAAAGAAAGGCTACGATAAACCATTAAAACTTTACGCAATCAAACATCGAGATTGCTCACTGTTGCTCACTTTTCAGTGCTCACTGTTGCCGCTAAATACTAGAGGATGGGGGTGTCAGCGATTTGAGTGCGCGAAAAAGAGAATCATTTTTCGAAAAGAACAGACGATGGGGTGTTTCGCGGAGAAGCAATGGTGATATCATTTGAGAGAGGCGTACGGTAGAAATAGGTAGAAATCATCATCCCAACTTGGGGTTTTTGGCTTTGATGGCTGCAATTTTTAGGGATTTCAGAGTGCGAGGCTTTCTGAATTGAATTGATTCTTTAAGAACACTTTATTATCCTTGATTTCCCGTTTACAGATTAGATTATGTTTTAAACTTTTTATCCAGTATTGTCTTGGCTTTCAACGAAATCATACTCTTATAAATGATCTGAAGTTATATGTTTACTAAGATCTAAAGCTAACAATCTAAAGCTAAAGATCTAAAGCTAGAGATCTAAAGCTAGAGATCTAAAGCTAGAGATCTAAAGCTAAAGATCTAAAGCTAGAGATCTAAAGCTAGAGATCTAAAGCTAGAGATCTAAAGCTAAAGATCTAAAGCTAGAGATCTAAAGCTAGAGATCTAAAGCTAGAGATCTAAAGCTAGAGATCTAAAACTAATGATCTAAAGCTAATAAGCTAAAGCTAAAGATCTAAAGCTAATGATCTAAAGCTAAAGATCAAGCTAACGATCAAGCTAACAATCTAAAGCTAACTCGTTAACTTATAATACTTTTGAAGATTTTAAAGATTGAATGAAAAAAGCTTGGCCATCAGTAGAAATCTCGTTTTTCTGTATGCCATTTAACCTTGAGAGTGGCTACTTTCCGCCATTTTATTTGCGCAGCTCGCCATAACTTTCTTCTAAGTGGACCAATCTTTATGTTTTTGGTGTCATTTTGTTGCACTTATTGAGATCTACAAAATGACACTAAAATCATAAAATTTAGCTCACATAGAAGAAAGTTATGGTAAGTTGCGAAAAAATTTGACGCAAAGTAGCCTTCATTAAAATAAACTTTGTATTGGGAAGATAGTGTTTTATAATTCTCACAAAATCGTTTTCTAAAGTGCACCTTCCACGTCTGTCTAGGTTGTCACTAGAAACGTCCCGTAGTCTGTGCCATTTTATTCTCTTTTCATTTGTTTCTAGCGCTTTTATAGGGTAGACTAATTTCCGTCATTTTATTTGCGCAACTCGCCATAACTTTCTTCTAAGTTGACCAATTTTTATGATTTTGGTTTCATTTCGTAGATCTCAATAAGGGCAACAGAATGACACCAAAAACATAAAGATTGGTCTACTTAGAAGAAAGTTATGGCGAGTTGCGCAATTAAAATTGCGGCAATTAGCCTACCCCGTTTGTATACGAATCGATCGATTGTGATTCTTTTATTCGTCTTTATTACTTTGGATAAACGCTAACTGTTATTTCCGCAAGCAAGTCAATCACGTTATAACAGTTTGTATCCTAATTCTTATCCCAATTTTGGGTAAAGTCTGCAGTCTTCAAGTTAAAATTGAAAAATTGACTATAGCTTGCTTGTTCTTAAGGCTACTGGGGCTCATGTAGCAGCTAGCGTAACTTTAAGGCTTTGTTATAACTTGAATCCTTTTACTTTTGGCCTTTAGCTTTTATTTTTAACTTTTAGCTTTTTTTAGCAACAAGCATCCCTCATTATCGAAAGATTATGTTTGCTGTTTTTAAAAGTGTTTGCTGTTTAGCTTACTATCAAATTCCCGATATTTCAACAACAGTCTAACAACCCAATCTTCTCATTCAACTCAAGCCCTTCCACTCCCGTCTATTTCCACGAAATTCCACTATTTCGTTTAGAGATCTGCAGAACAATCATTTCCCCCAATTTCCTTTTGAATTTGAGAGAAAATTTATGGTGAACGTGCGGGAAATGGCGTTGAATTGGGGGAAAGCACCCGATTGGGCGGTGATCTTGAGTGTTCTTTGCCATTGTTCACTTTGAGAAACGGAAGTCGGCTTTTTTTAGCAAAACGCGTAGCTCTCATCGATGAAACTATTGACGTGTTGAGAGCTATTGCACTTAAATGATCGAATAGCTAGTGTTCTAGATGTTGTCATGTTGGCTGAATTGATTTCGTTGAAGAGTTGTGCGGCTTTGCTCTCTTATTAGCCAATCTAATCGATGCATCGCCCCTTTAGCTTCACAGCGTAGCGTTCAAAGTCAGTGATCCCTTGTACTCAAGAAGAAAACAACCATCTCTAATGCACTAGACACATTTTGACGCATTGAGACCAAAGATTGCTAACGATTGTACCAGCCATGCTTTTTTCTATCTTGATCCAATATCGGAAATGTTTATTTATCTCTACTACGAAGCCTACGAAGCCTCATGAAGCTTTAAACATTGTTACTTTCTATCTAGGTAAATAACAATTTGTACTGTAGTCCTACGTTTGTTTTTGATTTAGCCCCAGACTTTAACCAAAGACTCGACGAATCTTTCAACAACAACGAATACAAATTGTTATTTACCTAGATAGAAAGTAACAAAGTTTAAAGCTTATCAACGAATCTCAACTTTGTCTTGTTACTTTACTATAACCATCGTCAAACTTAGAAACTTTAGAAATCTGATTCCGCATTTCTGCTGCTATCGATGGTCTAAATCATTGGTATGATCCATTCACTAAAAAAACCTCATTTACCCGTTTGGAACTGTTTACATTGAAACTATTTAAGGCGGTCAGCTAGTAAAAAGTAGTCGGCAATAAGTGGAGAGCCTATCGTCAATAAGTGGAGAGTAAATAATCGTCAAATTCTATCAGCCCAACTATTTACCTGGCTTCACAGCGTAGCGTTCAAAGTCAGTGACCCCTTCCTCTTTCAAAATATCTTCATCGACTGTAGTTCTACGTTTATTTTCGATGTAACCCCAGACTTTAACCCTAGACTCGACGAATCTTGTATCAACGAATCTCAACTTTGTCTTGTTACTTTACCATAACCTTCGCCAAACTTAGAAACTTTAGAAATCTCATCCGCGAATGTCTGTGAGCATAAAAGTCTCAAAAAAATCTCAATCCGCGAATGTCTATGACCATAAAAGTCTCAAAACAAACAAATGTCACGACAAAATAAGTTTTTTATGAAAAAAAAAGGTTTCTATGATGATAAAATCATTGAAAATGAGAGAAATTTCTCTGTTAGTGGGATTTTGGCGACCAAAATAAATAAAGTGTTTTTGTGGTAAAATATTGGACTACTGTAACGTGGGAAATATCTAATGGTTAGAGACTTTAACTAATCCAAATACTTTGATGACAATTCACAGACTCTCCCGGTTTTAAAAACAAGCCTGCCTTTTTTTTCTTACAATCCTCCTCAAACCCTTTACAAAATAAAAGATATTCAGTACGGTTGAATATTTTTCCGGTATACTGTAGCTTCTTTATTGACAGTCTGTACTGTGTACTGTGACAGCATGGACTGTGTACTGTGACAGTATGTACTGTGTACTGTGCACTGTGACAGTCTGTACTGTGCACTGTGACAGTCTGTACTGTGCACTGTGACAGTCTGTACTGTGCACTGTGACAGTCTGTACTGTGCACTGTGACAGTCTGTACTGTGCACTGTGACAGTCTGTACTGTGCACTGTGACAGTCTGTACTGTGCACTGTGACAGTACGTACTGTGCACTGTGACAGTCTGTACTGTGCACTGTGACGGTACGTACTGTGCACTGTGACAGTACGTACTGTGTACTGTGTACTGTGTACTATGTACTTCGTGTACTGTAAAGACACCTGCTCATAGGATTGTAACTAATATCTTTTAGCTGATCAGTGACTAAAATAAAAACCAAAATCTTCACCTTTCCTTGTTGACAAACAACAGCCGATAAAAGATACTCACTCGTTAATCTTTACACTAAACGATTCTCTAAGCTAAAGAGTGGTGCACTTTGGTATTCACCAAAGAAACGAACACAATTCGGCAAACGGGGGGCGGAAAGGATGTGGCGATGGAGTGGGAAAAGGAGAAATGATATCATTTTAATGAGTGCACATCCCGGTTCAGAGCTGAACTCTTAAAAATAGGCCATGGAAAAAAAAAAGAAAGACGATATTTGGTTTATAAAAATGTTATAATAGTAAAGTTAAAAAGTTTTATATATTTAAATTAAATATGTTTATATTAAAAGATTTATATGCCGTAGCCGATTAAGGATTTCAGGAAAAGAAAATGGCGAAAAGGGCCCTTTCATAGCCTTTGGTTACAGTATGATAAAATGCGCACTCTTTAGAATGCGTTTTTAGCTTTTAAGCGCCTTTTAGAGAGCTTGAGTCTGTGGTATTGACTTGAGTCAATACATAACTCAAAATTTCATTTTTGAGACTTAATCGGCTAGCCGAAGAAGTCTGGGACTTAATCGGCTAGCCGAAGAAGGTTTCGCTAAAATTTGAGACTTCATCGGCTAGCCGATTAGTCTCAGAGTCTGAGACTTCTTCGGCTGAAATCCTTAAGCGGCTACGACATATAAAAGACTTACAATAAACAATATTGGTAAATGATAAAGTTTAATGAAAAATTTTGAAACGAAACAGTTTTGAAATTTGAACAAATTTTGGGGTAGGCTTATTTCCGGAAATTTTTTTTTTTGCGCAACTCGCCATAACTTTCTTCTAAGTGATTTTGGTTCTAAGTGATCTTCAGGATTTTGGTTTCATTTTGTAGATCTCAATAGGTGCAACAAAATGACACCAAAAACATAAAGATTGGTCCACTTAGAAGAAAGTTATGGCGAGCTGCGCAAAAAAATTGCGGAAATTAGCCTACCCCCAAATTTGGCTATTTTTGGCATAACTGCTCGTCAGTTATAATCGAAAATGAAAAAAAAAACTCTAAAAAATATTCAGCTTTCACATCTAAATACCTTTATCTGATAAATTACAGTAGGATAACTGGTTGGGAGTATAGTATGTATCTCTAAAAACAAAATTAGGAACAGATAAATCAACATTATGATGTAAAAACGCGGCAAACCTCTTGGATCAGCTTCAAAAAAAAGATTTTAACTCAAAAACGGTAAAAATTCTCCATATCAAACCGAAAATCATCAAATTGATCAAATGGTGACCTCGAAAACTTTTCCCGATCCTCAACTTGATCCAGGAAATTGAAAAAAAACTGAACCGAAAGCCCGGTCAGTAAGAGGTTATCACTTTTGAGTCAAAAGTCAGCTTTTCATTTTTCCAAATGAGAGAGAAAATTTGAAGATATCTTCTCTCAAATTTGAGGAGAAAACGGGTACAAAGTTTGCATCGTAAGAAAATTTGCATTTGTAGATTTAGGTTCAATGATAAATTTAAATCTTAAACTTGAAATAAAAGAAAACGAATCGAGGAGCGGGCATCCATTTTGTCTCGACGAAGAAACTTCTTCACTCCCACGACAACGATGCAAACGGGTCGCACTTTATGGATATTCAATTTTTTTATTTGCTTTTGAAATAAGTTCTTTTATATTTAGACCTTTCAATTCGCTTTTGCGGTCTAAATCTTTTTTGATAAAGCCAAACTTTCGGAAAATCTCATTGTTAGCTTTGCTTTTTGCCCGAGAAACGCGCCGCTGGATCATATGGATATCGTGATGGAGCTGAAGCTTGTAAGTTTAGTTTACGATTTTCTTACTCATTCTAGATTTCTTGAAATCAAAGTATACTTTATCGTTTAGCGCAAATCGCGAATACTAGAGGCCGCCCAGCACCAATCTCAACCCCGATGTGCCAATCTCCCTATTTATACCCAAAGGTGAACGCATGTGAGACTCTTCTGGTCTCTGTTTTGCGTTTAAAAATAAAGTGTTTCTGAAATGCATTGTGCAAAAATTTATCATACCAACCACCCAACTAAAATCAGCAGCAAAGAAATCGGGCTAAACACTCGTCATCACAAATTGTGGACCTATTTACAAGTAATAAAAAAACTTCACAGTAAACACCGAAATTCACATCTTGGCTTTCATTTTCTTCATGAGACCCTCTAGAGCAATGGCTTTTTGCATGTTACCCTAAAGTTCGCTTTAGAAAACAAGCAAAAGGGAATCAAACCTTAATTTGAAGTTTCTTCATTGAAAATGCAACCAGCGCCGAAAGTTCTCCAGTGAAAAGCTTCAGAAAGTCTTCATCGGAGCAAGTGAATCTAAACAAGTGATGAAAAACAACCTAGAAACCATGCTTACTCGACATCGGCCTTCTCTGGTTTCGCTTCAGTAACAGAGCCAGCTCCTTCCTTGAGATTGATTGTCACCGATTTAGCATTAGCTCCTGAAAACAAATACTTTAATTTTATAAATTTACTTACCAGTGATATTGAAAACAAAAATAGCGTTGAGTTTTTTGACGAGCTCTTCATTTAATGCAGATTGAATGACACCACTTATCTAAATTTAAAGTGATTTGGGATCCTAGAATGATTTACCACACAATAACTCTAAATTTTAAAAACTTTAACCTTTTCAATTTCTTTTCCCAAGATCTCCTTTGAAATTGCATTTCGTGATGTGGACCGTTTGGCATTTTTGCTGCTATCGATGGTCTAAATCATTGGTATGATCCATTCACTAAAAAACCTCATTTACCAATTGGAACTGTTTAAGGCGGTCAGCTGGTAAAAAGTAGTCGGCAATAAGTGGAGAGCCTAGAAATAATCATCAAATTCTATCAGCTCAACTATTTACCTGGCTTCACAGCGTAGCGTTCAAAGTCAGTGATCCCTTCCTCTTTCAAAATATCTTCATCGATTGCAAAATTCCCAGTGTATTCTTTTGCACGTCGGCTCAAGATTGCATACGCAGAATCTGAAGTGTTAAATGTAAGTGAGAAATGTGAGAAACGAAAAATGTCTCGCTATACAAAAACATTGTAGTTTGTGTCTATTATATATCCAGGGATGTCCCAACCAAAAGCTTGTGAACGTACCAGCCATTATGCTTGGATGCCGACTTCCATCAGATCCTTCACCCGATGATAACATATCCATAGCAGCTGTCCAAATGGCTAAAAACAAATTAAGTATCGCGTTAAGTGAAGCAGTTATCTTAATCCCCTTAAGCATGTCGATTACTGCTTACCAGTCAAAGGCCAGAGTGCGTTAACGGCAATTCCATCTGAACGAAGCTCCTCACTCATACCAAGGACACACATCGACATTCTATAACATTTAATTTGCCTCTTATTAATAAATTGAGCATACCCGTATTTGGCCATGGTGTAGGCAACGTGACTCTAAATTTGTTTCATTAAGCGTTTAATACCCCAAAAATATAAAATTACCCTAAACCATAGTGAGTCCATGATAAGTGGTGGGGAGATATTCAGAATATGTGGATTCTTCGCTTGCTTCAAGTAAGGCAAACACGTCTTCGATCTAACAATAAAAAAATTACTGTTGATACATTATCACCAGCTATTCTATTCAGAAAAGCGACTTACAAAAGAAAAGTTCCTCTTGTGTTAATCTGATGCATCAAATCGAAACTGAAATTTATCGCCTAAATTAACAGGCTCCACTGAAGCTTTTAGCAAAACTGAGAAAAGAAAAAAAATAAGAGAGACGCTAACAAATTATTTACCGCTTCATTTCGGTGTCCAAAGTGCCAGTCAACGAGATCGCTGAAGCATTGTTGATAAGGATATCGACACCGCCAAACTTTTTAACCTGAAAGAATTTACTTATTTACCGGTGCTAACATGGGTTGCCTAAATCTTTAAATTGCGAAAGCTAATTAAATAGTTTTTCAATTAGATACCGTTTCTTGCACGCATTCGGAAACTGATTTCTCATCACGGACATCGACTGGAAATGGAAGGGCTTTGCCACCGGCCTAAATAGAAAAAAATAAAGCAAAGCTTCAAAAATAGAAACCTTCTCAATTTCCTCAGCGGCAGTAAATATGGTACCCGGTAATTTTGGGTGTGGAGTTGTGGTTTTCGCTGCAACCTAAATCATTAAATTAAAATAGTCATAAAAAATATTGAGCATTATTTTTAAAGAATTTACCACAATGTTTGCTCCATCTTTTGCAAGTTTCAAAGCGATTTCCTTTCCGATTCCTCGTGATGCACCGCTAATGATCGCAGTCTTGCCGGCGAATTTCCTAAAAGTACACTTTATAAAAACTTTTTACAAATGCATTTGACCCAAAATTGAAAAATAAAAACATTAAACGAACCCCGTGTTGAACATCTTCCCTCTTGAGACTACCCTAGAAAATGATTTCAGGTCAAAAGTCTGAACATAGTCCACCTAAAAATATTCAGCGAAAAGCACATTTACAAAGTTTTGTACCATTTCAAACCCGTTTATTCACAGAAGCATAAAAATAAGCATCTAATCTGTACAAAAATATTCACAGTCTATACATCCTTAAAGGTAGCTTTTTGCTTTTGCATGGAAGCCATTCCAGCGGTGAGAAGATCTTCACTAAGTAATTGCGATTGATTCCAAACCTAAGATTAAACTTAAACAACGAACGAAACGTTAATAAATTACCTTGATATAATCGAGAGATTCGCGAACTGAATGATCCCGTGAGTAGTTCAAATGCAACTTCGTACCTAAAATAAAATTGAATTGAAAAGGTTTTGCTAAAGATTGAGCTCTATATATGTAGTAAAAAAACCTTGCACTGCTATTGGACTTTTTTCGGCGATGATTGCCGCTGTGTTCAAGGCCTTCTTAATCACAGCTTCACGATCAGGGCATAATGAAGACACAAGACCTAAAGATTTCTAGCTATATTTCTTTCGAAAACCCCAACCATAGTTAAGAGCCTCATCCGCTGTAAAATCACGAGCTGTTAGCGCAAGTTCGCGAGTCAAAGAGTCGCTGCTAACAACCTACAAAAGAAAAAGTGTAATAAAAGCTATTAATAACTGCAAACTTTCTGAATTCTGTTGAGTGTGCCCACATCTGCAGCTAAGCCAACATCTACTTCCTAAAATTCTTTTACTACGAAATAAACAAAAACCCACCTTGATTGAAAAAGTTGCATCTGTCGTTGCATATCGAATATCACAGGCAGTTATCATATCGATGCCCGCACCAATACAATGCGAATGAATGGCTACGATGACAGGTTTAATGCATTTCTCAATCGCCGTATAACCATCCTAGATCACATCATTGCATTTAACACCAAAAATATTGGGCTTACCTGCGCGGTTTGAATGTATTCGCCAACTTTTCGCCCCTTTCGTGCAATGTCTAATTCTTCATTGTTAATCATTCCCATAATTTCCTAAAGCCTCTCGATATGCCAAAACAACAACAAATAAACTACCGCAAATCCCTCTTGAAGATTGATGCCCGCACAGAAGCTTTTTCCACGACCAGATAAAACAATTGCCCGACACTTGGGATTCTTCGACAAACCGTCGAAAATCTCCCCAATTTTCCTGAATAAAAGATGATGTTTTGAACAATGCATAACAGTTCACAAAACTAAAAGTCGAAATGCTCTTACATCCATTGTTCGAGGGCGAAAGTGTTCCGTTTTTCAGGTCGATTCAATTCCACATGAAAAACATTTGGCGACGCTTCAGTGACCTAAAAACTTGAACAAAATATTTTGATAAACCTATTCAAAATCATACTTTGTTAAACAACTCGGCTACTTTAATATTTTTCACGACAAAAATCATACCTCAAAATCAGCAGAAAGTATTCTGCTAGTCGAAAGCCGAGATACTTGTTGGAAGAGTTGCCTCGATAACATCTGAAAAATTAAAATTCAAACCGGTAGAAATTGTGCTTTGACCACGTAAACAAGACAAATAGCCCATCGGCAAGTTGTGATCACGGAAAGGAAAAAGGGAACAGAAAGAGAGAACTGGCACACCGATCAGACTACAAAGTCTTTAATAAGATTCTTTGCTCATTCTCTGATCGATGCAATTATACTTTATAGCCAAAAGTGATCAAGGGCAACACCCGGTTATCTGTCCAGGGTCGAAAACTAGAAAAGAAACAAATCAGTCACACAATAGTTTTCATTTATTTTCAGTTCGCTTATAGCCATCAACAAATTTAGAATGGCTTGCAGTCAATCAAGCAAATTCTTCCCAATTTTGAACAATGTAGCTCTTCCGAAAGACAGTTTAAAAGACAAGGTAAGTTGACAAAAAAAGTAACACTAATTAAAGCGCTAACTTTGCAGCTAGCTCTTGTCACTGGTGGAGGGACTGGACTCGGCAGGGCTATTGCTAAAACTTTTGCTTCTCTTGGTGCAAGAGTGATCATCGCTTCACGGTATATCTAAAAGGAACTACGTGACCAATGTCAAATTTCTAGAAGACAAGACGTTCTTCAAACAGCAGCCACGGAAATCGAGCGAGAAATCGGAGCCAAGGCTGGATCAATTCTTGTGTGTCAGCTCGACGTAAAAAACCCTGATGCTATCAAGACAACTATTGACACTATTGAAGAAAAGTTTGTTGACTTCAACAAAGCCTCGCTTAACCTTGAACAGGACTGGAAGATTACCAAACATCATCGTCAACAATGCTGCTGGAAATTTTGTGTCGGCTACAGAAAGGCTTTCTCCAAATGCTGTGAAAGTAAACTGGCAATGAGTTAAGTTTCTAAAAACTCCAGTTCTAGGCAGTCGTTGAGACCGTAATGCTTGGAACAATGTATGTAACATTGGAAATCGCAAAAAGGGCAATCAAAAGAGGTGAAGGAGGAACAGTGCTCTCAATCACAACTCCCTATGCAAGGTTGGTTAAAAAACCTCAAAAGTAACCGCCCAAAATGTAGGCATGGTGGTCCATTTACCGTTCCATCCGCGATTGCTAAAGCCGGTGTTGAAAATATGACAAGATCGCTGTCTACAGAATGGGCTAAATATGGATGGCGATTCAACGTTATCGCGCCAGGGCCAATTCCAACTGAAGTAATAGGGGTAAACATTTTCAAAATACATAACTCTTTAGGGAGCATTCGGTCGTTTGAACCCTGGTTCGATGGAAGATGGGGTCAAAGCAGCTGCCGCGACGGTCCCAGTTGGAAGGACTGGGACACCAGAAGAGTTGGCCAATTTGACTTCATACATCTGCTCGGATTACTCTAGTTGGCTGAATGGAGCGGTAAGTCATCAGAAAAAAAGATATCTAAATCTATCTTTTCCAGTTTATTGACTTTGATGGGGGACAACAATGGTTCAATCACGGCAGTTCGATCGCAGCACGCGCTCTTCACGATCTTTCCGAGAAAGACTGGGATGAAGTAATTGACAAAGAAAGTTCTCAAAAATCTTCAACTATTTCAGGTTGAGGAGCTTATCCGCGGCCGTACCGGCAAAACAAAGTCCAAAAGCAAATTGTAGAAACGTTTAAGTAGTCATTATATGATATCCACAGCCGACGAAAATTGTAGTTTTAATAACTTTTTATTGCAAATAAATAATGCTTAAATGATACTGAAATCGGAAAAATAACACAGTAAATAAATCATGAGAATAGATAAATTAATTTGCCTTGTGTTCACTATCCTTGTCCTTGTCGTCCTTCGGTTGCTAAGTTCAAGAGTTTTTAAAATATCAAATAACTTTTCCTAGCTAAACAAAAAACTAACTTCATTGGTGCTACCAGGCAGATTATTGACCATCTGCTGTAATAACTCGGGGTTGTTCAATAAATCATCTTGACTTCCAGATCCCTAAAAGCTTCAATACCAGAGATAAACGGAGTTAAATTACTTCAGCAGGCTGTGTATCCATTGATTGCTGACCAGTGTTTCCAGAGCCCTCTATAAAGAAAATAGCAAAGTTTTTTATAAGAATGAGCTGTAGTTAAGGCCTTCTACACTTACCGGTGTTTGTAGAAGGCTGAGCATTCGGATCTTGCTGCATGCTCATGCGCAATGCCCATTCAAGTTGCTGATCCTCATCCATTGCACCAACATCCATATCCATAACATCGGGCATTCCACTCGGAACTTCTTGAGACGCAGGCTAAACAAAAAAAAAACTGAGTTTTCAAGCATTTGTTCACTTCGTTGGCAGCGCCACCACCACCGCCACCAGCAGCTGCGGCTTCAGCGGCTTGACGAGCCCGCTGCTCTTCAAGTGAAACACGGAGTGCCTAAAAGCAAATTAGATTAGCATTTCAACGAATAAACAAACCAAAGCAAGATCTGGATCCTCGTCGGGATCAACTCCGAACTCGAAACCACCTCCATGAATGTTGATCTAAAAGTTTTTATTATATCCCTAGTGCCTTCACTGAACATTAACTTTCTTTCACTTTCTGCGCAAAAATAACAAAAAATATCTCTGATTTACAAGCTTACTGGGGCTGCGGTTCCATCCTCTCCGCGACAAACAGCACTATTGGCGATTGCCTCCGTTAAAGTAGAACCAGAAGAAACAATCACAAGATGAGAGTTAGTTCCTTCTCTATAGCATAATCAACGTATTTTATATAAAAATTGCTACTCACTTTCCGTTCAGCGTATCAATAAATTGCTCAAAAACCTTCGCGTTTTCAGCGTCAACCTGAAATGTATTTCTGATAGTCACCCAAACTCTGCAAGTATGAATACCTCCCCGAAGCATACAATATCAGCTTGCACCTTTTCCTTCTTCAATTTCTTGGCAACTTTAGTCAACTAAATTTATGGTAAAAAAAGTTGCAAAGACCACCACCTCAGCGACGTCGACGTCTTCAACCGGACTGCCACAGAAGAGCACAATACGCATTTTGTGATTACGGTTCTGACGATGTTTCAAAGCCAAGTGGGCTATTTTAATTGCCGAAATGACCTTGCATTCACCCTAGAAACATTAAAAACAATAAAAAATACCCCCATTAAAACACTTGATTAAACCGAAATCTCCTATTATAACAACTCACCTTTGGTTCAAGTTGATGCAACTTCATAAAGAGGCGAGAGCTTTCTTGAGTCATTGTAGAAAGCACGGTCACTTCCCTAAATAATTTTATCAAATACTTGAAAACTATTAAACTTACCCTGCCATTGAAAGCACTCCTACTGCATTTTCAGGGTTCGCGCGGAGCTTACATTGAACCACAAGGTTTGCAGCATCTGAAAAGTTATTACCTAACCAGGAAGATGCTGTGATTCCCAACCTTGCTGGCATTGGAGGCGCGTCGGAGCAAAATCCCCATTGCGCATAAATTCAGAGTTATCAACACTAAATTTAGACAAAAAGTGAGCTTTTTAAATGCAATTTACCAGATCATTGTACTTTCCTGAACCATCGTGGAAAGTGTGAATAAAAATTGGACTCTCTAAACACTCAAAATTCATACATACAATGCTCTCCGAAAAACAAGGTAGGCAGATATTTAGCTTGATTCAACAAGAACAAATTAAACAAAAAGCAAGGCTCAAATTTATTCAACGAAAAACAAAAAATGTACAAAGAACAACAAAACAAACCTAAAAACCTAAAACAAACTATTTTCGAAGTTTCATCAAACCAAAAACATCAAAATCTTTCTCGATTTCGGCTTTTTTGTGATAGTAGCATTCCTCAGGCCGCAATCCATATTTTTCGAGCTCTGAGGTGGACGGAAATTTGGAAGTCTCAAGCGTAATAATCTAAAAGCATTGGTGAACAAAACATTGACAAACGCAAGCAATACCTTTTTCGACGCATCAGACGATACATGCTCGATGATTCCAATCATCGGCACAACAAATTGTTTACAAACCTAAACATAAACAATTGCGAAAATTAAACACCTAACATACCACGATGTAAAATCTGATTAAGTGAGCTTCCAGTTCAAAGTTTGGTCCTGTAATTGGTGGATCACTTGGCACATAGATAGCATCATCTAATATGTCCACACCCTTAATTGATTGACTAATTGATACAAAAATAAAAAACAAACAATTTGACGTAGAGACGCTTTGATTACTGTCGAATTTAGTTCCCATTTGTTGTCCATGCTAATCTAAATCAGCATATCTGAGTAAAAATCATAATTGTAAATTTTTAAAAAACCTTGATCGGGACAACCATTTTTTGTAGCTGCCTTCCAACCACTAAATATTCATATGGTATTCGCACACGACTGGCCAATTCATCTTTCATTTTCTAAAACAGTTGTTCGTAATGAAATACCAATAATTATACTTCTTTCATATCGCCATAATACTTGAGATCAAAGGGGGAAGCATAGACGGCTTTTCGGGTCGGTAATAGCTCGGTACGAGCATAATCAGTTTCAACCATCACAACATCGAATTGATGGCCGACGCCTAAAACGTTTATTAATGGTAAACATCTACAGTCTTCAAACCTTCAACATCCTCCATCAATATTAATTCTATGTTTCCCGTCGGCGTTGTTGGCTCCTGTTCGACAACCTAAAAGGAAAAAGATTGTTATATTGCACGAATCCCCTTGACCTAGATTAAACAATCAACTTTTTATTGCAGATTTAGAATATAACACAGGCCTACCTCTAATCGTTGTGTGTTTGGTAGCTCTCGTGGATCTCTTTGCACAGCTCCTTCCGGCGTCGGGTCAGGCACCCAAACTCGTTGCAGTATCCATGTAGCCTAAAAATATAACGTACATATTCAAATTGTTAATGGTATTCATCTATTGATGAAATTGGGTACATTGGTGGTTGGGGGGAGCCACCTATATTTTGACCATTTCAATTCTTCTACGGTAATTGATAACGCTGAACAGAAATAGTTTTTTATGCAAAGGCTTGTTATGAAATTTTCTTTTGTTCTAAGTGCTTTGAAGTTTTAAAGTCACGCGTCTTTATTGTACATATTTGGAGAATTAACTTAAAAGGGATACTCAAAATTAGTCAATTGAAGTCCAAATTGTAAATCCAACCTTTTTAGTTCTATCTTGTTAATTCAAGTTCAGTGGTCCTAAAGGCTTTGAGAAATAGTTTTGGTTAAGAGGTTCCCTCCTTTACTGTCTCATTTTGAGCTTCTCTTTTTGTGTTGACATCATAGTGAAGTACACTAAAGATACACTAGTTAAGGCTATAAACTCAAAAAAACTATGGACAACCTACCTTAAAAACACTCTTATCGTGATTAGAGCTATCGATTACTCTAGTAAAATTGAAAAAAGTAAAAATATAGGTAGCTCCCCAACCACCAATGTATGTGAAATTATTGATAATATTCATCACCTATTCAATAACAGCCCTCTGCAAAAAACAACTGACCTGTCGAGCTGTTCGATGAAGTCCTCGAACTCGTTGCAAAGCTTGTCTCGCTAACATTAGACGAAGCGATGAACTAAAAAACTTTGTTAAACATAACAAAGTCGTAAAAAAAGACTTCGGGAAGAGTTCAATTAAAGAAAAGACGTGTTTTGAAGGGCAAAACTCTAAAATCATCACGTCTGCAAAATTTCTTTCTGTGTACTCCGCGCAAAGACAAACAACATTGCACAATGGCGCAAGCAGATGGAATTAAAAAACTTTAATCGAGAGAACTTGTACAAAAACGTTACAACTTGTTGCTTTTCCACAAGAACTACAACAAATTAGAAATGTGCGGAGTGAGACAAATGCTACCTTGTCTTTGCGCACCCGCCCCATTGGCGCACCTTTTTCGCGTTTTAAAAAAGCTTTAAAAAGCTAATATTAACCAATTTCTATTCCAAAAGCTTTTTTCTGGGTAATTTTAAGGAGTAGAATCCAAATTTTGATATATTGTGGAACTAATTTGAAAGAGAAAACGGGTAGGTCAAGTTACAGAAAATTGTCGATTTTTCCCTATATAACTCCGTCGGTTTGCATCCACAAGCTCCGATATATCAAAATTTGGATTCTACTCCTTAAAGTTACCCAGAAAAAACTTTTGGAATAGAAATTGGTTAATATTAGCTTTTTAGAGCTTTTTAAAACGCAAAAAAAGGTGCGCTAATGGGCCAGATGCAAAAAAAGGTTGCATTTGTCCGACTCCCGAAATGTGAAATGTTTTGAACTTCTGATTCGTTTAGTCTTATAAAAGCTTTTATAAGATATTCTGTTGATTGTCTGAATAGCTTTTGCTCTAAAATAAATTATTTAAGAAAGCTATTTACTCAACAAAGTGTTCTTGATTTTCGTTGAGACCGCAAATTGAAAATCCGACTTGTTTATTTTTTGTTTTTGTTACAAGCTTTTGATAATTCTTGTTATTCAGATGGCCTTATCAGCTCCAAACTTCGTGAAGAAACAATGGAAGCTGGGGAAATTTAAAACGCTCGACGTGTACACTCAATCAGCATCGCTAGAACAAGTACACTTTTTTTATTAGGAATTTTATGAAGTTTTCTAGATTCTAAAGCAAATTCGCAAGCATAGATCAACAGGAGCATTATATCACGAAGAAGCCGTCAACAGGCAACCATTCTTAATGCGAAATTTAGGCTCTGGGATTCAAGTTTGTACATTTAAAAGCGTTGTTTTGATATTATCTAGTCATGGCCGAAATTCGAAGAGCAGCACAAGAGATTTATCGAAAAGCAACGAAATGCTCATTATCAATTTACAGTAAGGTTTTTTTTTCTTTCACTTTAAAAAGTGTTTAGGAAGTTGTTACTGAAGACGAGGAAGATCTTATAATTCGTCAGCTGAAAGAGTAAGAGTTTCTTTTTTGTTTATACGCTTAGTTTTCAGAGATGTCGCTCGCACTGCAGCTTCTCACCAAGACTCCGCTTTGATAGTAGACGAAGAAGATAGAGTAATTCACAATATGCATAGGTTCGTGCAATTACTAGCCTATTTTAATTATAATTGTTTTAGGTACGTTTCTCAAGAAATTGCCGATGCGAAACAAGCACAAGCCACCGAGGAAGCTACGAGTCGAAATTCCAAAGACACGGGCTACGGTGTGTCTGTCAGAATTTTTTATTATTTATAAATTTAGGTTCGCGAGCTGCCAGTTCTTCATCTTCATGTAAGGAATCGGATTACGTAAGCGCAGACTTTCCGGATAACCTATTTTCTTTATTTAGACATCAGAATCTTCTGACGATGACGATGAGAATTCAACCCCATTTGTCCCAGATCTTTCCACCAATGCGATAAAAGGTGCGTTTTTATTTTATTTCATTTTCTATTTTTTTAATTGAATTTTATTTAGGTTTTTTTCGGACGTTAAGCGCCCAGCCGTTAAGATGTTTTTACACAATATGGTGCTCGCGTTCCATAATGAAAAAAAATCGAGTTGTTAGTAAAGTGGGTATTTAGGCTTTTTTCGAAAACAGGATTTTTCAGCTAATCCCTGAATTGGAAAAATTGTCGGAGTCAAAAGCTGTGCTTTCAATGATCAACAAGGCGCCGAAAGGTGGAATCTCGGGACGAATCGAAAGCCTCGATGAATTGAATCCCAAAGCAAAGCACACTTTATGTAGGAAGCTCTTATTAGATTTTTTCATACAGTTTCATTTTAGCGCTGTGGAACATTGTGACGACAATGTACAATCCTGACTCGGCTGAAGAATCAGGAGTTGAAGATGGGCCTCTCGATAAATGGAACGAACAATTTCCAGCAAAAAACAAGGTGACATGGCTTTTTTTACTAATCTGTTTAAATTTATAGCTGACGCCCGTGTCCCACATAAAGCAGCGCAATCGAACGCCAACTTCATCTGAGCGAAGAAGCACACCTAGAACGCCCGTCTCTTCAGCCGCCAAGCGTCCAAAGACAACTCCAGTTTCAGCAAAAAACAAGGTGACATCGCTTTTTTTACTAACATGTTTGAGTTTATAGCTGACGCCCGTGTCCCACATAAAGCAGCGCAATCGAACGCCAACTTCATCTGAGCGAAGAAGCACACCTAGAACGCCCGTCTCTTCAGCCGCCAAGCGTCCAAAGACAACCCAGTTTCAGCAAAAAAAGGTGACTCGCTTTTTCTAACATGTTTGAGTTTATAGCTGACGCCCGTGTCCCACATAAAGCAGCGCAATCGAACGCCAACTTCATCTGAGCGAAGAAGCACACCTAGAACGCCCGTCTCTTCAGGCGCCAAGCGTCCCAATACGACTCCAGTTTCACCTGAGCGAAGAAACACACCTAGAACGCCTGTCTCTTCAGCCGCCAAGCGTCCCAATACGACTCCAGTTTCATCTGAGCGAAAGCGTCTATGCCGTACTCCACTATCAATAAAATAGGTGACAAATTTAAATTTCTTGGCTCGATTCTGAAGACACGTTTCGTGTCTACAAATTTTTGTGCTCTTATATTTAGTAAGTTTCTAAATGTGTATATTTTTTTGTCGATGTGCTTTGTTTTAATGGAATAAATATTTTAGTCTTAAAAATGAAAGAAAGACATGAGGTAAATTTTAAGTTTAGAACACGAATAAAATTGCAAGGCAATCGTTGGCGGGGCACATTTTTCTTTTGAAGTGCTTCCCGACGGTCAAAAAGCTAGCAACTTGGGAAAGGGGAGTTTCAGATCGCCTTTCCCAAGTCGAATTAATCATCTTTTAAAGAAAGGATGAATATTCAAGTTTTGTTTACTTATTCATTCTCCCCCCTTGCATTCAACCCCTTGGGGCCTATGTGGGAGTTTTGGCGCCCCACCTGGTAACATGAATAGTTTTATTTGAATTCTTGATTCGGGGAAAAAACAGGATCTCGCATTTATTTAATTCATTTTGATATAGCTTTTTGCGACAATGCTCATTTTTCAGGTAGATAGGTGGAGGCACTGTTTGTTTAGGATAGAATTATTGCATCGGTGAGTGGGATGAGGGTCTAGGCTCTAGAGATGGAAAAAGAGCGTGAAAGGGTTTTCCCCTCCCTCGCATTCAACCCCTTGGGGCCTATGTGGGAGTTTTGGCGCCCCACCTCCCTTTTGCCATTGCTTTCAACCTCTTAAAAGGCGCCTCTTCTCTCCTACTTTTCTTTTCACACCCTCCCACCGGCCATCGCTTAGCTTTTCACAATTCACGCACACTCCCGCAGAACTTTAGCTCTCCCCTTCCACTTGGTGTTCAATTATTCACTCCTTTCCCCCAACTGATTCACCCAGAGATTATTGCTTAGAATCTTTTCTCAATCTTCAATCTTTGAAATGCCTAACCTCTTTCTTGATGTAAATGATGATATTGATGATCTGAGAATTGCACTAACTATTAGTTTTAAGTAAAAATTTGATTCTTTTCAATCCGTCGAAAAGTTTCCTTCAAATTTTTACCTGCTGAAGCAGCTAGTGTCAACAAAAAGCCGCTCCCAGCTCAAGCCCCTCGACAAAATTGACACCTCGAAATCTATCGAAGCGAGAGAAAAGGCGAATGACACTTCTTTTGAAGGATTTTGTTTTGGTTTCATTTTTGGTTTCAAACGTTTTTTCAATAGTTTATTGGTTTTTATCATTTTATTGATTCGCGCAGATATTTTTGAAGAAAATTTCTGTAAATTTTTGTAATAACTTCAAAAAATTCACCTATTAGACTCATTTGCTCATTTTAAGCCTTTTTTTTAAGCTTTTTTAAGCTTTTTAAACTTTCTATGCTTTCAAGCTTTTTTTAAACTTTTTAGGCTTTCTATGCTTTCTTTAAGCTTTTATAAGCTTTCTTTTAAGCTTTTTTATGCTTTCTAAGCTTTTTTTAAACTTTTTTAAGCTTTCCAAGCTCCAATCATTTTATAGATTCGTGAAGATATTTTTGAAGAAAATTTCTGTAATAACTTCAAAAAATTCACCTGTTAGACTCATTTGCTCATTTGTTTTCAGCTTTCAGCCATTTGAGCCATATTTCTTGAGAGATTTACTTTGTTTTACTCGTTTCTAAATATAGGCATGACATTTCTTTTTTTTTTTGATTAGAATTACTATTTCATATTTCTGAAAACAAAAATGCCGTCTCAATTCCAACAAATCCCGTTTTTTGCTTACAAGGAAAGCTTCCGAAGTTAACCGCGAGCTACAAGGAGGTACAAGGCCTAAGCCTAAGCCAAAAGGTACCCCTGAAAATGTACGTTCAGAAACTATTTTCAAAAATCGCTAATCGGCAAAAAGCACAAAGTTATAGCTATTTGAATTTCAAAAAAATGAAAATTCGGATTCGGTTTGGATTCGCCAGCAGCTTCCACAGCTTTTTCCTTTTTTTTGCGGACTCTAGGAGTACTGTAGCTTTTTAAAAGAGGTTAGGAAAAACGGGATTTTTTTGAAATTGGGACGGCAAGAGCTAACGAGCTAACGAGCTAAAAGAGCTAACGAGGAATCCTTCCAAAGTTACTCGCGAGTTACAAATGATGTACAGGGTGTGGCATAAGTATGGTTGGTTACAAGGTTGTAACATTGATTTAAGAAACTGATTGATTTTTATTTCTTGCCAAAGGATTATTTTTTTTCTTAATTTTAATGCTTTTTTTATATTATGTATATGTCGTAACCGATTATGAATGAAATTTTTTTGGCAAATCTTTCTAGTAGAGCAACCCTTTAATGTATGAGGACAATATTATATCATCTTGTAGCGAATTCAATTCTGCGTCGATTGGTACCAAATTTGTGAGTTTAGGTTAAAAATTGCCGGCGCTACAACGTTTCATTCAACCCCCGTAGCCGATTATGAATGAGTGGGTCTAGGAGTGTCCAACCATCAAGTATTTGGTATCATTCAACGCAGAATCATTGATAATTATGTTAAATTTTTAAAATTAGAAAGATTAGATAAAAAGAAAAAAAATTAGAGCAAAAAACTGTTTGTTCAAGAAAAAACTTTGAAGCCCCATAATTTTTTTTCTTTTCATCCAATCTTTCTAATTTAAAAAATTTAACATAATTATCAATGATTCTGCGTTGAATGATACCAAATACTTGATGGTTGGACGCGTCCGGACCCACTCATTCATAATCGGCTGAAATTCATAATCGGCTACGACATATATAAAAAAGCTAATTCGCCCGACCTCAATGTTATGGATTTCTGTGTTTGGGCAATTTTGGAGCAAAAAGCATGCACAACAAAACATGCAAATGCAAATGTAAATGCAAATGCAAATGTTGAAAGTCTGAAAAAGGCTCTGTAGTTAAGATATTTTCAAAATAAGTAATCAATTGGATAAGGAGCTATTCTATGAATCCTAGTCTATGAAATCGAGAAATATTGCGCTAGGGATACGTAATTTTTGAGCTATTTGGAATTTGCAGTTCATTGAATGATTTACCCAGCCAAATCCTCCCAAAAACAGAAGGTTTATCTCGAAAAGATCCCTATGAGGTGGAAAACTTTTTGCCGGGAGACATCTCCACGGATGGATGGCCCAACGACACAAAAAGAGCAAAAGCACGAAAAAGCCAGAGAGCTCAAGAAAGCGAAAGGGGCATTGTGTGGCCGGGCCACAATTGCATTTCCCTCTTGGGGATTCGCACTCCTTTCTTTTCTTTCTTTTCTTTCTTTTCTTTCATTCTTTCTTCTTTCTTTTCTTTCTTTTCCATTTTTCTTTCACTTCTAACTTTTTCTCGTATGTGTATGTGTGTCCTAAATGTTTCTAGATCGCTATTTTCTCGCTCTTTCCCTTCTTGTTGCGTTTATAACTTGGATAAATTGAAAATAGCTATTGTTTTCTGTAGATCTTGACCTAATGAATAGCTATGAATGTTGAACTCGAATTACGTAGTAATAGTTTTGTAGTAGACACTATCAAGGGCTATAGTAGCTTAGCAAAGGTAGTACAGGGATTAAGAGTACCGTAATAGCTGTAGTAGACACTATCAGTACAAGGGATACAGTAGCTTTTGGCACAGATAGTACAGGGATTACGGTAGTACAGAGATTACAGTAGTACAGAGCTTACTATAGTACAAAGCTTACTATGGTACAGGGATTACTGTAGTACAGGGATTACAGTAGTACAGGGCTTACTATAGTACAGAGATTACTGTAGTACAGGACAAGTACAAAGCTCATACAAGGATCAACGCAAAAGCTAAGCAATATATCAAAATGAGCTAAGAAGAGACTAAGATAAGGTGAAATTTTCGGGTTTTGAAGGACCTTTCTTTCCTTCGAATCGTTGTGGTGCTCATCAGAGAGCTCATCAGAGAGAAGACAACCCCTCCATCCCTGTCATGGCCAGTCCTCGTCCACATCATTTCTTCTCCTCTTCCTCTTCTCCTCTTCCTCTTCTCCTCTTCCTCTTCTTCCCTTCTTCCTCTTCTTCCTCTTCTCCTCTTCCTCTTCTTCTCTTCCTTCCTCTTCTCCTCTTCCTCTTCTTCTTCTTCCTCTTCTCCTCTTCCTCTTCTCCTCTTCCTCTTCTTCTTTGGAGATTCTCCTCTCCTCACTTTTCCCCTTCTTTATGCAAGAGTTCTCCTCTGACTGATTCTATTCAGAAAACAGAACTAACGCCTTTTAAACATGCAAGCTGTTCTACAGATTTATTTTATAGAAACTTCTTCAATGTTTCGCAAATGATTATTAGAAGATTTTAGTCAAAATTTGCAAAATGATCCTTTTTGCAAACAATAAAACGTCAAAAATATGATCCTTAGGCATTTTTCTCTAGCATTTCATATACAAATTCAAGCACAGCAAGGAATATAGCTTTATATAGGAATATAGGAATATAGCTTTTTGTTTTACTTCAAAATCTTTTTACTCTAATTTACATCCAGTTTAAATAACTTTACTTCTATTCTCTCTACCGAAAATTCACTCACAACATTCAGAAAAATGATTGACGACTTGAGATGAAGAGCTTTTTGGTGAAAATTCTTCTCTTATTATGGCTTGAATTCGTTGCTGGGAGAGTGTTGAGTGGGGAGGAGAAAGCAGCTCTCGAGCAACTCAGTGATCGACTCCAAACCACTTTTCTCAACCATTCACATGCTGCCGTTTTTGAAGAAGTCTCTTTAAATTCTTATTATAGATATCTAGATCAATTTGAATACAATAACTTTAGTGCAAATTGTATTGAATAGATCGTATTGCCTTTTCTGACTTTGTAATCTGATCAAAGCCTAAGCCTAAGTCTAAGCCTAAGTCTAAGTCTAAGTCTAAGCCTAAGCCTAAGCCTAAGCTTAAGCCTAAACCTGAAAATTTGCCAGGATGCTCCTATGGGGGGCGGATGAGCATCGCCAAGCGGGTGTCCCTTAGCTCCGAGAACTGGCTGAGATCCAGAAAATGGGGGTTTAGCCCAAACCCAAATAGACTTAGTGCTAGGCGCTAGCCGCTAGCCTACGCACTAAGTCCAAGCCTAAGCCTAAGCCAAAGCCTAAGCCTAAGCCTAAGCCTAAGCCTAAGCCTAAGCCATAGGCTTAGGCTTCATAAAGTATACCAAAAGGCCAAAAATCATAGGCGTAGTCACTTTCAGTCGAACGGCCGAGCGTTTGGGTACTGTATTAGATTATTAGGTTGATGCAAAAGTCTTTTTCATTTTTTTCGTACTTCCGTTAAAAAGTAACAAATGCACCAATTGAACAACGGTTTATTGCATTCGAAAGGCCAATTATTTTTCTGCAAAATGACATTAAAACGAGTTTAAAATGCCTTATGCCTAGATTTTTTTGAGAGCCTGAAGTCGGGTAGTCAAAAAAAGGCGACGGCTCGATGATGCATTTTAGACGCTTTAGCTAAGGAAACCAATCTTGATGTTAATAAATAAAAGATAGAGCACAAAAAGTTAGATATTTTTTCAGATTTTCAGAGAAATTGATTCAGCCAATTTCTTTATAGAGGTTTTTATAGATTTTTATGAAAAACCCGTTTTCACTCTCGAATTTGCTTGAAAGTGAACCCAAATTGACTTAAAAAGATGGGAAATTCAACAATAAACACTTTTCATTTAGAGCAAACCATAGGTTAATTGATGACTTTGTTATTTTTCAAAAGAAGTACGAAAAAAATGAAAAAGACTTTTGCATCAACCTAATAGAAGAAGATTACAGTAGTTTTGCGACGTTTTAGGAAACCAAATTCAGAGTGTTCGTGGGTTGGCCTCTCGTCTCCGTGTCCGCTCCGAGTCAGCCGAGGCGGCGCTCCTCTCCTCGACTTCTCGACTCCGACAACTCTTCGATGATCGAAAGAAAGCATTATTGGTGAGAAAACATTGATTATACTATTATTATAATTTACAATTTATCCTATTGACTTTGAAAGCTAGCTTTTTTTCTAAATCAAACTTCTAAACTCCTATCTCTTTTCCCTCGTTGATTGAGCTAATTTACCGGTCTTGTAAGTGCTTCTCCAATCAAGTTGTGCTCCAATAAATTCCAAACTTTTACACTACTCAAAATTAATTAAAACCCAGATCTATGACCGAATTATTACAACGCCGAAAAGTAATAAAATATCGGCTGAAAAAGCGCAGACTTTTGAATCAGGAATTAGGAATTAGAACGATGGAAATGGATCAGTTTTCGCCTTAAATTACGCTGTATTACAAAAGAATTGTTAGGGGGATAAGTTTGGAGATTGAAGGGGAATAAGTTTGGAGTTTGAGGGGAATAAGTTCCGAGTTTAAAGGGGAATAAGTTCCGAGTTTAAAGGGGAATAAGTTTGGAGTTTGAAGGGGAATAAGTTTGGAGTTTGAAGGGGAATAAGTTTCGAGTTTGAAGGGGAATAAGTTTAAAGTTTGAAACAAAAAGTTTGAACAACAACAAGAAGTTTGAATATTCCAACTTTGGCTGTAACTATTCATCAGATATTCATCAGTAATGCTGAAGCATTTTACAAAATCTTGTTTTCCATATTTCCATAATCGAGAAGGTGTGGACAACACTGTTGGAAGTGACTGGCCAGATCTTCTTTGTGCGAGCGCACAATCGCTCTCCACCTGGCACTCATCCCCGATAGATAGCTGTTCCCTTTTGGAAACCCGCTGTTCTAATTCCTCCCTCTTTCTCTTTCCCTTCAAATTCTACCATTTGTCTCTTTGCATCTAGGAGAAAAAGCTAAATTTGTATGAAAAAAAGAAAAGGATGATCGAACTTGAAATCTTTTATCTACAGTACCGGACAGAATAATATGATCTAGTTATTGAACTAGTTACTGAACTAGTTATTGAACTGAACTAGTTATTGAACCAACCCCTCACAAAAAGTCAAAGAGTCAAGGAAGATCTCCCGACCTTAACATTGTTGAAAATCTTTGGGAGGAATTAGCACAGCGAGTCCGCAAAAGGGAACAGCTATCTATCGGGGATGTGTGACAGGTGGAGAGTGATTATGCGCTCGCACAAAGAACATCTAGCCACTCACTTCCAATAGTGATTTTTTGTTCTGTAAATGATTCCCAAATGAGATTTAATGTTAAAAATTTGTGCCTGGGGGTTTTTAGGGTCGTAGGATCTATTAGCGGAGTTTATTTTAACTCATCGTCTCAAGAAAAGTCTCAAATCAAAAGCCGATGCTGATCTCGTATTGGTTTGGGTTTTGCTTTTCACAACGAAAAGATCCGTATTTTTCAAAAGCCAGGATTTCTGAGAGGAACCAAATTCCAGAAAATAGTGCGAGCGGCTGAGGGAGCCGCTGGATTGTACGATCGAAAATTGGAAGATCCAGGAGGGACGAGTGTTGAGGTAGTATAAAACAGACAACTCAAAGATTTTACTTTGAGGAAGAATTAAGTATTGCAAGATAATATTGACTAAATAATATGCAAGATAATATTGATCCAAAAATATCGTTAATTTGGCTAAGTCTCTTCCACTAGAATTTACATTGATTCCCTTTACACTTGTCTGACAAAGACAATGGCTTATTGACGCTCATTGACGCTCATTGACAATGGTTTATTGACGATCATTGACAATGGCTAATTGACGATCATTGACGCTCATTGACAATGGCTAATTGACGCTTATTGACAATGGCTAATTGACGCTTATTGACATGGCCATTGGCTCATGCAATGGCTATTGACCTTATTGACAATGGCTAATTGACGCTTATTGACAATGGCTAATTGACGCTTATTGACAATGGCTCATTGGCGATCATTGACAATGGCTAATTGACGCTTATTGACAATGGCTAATTGACGCTCATTGACGCTCATTGACAATAGTTCATTGACAAAAGCCTTTCAGGATGACTCTCCCTGTTCATCGATTCAATCAATAATGAAGATTCGTGACGTGCACCTCTACAATCCGTTAACAGACGGGAATCGCTCAGGAATCCATATCAATCTTGAGTCGTACACTTGTGGTTAAGTAGTCTTTTTCTAACAAAATCAACTTCGATCTCTAGATCTTCTTAAGTTAAACAAAACGGTTTTACGTTCTTTTATGGTAAAGATGCGATCAGAAATTTGATCGACTGCGCCGAAAAGGAAATGTTTACATTTTTGAGTACAAAGAACAAAAAAAGGACTTTTCTAGAGCTAAATAAATGCATTTAGATCCATCAGTTGTCCGGGATTTTGAGTGGAGCGGTTCGGAGAATATAGAAAAGGTAATTTAAAGAATTATTTTAAAAACAGCATACCCAGTGAGTCATTTTAAAAATTCAACTCGACAAACTTTCAGGCTTTCGAAGAGAACAAGCAGAAATGGCCTGAATTAGGCTACCAGTACATTGGCACGTACACCGGTTTAACGAGGATGTATCCATGTGAGTTTTCCCCTAAAATCCTTGATCGCCAGAAAAAGTTAATGAGAATCTACAGTCTTATGAGCTTAAATTAAAACGAAATTCAATTTGAAGATTCCCTTTCAGCTAGACCTTGGATCATCGATCCTTCATCGATCACCGTTGACTTGTTCGACCCACGCTTTCGCCCATGGTTTACCCAATCCGAGTCTGTGCCCAAAGACGTCGTCTTCTTGATTGATTTGTGAGTTGAGATTTGTGAGAACTTAGTATTAGTATTTTAAGCTAGTATTAAAAGAATTTTAGTATTATTACCGTATTTTCTCTAATAGTAGTGCACCGTGAGCGTCGCCTAAATTGCTCGAAATCTCGAGAACCGCTTATCAGAACCTATCGATGTGGGGTCGGAAAATGTAGCTGATGATGAGATCTTGACGATGATTTGAGTGTTGAGCTTCTGCAAAAGCTTGGAAACCGTAAAATAGGCATCAACTCGGCTACAAATCTACCGTAACAAATCCAACAAAGCTTAAAGAAGCTGGCAACTAAAGGAGAAGCTGATCTCAAAGAAGCTAGTCCCTAATACTAGTCCATAAGCTTGCCTAAACTGCTCGAAATCTCGAGAACCGCTTATCAGAACCTATCGATGTGGGGTCGGAAAATGTAGCTGACGACGAGATCTAGTGGGGTATTGGAGTGTTAAGCTTCTGCAAAAGCTTGGAAACCGTAAAATCGTCACTAACTCGGCTCGCCGGGATGCACTACTATTAGAGAAAATACGGTATTTATTATTTGATTATCTTTTTATTTATTATAGTGTTATTTTCGAACAGTAGTTGTTATAAACATAAACAAGAGAACCTTGGTCTCTTGTTATAAACAAGAGAACTTTGATCAAGCGATAGTGTACAATCAAATAGAATAGAAAAAATAAAATTTAAAGGTTGAACTATTAAAGAAAAGTTGAATGAGGCTAGAGTTGAAGGAAGCTAGAGTTGAATGAGGCTAGAGTTGAAGAAGGCTAGAGTTGAAGAAGGCTAGAGTTGAATGAGGCTAGAGTTGAATGAGGCTAGAGTTGAATGAGGCTAGAGCTGAAGGAGGCTAGAGTTGAAGGAGGCTAGAGTTGAATGAGGCTAGAGTTGAAGGAGGCTAGAGTTGAAGGAGGCTAGAGTTGAAGGAGGCTAGAGTTGAATGAGGCTAATAGTAAGATTTGAGCGAGTTGAATTTCTCGATTAGAATAGAATAAACTCAAAGCATATCCTTTTAGCTCGGGCAGCATGAAAGGTCCAACAATGCACTTGGCAAAGGTCACCGTTATGTACATTATGTCGACATTGGGACCGAATGACTACTTTTATGGGGTAATTCGAGAATTCTATAAAAATTTGTATCCAATTAAAAATGATAGATTTGGTTTCACGAGAAGTTCGCGCCAGTCCTCAATTGCTCGGGCTCAAACAAAACCTTTCTCCCAGCCACCACAACAAACAAAAAGGTTAGAAATATGAAGAATTGTTGAATAGGATTAAGAAATAACAAGTTTAAGTAAAGAAGTAAAGATTAAGATAAGCAAAGATTTTAGATAAAGATTTCAAGATTAAAATCTAATTGCAAGTTTTAGATCTTCTACGAAAAATTGGCGACAATCGAGGAATGGGGAGAAGCTGATTTAGAGAAACCACTCAAATTCACACTGAACAAGCTTAGAGAAGTTCGTAGTAGAAATCAGCTAGTTAACTCACTCTGGAGTAAGCGGAAAGGTCATGGGTTCGAGTCCCAGTGGGGCGCAAGTTTTTGAGCTACCAACTTTTGAGCTACCAACTCAAGTCAACTTTATTATTTTGTCCTAAAAGCTGGATCAGGTCGGAACCCAGGTTTAGATCTGGTTTCTGAGGAGCTCGTTGATTTAGTTAGGTCAATTTGAAATTTGACGTTGGCGCACAAGTTTTTCATTTGCTTTAATTCCAACCAGCTAAGGAATTGTAGCATAGAATTGTAGCATAGAGTTATAGCATAGAATTATAGCATAGAATCTAGAGACAAGATATAACATCAATTGTAATACTAGGTTGGTGCAAATGAAATTTCGTTTTTTTACAAACATTAAAGTCATCCAAAATTTTTTTAGATAACAATTTATTTAAAACAATAAGCACCATTATTAGCTATGACATCCCTCCAACGTTGCTTCAGATTGCGGATCCCCTTCTCAAAGAACGCTTGATTCTGTGATGCAAAGTAGTTGGTCACCCAATTTTCGACTTCTTTTGCATTCTTAAACTGGCAATTCTCAAGGGAATGTTGCATCGATCTGAAAAGGTGAAAATCGGAGGGTGCTAAGTCTGGACTATACGGCGCATGTGGTAAGACCTTCCATCCTAGCTTCTCTAGTTCCTTACAAGAGGTTTTTGCCGTGTGAGCTGGAGCATTATCACGGAGAAAGCTGATAGTTGAGGGATTTAGGCCTTTTTCACGCAAAATTTCGTCAACCTTCTTGAGTTGTTGAATAAAATAAGATGAATCGACTGTTTTTCCGGGCTCTAATAATTCAAAATGAACAAGTCCATTGATATTCCACCAGCAAGACAACATCACTTTGCGCCCATGATAATCCGGCTTTGGAGTTGGAATTGGCGCTTGACCTTTGCTCAGCCATTGCCTTTTTCGAGAAGTATTATCAAAGTGAATCCACTTCTCATCCATCGTCAAGATATTCTCAAAAAAAATGGCTTCTTTTCGACTTATGGAGCAAGATATGGCTGATCGAAACGCGTGCTCCCAGATTCTCAACACTCAATTGATGTGGAACCCATTGTCCATTACGATTTGTCTTTCCAATTATTTCCAAATGGCGTACAATTGTTGAATGATCACATTGGAGATGTTTGGCAAGTTCTCGTGTTGTTTGCATTGGATCAGCTTCAATTCATTGTTGTCGATGGCTGTGGCACGATGTCCATGCGATTCGTCTTCAAGGGATTCATTACCATCTCGGAATTGGGCAAACCAGAGCTGGCATGATCTTTCGGTGATAACCTGTTCTCCAAAGGCGGAACAGAGATCACGATGTGAATCAGCAGCGTTTTTGCCCATTTTGAAGTCATAGAGAAGACACGTGCGCAGAACATACTTTCGATCCACCATGATCTAAAGCAAAAATCAATTAAAAAGTGAAAGCTCTGACTTTGAAAAAACGCGAAAATAAAGTAAATATCCAAGAGTACAAATGCACAAAAGAACATCAAATAAGCTCTTCAGATTAAAAAAATAAGAACATTTTATATCGACCGAAATTTCTTTTGCACCAACCTAATATAAATCCTAACAATTTCTGCGTTTCAGCACGTTCGTAGAGATCTCCCGGTTTCACCGAGATCCGGTGGCCACAAGATTGTGATGTTCTTCACGGATGGGATCGATAAATGGCCTGATGAGGTGGTGCATGATGAAGTGGAGACAAAACAAGGAGAGCCGGTGCGTGAGAGAAATGTTGTTAAAAGAAATTTAGACAAAAAAAGGCAAGTCAAGTAATTGTGGTTGACAAATAGAACGATCAGAGCTCAATAAATGACAAAAGAAAATCTTTGATATTCTCAGGTTCGAATCTACGGCTATGCTGTTGGCTTCGGGACGGGCCAAATGCCGAGAGTGCAAACGCTCACCTGTCTCACCAATTCCACCTATGCCATTGTAAGAACGGTTTTCGTTGATTGGTTAAAGTGATTCGTTAAAGTCTTAAAACAATTCTAACTGATTTCTATATCGATAACTCTAGGTTGACTCAATTTCCGATGTAAAAGCTCAAGGTCGAGCTCATCTCAATCATCTAACTGACTTCTATATTGATAACTCTAGGTTGACTCGATTTCCGATGTAAAAGCTCAAGGTCGAGCTCATCTCAATCATCTCTCAAAGCAAAGAGGACGACGATTGAAAGAAAAAGCGCATAAAACAAAGCAAAGACCGATCAGTTGGTAAGGGAAATAAACTTAAGAGAAAATCGATCAAGTTCAGGTCCTCCTTATACCATGACACTCAAGGATTGGGCCCAGTGGTGAGCCTCTCTGCGCCGATCCCCGTCGATCCAAAAGAGATCTGGAGAGACCACACGATGGCTGGGATTGCCGCTGTTGATATTCACATAAGTGTAAGTTTAACTGTCTGATTTCAGAAGGGAATGGATGACCAAATGACATGAGCTATAGGCAATTAGAGGAATGGTATATGGCAGACTGGTAGAATATGGTAGACTTTCCAAATTAGCCACCATTTAGGAAACGAGTCATTTGAGCATGAATGGCAACTGAATCTGTTGTCGAAATGACATGCGCCATATACTATCCATATACAGAATTTCACGCTGATTCCGAATCTGCTTTCCGTTTCTGTTATCGAGCACTCTAGCAAAAGTTAGCCTGCAAAGTTTCATAAGGGGTTTTAATCCGAGTTTTACCGATACCCCCGAGTTTATAAGCAGACTTCCCAGGGACCGCGAAAGAAGTACTGGTGGCTGAGTGGCAGTGGGCTAGAGTTCAAGGCGATTCATCGCTAGTTCGAGTTCGTCTCCGACCCCTTCCTAGTTTTTTTTTGCTTTTTTAGATTTAGAAGTTAATTAATATATTCTGGTAGAAAATGGGATTACAGCAACCTGATGGGCATTGTTTAGAAAACAATCTGCTATCAATGAATTGTCTTTCAGGAAATCACAACGAAACTCCCGAGCGGCGAGCAGATCTACGGCTTTTTGGTGGACAACAACGCGATGGCAATCTTTCATCCAAAACTCCTTATTCCGGTAAGCTTGTGCTTGAGGTTTTTTTTGGGCTCTGGTGTTCCTGAATGCTTAACAAATCGACATCCCAACTACTCAATTTCGGTTTCGGTTTCTTTCAGAAAACGGAGGTTCACTCGGTGCGTCGTAGTGCTTGCTATGACGCTGCGTCTGTCAAGGTCTGTCCTTCATTGTTTGTTGAATGCTTGCAAATGATTAGAATTGAAAGCCAATTCTAGACTTTCCCTTCTATTGGCCAAAATCATAATTCAGTCAAAAGCCGGCGCTGGTCTTAAAGTGCAATACGGGTTCAGCGACGAGCGGGTGTTTCGTTTGGTCGGGCTTATCGATTCGATTCCTACTATTGATATGGTCAATTCTTTTTTTCGTAATTAGTACTTTAGTAATGTTTTTAAGATTTAAATGTAAATAGCTGTAATTTGGGTTTAGATCGATCTCGAGGAGAACACGACAGCGCTGGGCGAGTTGCGCAACAAGGTCATCGATCGCACATGCACTGATGAGAGCATTCAAGATGTACAGAGGATTTGAAATTATTTACTATAGGTTAAGGGATACTGTAGCTGTAGCAAGCTGTGGAATAAGCTGTAGAACAAGCTGTAGAACAAGGTGTAGAAGAAGTTGTAGAACAAGATGTAGAACAAGATGTAGAACAAGATGTAGAATAAGCTGTAGTAAGCTGTAGAATAAACTGTAGAATAAGCTGTAGAATAAGCTGTAGAACAAGATGTAGAATAAGCTGTAGATTAAGCTATAGTAAGCTGTAGAATAAGATGTAGAACAAGCTGTAGTAGGCAGTAGAACAAGCTGTAGAATAAGCTGTAGAATAAGCTGTAGAACAAGCTGTAGAACAAGCTATAGAACAAGCTGTAGAACAAGCTGTAGAACAAGCTGTAGAATAAACTGTAGAATAAGCTGTAGAACAAGCTGTAGAATAAACTGTAGAACAAGCTGTAGGACAAGCTGTAGGATAAGCTGTAAGACAAGCTGTAGGATAAGCTGTAGAATAAGCTGTAGAATAGGTGTTGTATATACTTTTGTAGTGTAAGTTTACAACTTTCTTCAACTCTAGACGGTAGCTCTTCCGTTTTGAAATCTATTTAAGATAATAATATTATAATCCATCGTAAGCTATAAGCTATTGTAAATTAAATACATTATACTTTATTATAGCTTTTTTCTTCAGGGCCCCCGTGAATACTACTGCTCGGAGGTCAAAGGAACCCCGTTCACGTAAGCTTTTGAAACGTTCACGTAAGCTTTTTAGATAAAAATATTCTTGAATTTGTTATAGAGTTTTGAAAAATCGGGGTAGGCTAATTTCCGCAACTTTTTTTTTGCGCAACTTGCCATAACTTTTTTCTAAATCGGCCAATCTTTATGATTAAAAGCTGGATAAAATTGGCCTTTCCATCGTAATCCTTGCTATTTTGTGAATGCAAATGAAATAATTACTATAATATCTAGCTTAGAATAAGTACTAGTGCTTAGAATAAGTACTAGGATTACTGTAAGCTTCAATATTTCTCCTTTTACAGTACAGCTGATGTAGATTTTTCGGGGTAGGCTACTTTGCGCCAAATTTTTTGCACAACTCGCCATAACTTTCTTCTAAGTCGGCCAATTATTATGATTTTGGTGTCATTTTATTGCGCTTATTGAGATCTACAAAATGACACCAAAATCATACAGATTGATGGACTTAGAAGAAAGTTATGGCGAGTTGCGCAAAAGACACAGTTGCGTAACCCTGTTCCGCAAAAGACACAGTTGCGTAACCCTGTTCCGCAAAAGACATAGTTGCGTAACCCTGCTAATGACCCAGTTGCGCAAAAAGTTTCCGGAAATTAGCCTACCCCGAAAAATCAACTTGACTTTAATGTTTAACTTTTATAAATAAAAATTTTCAGTGTCATCATTGTGAATCATCACGAACAGCAAACGTTAACCGTCGCATCCAGCGAGGACACTGAAACGCCGACTTTAGAACACGACATGGTGGCCACGGTGGTGACGAATAGGTTTCTTTTTAGTTTTCTTTTAGGAGAGCAGCTTTACTGGGATAACGATAGCGTTTCAAAATCGACAAAACGTTTTAAAGATACAGTAATACAAAGCTTTACTTGTAGCAGGAATTAGGCAACTCGTTTTGTTTTTGATTCGACATAAACATGAGTTGTGCCTAACTAGGGAACGGCTAGATTTTGCAAAGCGCAACTCTGAACCAAAGCTAGATGACTGACGATTCAAGGGGATCGAACTCGGATGGCTCGGATGCCAAAAATGAGAGACAACAGCACTACCATTGTACCACCGAGTCACTTCTTTGGTGAGCGATGGTAGTCATTGCAAACCGATGGTAGCCATTGCAAACCGATGGTAGTCATTGCAAACCGATGGTAGTCATTGCAAACCGATGGTAGCCATTGCAAATAAATCGCTCAGTGCGCTAGGAAGTCGAATTTCAAAAGCGCTATTCCAGAAATCTAGTGTTTAGGCAAAAAATAGGCAATATAAAAAAGCCATCGTGTTGTCCGACTCACGTAAATCATCTAGATTTGTTTCGCTAGTAAGCTCATTTAATTGATCATTCAAACAGTTTTCAGGCCACTCTGCAGCTGGTTGATCGATCAAATCCCGATCACCGAACGTGCCACACATCTCCTCTCACATCCCGATTGTTTAGATGAACCGCAACGAGAAACCCTTCGAGCATCCATCGCCACACTTGGAGACTGGTAGATAAACTTTAGTCCACTAGTCTCAGTCCTGTAGCTACCGTAATCCTAAGCCTTAAGGATTACGGTAGCTTTCCAGACACCTCTAGAAAACCAAGCTTTAGGATCGATTCATGGCCTGAATCAAAATGGAATATCACTTGCTCGGCGATGCCTTTTCCAGAGGGAATCTCTTCTGCTTATTATGTTGGATCTTTTGCTCACACTCGCTACAAAGTGGCCTCGTATTATCCGGAATGGTTGGTCTTTATTGAAAACATTGAAACATTGAAACTTAGAGCGTAAGCAACTTTTCCTTACCTTTTTCTTGCCTTTTTCTTGCCTTTTTCTTGACAATTCTTTCAGTTATTATAGTTTGTTAGTTAGAAAGAGTGCTACTAAACTTTCAGCGCTCAAGCCTCGATGAAAACGGTGATCCAACGATTGGACAAACTCGCGTACACCAAAAAGAACACCACCGATTTGGAGTTTACTTACAATTTCTTGAATGAACATGAAAGAGATCGGGAAAAGGAAGTACTCGTCACGAAGTCATTCACGGATAAGTGAGCCTTTTAAAAAGCCATTCACGGATAAGTGAGCCTTTTAAAAAGCCATTCACGGATAAGTGAGCCTTTTAAAAAGCCATTCACGGATAAGTGAGCGTTTTTGAATGGCAATTTGAATGGCACCATTTTTGTCGTTTCTATATTAGCTATAGACCTGAAAATTTGCAACTAGAGGCATTCTGGGATGCAGAATCTGAATCCGTTATCAATTTTCGCGCATCTTTAATCCCCAAGCCAATACGATCATCAAAGAATTGGGTAATTAAACCAAAGCAGCCTTCAAAGCATTATCGAGACATTTTCTAAATCAAAAGAGAAAATTGTCCGTTTTCAAGAGAAAATTGTCGTTTTCATAGTGAGAATCTCGCTTAATCATCTATTTTTCTATTCGAAATGTTAGTTTGAAGTATTAATTACAATTTCTGTTGTTCAAAAACGCCCAAAAAAGAATCGAGTATTGGAGAGGGGTCGAACCAAAGACCCCCTTTCACCAGACTGACCCACAGCGCCTTAGACCACTCGGCCATCCTCATCGCTGGCCGACCCCTCAAGAAACCGCTTTTTAATTTAGATTTCTGGAAATTACATAAAATTTTGAATTGGGTTTCACTTGGGTAATTAAACCGAATGAAATTTTCAAAAATAGAGCTGTTTTCTTTAAAAACTAATAACGAATTCGAATTGCTTGACCCCGAAAACCCTCTGGTGCAAATTTTCAGCCCATTTCAACCCAATTCGCCTCAAAAAAAAAGTGCTAAATGCACGTACGGCTTAGGTGAACCATATCGTCGCAAATTTTACAGCTTTTATATAGCTACCGTAATCCAATCTTTTTAGGGTTACGGTAGTGCTTTAAAGCACAAATTTACAAGCTTTGGCTCTAATTACAAAGCTCTAATTTTTACAGATACGGTAATCGCATTGCCACTTCGGGAGTGGTGTGGCGTTTGAATTTCCTCGAGAAAGTTTTCACCGAGTGGACCGACCCAAATAGCACTTTGTGGCGTAACTTCACCAAGGTAAACAAAGAGAAAAAATTGAGTAGAATCTTTAGAATTAACGCTTAAACACTAGCGCTTAAACCCTAAACGCTTAAACACTAAACGCTTGAACCGTAAACGCTTAAACCTAAATGCTTAAACCTAAATGCTTAAACCCTAAACGCTTAAACCCTAAACGCTTAAATCAATCGCTTAAACACTAAACGCTTAAACACTAGCGCTTAAACACTAAACGCTTAAACCCTAAAGGCTTAAACCCTGCTTAAACCCTGCTTAAACCATAAACGCTTAAACCCTAAAGGCTTAAACACTAAAGGCTTAAACCCTAAAGGCTTAAACCCTAAACGCTTAAACTCTAAACTTCACCAAGGTAATTAAAGAGAAAAAATTGAATAGAATCTCTTGAATTAACGCTTAAACACTAGCGCTTAAACACTAAAGGCTTAAACCCTAAAGGCTTAAACCCTGCTTAAACCATAAACGCTTAAACCCTAAACGCTTAAACCCTAAAGGCTTAAACCCTAAAGGCTTAAACCCTAAAGGCTTAAACCCTAAAGGCTTAAACCCTAAAAGCTTAAACCCTAAACGCTTAAACACTAAAGGCTTAAACACTAAAGGCTTAAACCCTAAAGGCTTAAACCCTAAACGCTTAAACACTAAAGGCTTAAACACTAGCGCTTAAACCCTAAACGCTTAAACCCTGAACGCTTAAACACTAAAAGCTTAAACCCTAAACTCTTAAACTCTAAACTTCACCAAGGTAATTAAAGAGAAAAAATTGAATAGAATCTCTTGAATTAACGCTTAAACCCTAAACGCTTAAATCAATCAACCAAAACACTTCGAATTTCAGCTACTCTTCATTGATGATCGAGTAAATTTTTATTGAAAACCGTATTCCTGAAACTCTGAAACTCTGAAAACTTCTTCAAAAATGCCCCCAAAGAATTCTCTATCTTTCCCCCATTAGATCTTTCCAAAATCTTTCCAAAATCTTTTCAAAAACACTTTAAACAATGTTCATTTGCACATCCTTTGTTCAAAGCTCTATTTCTTAAATGTATGAAGCTTTTTTAAATCCTTTTGTAGATGAATAGACTATCGAAATATTGATGTCAATTGAAAACATGAAAAAATGGTTCTTTTTCCTTTGAAAAACTAACTGTCTAGTACAGCAGATGCTGTACGTTTGCAAGTTTACAAAGTACAAGTAAAGTACGAGTAAAGTACAAAGTACAGTACAAAGTACAGTACAAAGTACAGTACAAAGTATAGTACAAAGTACAGTACAAAGTATAGTACAAAGTACAGTACAAAGTACAGTACAAAGTATAGCACAAAGTACAAAGTACAGGCATAGTCGTATTTGAGAACTATTTCAGTCTATCAGATCTCCATTCTTTACCCTCAAAAGACTTCAATATCAATATTTCGATAAGTAAAGCCAAAAAAACTAGAGTATATCGTTAAGTATATGATTTAGAAAGAGATTTTCTTGGTGACTGCTGATGGTTGGGTGTTGGCAACGAATAATGCAAGGAGGAAATCCTATATGGATGAATATCATCTAATCAATCATGACAAACAGCTATTCTACTCATTGATCAATCAGAAATTGGTGGAAGAGTGAGTTTTGAAAAGAGAACATGATAGCTGATAAATTGACGAGATGATTGACAAGATGATTGACAAGATAGTTGATAGATTGATAAGGTGATAGATCAGATGATAGATCAGATGATAGGTCAGATGATAGGTCAGATGATAGGTCAGATGATAGATGGATGATAGATGAGATAATAGATCAGATGATAGATCAGATGATAGGTCAGATGATAGGTCAGATGATAGATGGATGATAGATGGATGATAGATCAGATGATAGATCAGATGATAGATCAGATGATAGATCAGATGATAGATCAGATGATAGATCAGATGATAGATCAGATGATAGGTCAGATGATAGGTCAGATGATAGATGGATGATAGATGAGATAATAGATCAGATGATAGATCAGATGATAGGTCAGATGATAGGTCAGATGATAGATGGATGATAGATGGATGATAGATCAGATGATAGATCAGATGATAGATCAGATGATAGATCAGATGATAGATCAGATGATAGATCAGATGATAGGTCAGATGATAGGTCAGATGATAGATCAGATAATAGATCAGATAATAGATCAGAAATTCTTCAAAATATATGCAAATCTTGGCAAACAACGATTCTGTCGAGAAGTTAGCACCGTTGAACTTCAAAGTACTATAAGAAAAAGCGTAACACTGTGTTTTTTGTAATTAAAAATTGAAATAGACTTTAGAAATTAACTTCAAATTTTATATAAATATGAAATTAGGAGAATTGAGTAATTCAGCGTTAAGTTACAGTCGAAAAACCGAGTGTGTGCCCAGCCTGTAGTCCAGTTTTTGGTCGCAATAGGATTTGATTTCTTAAATCAACTAAAACCAATAACTTTCAAGATAAATAGCTTAAGAGAAAGAGAAAGAAGAGAAAGAGAAAGAAGGGGAAGAGAAAGAAGAGAAAGAGAAAGAAGAGGAATAGAAAGAAGAGGAAGAGAAAGAAGAGGAAGAGAAAGAAAGACTTAAGAAAGAATCCTTTAGATCGCATCATTTGGACGTTCAAGGCGAATGCTCGGCAAAGAGAGCCGCGCCGTGGGCTAGTCGATCACCCAATCAGAAGACTCCATTCAAAGCTCTCATCAACACCATAGCCACCTTGATCAGCTCAACGTTTTGGTAGATTATTTAGACAATTTATTAGCTAATCTATTAGCTTATTAGCTTTAAAGCTATCTAATCTAATCAAGCTACCTAATCTAATCAATAAAAACTCGTCAAAATCCAGGATCGACTTGTTCGCCTATCTCACTCATCCCGTTTCCGGGCAACCCACATTAACACGCGAAGGGAAATGTCAATTTCAGAAAGTGATTTTAAAAATAAAGCTTTTAAATGAAATATATTAAAAAGTAAAGTATTACAATATAGTTTTTAAAGAGAACAAACCTTTTAAAGAGATCATTTAAAGAGATTTTAGATTAAACCATTTGAACGATGTGTCGTAGGAATCACCTCCTATCGTTTACTCTTCAACGAGAACACTCAAATCGATCTTTTTGGTGGTGGATGTGCTAGGTTGATAAAGATTTGATAGAAATATGAAGGTTATAGAAATAGAACAGCTATAGCTGTTCATAGCTGTTCATAGCTGTTCGTAGCTGCTCATAGCTGCTCATAGCTGTTCATAGCTGCTCATAGCTGTTCATAGCTGCTCATAGCTGTTCATAGCTGTTCATAGCTGCTCATAGCTGCTCATAGCTGTTCATAGCTGCTCATAGCTGCTCATAACTATGAACAGCTATGAATTTTAAACCTTTTTTTAGATATTTATCCGTGAGAAAAGTGCCGGGCACGAATCTATTCGTGCTGATCGCTGACTCGCCATGCCCTGCCTCATTCAACAAGAATAAACTAGCAAAACCACCAACGAAAATGTTCAAAAGATGTGAGGATTTTTTTTACAAAAAATTGTCTTTAACTCTTTTTATAATAAATTTAAGTTAAAATTCAAATAAATAAACGTAAATAAACGTAAATAAACGTGAACAAACGTAAATAAACCTAAATAAACGTAAATAAACCTAAATCAGCGTAAATAAGCGTAAATAAGCGTAAATAAACCTAAATAAACGTAAATAAACCTAAATCAGCGTAAATAAACGTAAATAAACCTAAATAAACCTAAATCAGCGTAAATAAACCTAAATAAACGTAAATAAACGTAAATAAACCTAAATCAGCGTAAATAAACGTAAATAAACGTAAATTAACCTAAATAAACCTAAATAAACCTAAAGAAACCTAAAGAAACCTAAATAAACGTAAATAAACCTAAATAAACGTTAAGATTTCAAGCACAGCAGCTCGTTTTATCTTTTTAGCTTCATAAACTGGCAAGCATTTTTCCGAGAAAACATTTTTGGAGTCGCGAAATAAATTGCACTAAATACGTCCGCTTTTTTTGCGTAAAATAATTTTTTTTGCAACTTTAACTATTTTTATTCTATTGATAAATAAAGTTGAACTCTATAGTTGAAACACTAATTACTTTAAAAACAATGTAGAAAGCAAAACTACTGGCTACTTTGCGCCAAATTTTTTGCGCAACTAGATCTTTTGCCCAACTCGCCATAACTTTCTTCTAAGTCGGCCAATCTTTATGATTTTGGTGTCATTTTGGTACAATTATTGAGATCTATGAAATGTCTAGTAATCTCGTAATCTACGCACAAAAAAACTGCCCTAGAAAAAGCACTTTTGCAGAAAAAAAGTTTTCCCTAACCCCACAAGTACTTAACTTGCTTCTAAGTGGACCACTCTTTATGATTTTGGTGTCATTTTGTAGATCTCAACAAGTGCAACAAAATGACACCAAAATCACAAAGATTGACTCACTTAGAAAAAAAGTTATGGCGAGTTGCGCAAAATAGCCACTCCCGGATTTTGCGCTTATCATGTTCGACGATGTAGTTAGATCTGATAACATTTGTTTGTTTGTTTGATTTGTTACACTTATTGAGATCTACAGAATGACACCAAAATCATAAAGATTGGTCCACTTGGAAGAAAGTTATGGCTAGTTGCGCAAAAGACCCAGTTGCGCAAATGATTCAGTTGCGCAAAAGTAGCCACCCCCAAACTACGTAGCCACCCCCAAACTAGCCACCCCCAAACTACGAGTACCCTGCAAGTAGCCACCCCCAAACTACGAGTAGAAATTGCGCAAAAGTAAGGAAAAAAAATAGCTAAAGTTGCAAGAAAAAAAATGATTTTACGAAAAAAAGCGGACCACGGTATTTAGTGCATTTTAGTGCGATGATTTTGCGCAAAAAAACCGATTACGGTATTTAGTGCATTTTGGTGCGCGATCCCTAAATGTTTTTTCGAAAAATGCTTTCCATTCTTCATAAAACCTTTAAAAGATAGAAAAACTTGCATAACTGAAAATAAAAAATCTAAATTCTAAATAAAGCTTTAGATTTTAGATTCGATAAATATTATACATTAACCCATTTTACTTTAGTATCTGATTGTGCCGTTGTGACGTCACGTTATCGACGCAAACCGCCAGATTTCGATACAGAAGAAACTCTAGATGTTGTAAGTTTTTAAAGTTTATAAAATTATAAAAGAAAAATGTTATATTTAAACTCAAATTTCTATTTTTTATATCCAAAACTAAGTTGAGTTTTAAATGAAATTAATCATTTTGATTTACCGTATTTTCTCTAATAGTAGTGCACCATGAGCGTCGCCTAAATTGCTCGAAATCTCGAGAACCGTTTATCAGAACTTATCGATGTGGGGTCGGAAAATGTAGCTGACGATGAGATCTTGACGGGGATTAGAGTGTTGAGCTTCTGTGAAAGCTTGGGAACCATAAAATAGGCATCAACTCGGCTACAAATCTACCGCAATAAATCCTACAAAGCTTAAAGAAGCTGGTAACTAAAGGAGAAGCTGATCTCAAAGAAGTTAGTCCCCAATACTAGCCCATAACCTTGCCTAAATCGCTCGAAATCTCGAGAACCGCTTATCAGAACCTATCGATGTGGGGCCGGAAAATGTAGCTGACGATGAGATCTAGCTGGTGATTAGAGTGTTGAGCTTCTGGGAAAGCTTGGAAACCGTAAAATAGTCACCAACTCGGCTCAATGTGGTGCACTACTATTAGAGAAAATACGGAAAATGAAATCTCAGCTTGGCGACGGCGATTGTTCATCGGTGGTGGCCGCAAGTCAAACCTTCACGATAAACATTAGAATATTCTTATTTTTCTTATATTTTATTTATAATTTATTATGATCAAATTTTCTAAGTCACTTTATAAAATCACTTTTTTTTTCGCTGTTAAGATTCCAATAGAAAAATTGTGCCTTTTTTAAAACGGGTTATATGCTTTTCGAAGCTAAAAGCAATAAATCATTTTTTTCATTTTCAGCTGTTCCAGCAATCAAAACAAATCAGTTTTGATTTTTGTTTAACGATAAACTATCGTATCTTGTCTTCGCCTACGATACCGTCAAGATTACGGTATCGTAGGCAATACCGTAATCTTGACGGCTGTTTTTTCTTTTCGTAAAAGTGTCAGTCTCACTATAGTCTACCGGAATTAAAGTACTCACAGGGGAAAATGAAATGGCTGAGATGACTGGCTGACACTATCACTGACATCAAATGGCTGAGATGACTGGCTGACACTATCACTGACATCAAATGGCTGAGATCAAATGACACTGACATCAAATGACACTGACATCAAATGACTGAGATCAAATGACCGAGCCGACTAAATGCTATGCGATCGATACCATTCGACGCAGAATTTGATGCTGATTTCGAATATGTATTCCGTTTTTAGCTAAATGACAATCTACCAGGAGTTATAAGGGTTTAAAGTTTTGCTAGGACTCTGAAAATGTGTTTATTTGAGTCTTAGCAGCCTCCTTGCTGGCCTGTTTCACTGCAGCGCTCGTTTCCACAGCGAAACCTCCGAAATTTCAATCTCTACTTTGTTTTTTCTTTTGAATATTGAAATTGAACAGCTGAACACCGAGAAATTTCAGCTTAAACTTAGATTTTTAATGGGAAAAGCGGCTGGGCGTAGATTAAATGTTTGAAAAAATTTTCTTGCCGTTAGTTTGTCAAACAAATCAGACGTAACCGTCGTCGTCGTAGCCGACCGGATTGGAGTCTTGTCTTCTACAGTATTCTGTAGTTCTACAGTCTTCTGCAGTTCTACAGTCTTCTGTAGCTCTACAGTCTTCTGCAGTTCTACAGTCTTCTGCAGTTCTACAGTCTTCTGTAGTTCTACAGTCTTCTGTAGCTCTACAGTCTTCTGCAGTTCTACAGTCTGGGGGGGTCAAAAGTTCGATCCCGGTGGCCAGAAAAATTGCTTCTTTTTCCCATCATTATGGGGTTTTTCTTAACGACATTTGGGTAATAGGGGTAACAAAGGGTAAAAAAATTTCCTCCGTTGTGTTGTAATTCATTATTCGTGCCGAATAAATCTACTTGACCGTATCTTGTGCACGAGATAAACGACTAAATATTCAAATTCATTCGGAAAGCATTTCAAAATTTGTCCTGTCCAAAATTCGTGTTCTCGATTCCGTCAACAATTCGATCGATTTCCTTTTGCCTCAACTCGACTCGACGATTCAAGCGTTTTTGTGTCTCCTTGCACGCGTATTTGAGAGCCCATGCTTCTTGATTCTGAATTTTCTGTCTTTGAAAACTTTAAAAGCACTCACTAGGGCACTAGGGAAGGGTACTAGGGCATTGTGGGATTTCGAAAATTAACTCATTCGATTTCGCTCATTCGATAGAAAATCGGGATTCGGGATTCTCATTCGATACGAAATGAGAATGAGAATCCCGAATCTGTAACCAAAATGAGAATGAGAATCCCGAATCTGTAATCAAAATGAGAATGAGAATCCCGAAATGAGAATCCCGAATCTGTAATCAAAATTTATTTAAGTCAAAATAGCTTGAAAGGTTTTTGAATCGTTTTTTCTGCACGCGTATTTGAGAGCCCATTCTTGATTCTGAATTTTCTGTCTTTGAAAACTTTAAAAGCACTCACTAGGGAAGGGTACTAGGGCATTGTGGGATTTCGAAACCTTTTGGCTCATTCGATTTCGATATTCTCATTCTCATTCGACAGGAAATCGAATGAGAATCCCGAATCGAATAACGGGGGTTCCGAATCTCTAATCAAAATCTACGGAATAGCTCGAAAGTTTTTTGACCCGAAAGTTTCTGCTATACGCTCTTGAGCCGAGTTTATGCGACCCCTACCGGCGGCAGTTGTAGTGTAGTGGATAGTGTGATGGTCTAACGAACTGATCGACTTTTTTTCTTGCTGGGTTCGAATCCCCGTTCGCCAAAAATCTTTAGGGTTTTATTTTTCCCAATGAAATTTCTGATTTTCACATTAAGATCACAAATTCTTATAATATTTCTATAAAAGATATTTCTTATAATTTTTCTATAACAATAACATTCTATAACATTTCTATAACATTTCTATAATATTTCTGTTTCTATAAAAGAAACTTGAAAAAATATGCTTTCTAAATAAATAAATGCAAATAAATGCAAATAAAAGTTAAGATTTCAAGCACAGCAGCTCATTTTATCTTTTTAGTTTCATAAACTGGCATAAATTTAAATTTAAAATTAAGTTCTTTTAAAAAAAGTTTTGTTAGAAAGCATATTTTGTTCAAGTTTTTATATAAACAGCAAAATCTTATAAGAATTTGTGATCTTATTGTGAAAGTCAGAAACATTATTGTGAAAAATAAAACGCTAAAGATTTTTGGCAAGTGGGGCTTCGAACCCAGCAAGAAAAAAAGTCGATCAGTTCGGTAGACCATCACACTATCCACTACACCACAACTGCCGTCTGAACGGGTCGCATAAACTCGACTCAAGAGCGTACAGCAGAAACTTTCGGGTCAAAAAACTTTCGAGCTATTTCGTAGATTTTGATTAGAGATTCGGAATCCCCGTTGGATTTCTGATTGAATGAGCTAGGCCAAATTTTAGGCAAACAAATACACAACACACCTTTGCCTTCAAGAATCCCATCCCCAAGAAATCTCAAGTTCAGGAAGAAAAAAGACTAACAGTAATTAAAGATTCTTGTTTTTCAATAAGATAAGCGACGAGAAGTGTTTTGAATGTTTAATTCTCCGAATTTTTCTCACTCACATCACGTCTGACATCGATGAGGATAGCTTTGAACACAATCCGATACTCGTCGTCACCGAGGAGCGGCTCAATCTTTTGCAGTTGATACTTTAAGGAATCGTACGCAAAATTCGTCTTGATCTGAAATTTCGGAAAGTGAATGGAAATGGTTTTCAAAAACGTTTTCAACAACAATAATTTAAAGGAGCTTTAAAGGAGCTTTAAAGGAGCTGAAAGGAGCTTTAAAGGAGCTTTGAAGGAGCTTTGAAGGAGCTCTAAAGGAGCTTTAAAGGAGCTTTAAAGGAGCTGAAAGGAGCTTTGAAGGAGCTTTGAAGGAGCTCTAAAGGAGCTTTGAAGGAGCTCTAAAGGAGCTTTGAAGGAGCTCTAAAGGAGCTTTGAAGGAGCTTTGAAGGAGCTTTAAAGGAATGTTAAAGGAGCTTTTGCTCAACGCACATTGTCCGGTCGAAGTTTTCCGATCTCAACCATGGCGCAGATTTTCTGGACGAGAATGTGCAAATTGTTGTTGATATTGTAGGCACAAGTTCGCTCGAACATTGGCCATTTCGCGAAATGATCAACAGAAAGAATACTTTGAATGAATACTAAAGAGAAAAAGAATAATAATCCTTTCATTTCAGCTGTTTTCAAAAGAAGGCGTCAAAGCTGATAGGCTGAGTTTGGGGGGGAAAAATGATAACAATTTTGAGAATCGCCTTGAGGTCAGCAGATATTTTAGGGGATCAGACAAATTGAGTGTTAGGTTTAGCTAAAGAAATAGCTTTATGCAAAGAAATTCAAAGCTTTATGGCAAAGCTTTATAGCGAGGCTTGATAGCAAGGCTTTATAGCAAGGCTTTATAGCAAGGCTTTATAGCAAGGCTTTATAGCTCGCAAGGCAATAGAGAGCTTTTTTTAAAAATGCGCCTCTGAAGTACTTTTCTTTTTCAAATTCAAGTCGGATTTTAAACTATTCCACTTGTTTCTAAAGCTTTTGTAATCACAATTTCAACACTGAGTTTTTCTTTTGATTTTGGATTTGATCTTTTATCAAAAATAAAACGTTTATGTGTAAAGTAATAAAGTCAACTAAAATGTGATTAGCAAAAAAAACAATGGCGATTGAAAAAAAGAGAACTTTAACGGGATAAATCATCAAAAATTTGCTTGTTTTATTTTTCCCAAAAGGTCCCTCGGATTCTCTGAAATACCTGTTGCTTGGAGACTCGATAGACTGTAACTTTACCCATAGACTAAAGACTTGAAGAGGAAAATGAGTTGAACAGTGAGAGTCAAAAGTCAAACGGTCAGTCAAAAGTTTGTTCCCCAAACAACAGGTATTTCAGAGAATCCGAGGGACTCTGACAAGCAAAATTTTGATGATTTTTAAAGTCCTATACATTGAATGAATTTTGCTAAACACTTAAATTAAAAAAATAAAATTGTGCTTAAGAAAATTTGCAAAAAAAATGCAAAAGTTTGAGGGTACACGGATTCGAACCAGAATTAAAAAGTTTCCTTGCTAGACTACGCGACGCCATGCATATGCCATGCCCGTCTATTAGTTTTTACGGTAGTAGAGTTCCGCTCCCGTTTCAATCGCTTGCCCATGAACTTTTTAACTTCTTTGAAGTCTTCTTCATAATTTCAAGGCCGGCAACGAGGTGATTCATCTAAAAGTGCAATATGCAAAACCATTGAAACTACCTTACCATTTCACTAAAACCGATTCCCCTAACTGTAAAAGCGGCCCGTTCCCACAGCCGATGGATGATCCAGTTCACTTTCAAGGACATTCCAGTTCTTTCTTTTTCACCCTCCACAACCACCTGCTACTGTCTATAAATACGTTTTTCGAAATTTGCATAAACTATTGATTGTTCAAGAAAGAGCTTTTACAGGTGAGATTTTCCATAACCACTTTTTTCGTAATGATCTTTTAGGAAAGTTCAAAATTCGATAAAACTGATCGAATTGGACTTGCAAACTTGCCAAACAATTGGCACGATTTCTATAAACCACAATGCTCTTTCTCTTTCTGTTATTCATCACAGTTGATGGGTCGTGGCTTCATTTCACTTCACAACAATCGGTGAGAGCCGTGGGACGGTTGCTCTGCTCAGGCAAACCCGCCGTCAACGTCTCAATTCGGCTCTACGATGATGATATTTGTAAGAAAAACTAGTTAATTAGTAAAATCCACGTTGTCGTCTGAAACATTAACTGTTTCAGTTACTAAAGACACAATGCAGATGGCTAGATCGAATCATTTGGGGCACTTTGAAGGTATCTTTCAACTCTAAATCGATTCATTCAAATCAAGTTGAGGGAGTTGATGAGGAAATAACATGGATCGATCCTTATATCGATTTCTATCATCAATGTGAGATTGACAATGTTATAGAGAGACAGGTTTGCAGGGTACCAAAGCCAAAAAGATCCTATGATTTCGATTTAGCAATGCATGCGAACGGCCACTGTTGGCATCCCACAAGACTACATCTCCTCTTCAGCGATCATCGAGAAAACTTTCGAATTAGGAGATTTTGAGCTAAGAAATTTGTATGCAAGCGGCAACAATCAAAAGCGATGCGTAAACTATTAATAACTATGTTGTAATTCGTGTGTATAAAATCAGCTTTATCGTCACTTGAAGCGGATATTTAACAATTTAAAAACAGACATTAGAATATTTAGAAAAACAGTTTAAATATACATACCAACCGAACGAATCCACTCAATAGATAAGTCCAAGTTTTTGCTTTTGCTTCGTCTTCTTTTTGACAACCTAAACAAACATAATTTTATAAGAAAATTTTAGATATTACCTAATCTAGAAAAAATAGCTTAATCTTAATTGAAGAAAAAAACAAACTTCGATTTGACGATCCTGCCAATTACTCTTCCTCAACTTGATAGGCCGATTGCCGACATATTTTCCGTCCATTTCACGCATCGCACGAACATAATCCTAAAAAGCATAGCTAAACTATTTGGATTCAAAATCCGGTATTTTAATTTTTCCAAAGTTTTACCTCTTGACTTTTGAAAGAAACAAAGCCGAATCCCTTGCTTTTGTTTGATCGTCCATCGCGAATAACCTAAAAATTCCCATTTTAGGCAAACAAATACACAACACACCTTTGCCTTCAAGAAAGAAGGATATTTTCGAAAAGCTTTGGCCAAAAGCTCATCGGAGACTTCATTGCCCAAATCACCGCAGAAAATTCGAAAATCGTTTTGGTCCCAATCAGCCAAAGATGGATCTTCCCAAGTCTAAAAAATAGAATACGATTTTAAATAGTTAAATAATCATTTACCTGTCCTCCTGCTTGACGAACGAACTTTTTCCCAACAGCTTTCGACATCATGGCCTCACGACGAGCAATATCGCGCTTCCTGGACATTGCCTCGACATCGGAAGGCAAGGGCTGAACAATTTCAATACGTTAAAAATAGATTTCTCTAATCGTTTTGAAATTTTAAGTTGCTAAATCGAACTCACAAGACCTAGGTATGGACCTTTAAATTATTCCATGAACGGTTAGTTTACTTACCGCTAATTTCGGTGCTTCGGAAACGGTTTGTGTGTATGCAAGCTCAGGAGCTCGATAAAGCGATGGCCCACTCTCAATGACAGCATCTTGTTGATATGGAGGAGCCCGGGAAGGCGTGGGAACCGTCGCGGTGGTAGTTGGACGGGAAACCGCTGGTGCCGTGTTCCGTAACTAAAGGAAAATATTGAAAACTATTAGGTTGTCCAGTTATGAATGCGCGCCTGCTCTTGAACAGCGTACCTTAGGGCTATACAATTTTATCAAACCCTATTCTCTATATGTTGTTCAAGATTTCTTATTTATTACAACTTTTCGTGTTTTTGACGTTAAACTAATTCATTTTTGATTTAATTTCCGTGTTTAAATGACCGAGACGAAGTTTCGTCATCGTGCCAGTCTTTGTTATGACTTCAAATTGGGCAAAAATGCCGTTGAATCCCATCGAGATCTCTGCAGAGTATTTGGCGAAGATGCTATTTCGGTCGCCGATGGTTTCAACGATTTCGAGAAGGAAATGAATCTTTGGAAGACGAAGACCACCAACGACGACCTCGTGCGACCGATAATGCAGTACTGAAGCAGGCGATAGAAATGGATCCTCGACAAACGATGCGTGAACTTGCAGAAATATTTAGAGTAAGCCCTCAAACCATTTCTGAGCATTTAAATCAATTGGGGAAAACAAGCCGACAAGGGAAATGGGTTCCTCATCTTCTCAGCAATGCCAATAAAGCTACTCGTGTCACTATGGCGGGTATTCTTCTTCGTTTGGCAAAAAATACTGGGTTTTACGATGAAATACTTACTTGCGATGAAAAATGGATTCAATATGATAATTCTACACGAAAACGGCAATGGCTAGAACCTGGTGTGGAGCCAATATCAACACCAAAACCCGACTTCCTTGACAAGAAAGTAATGCTTACTGTCTGGTGGAATTCCCAAGGCATTGGGTATTTTGAGCTGCTGAAACCTGGGCAAACAATCACGGGTGAAACGTATGCACAACAATTGGAACGAGTGAACAATGTATTGCTACAAAAAGGCCTTGATCCTTCAAACATAAAGTTCATTCAAGATAACGCCCGTCCACACGTTGCAAAGATTGTTCAGGAAAAACTCGAAGAGTTGAGCTGGGAAACTCTCCCGCATCCGCCATATTCTCCGGATATTTCGCCTTCGGATTACCATTTATTTCGCTCAATGCGAAGCCATTTGGCCGGAAACAAGTTCAAAGAAGTTCAAGAGGTCGAAAAATGGATAGCCGACTTCTTTGCCTCAAAACAAGCCAATTTTTACGCGGAGGGAATTCATTCTTTGCATGGAAGATGGAAACAAATAATGTTAACAAATGGTGAATATATTGTTGATTGAGCTGTTAAACTGTTGGTTTTAAAATAAAGAGTTGTTATCTTAAAAACGCGCATTTATAACTGGACAACCTAATATAACGTTACGTTTTTAACAATATAAGCTTGTTGCTTAATATTCACTGAAAATTTAATTGTTTAATTGGCAAAAGCTAAAAATTACCTGAGGAGGCATAAAAATGCTCGGTGCTGCGCTCACAATATGCGCACCGTTGCTGCTCGTCGGGACTTTTACATTGCTTGTCGGTGCCGCTACGATCTAAAAAGAACAACAATATTTCTACAATGCTTCATCTAAAGTGCCTGACTGGTCGTTGAAGAAGTTGGGGCTGTTGTCCCTAGCGAGTTGATCTCTTGTTCGAATCTAAAATATAAAATAACGCCTGTTCGTAAATCCTAGTGATTAAAACAGATTTGCTAACAAACTTACAAAGCTAGCTCGTCGTCGATGCTCGTCATGTGACCCCAATCTTCAGACGAACGCTTCAAATCTAAAAGGACTCGTAATTTATATTTGCTAAAATACAAAGCCTAATAAAAGAATAAGTACATAGAAATATACTAAAGACAATTTACACGTATTATTCTCCTTTGTAGTTTGGCTTTCGTTTCTCAGCAAAAGCGGCCAATCCCTCGATTCGATCTCTTGTCGGAATTACTTGCGCATAACATTGTTGCTCTAACATCAATCCGCTTTGCAAATCCAATTGTGATCCGGTATCGATTGCAATTTTGGCAACACGCAAAGCCACGGGTCCTCTTTGCAGCATTTCTTTCGCTAATTCAATTGCTCTATTATAAGCACCGTCATCCGTGGGTCCTTTTTCGACAGCCGCATTCACGAGTCCAATTGAAAGCGCTTCCTTTGAGTCAAGAATCCGAGCTGTGAAGATCAACTCCTTTGCTTTTGCCACTCCGACCAATCGAGTTAATCGCTGCGTTCCACCTGCACCAGGAATTATCGCCAATCTCGTTTCCGTTAAACCCATCTTTGCCGCATCGCTGGCCACCAGTAGATCACAAGAGAGAGCCAATTCTAGTCCACCACCAAGCGCCACTCCGTCAATCGCAGCTATTGTCGGCTGTGGTAAAGTGGACAATTCGGTTGTAGCTGCTCGAATCGAGTTGACAAAAATCGGGACCTCATCGGGGGCCATGCTTTTCCTCTCTTTCAAGTCGGCGCCCGCACAAAACGCTCCAGGAACATCGCTCTTCAAAATGACAACACGAGCCGATCGATCGAATTTCAACTCGGCGAGAGCGTCTCGCAACTGGCTGAGCATGAGTTTACTGATCGCATTTTTCGTCTCCGGTTTTTTCATGCGTAACACGACGATTCCTTTGTTTTCAGCCTCCAGTCGATCGATCCATAGCGGTCCTTGGGTGGTCGATGAAAGCGATCGAATGAAGGACGCTCGGAGAAGTGGTGACACGAAGAGTTTAGCGATTTGGCGCATTGAGTTGAGCCCTAGAAAAATAAATATCACTATAGGCTAATAAAAGTAGAAGCAAACAGCAAAAAAAGAATGGGTTGGCTTTAAAAGTTGCGGATAAGTTTATCAACTCTAGTTTTGAAAAGCCATGATTAGCTAAAAGCTCAAAGTAAACACTTAATGAAGCCTGATAAATCGGGAGTGGGACAAATGCGACCTTTTTTTTGCGCACCCGGACATTTGCGCACCTTTTTTTTCCGCACCTTGCCCATTAGCGCACCTTTTTTCGCGTTTTAAAAAGCTCTAAAAAGCTAATATTAACCAATTTCTATTCCAAAAGTTGTTTTTCTAGGTCTAGCTTAGGGCGTAGAATCGAAATTTTGACATATCAGTGCTTGTGGAAACAAACGGACGGAGTTATACAAAGAGAAAAATCGACAATTTTCTGTAATTTGACCTAGCCGTTTTGTCTTTCAAATTGGTTCCACACGCTGTTATGTCAAAATTTGAATTCGACACCCTCAAATTACCTAGAAAAACAACATTTGGAATAGAAATTGGTTAATATTAGCTTTTTAGAGCTTTTTTAAAACGCGAAAAAAGGTGCGCTAATGGGCTAAGTGCGGAAAAAAAGGTGCGCAAATGTCCGGGTGCGCAAAAAAGGTCGCATTTGTCCAACTCCCGATAAATCAAATAAAGGAATCAATTTGAAAAAGTTTAACAGATATTTCTTTCCGGGGTAGTTCTTTCCGAAATCATTGTGCTTCAGTACGGAGATGAACGTTATTTACGTCGCCTTTCTAGCGGTTAGGCGTAATGAATTATAATGATCAACTCGTCACTCATTTCATGGTTTGGGCAAAAGAGTTTGAATTGCGAATCGAAAGAAAATTTCAAAAATCCATTACGACCAGGATAAAAATGAACAAATGCGTAATTTTTGAAATGAGCGAGAGTTCAATGAAGCCTGATAAATCGTTCGATTTATCAGGCTATCAGCGAGAGTTCGAGAGCACAATCAAAAAGCAAGGCGACGCAGGTGAAAAGAAAGTGCACGCCCGCGGTAATCCAACGTCGTCATTTTTTCCTCACGAACCCGCCTTTAGGATTGCAGGTACTTAAGTTGTTTCTTGTTAAGATTTAACCGCAAATCCTTTAATAGAACGCATGTACCGTCGGATTTTTAAGAGGCTTTTAGAGGCTAACCAATGGGATACTGTATAATAATTGCTGCGTTCCTTGACACCTTTTCTCAGCTAGGAGGGTGCACTTTTCGGCAATGTTTTGTTTTCCAATTTGATATCGATACATACAGTGATCCAAAAAAGTATTGGTACCTTTTCGAAAATTTCACATATTGATTTAAAATTTTGGCCATGAAACCGTAAAGCACCCTGTTTTCCAATATAAATGCGTATTTCAGACCTCGAAAACTAAAAGAGCTAGACAAAACAACAAAATAGTACAAAACTGATAGAGATATTTGAATTGTCAGGCTCCTAAAAACTTATTTGAAATTGCTACAAAACCATCGCTTACCTGATCATGCATAGCAACAATTCGATCTCTGTCCTTTTCACAGTTAAAGCGAAATCTATCTCTTAACCATCACTGGAACTTATGACGGGATGGAGGCCTTGGCTCTTTTTGCCCGAGCTTGGACTGTTTCATAGCAAGCCATCTGATCACAATCACATTGCTTCTTTTTGGTGGATCTTGGTCAAGAAACGTTTAATTCAGGGCTTTTTAGTTGGTTCAAAAATTTCCATTTGAACAATCTAATGGGCAAGTACCGTAATTTTGAATCATAAAGTCTAGATTTTATACCTGATCTTCTGTGTCCTTGAAATCTGTTTTGCACTCATGGAGCATTACACCGAGGAAGGAGTGGGTCACAAATTTTTTAACCAATTTTTCCAGTGAAAATATGAATTGACCGGGCTTTTCGAGAGCTTACTACCATTCAAAGTCAACTCTCCTCTTTAGCATGCCACAGAATTGAGCACCTTCTTTTGGTGTCAATGTTAGCGTTCTTCATTGTGGTCACCTTTACTTTTACGATGAAATTCTATCGATATATACCTGAAACTTCAAATGGATTGACCAATCCCTTTTGAGAACAAAACCGAAGAAAATCTGATTTGATTCTTTTTTGACGCTTTTATCTTTGTAAAATATATGTAAAAACATTTATGACAATGCATTAAATGCATTAAAATGGATTAAAATGCATGAAAATCGAAATTGTGGGAAATAGTTTTGACAACAAGTGAAAATGAGATCAATAATAACCTATATTTAGATGTAACACAATACGCAAAAAGTGGCAAACCATGAATGACAAGATGACGTTTAGAAATTCATATCATCATCGGCTTCGACCTTTGCACCACCATGGAACTTCTCGGCAGCATCAACTGTTCGGGCAAGCATTGGCAAAAGATGATCATAGTCGATGGGGTCAACCGAAAAGACTTGGTACTTGATGCGCTCTTCTTCCTAAAACAAATAATTGATAAACTATATTATTAAACTTGAACTTACATTGTAGAACTCAGACTTGGCACGAACGCGTACAAGATATGGAGTAAATTTGGCCCGTTGGAACACTTCTTCATAAGCGCTTTGCTTAAAAAGAAATAAATTTCAAGATACGAAAGAAAAGGTTTACATTCGAATCTCGAAGCTCTCCAAGTTGTTGAGCCGTCATTCCAAGCAATTGTTCACAAGCCTTCGAGAAAAGAGAGGTCCAAACGATACCCGTGTAGTCTATCAGCTCAGCCTAAAGATTCTGCATATATTACATGTATGAAATTAAAACAAACCTGCAGAATGATATTCCATTTGAAATTGTCCATGGTTTTGTTGCATTTCTCGCACCTAAGCAAATAGATTTACAAGAATGTTGTCACCGAGAAAAACCTGAAAGCGTTCTGCTCAATAATAACTTTTTTCTGGCATCCCTCCGTAGCGCAAGCCTAAAAATAGTTTTAATAGACAAAACAACAAAATAATCCAAACCTGATAGAGAGCATTTTCCATTTTCATTCCATTGAAAAAGCCCTTGATGGTAAAGTAATGACCCTTTTCTTCACCCTTTCCATAATCGCCTCCAATTGCAACATCAAGGAATGTGAAATCACGCTCTGAATGAATGGATTGTTAAAGAGGATAAAGCCTTATTTGATACCCAAACTAGCTGCCGACGAACGATCACCACCGCCCATTGAAATCGAAACAGGTGTGATCTAAAAAATAGATTGCCAGTGTTCAATGGAAAGTAAAACTACCGATTCTCTGTTGGTCATGTACCAGGTCAACAGTTCTTTGCATCCAGGCACCATGGGGTCCATTTCAAAGCGAGCACCAGCTGTGATTGAGTACATACCTAAAATCAAATAACTGCATCAGAAAAGGTTTTTTTAAAGTTACCATTGAATTCTCTTACAAGGGCTCCTTTGATACCGATGGTATGACCAGTGCCTTCATCATCAAAATCTTTTGCCTAAATCATTTCTCATTAAAATCATATACAACTTGATGCATACATGTTGTGCCCAAAGGGTCATTGCCACTTGAGTGCCCGATTCGTCAATTAACGTCACGTCTCTCTTCACAACTTCGTTTCCATTGCGAGCAGTGAACTGAAACAAAGTTATTAGCTATAATTCTTCATGCAATGTTTTTTTAAATTGAACAAATTTGTACCTGGTTAACCGAGCCAACATTATCCACCACAGCTAGAACATCAATCAATCCATCGCCTTTATGTTGAGCGACATTGTTGAGCATGACACGACGAAGTTGGAAAGGAGGCTTATCAATTTGATGATCGAGGCAAGGAATTACCTAAACAGTGTGTGATGAAGCAGTTATCGGTACTTGTCGGTTATACCCCCACAAACATTTGCATACCATACAAATATGTCAAATGAGTATAATTATGTGCAGTCCAAAGGTTAAAGATGTTCAAGGAATACTTCTAGACTAGCTTACAATAGACATAGCTAAACTTGAACTTTGTAAAACAGTAGTTTGATGCTAATTTAGTTGGACAAAAAGCCTTGTGGGGGTATAAGCGACAAGTACCCAATTATTTCCAAACTAACATCTTCAGCGGTTCGGAGTGAGAGCTCATAATCATGTCCAGTTGAGTTGAAGCGCTTGTTCGCTTGACGCACCGAGCAATTCGATAAGTAATACGACTGAAAACGATTTTATTATGCTTTCATTTAAACCATACGCAATTCTCTTGAATCTGTGCATTCATTTTGTCAGCCAATTCACCAAAAGCAACAACACGAATCGAGTCACCGCGATCATCCGTTACATCAAAGTTTAAAACCTGCAGATAAATGTAACCTTTAAAAAAAATTATATTTTACCTTCAAAGCCCCGCGAGCCTGGCTTTGAATTGTACGAATGTCTTCCTTGCTTGTGCACAAGCCCAAAATACGGAACCTAAACAAAGATAACTCAAAAAAATAATTTACAAATTTACTTGGATAAATATGGAGTGATCGAAGCAATTGGAACGTTTCCGGGAAGTCCGACGTTGCGTGGCTGTGGTGGTGGAACTAAAATATTTACAATAGAGCATCCAATATTTCTTCTCGAACCTAGATTGAGCAAATAATTTTGCAATAGAAAATGAGAATATAAAATATCAGAAAGATTAGAAAGAACACTAGAGTAAATTCAATTCCATTTACTAGCAGCCAGGGGAGAAATGTTAGTAAAAATGGCAAGGGGGATCCCGTTTGGCATATTAGTGTTGCATTTGTAGGTGTGGGTTTTTCGATTTGCAAGATTGGTAATGCTGGATCCATTTAATTAATGGACAAAATGGTTAGAGTTAGCTGATTGGACTGATTGTTTAGATAGAGCAGAAACGTAAACAATTACCAGGTGGGCGTTTCACTGGAGGAAGAGTGGGAATTCCTTCATCGACAGTCACTGGCACAAGAATCTGAAAAAGATAAATTACGGTCATGTTAAATTTTACAATTTTTAAGTTATAAAAACGCAAGCTTACTTGTTTTGCCTCATAATTATCGTAATCGCGAATATCATTGAGGCTTGTTGGCAGAGGAAGTGCATTGTCGATTTTGCCGCAAGTGGTGATGTACTCGTAATCCTCGATGACAATCGGGGTCTTGGTGCCTCTGAAATGAAACTTTTAGAACCAAGACAGCGACAAGTGTAAACTGTTTTCAAAAGCACTTACCCAACCGCCGCTATATCCGACGAAAAATGATATTTATTCAAAGCGATAACCGGATAATTTCCATCTGGCATCAATCCTTGTGGAAATCCGTCCTTTTTCAGCTTATCGACAAGGCTCTCATGAAAGAAGAGACCTAAATTATGAACTTAAAATAAAATTCCTCCACGCAGCTTTCAAGTTTGACTCTAATAAACCTACATGAATAAATGAAAAGCCCATCACTGGCTCGAGCCCGAGCACCGAAATTCTCCTTGCCTTCATATTTGAAATTCTAAACATTCAATAAAACAAATTGATCAAGTAAACAATTACGTGAATTTGCACAATAGCTGTTCCTTGAGGCTTTCCACCCGTTGCAAAGAGTTTCTAAAGGAAAAATTTTGTGATGTTGATGATAAAACACTTATAACACACTAGCTTTTTAACTCAACCTTGTAAATTTTAAAGGTAGCTTTAGTAATGAAAAAAAAACTAAACTAACCTGGAAGAATCCAACACTCAAGTAAAGCTTTCGAAGACTATCTGCATATTTCTTGAAGGCTTCCTCGTGTTCTTTTGGAACAAAAGCAGCTGTCATTGCTTTCTAAACAGTAGAACTTATTAAAACTTAATACTAAGCAAAATGTGTATCAAAGAAAAAGTTGAAAATGTGGTTGGACCTTTCAAAACAGCAAAAGAGTTTTCGCGCCAAAAAAATTCTTTTAACAGAGAAATTCGAAAGCGGGAAAAGAACACGTTAGGACGAGAAAAAGTGTGACGAAATGGGGAGAACCGAGAGAAAGAAAGGGTGAGGGGGAAAATGAGGTTCGTGTGGACATCGTTTTGTTCTCATACCTCGGGATAATTTGCTCAAAGCTTTGATCAAGAAAACTTGAAACATAATTTGAGAAAAACTTTTTTGCAAAAAAGCTTATTGTCAGATCTAACTACATCGTCGAACATGATAAGCGGAAAATCCGGGGGTGGCTATTTTGCGCAACTCGCCATAACTTTCTTCTAAGTCGACCAATTTTTATGACTTTGGTGTCATTTTGTTGCACTTGTTGAGATCTATGAAATGACACCAAAACCATAAAGATTGGTCCACTTAGAAACAAGTTAAGTACTTGTGTGGTTGAGGGAAAGTTTTTTCTGCAAAAGTGCTTTTTCTAGGGCAGTTTTTTTGCGTAGATTACGAGATTACTAGTCATTTCATAGATCTCAATAAGTGTAACAAGATTCATAAAGATCATAAAGATTGGCCGATTTAGAAGAAATTTATGGCGAGTTACGCAAAAAAAATTGCGGAAATTAGCCTACTCCCTTAAAAGAGCTAACTAAAAAGATAACTTTCTTCTAAGTCGATCAATCTTTATGACTTTGGTGTCATTTTGTAGATCTCGACAAGTGCAACAAAATGACACCAAAGTCATAAAGATTGGTCGACTTAGAAGAAAGTTAAGTACTTGTGGAGGGTGGGAAAAACTTTTTTCTGCAAAAGTGCTTTTTCTAGGGCAGTTTTTTGCGTAGATTACGAGATTACCAGATATTTGATAACTGAACATTTGATAACCGACATTCGCATTCGAATTAAATGCATTCGGTTTTTAGAGCTAAATAAATGTTTGGTTATCAAATATCCAATAACCAGATTACAAATTTCTTGGTGGGAATTTGAGGAAATGTGTTTTAGATCGACTTTTGGGGACTCTAAATCGCCGCCTCCACAGTGTACTTTATTACGGGCTTTTATAAGGAGAGTCCATCTAAGGCCTCGGAGGATTTTTTCAACATGCAAAACACTTTCTTTAGGTTAATTGTTCAGAACATGAAAATAGCAAACTTAGATTTTAAAAAGCAAAAATGAAAATTTCGCAAAATTTAGAAATCTTTATTTTCAAATTTGGTTAGAATTGTACGCAGGAGTCTAAATTATCTCAGAAAAAGTCTTTTTGAACAGGAAAAGGCTCATTAAGCTCCTTTTAAATCCTTAGATGAACATTACAGTGACGTACACTGTAGAGACGGCGACTTCAAGCCTCTAAAAGTCAATCAAAAACGCATTTCCCCAAACTTCCACTATGAAATTCGTAATCTACGCAAAAAAAACTGTAGAAAAAGCGCTTTTGAAGATACAAAATTGCCGCAAAGTATCCCCCAAAATATAAAATAAATTTTTTGAAACAAATCAAGTTATTTATGCGTTAAAGGGAAATAAAGAATATTCAATCAAAAGATGAAGACTTTTATTTTGTCAAAAACGTCTGCAAATAAAAATGTTTTTAAATTCCCGTTTAAAAGTGAGAACAGCGGGGGTGGGACAAATGCGACCTTTTTTTTGCGCACCTGGACATTTGCGCACCTTTTTTTTGCTGGAAAAGGCCTTAGGAAAGGTCGTAGAGCTTCAAAAATGTTTTCATCGAAGGGAATCATATGCGTAGATTCCGAATTTCGACAAATCAGACCTCGCTGACACGTCAAATTTGGACTAAAAGGCAAAAACTACGCAACTTAACGCTTTTCCGCAGTTTTGTGCCTTTTAGCCCAAATTTGACGTGTCAGCGAGGTCTGATTTGTCGAAATTCGGAATCTACGCATACGAGTCCCTTGTATGAAAACATTTTTGAAGCTCTACGGCCTTGCCTAAGGCCTTTTCCAGCAAAAAAAGGTGCGCAAAAAAAGGTCGCATTTGTCCCACCCCCAGAATAGCGATATAAACAAAAACGTAAATGTGTTTCTTGGCTGATTAAAAGAGTTTATGCTTGCTGACTTGACAAATTCGAAAACAGAACATTTAGGCGTAATAGGCTCGATGATTAATGGGAAGAAAGGGTCGTGCTCGGGCGAAAAAGTCGTCTCGTGACATGTACGTCCCGCATAGCGTACGATCACCCTAAATTGTAGCTAATAATGTTTGATGAATACTTTTAATACTGTAGCTTTTCGTAATCTAGTTTTGCAAAGAACTTTGAAAGTAGCTAAACTAATTAAAAAGCTAAACTAGGCTAATTCTCGCCTGAAACTCGGTTCTCGCGTGCAACAAACGGAAATTGTCGATGAAAATCACGGTGCCCGGGTTGAGCATCACTTTCAATTGTCGATCTTTATCCAAAATTATTCTCGAATAGGATTCATAAGCCTAAAATTTGGATTTAATTTTGATTTAATTTTGATTCTGAAAATTCTCTCACTTTATAGAAGTCGACAACTTTTTCAGCATCGTCAATACTCTCCGAAAGACTCTGCATTGGTGCTCGGTCATAAGGGTTGAATCTGAGAATTGAATACTTTCTTCCGTGCTACTTAGAATGCTATTATTTTCTAACCTAACTACCGTATACTCAAGTTTACAAGACTTGATTTATTGATTGATTGATTTATTGATTGATTGATTTATTGATTGATTTATTGATTGATTGATTGATTGGTTGATTGATTGGTTGATTGATTATTGATTGATTGATTAATTAATTAATTAATAATTAATAATAATTAATTAATTAATTAATTGATTGATTGATTGATTGATTGATGTGATTGATTGATTGATTGATTGATTGATTGATTGATTGATTATTGATTACAAGTTTAGGCGGACTGACTTGGTTGACTCTGACTTGGTTGACTCTGACTTGGTTATTTTCTGATTTACCTGATCTGTCGATAGATTCCATTAGAATCCGTCTCGATCACCGGGTACTCGCGGGTGTACGAGTAAATATCATTACCTCGATTGTTACTCTGAAATTGGTATTGGCTATTCGCTTGTATACTTGAATTATTTGTTCCTATTTGTTGAGTTCCTAAATTCTAACCTCCAAATAGTGATGATCAATCTTCTGGGTGGTCAACGTTTTATGGGCTTGAGCGTCGATTTCTGAAAGCGAGACTTTTTGGAAGGGTGAGAGATTTAAGAGAGATTGCAGTTGCATTTAAGAGAGACAATTTTATTAGCCAGTCTACCTTTAAGATAATCAGCAGCCGCAAAAGCATCTAAAAGAATCGTCTCACCACCAGAAGTTGCTGGTTGAAGACAGTGGAAAACCTAGATGGATAAATGATTGAATTACGAACAGGTTTAACCTTAAAGTACCTGTAGTTCAAATATTACGGTAAGTGCTATATATGATAACACAAAGCTACAGCTCTAACAATCTACAGTAACCCGCAAACAGTTACCTGGATTCCCGGACTTTGTTGGAAGTAGGTGCCATCAGTATGCGGTCCAATCCCTTCAGATGTGTACGCAGTATCCTCATGGAACTCTTCCTGAAATCGATACTTTGTATGTACTGGTTTTTTTTTGTAAAAATTGTAAAGTTACCGTTTCCGATCTCTCTTGGCTTTTGTTGCTGAAGACCCAAAAAGCGCCGAAGAAAGTGTCATGAATGATGCCAACTCTTCGACACAAGGCTTCCGTTTCCTCAAATCGTTTGAAACTTTTGTACATAAAACTAGATAGATGCTTATGAAGCTTATTAAAGTATTAATATATTACTTAAAGTAAGTAATCCTAAAGTAAGTAATCTTAAAGTAAGTAATCTTAAAGTAAGTAATCTTAAAGTAAGTAATCCTAAAGTAAGTAATCCTAAAGTAAGTAATCCTAAAGTAAGTAATCCTAAAGTATTATTAAAGTAAAATGAATCAAACCTCAGCTGTAGCTGGAACTCCATCAATCATCACAAAACCGAAGCGACAGAAGAGATTGACGAATTTGTCCATTGAAAACTGTGACCTAAGAAGATCGATTTTCGTGTCAAGCCAATTTTAACATCATTTCGAGCCCCTCGAAAATAAGCTTCTGTGGCGCAATGGTTAGCGCGTTCGGCTGTTAACCGAAAGGTTGGTGGTTCGAGTCCACCCAGGAGCGCAAATTTTTGCGTTTTTTTTGTAATTTAGCACACCTATCTTTTGTTTATTCAATGTTAGCAAAAATTTTAGAAACAAAGCTTGGTGTTTCTTTCTTTTTCGTCAACTCACAGCTCTATCCTCGGCAAGTCCTGCATTTTTTTCCCAATCCACCATGTGTGCAATTGAGCCGATGGAGGGGCAGGTTTTCTCATTGCCCATTTTATCAGCTAAAACACTATAGCTAAGTAAAATTTTATCACTTTTACCTCTTCAGCTGAGAAATTGGACTTTAAACCGTCAGCCCAGTTGATCGTCAAGCCTCCAGTCGGATTAATCTGGATCGACTCATTCTCTAGTCTAGATTCATTCTTTAAAAAAATGAAACCCTATCTCACTTTTCCGTTTTTGTCAAAGACCTTGTAAAGATGCCAATACAATCGTGTTTTCGTTGATGTGTGGAGTGATTAAAAGAGTGCTCAGCTCGGCAATGATCCCGCAACCAGATCAGTGGAACGCAAAGGTTTTCTAGAAAAACTTTAACATAGAACTTTAACAACAATAGAACTCTAATAGAAAGCCTAATAGAACTCTAGTAGAAAGCCTAGTAGAACTCTAGTAGAAAGCCTAATAGAACTCTAGTAGAAAGCCTAATAGAACTCTAGTAGAAAGCCTAATAGAACTCTAGTAGAAGGCCTAATAGAACTCTAGTAGAAGGCCTAATAGAACTCTAGTAGAAGCCTAGTCTCTGTAGAGCCTAATGGACTCTAGTAGAAGGCCTAATAGAACTCTAGTAGAAGGCCTAATAGAACTCTAGTAGAAGGCCTAATAGAACTCTAGTAGAAAGCCTAGTAGAACTCTAGTAGAAAGCCTAATAGAACTCTAGTAGAAAGCCTAGTAGAAAGCCAAGAAAGTAGAAAGAAAGGCAATGATCCTGCAACCAGATCAGTGGAACGCAAAGGTTTTCTAGAAAAACTTTGCCATAACAAAACTCTAAGAATATTTTTAAATACATATCTTAATAAGTAAAAGTTTAAGATCGATAAATTATTGTCAAAAAATAGACAAAGAGTCAAAAAATGTTTGAGCTGTGGTTTGAGAACGTGAGATGTTTATGTGGCTCTCTAATTGTAAGCTAGCATTAATAAGCTTCTAAATAATGCTACAAAAATGTAGATTAGCTAAAAATTGTTGTTAGCTGGTAAAAGCTGGTAAACCTTATGTTTAAAGCCAATGCCAAAGCCTTGATCTATCAGGTTGGCCGGAAAGTCTTGGCCGTTTTTTTAAAAGTTACTTTTTGAAATGAATAATCAATCCAATCGAGCTATTTTCTTTTTTATCTGAAAGTCATATTATTTATTTACAAATTGTCATTTAAGAAATTCTAAAAGTTAAGTTTTAGTTAAGTTTTTAAAGTTGTTAAGTGAAGGAGTCAAAAACGATGAAACTCAAAGTTTCGATTTGATCACTTTTTTTCACAGAAACCTATTCTACAGTTTAACGAATTCTAAGTTTAACGAATTTCACAGAATTCTATTCTAGTTAACGCTACCTAGCCACTAAGCTAGAATGCTTCAAAGCCCTAGGCTAGAACTCTACCTAGCCCTAGGCTAGAACTCTACCTAGCCCTAGGCTAGAACTCTACCTAGCCCTAGGCTAGAACTCTACCTAGCCCTAGGCTAGAACTCTACCTAGCCCTAGGCTAGAACTCTACCTAGCCCTAGGCTAGAACTCTACCTAGCCCTAGGCTAGAACTCTACCTAGCCTCTAGGTAGCATTCTACTTTGTGCTCTAAACACACCCAGTCTGGCGCACTGATCACAATATTTCTTTCAGAAAACCCGTCGGGATTCCCATTTGGGCACGATTCCTTCAAAGAATTGTCCCGTTTGCCCGGAAGAGGATGGGATGAATTGATAAAAGATAGAAAAAAAAAACGTTAGGCAAATAGAAAAATTTTCAGAGAAATTCATTCGAACCTTTTTCATTCTATGTCCATTAAAAGGAGATTTTAGGAAAAACAAGAAATTTTTGTTCAAATTTGCTTTAAAGCGGGCTCAAATTTGCATAAAAATGAGCTAAATAAAATGAAAAAAAAGAGTGAATCTTTTTTATTTAAAAAAAAATCAAACGTTAATCGGCTAATTATTCATTTAAATTATTCAATTTTCTAATTATTCATTTAAATTAAAAATAATTATTCATTTAAATTTAAAAAGCCACTCCTTCATCGTCATCTTCCCTTCACCACCAAAAAAGCTATTTAGTTCCCCATTGAGCTTAGGGTTAGGGAGCCGTCTGTCATGACGTGGGTTAAGTTAAGATATAGCCTAGTATTGTGTGTGTCGTTGTATTGTGATTGATATATTTCGTGTATGCGATAAATTCACCACTGGTAGCCCCAGTCGGTATTTTTTTTAAATTATTCAATTTTCTAATTATTCATTTAAAAACGAACCTCCCGAATCGAATTCCAAAAATATTGACGGTTGACCGCTTTTTGGTAAAATCTCTCGTTTTATCGTTGATACTCTTGCAATTCTTTGAGGAATTGCTCGACTTTGAGCAAGTGTTGCAAGTTTTCGATAGAAAAGCGAAAATTTAGACATTTTGGGGAAATAGAAGTTGATTGGAGTTGAAGTCCTGCAGTTGTTTACTAATTGAAAGAATTTTTGGAAGCAGTAGTAGATCAATTTCGAAATGAACGGGGTCAAAGGTGGGGGTTGTCCGACAGAAATGATAAGATGCTGGAGAAAAAGACGGGAAAAAAAAATGACGCAAAAATTTTTCGTTAAAATATACCTTTTTCTCAATTGGATATTGCCTTGATAAAATCGAAAATTGTTTGAGAAAAGTATTTGATTGCTTCCAAAAATTGAAATAGGTCGTTTGCTTTCAATTTCATTCTCAAAAATAGCTCTCCTGATTAGAAATTTTCGAATTTAAGCATTTTAGAAATAAAATCAATGTTCAAAAGGCTCTAGTGCATAGTAAAACGGTTAAACAAGGTTTTCGATGCTTTTCACTGTCGAGATTTCTATTGCCAAGACTTCGTTGTACAGTGCGGTGCAAAACCATACGCCACCTCCTAAATTTCAATTTTCTGCGGCTTCCATGCCAGTGACAAAAAAAAACTGAAAGCGTAGTTAGATTCAGGAGCAAAAATAACCCTTAAATCCCAAAAATCGTCGACATAGCATGAACAAGGAAAATGTAATAGCCGAAAAACGAAAAAGCCTGTAGTAGAGAATTCTCAGAGAGAAAAAATGTGTTTTTCGAGACGTTTTCATGTTAAATTTAAGTTAAATTAGTTTCTACAAAAGTTTCGAATCTTCTACCCGTTTAGCCTTTAGTTTTGTGTGATTTTATATCAATGTTTAGCTTTATTTCAATTCATAAATAGACAACAAAATAAATTAAGAGGTAAAGAAAGAAAAATAAGTTAAGAATAAGAATAAATAAGAAAAGTTTCAAAAAACAATTTTTTTGCTAAACCCTATTCAAATGGGAGAATCAAAGGAAAGACAAGTGAAGAAAGAGAAAATGGGAAAAAGTGAGAAAAGATTTTCAAATGAGAAAAGATATTGCAATGTGAGGAAAGGAAATGAAAGACGGGTAAAAATGATAGAATTCTTAGATATCTTTACTTTTAAAGGAAAAGATGTCGTACTTGATTGAAGGGAACAAATCGAGAAGCACCTCGAGCGCGCATCCGTCGCTCATCCTCGGCGCTCTCGGAGCCTGGAATTTGGCTATAGCGTATAAAAAGGCTACCGTAACCTGTTTTGAACTTTTGAAGCGCATCTTTTATTAGGTTTGCAAGAAAGTTTGTAGAAAAAGTTTGCACGGCGATTTCTCATAAACCAAGCGAGCGATAAAAGCTTACATCTGCCATAGTAGTACTGTAATACTATTGTTGCATTAGAACTATTCGATTTTTTAGTCTTGGAAAGCTGCTGCTGCTGCTAGTCTGCTGGTAATTCTGGTTTATAAAATAGAATGTAATTGAATGAATTTAGTGAATATAGGTAATTCGTGAGGTCGAGTTAAAAATCGACTCACTTGAGGTCGACTTTGACGCATCTTGGTCCTGTTTCGCGTAGATTTGTGGCCGTCCTCCTTTCTCATAATCGATGAAAACTCGTTGTTTCTGTTTCCCGGTCGATCGGATCTTTTGTGTCACGACGAGTTCACGTCGATGTCCTCGTGTCCATCTAAATATGATTTTTTGCGAGAACTCTCAGATTCAACTACTTGCTGCTGCTTCCGGAGTCTGCTGGCTGAGCCGAGTAGCCTGAAATCAGGGTTGTTTGAGACGGATTTCAGGAACGGATTTCGGAATTCAAATTTTTCAAATCAAATTCAAATCTTACCCCCATAATTTCCACCATTTCCACCATTTCCACCATTTCCTTGATCTCCATCATCTCCATCCTCAGTCTCTGTGTAGCTGATGTGTTGTTCTTGCGACTTTTGATCGCCATCTTCATCTCCATGTGGCTCGATTCCGGGTGGTCCTAGGTTTAATAGTAATAATAAGTTTAGAAAATGATTATCAAGGTTTAAATAATTATCAAGAATATTCTTTTATTCTTTTATTAAAACAAAATGTTGTTCTATTTTTCAATGCCTCCAAAAACTATTGTTCTATTGGAGCATGTTCTAATAGAAGAATCACGATATGCAGACTTACTATTCCTTAGCGATACTCAAACTAGACTACTGTAACTTAGCTACGACACTCAAACCGGACTACCCACTTTAGCTAGACTTTGCCAGACTACTGTAATTTAGCTTACCCTATTTTCCGTAATAGTATTGCGTCATACTATTTCTTCAACCCCCTCCGAGCCCGCGACACTATTAGAGAGAATACGGTATGCATTTTCTAGCCTTAGTTAAACCCTTATGAACCTAAGAACCAAAGTCATAGATCCACGCACCTATTTAACAAATTCGGTAGGAAGTTTATTTCCTAAACTCTACCTGTCTTGTGCTTGTCATCCCTGTTCTTTTTGTGCTTCTTATCCTCTCCATTTTCATCGAGGTTTCTCTCCATGATCTCCATGATCTCCACCTCCTTCATCGATCTCCCCATCATCATTTCCCTTGTTATCCCCATTTCCCTGTTTATCCTCATATCCATTCTTCTCAGCTCCATCATCTCCATTCTTCTCAGCTCCATCATATCCTTTCTTCTCCTCTCCATCATCTCCATTCTTCTCAGCTCCATCATATCCATTCTTCTCAGCTCCATCATATCCATTCTTCTCAGCTCCATCATATCCATGATCTCCTTTCTCTTCTGGATATCCCGTATTCCCACCCTTTTCCTCACTCTTCTTTTCTTCCGGATATCCACTGTCCGTCTTCTCCTCAGGTTTCTCTTCACTATCTTTATGTTGATTATCATCTCCACCCGGGAATCCATTCCATCCATCACTTGGATATTCTGGATGTTCATTTTCTTTCGTCTCCTCCTTCTCATCATATCCTCTGTTCTTCTCTCCTTCATCAATTTTCTCTTCTTTCGGTGCTGGACTTGGCGGGTATTGTTCATAGGGGTTTTCTGGAGTTGACGTGGTTGTCTCTTGTGGTTGTTCATATTCAACTGGGGGTACAGGTTTAGCCTCATGCACTGGTTCATCGTATCCCTGTGTGGATGGCTCAGGTTTTGGGGCTTGAGTGGTCTCTGGGCTTTCTCCATAAAGATCAACTGGCGGAAGAGGGCTAGCTACGTGCACCTCAATGTAGTCTTGAGGAATCGGAGTCTAAAAATTTCCTCTATTTTTTAGAAAATAGTTTCCTTACCGTGACCCGGTCAACCGATCCATCGAAACCAAAATCTTTGGGGGTGGTGCTCTGTGTGTGAGTTTTGTGACCAGTTTGGTGACGAGTTGCCTTAGCCTGAAAGTGAAGTTGATTATCAAGATTGCCAAAACTGCCAAAACTTTGATTTGTGCTTAAGTTTATCTTATCACTATTCAAAAATCGACAAGCCAAGACACCTAGCAGCACCAGTTAAAGCATTTTACAGCACCATTTAAAGTCAAAGGTTACTTCTTTACCTGATTTTCGCTTTGCTTAGCAAAATTGTTGACAAGTTTCTTCACATCGGGCAAAGCGGTGGCCAGAGTGGGACGAGGTGTGGATGGATGCTCAGACTCCTCAATGTTCTCAAGGTATTCTTTTGGTGGGCTGGGATGAGCCTCGTGCACTTCCTCCTCATCTTTGGGTTGATCATAACCATCTCTGAAATAAGTACGGTTTTTTTTACACATATTGAGACTTGTAGCCGGCTACGAGTGACTATGCTCAGGCCCGCGAATTATGCTAAGATTTTTTTGGAAAAGTTGCTGGTAAACGCCTGATTTATTACTAAAGTGCTAAGTGTTAGATAGAAAAATAAAGCCCTTTATCTTGGCTACATTTATCTCTTAAAATTGTCCCCGATTGGAATTGTACAAATCATTTTACAAGCTCTAGAATGAGCTCAAGTCGGCTCAAGTCGGCTCAAGTCGGCTCAAGTCGGCTCAAGTCGGCTCAAGTCGGCTCAAGTCGGCTCAAGTCGGCTCAAGTCGGCTCAAGTCGGCTCAAGTCGGCTCAAGTCGGCTCAAGTCGGCTCAAGTCGGCTCAAGTCGGCTCAAGTCGGCTCAAGTCGGCTCAAGTCGGCTCAAGTCGGCTCAAGTCGGCTCAAGTCGGCTCAAGTCGGCTCAAGTCGGCTCAAGTCGGCTCAAGTCGGCTCAAGTCGGCTCAAGTCGGCTCAAGTCGGCTCAAGTCGGCTCAAGTCGGCTCAAGTCGGCTCAAGTCGGCTCAAGTCGGCTCAAGTCGGCCAAGTCGGCTCAAGTCGGCTCAAGTCGGCCCAAGTCGGCTCAGTCGGCTCAAGTCGGCTCAAGTCGGCTCAAGTCGGCTCAAGTCGGCTCAAGTCGGCTCAAGTCGGCCAAGTCGGCTCAAGTCGGCTCAAGTCGGCTCAAGTCGGCTCAAGTCGGCCAAGTCGGCTCAAGTCGGCTCAAGTCGGCTCAAGTCGGCTCAAGTCGGCTCAAGTCGGCTCAAGTCGGCTCAAGTCGGCTCAAGTCGGCTCAAGTCGGCTCAAGTCGGCTCAAGTCGGCTCAAGTTGGCTCAAGTCGGCTCAAGTTGGCTCAAGTCGGCTCAAGTTGGCGATCTGTCATTTACCATTTTTGACATAAAATAACACGAAAAAAGCCGACTTTAGCCTTTCTAAAGGTATTTTTCTTAAAAATATGCCTTTTAGAAAATGCATTAGCCAGAAAAATAGTCAGAAAAATCTAATCCAAAGTATTTAGTCAAAAGTCAAGGCACTGATTCAAATGCTAATCAAACTCACGGTTGTTGAGGAGCTGGTTCCTCATAGCCGGAGTTCTCATTGCTTGGCTTGCCAGCAGAATAAGGCTAAAATATTTTTGCTAATTTTAAAGCCCTCAACTCAACCTCTTCATGTTGTGCCTCTTTGAGTTGTTCAGAGCTCTCGCTCAACTTCTCAGCCGATTTTTCTTTGGCAGAGCTGGCGTCACTGTCCAGATCAAGCTGAATGAGAATGCTATTTGAAAAGATTTAAACTTGATAGAGTGTCTATAACTTTTGCCTACCTCTCTCTTTATTTGTTTTCTAATCTCGGCATAGATTCGTTTAGCCATCGCTCTTTGGAGTCTTTTGTGTTCTTCCACGTAAGCTTTTGCGTCTTTGGCCAATAGGGTGTGGTAGCCTTCAGCTGAAAAGCAAGGTTTGCTGCAAGTGCTGTCAAGAAAAAGCTACCGTAAGACGTTCAAGCTTACAGACGATTACGGTAGCTATAGGCCATCAGGGTAACTATAGACGACTATGGTAACTATAGACGATTACGGTAACTATAGGCCATTACGGTAACTATAGGCCATTACGATAACTATAGGCCATTACGATAGCTATAGGCCATCACGGTAACTATAGACGACTATGGTAACTATAGGTCATTACGATAACTATAGGCCATCACGATGATTATAGACCATTACTATAGGCCATTACGGTAATTATAGGCCATTACGATAACTATAGGCCATTACGATAACTATAGACCATTACTATAGGCCATCACGGTAACTATAGACCATCACGGTAACTACGATAGCTTACTGTATCTTTCCCAACAAACCTTGATCATCTCCAGAATGCTCAACAAGCATATCGTAGGGATTCACTTTGTGCGACTCTTCATACGGATTCTCGTTGTTCGTTTGCTCTTTCTCGTTTCCTTGTTCATATCCATTATCTTGAGGAGTAGCTGTAGTTGTTTCAGCTTGCTCATAAGTGTTAGGTGTCTCCTCTCCATATTCTTGTGACGGTTTCTCAGGCGTTCTCACTGTTTGATCATAGTTATCCTTTGGCTTTTCATATCCATTGTCAACAGGTGGCTTCCCATAGCCATCAGTTGCTACAGTATTCTCTTCGTATCCATGTCTCGGGGCCGGTGTATTCTCTTCGTATCCATTTCTCGGGGCCGGTGTACTCTCTTCGTATCCATGTCTCGGAGCCACTGTATTATCTTCGTATCCATTTCTCGGGGCCGGTGTATTCTCTTCGTATCCATGTCTCGGAGCCACTGTATTCTCTTCGTATCCATTTCTCGGGGCCGGTGTATTCTCTTCGTATCCATTTCTCGGGGCCACTGTATTCTCTTCGTAGCCGTTATTCCTTGATGGTACTGTATTCCGATTACTGTAGTCATCTCCATTATTTCTAGGCCTGGCCGTGTTTCGATTACTGTAATCATATCCATTTCTTGGAGTTACTGTATCTTGTTCATATCCTTGAGATCTCGTCGTTGTTTTTGGCGCCTGTGTAGTCGTTGGCTTTGGTGTGGCTCTTGTTGTGACTCGATATCCCTTTTGTCTATACGGATAATAATCAATTGTGGTTGTTGGCCGAGTCGTATGCTCGTATCTCGGTTTCTGTGTCTTTGGCTTGTTCGTTGGGGAATTCTCTCCTTCATCGATGTTTCCACGATTCGGTTTGTGATTTTTGTCATCGTATCCTTGTCTCGAGTCATCGCGATCTTCATATGTTGAGGCTACGGTGCTCGTGTCCTCTTCCACACTCTGAATTTGATCAAGAAGTCAATGAGTACTAATTTGATCGATAAACTCTTGAATTTGATCGATAATTACTAGAATTTGATCGATAAGTTCTTGGATTTGACTTTATAAAGTTAAATTGTCTTATCATTAGATTTGAAAGTCATTGATAGTGAAAGTCACTTGTTACTATCATTGATAACAATGATAGTAACAAGTAACAATGATAGTTAATAAGGTTAAATCGTTTTCGAAAAGATAAACTCGAGAAAAGCCTCGAGAAGGCTACCGTAGCCTGTTTTGAACTTTTGAAGCGCATCTTTTATTGGGTTTGCAAGCAAGTTTGTAGAAAAAGTTTGCACGGCGATTTCTCATAAACCAAGCCATCAATTCTTCTCCGATTTTTTTGATAAACTTGACCATAATTCAAATTTGATAAACTATATATTGACAAAAATCAGAGTGCGCTTCAGGTAAAGATAAGAGATTTTCTCAACTGAAGTAACTTGGTCACTTTTTAAGTGGGCAACCTTTCGACAGCATTGGAGCATTTCTTTCCAACCTAATAGCATTTTATAGCATTGAACTTTATATAAAACAAGTTATCGAGAATTCGTTCAATCGAGAGTCTATGATTGTGAGATTATGAGTTCGATGAATTCTAATAAGCAAAATTTCAGTGACCTGTGGCACAATAGCCATCATAGCCAGATACATCATAGCCAGATTTTTGAATTCTTAAGAAATGTAACGTAGTAATAGCGGCTACGGCTTAGGCCTGTTGAATGAATGCCTGTTTAGCCATTCAATATCAAAAACTCACATTCGGTAAGCCATCACCATCGAAATTATATCCAGAAGAATGAATCGTGATTCCACCGTTTGTTTTCGTTTTTGGCGCCTCGGCATCATAGCCAGATTTTTGAATTCTAAAGAAACGTAAAAATGAAATGTAATTGAAAAGCTACGGTGCCAAATCCCTTGTGTTGACCTTGTGAGGAGCGTTGCTGCGGCGATTTGGGGAAAAGCCGGGTGCCTGGAAAATGGATTTGCTTCAAAAGGTTTCAATTTCAATTTCAATTTCAAACTATATGACAGCTACTTTAGCAACCTTTCCACTTTGCAAATGATCAAATCTATAAAATCATTTCTTACTTTGCTTCCTGGTTTCTTCACGGGCTCAGGGATTTTGTTTGTATCGACATGGCCTTTAGAGTCCAGAAGCAACTTCTGCACTTGACGTGCAATCTCGTCAAGTCGGGATTTTGGAGCGCTCGGTGTCTAAAACATAGGTAAAGGTTTCGAGAATGCTTTAGTAATAAAAAGTAGTTTTAAATTTGTTGAAAAGTCTCACCGGTGGTGGGATGGGTCCTTCTGTGTTTTCCTTTTGAGGCTCATCGTGGTGTTTGCTTGGACTCTACAAAAGTTTTATTAGAATCATAAAAGGCTTAGAAAATTAGCTTTAGAAATAAAAGAAATAAAAGAAAAATTTGTCACCTGATCGCCAAGAACAATCTTCTGATATGAATCTGCGCCTGGTGGAGCTGGAGTTCCCTGCTTTGGATTTGGCAACTCGGGCACCTCGGGATATGGATTGATGTAAACGGGCACATGAGCTGGTGGGCCATAATCCGAACTGAATAAAGTGATATAGGGCTTTTCTTGATCGAAGCTACTTATATATATGTCGTAGTCGATTATGAATTTCATTTATGAATGAGTTGGTCTAGGAGCGTCCAACCATCAAGTATTTAGTATCATTCAACGCAGAATCATTAATAATTATATTAAATTTTTTAAATTAGAAAGATTGGATAAAAAGAAAAAAATTATGGGGCTTCAAAGTTTTCTCTTCAACAAACAGTTTTTTTTGCTCTAATTTTTTTTTCTTTTCATCAAATCTTGCTAATTTTAAAAATTTAACATAATTATCAATGATTCTGCGTTGAATGATACTAAATACTTGATGGCTGGACGCTCCTAGACCCACTCATTCATAATCGGCTACGGGGATTGAATGAAACGTAGCGCCGGCAATTTTTAACCTAAACTCACAAATTTGGTACCAATCGACACAGAATTTAATTCGCTACAGGATGATATAATATTGTCCTGATAAAATGTCCTCATTAAAGGGTTGCTCTACTAGAAAGATTTGCCAAAAAATTTCATTCATAATCGGCTACGACATATAGATTTGGATATTAGTAAGTAGACAGTAGTAGACCCAGTAATCGATTCGAACATTAGCAGTAGACAGCAGACAGATTTGGACATTAGTAGGGGACAGTAGTAGACCCAGTAATCGATTCGAACATTAGCAGTAGACAGCAGACAGATTTGGACATTAGTAGGGGACAGTAATAGACCCAGTAATCGATTCTTAGAAACTGTTAGTAAACAATTACACAAGTAAACAGGGTGGCGCAGGATTATGGTGATATGTCAGCATAATTCATATGGCGATATGTTGGCATCAATTTAAATTACCCTAAGCTCTTACCTCAAATGTAAGCCGCACTAAACTGATAAAGCTTCGCTCACTCAGCTGAGAGACAAAAAGTTTCACCAAAAGGACTTTTTAACGAAAAATTCTGAAATTTTGACAAAACTTGCACATTCTATAGGCGCATCTATAGAAAAACAAACAAATTGAATTTGTTTTACAATAATTCCGCTTTATAGCCCGCTTTATAGTCCGCCTAAACTCAGAAATCATATTTTTATTTTCAAAAGGTTATAACTTTTTTAAGGTTTATCAATTTTTATCTTTTTGTTATCAAAAGATAGAGAAAAATTCGTAGAATAAAAGTTTTGGTTTACATTTTCTTTGTTTTAGGCTTTTATTTTCGAATTCAGCACATTTTTCTGTGTCAATTGGCTATTCAAACGTAAAAATCCTATAGAAAACACATTTTCGCGCAGATGTGCGAAACGTTTTTTTTTGGAAAAGTTGCTGGTAAACGCCTTGATTTATTACTAAAGTGCTAAGTGTTAAATAGAAAAATAAAGCCCTTTATCTTGGCTACATTTATCTCTTAAAAGTTTCCTGATTGGAATTGTACAACACATTTTACAAGCTCTCAAATGAGCTCAAGTCGGCCTCTCTTCGGCGATCTTCTGCAATTTTTGACACACCATATTTACACCAAAAAAATGGATTCTTTAAATCAAACTTGTGGTATTTTACTTTAAAAGTACTATTTAAAATAATATAATAATAATAAAGCTGCTAATAAAGCTTTTAAAATAAGATCTTCTTGTCAAAAAAGGATATTTGATAAAGCAAAAATTTTCCTGTTTTATGGAGTTTTCAAAGTTTTCAGAAATCAACTCTAATTTTAGTTATGAAACTTTGACAAAAGACTTTACTGTTGAAAATCAGCTCTGTTAGCTGTCTTGATAACAAAAAGTACTAAAAAACAGCTCTGTTAGCTGTCTTAATGACAAAAAGTATCAAAAAACAATATTTAAAACAATCGACGTTCTAAAGCACTAATAGTAACTGGACTTAACTCTACTAACTTAATGATTACTTACAATGATTTACTTAATGAATTTGAAACCATTACAGTCCAACTTACCTGAATAGGCTAACTACGATAAGTTCTAAAGAGGAGTACCAGTGCTGTGCTTTTTGTTATCCTTGAAATGAGATATTCTTATTGCTATTAAATGAAACTCTTATTTTTTTTTTCACGAAATAAATATCGAGGAAAAGTTTTTAACAATTTTATTATTAAAACTGTCAAAAAATAGCAGATCGCTGGAGAGAGACCGACTTGAGCTCATTTGAGAGCTTGTAAAATGAGTTGTACAATTCCAATCAGGAAACTTTTAAGAGATAAATGTAGCCAAGATAAGGGGCTTTATTTTTCTATATAACACTTGGCACTTTGGTAATCGGTCAGGCGTTTGCCAGCAACTTTTCCAAAAAAGGTGCCGCCAGAATCTTGCACCACCCTGTACTAGCTAAGCCAAATATTTGCTAGGATTTTTTCAGTAGTTGACTAATGAGGTTCATAGTTGTCTAGTTAACTCCCTCTTGAGTAAGGAAGATGAAATGTGTTGTGGTGTAATGGTCAGAGTTGCTCGAGACTTACTTGACCCCCCTCAGAGAATCTAAATATGACGACTCTTCTCTTTTTCACCATATCTCGACTTCTAATTGTCGAATCGACTTGTGGTTGCTTTTAAAATGTTCCTTATGAAATTTCGTTATAGAAAACCACAATTTATTTAGTACACACTAGTGTAAAAACATAGAGAAAATTTGACTCAAAGTTAGACGACCTACCTGAAAGGGTTGATTCACTTAAATGATTTATAACTCAAGATGTAAAAGTTGAATCAACTCAGGGTTACTTTTATTAGTAACCCTTCAAGTCCAAGGTTCAAATCCAAGCGACGTACGAGCCTTTGATCTGCCCTAGTTCCAACTGTCTAGCAATTTCAGTGTTTGGTTTTACTCATCTAGTTCACAAAAATATCTGTAAGTGAGAAACAAGAGCTAGACTTGGCTCACTTCCAAGCTGTGCACTTCCAAGCCCTGCACTTCTAAGCTGTGCACTTCTAAGCTCTGCACTTCCAAGCTGTGCACTTTCAAGCTGTGCATTTCCAAGCTCTGCACTTCCAAGCTGTGCACTTCCAAGCTCTGCACTTCTAAGCTGTGCACTTCCAATCTCTGCACTTCTAAGCTGTGCACTTCCAAGCTGTGCACTTCCAAAGCTGTGCACTTCCAAAGCTGTGGACTTCCAAGCTCTAGAATTCTATTGAAGCTTGCGGTTTACTGTAACTACAATATTCAGTCAAATCCTTACTTACCATTAGATCCATTCAACTCATCTTTTATCAATTTTCAATCGAATTTCATTCACTGATTAGTTTGAGATTTGATTAGATTTGAGTGGCATTGATTAATTCGCGAATTGACAGAGCAGAAATGACAGAGACATCTAGCAGAAAATGATTGAAAAAGAAAAAAAAAAGAGGGGAAAGTTTTGAAGTTCTGAAAACAAGAAAAAGTCTGTTCAAGTGATAGAGGACTGATTGGATCTCCAGTTTTTTCGCTTTTTTTTCTTTGCCATCCCATAGATCTGCCTTCTTTCAAAAGTAAAAATCTTCTAAAAGGGGAAAACTGATATTGCTATTTATGAGATCCTCGTTTTTTTCACAATCTGCAACAAGGAGAAAATGACCAGTGTGAAGTTTGATATCGCATTTCAATGATAACAACAAAGCACAGCACTGGTACTTATCGTAGTTAGCCTATTCAGGTAAGTTGGACTGTAATAGTTTCAAGTTCATTAAGTAAACCATTGTAAGTAATCATTAAGTTAGTAGAGTTAAGTCCAGTTACTATTAGTGCTTTAGAACGTCGATTGTTTTAAATATTGTTTGATATATTGTTTTTTTATATTGATATATTAAATATTGTTTTTTTATATTTTTTGTCATTAAGACAGCTAACAAAGCTGTTTTTTAGTACTTTTTGTTAACAAGACAGCTAACAGAGCTGATTTTTGATACTTTTTGACATTAAGACCGCTAACAAAGCTGTTTTTTAGTACTTTTTTTCATTAAAACAGCTATCAGAGCTGTTTTTTAGTACTTTTTGTTATCCAGACAGCTATCAGAGCTGATTTTTGATACTTTTTGTCATTAAAACAGCTATCAGAGCTGATTTTAGTATCATCGCTTGAAAGATAGATGTAAAATCAATAATTAAATCAATTGTGATAGCTTAAAGTTGATGGTTTTGACGAAAGTCTGATCAAAAATGAAGAGAAGCTGGATTTCATCAACAACAAAAAAAAACTGATATCTTTTTGGGTGATCGGCTGGAGGTTCGCTTTTTTTTCTCGGAAATTGTCGTAAATTAACACTGAGGAAGCCATCAAATGGGGTTTTTTGTTTCCTTATTTTATTAAAAAGAGCTCCAAAAGCTCCAAAGTTTTTAAAGGTTCAAAAAATTGTAAAATTTGAAAAATTTAAGCAGAATGTAGAAAAAAATTAGTTAAATTTTGACAATATAATCGTTAGAGGAAGGTTTTAAAATGTAAAAAAGCCGAAAAAAAAACGAAGAAGTGAATAAATTTATGTTTAAAACAAGACTCACCTTCTCCTTGTTTGCGTCTTTTTTGCGGTGAGGAAAGAGGGCAATCGCTTCCGATAGATTTCATTTTGGAATTGTGGATAGGCACAGGTAAATCTGAAATCGGAATTGATACTGAATAATTGATAATTCGGAATCGGAATCAACTTATCCACTACCCTAAAGTCTCGAGTATAAGTTCATCCTTAATTTAAAGGTTCTGCCTTAACTTACATTCGCTTTAATTGCTTTGAATTTCTTTTTGTTGGGTTTTTATACATTTTTATTGTTATATAAACTTTTATTATTGTTCTTGGAGCGCGGGTGACAGCCTACAGGACTACAGGGTGACAGCCTATCACCATTGCTATTTGTTATGTGCATGGATACATCCAGACGATAGTGTTGAAGAAGACGCTGGAAAGCATCTCTTTCGACCGTCGACGTGGACTTTGGCCGGATGAAGAGGGCAGGGAGGGATCCATAAGACTGAGCACCGGAGAGGAGCAGGGCGGACGCGCCGCACATAGGTTACAAAATTCGTCTTAAATAAATCCCCACAATTTTTTTTTTAGACCCAAAAAGGAGGGGAAAAAAAATAATCCGAAACCGCTCACAAAATTTCAGAATTAAAGGCGGCGACTCTGATGTTAGTGAAATTTCATATTTCATCGAACCATAAAGTGTTATATGTCATTCAATGCTCTTTTCACGCTCTTTCGAATACTGATTGGTTTTGCTTTTTTCCAGGAAATTTTTCCTATTCGGCGCCGAAAGAATTCAGAATTCTGAGCCTAGTTTTCAGCTAGATTTTCGTGAAAAAAATAGAATTCCACAAAAACTCAATTCAGTATTCTGAAGAGCGTGAAAAGAGCTGAATGACATATACACAACCCCCCCCCCCCCCCCCCCCCCCCCATTCTGATTTTTGGGGAAGCGCCTCCAATATCACCTTTCCCCCGCCTTCCTTAATTTGTAGTGTCGGATTTGTTGAAAAAAATTCCCAGGGTGAATCGTGTGCGAGCCACGCTTTCCGGCTCCAATGCGGTTCCAATACGGTTCCTATTTTGATCTAATACGGTTCCAATACGGTTCCAAAAACAAATAACAGCATAAAATTGCTATAACCCTCAATAAATTTACTTCTATTATTGTTCTTAAAAAGCAAAAAAGTTATGCTGCAGCGGGGTTCGAACCCTCGACACACCGCACCGGAGACAGCCGTCAATTTGCATACGAAAACCAAACAGAACTTATACTCGCCACTTTAGGGTAATTCGGAATCGGAACGGATGTGGAAAAGGTTTCCGATCACAGCTTATCGAACTTTTTGATCCACCAGTTGACAATCTAACTTTCTTCCCATTGACAATCTAACTTTCTCCCCATTTCCCAATCTAACTAAGCTCATTTCTTGGTGTTGAGCTTTTCAATTTAAAACTTCTTAACATCATTTGATGCGCCTAGTTTTTCTCTGTCAATTCCTATAAAAAAATATTTCAATTCAAAAGCCGAACACCAAGAAATTTGAGCTTAAAGTTCGATTGGGAAATGGGAAAATGGGGAAATGGGGAAATGCTCGACAGACTGCGACAGACAGACTAGTGACCTCGATTCTTTGCTTTATTCGGTCAAAATGTTGTTTTTTTGATGTTTTTTTGATGGTGTAAACGCAATTTCATGTCATCATCACCATTCTTGGCGATGGCAATGGCTCTTTTTCACAGCAAAAAAAAACTGAAATCCCCCTCTTTCTTTGCCTCAATTCTTTCCCTTTTCCCCCGCTAAATGTTTTTTTTTGCGCAAAACGTTGCAAGCTTAAATCAAATCTTCATTAGTGAGGAAATATAGAATTCTATTTTTAAAAAAACACTTACGATATCAAACAAAATAGAAAGCTCAATCGTAATCGGCCTCGTTCTCGGTCCATACCTGAAAAGTAATATTGAGAATAAAGATCAGTCAACAGTCAACAAAATAACAAGAACAAGAACAACAACAAGAGAACAAGAAGAAGAAGAAGAAGAAGAAGAACAAGAAGAAGAAGAAGAAGAACAAGAGCAAGAAGAACAAGAGCAAGAAGAACAAGAGCAAGAGCAAGAACAAGAACAAGAACAAGAAGAACAAGAACAAGAAGAAGAAGAAGAAGAACAAGAACAAGAAGAGGAACAAGAACAAGAGCAAGAACAAGAACAAGTCAACAGCAATAACAAACAGTCAATAACAGCAACAACAGCAACAACAGCAACAGCAACAGCAACAACAACAACAACAACAACAAGTCAACAGCAATAATAAACAATCAACAACAGCAACAACAACAACAACAACAACAAAAAGTCAAGAACAACTTTAGGAAAGGTGATAAAGTTTATGAAAAAGAAAAAGCAAAGACAAAAATGCAAATGTCTTTGCGTAAATCTAGAGGTAAAGTTCAATCTGCTAAAGATATCAATGAATTACTGTACTCTAATAGAAAGCCTAATAGAACTCTAATAGAAAGCCACCTCTTTGTAAAATCGCGTAGTCTAACTTCTTTTTAGAAAATTGTTTTTTCTCAGCGCCTAGTTTTTTTCTAATTACACTTTTGTTACGAAAAAATAGTAGAATCCAAGAGTTATCTTTTGACAACCAAGCGCAAACTATAGCATAAAGCATTGTGGAGAATGGGATATTTAAAGTTAGACTATGCTATTGTACTGTCAGAGTATTTACAGTAGTTCAAGGGTGATTGTGCTCACGAGAACAGTGGATCTTTTCCTAAGATTCTGATAGTTAGACACATTTTAGAAAAAGACTAGCCGAAGATGAAGATGGAAAAGAAAAGAAGAAGCGCAAGATTTAGTTGTCTTTAGATCTCTGATTGATCTGAATCTGAATGATTTGAATCTGATTAATCTGAATCTAATTGATCTCTGATTTAGAAAACAATCTCTGAATCAAGGGGTATCAATAATCTAGAATAGCTATGAATTGAAAGATGAGCAAGAAACATTTATTTTTGATTCTATAATTCTACAATTCTACAATTGCATGTTTTGTTTATTGTAGAAAAATAAAAACGCAAAAACTTGCGCTCCTGGGTGGACTCGAACCACCAACCTTTCGGTTAACAGCCGAACGCGCTAACCATTGCGCCACAGAAGCCTATTTCAAGAGGGATCAAAATGCAATTAAAATGGCCTATTTCCCGAGGGCTCAAAATACAATTAAAATGGCTTAACATAAAAATCTATCATTCAATTCAACAAATTCAAAAACTATCTCTACGACTACGAAGAAATGGAAGTCTGTAGGCTTTTAGGGATAAGGGCAATGAAAATTCGGAACTGAGCTGACAATGAAGGGAAGCTGGCGATGAGGGGAAGCTGGCAATGAGAGAGCCTTCCCCCCTCTGAGGCGATCGCGGCATTGGCAGGCACTGTGTTCGAAAATCGAGTATCGGTTCAACCCTTTTTTCCCCCTTTTTCCTTTCTTCCAGCTTAGCACAATCCACAAAAAGAAAAAAAAGCGCTTTCTTTTCTCTTCATTTCTTCATTTCTCCATTTCTCCATTTCTCCATTTCTCCATTACCTCCTCAATTTTTAGCGATGACGAGTTCATCACGCAGCCGATATCAATCGTATTTTATGGATGCATCTGTTTTTTGGGCTGTTTCCTCTTCCGATTATCTGTTGGATAACACAGTTTTGAAATCGTTTAGAAAAAGAAAATTGTGGCAGAATGAATTGTGTTGATTTTTTTTGCGTGATACGAATCGAGGCTGACATCGAGGCTGACAGTGTTTCCATAAGATGAAGCTGATGAAAAGAAAATGAATGCCTGCAGGGGTTTACGGATAAGATTTCTAGTACTGTAGTGATTGTACTGCAGTGATTGAATAAATGCGTATTTTGGTTGCTCTACAGTTATTGTTAGTCCTTGAAGATCAAAAATTACTTTTACTGAAACGGCTAGGTTTCAATAAGCTTTTTGCAGCAAAAGTCATATCCACGGGCTCCAGCTCCAGCTCCAGCTCCAGCTGTGAACCTCATGAGGAGATTAAAGAACTTTATAGATCAAGCATCACTTTTAAGGTCACGCTACCGTTGTACAGTTGTCACGATGCAAATTTTAAAGTCTGATTGACGAGTTCTGGATAAATTGAAGTTGATTTATGGCTAACTGCAATTTGCCAGAGAGATTCAGTTTTGGGTAGAGTTTTCAAATGTTGTAAAGCGCCAGTTACTGCTGAAAAGATACAAGATTAACTATCTTTTGTTATATGAAGGAAATGAAAGATATTTAGTCAAACAGAGTATACAAATTTGATAGACAAATGGAGAAGTGATACAGAAGACCACAAGACGCACTTCAGAAGGCCTAAATTGGTCAAAATTGGGTTAATCGTTTTGATTTTTCTGGAGATATAAATCTTAAGTATGTTTCCTAAAACTGTGTCCATTATCTAAGCAATCCAAGCTCTCAACTTTTTTATATGACTTTCCAAAGTTGAGCGCTCGTGTCGCTCGGCATTTAGGCTCTCTGAAGGCTCACAATTTGGCCCTTTGAAGGCTCACAATCTTTGAAGTGCCTAATTGTTGGTCACCTTTACAATTTGCATTTATAAACGGGTTTCATTACCGTATTCCAAAAGTAGACACTGAAATTTATCAATAATATTTAAGAATTGAAAAGTTTATCTTCATCACTAGCTTCTAATACTAGAAATCTTATGCTACAAAACGCTTATTGAAACCTAGCTGTTTCAGTAAAAGTAATTTTTGATCTTCAAGGATTACCAATAACATTAAATGTAGAGCAACCAAAATGCGCACTTATTCAATCACTACAGTACAATCACTGCAGGACAATCACTGCAGGACAATCACTGCAGGACAATCACTGCAGGACAATCACTGCAGGACAATCACTGCAGGACAATCATGACAGTACAATCACTGCAGGACAATCACTGACAGTACAATCACTAATCTCTAATTTCAGATGTTCAATATCGGTGTTATCTTGTTGTAACTCTAATCCTAGAAGATCGTTATAACTTCTAAATAAGAATTGAAGGCTTTAAGCCACTAATGTGTACTTATCTCGACTCAATCCTTCACTTCATTTCTTTACCAATCCTTTCCTACCAATCTTTTCCTACCAATCTTTCCCTACCAATCTTTCCCTACCAATCTTCTCCTACCAATCCTTTCCTACCAATCCTTTCCTACCAATCCTTTCCTTACCAATCTTTCCCTACCAATCTCTACCAATCCTTTACCAATCTTTTCCAAATTCCACTAATTTTCATTCACTCCAAAAACATCGAAAAAGTGGAAACAGAAAAAAAAAACGAGTAGAAAGTGGAGTAGCAAAAGTCGCTCAAATCCCCAAGCATTCGTTACAAAAACAGACCCCAAAAAGATCTTCAATAGATAAAGATCTTAGGCGCTTTTGGATTCACATCGTTTCTCAAAATTCTTGACACATTAGTGGAAAGCTGAGGAATTGAGAATGTGAATCTTTTAGGGTGAAAACACGAGCACTTTCACCTCGGGAAAACATCGAAATTTCGAGCATTTCCAGCACCAACAAGCAATGTTTTTCGAGCAATGTTTTTCTCGATCTTATCTTAAAGTTTTTTCGAGTGTAAAGTCTAAAACTAACATGAAGGGTTTTTAGAAGTTGAACAAAGAAATGTTGAAGGTTGAAGCTCGTTCTTTTCAGATTCATTTATTTGATTGATGTTTGGCCTGAGGAAAATGATCGGGAAAGCTCAATGGATCGGGAGTGCGACAAATGCGACCTTTTTCTTTGCGCACCCGGACATTTGCGCACCTTTTTTTCCGCACCTTGCCCATTAGCGCACCTTTTTCGCGTTTTAAAAAAGCTCTAAAAAAGCTAAAAGCTCTAAAAAGCTAATATTAACCAATTTCTATTCCAAAAGTTGTTTTTCTAGGTAATTTTAGGGTGTAGAATCGAAATTTTGACATATCAGAGCTTGTGGAACGGCTAGATCAAAAGATAAAACGGCTAGATCAAATTACAGAAAATTGTCGATTTTTCTCTTTGTATAACTCCGTCCGTTCGTTTCCACGAGCTCTGATATGTCAAAATTTCGATTCTACGCCCTCAAATTACCTAGAAAAACAACTTTTGGAATAGAAATTGGTTAATATTAGCTTTTTAGAGCTTTTAGCTTTTTGAGAGCTTTTTTAAAACGCGAAAAAAGGTGCGCTAATGGGCAAGGTGCGGAAAAAAAGGTGCGCAAATGTCCGGGTGCGCAAGAAAAAGGTCGCATTCGTCCCACTCCCCAATGGATCGATTTACCGTATTTACTCGAATAGAAGACCGGTCTTCTATTTTTTTCAATCACTCCCTAGACCCCGTCTTCTATTCGAGACGGTCTTATAATCGAGGCCGGTCTTCTACTCGAGTAAATACGGTATTTTAGAATACAATCAACAATTGCTTGCTTGCTGAATATTGCTGAATATTCAATAAAACTGATAGTGAGAAAAGTAGTTTTCGGGAAAGTTGGTTTGTTGTTGTTTGTTGTTTGTTGTAAAAAAAGACTCACTCAATTATTGAAAGCTTTGATTTTCTGTTGAAAAAAAGGATTTAAAGAGATGGGATTTGATATAGATTTGAATGACCAATCGATTTCAGAAACTTTAGAGTACAAATTCATAGGCGAATATCTGAATCTTCTTTTTATATCATTCATAAAGCAAAAGATCAATTTTGGGTGTCTTTTTGCTTTAAATTCTTATTGGTAAACCATTGCATTACTCAAAAAGTAGATAGACTTAAGCAGTAGATAGACTTAAACAGTAGATAGACTTAAACAGTAGACAGACTTAAACAGTAGATAGACTTAAGCAGTAGATAGACTTAAACAGTAGATAGGCTTAAGCAGTAGACAGACTTAAACAGTAGATAGAC